TCTCTCTCTCTCTCTCTCTCTCTCTCTCTCTCTCTCTCTCTCTCTCTCTCTCTCTCTCTCTCTCTCTCTCTCTCTCTCTCTCTCTCTCTCTCTCTCTCTCTCTCTCTCTCTCTCTCTCTCTCTCTCTCTCTCTCTCTCTCTCTCTCCCTCTCTCTTTACATCTAATACGGAAATTCCACCCGAAGATGACGATTGAGAAATACCTTAGCTACATATATCAGAGACTTGTAGACGAAAGCAGAAATTAAATCCCCCCCACACACAAAAGATCTTCGCCAGATCCCCCTCTGTCTCTTCCCTCCCGGCCACCTACCTACCTACCTACCTACCTACCTATACATGTATCCCACGTGTCATCGATAATCAACAAATCAACAAATCAACGTCCATGTCCCAAAAACCCCCCAGGATCAAGCTAGAAGCTTTCTTCCCATTCCAACAAATCAACTAATCAAAAACCAAGTCTGCCAACTTCTTTTCCTTTTCTTTTTCCTTTCTCTTGTCTATCTTCTACCTCTTCGAAACAATACTGAAAAATCGAAATACCTCTCTGTAGGTACATGTACATGTTGTATCTTTTACAGGCTGATCCTAGTTAAGTAGGTAAGGTATATGTGGAATAGAATAGAATAGAATTTGGATTTTTAGGGCGAGCTGTCAGTATTGGGTATATGCGTAGGTATGTATGTTTTGATACGTAATATGTAGGAGGTAGGTATATGTATGACTTCGGGATAATAGGGTCCGTGATGGATAGGAAATGTTACCTGAATAGTGCTTTGTTAGGAGATTTTTTGTTTTTCTTTTTGTTTTTGTTTTTATTTTTATTTTTATTTTTCGGTTTCTTTTTCTTTTTGAGGGAGAGGGAAAGGGGAAAGGGATACGACTAGCATTCTATAAAATCCCTACTATCAAAAAGCGACGAGAGCTTATCTGTAGTCCTCTCTCTTTCTCTTCCTCTCTTTCCCGTCAATAACCCAAAAAGCTCTGATGATGATGATGATGATGATGATGATGATGATGATGATGATAAAGATACACCTCATCGTGCTTCTAAGCTCTTCGCTTCTTGTTTTTTGTTTGAGTTTGTAGTATTTGGCATTACCAGCTAGGTACATAGACAGCTTGATAGAGAGCTTGATAGCAGGTAAATACCTACCTACTAATCCATGTGTTGTCAAAAAGGTGTATGCTAGCTCCCTACCTAGAGCTTAAGAGAAAACGCGGGGGAGGAGACGTGTTGGCCGTTGCGGGTAGAGGAGAAAGGGGAAGAAGAAAAAAAAGTAGGAGAAGAATGGATGAATGACTGAATAACTGATAAGAAGGCAGAAAGTGTGAAGATCCGAGAGAGGTCTATAAAAGATATATCGATGTCCTGTTATTTTTTTCTCTTCTTTCTAGTCTTATTCCTAACATCAACATCATCTCAAGTTGAAGAAGACAGACAGATAGACGAATATACGCCATCGATATCGATATTACAAGAAACACCAATTCCAATTCCAACACCAATACCAATCTCCCACCTCCCTCCTCTTCAAGTCCAACAATCAAAACCCTTTTCTCCCAAAATGCTCACTCCATGGTGGCTCTTCTGGTAGCCATTGCAGTTGTATTTGTGAGTAGTCTTTTCTTTCAGTCCTCATTGACCTTGACCTTGACCTATCCCCCTCCCCTCCCCTCCCACTCACACACGTACATTCACAAACTTACTTCACATACTAATTACCTCTCTCTACTATCAGACTGTAGTGGTCAATGCAGTGATGGCTTTACTGCGTTGAAAAAACGCGGACGACGTCGATTTTCTAGGGATTGGGGTTCTGAAAATGGTTGAGCGGGTGGGGGTTTTGATGGTGGGGATAAGAGTTTGAGGGAAGGTCACGTTGGAGGGTGGGATGAAGGAAGGGAGGGGTGGTGGTGGTGGTGGTGGTGGTAGTGGTGGTGATGGCGGGAAGGGATATATCCTGTGAGATGTGATGGCAACTTTGAATTAGGGACTGAAGAGGGTTTTGAACTTGCGATGACGATGATGATGATGATGATGATGATGAGCGGAGCAGGAGTTGGGACATAATGAACTGATTTCTTTTCATCATCAACGTATCAATGCCATTTCTTCCAGTGGGAGAGTGGCGTTTGAGAGTATACATACATGTACCTTCTACCACCTCTGTATCTCGGACCAGCACGATAAGCGCACATCGAAGCATCTGCCCGAGAGAGTGGCGGGCATGGCATACCTCCTAGGAAGTATAGAATGGAGTAAGATATGAGATGGACGGCGCCAAAGGCTTGATGCGACGCTCCAGCTTCCTCCTCGGGCCTAGAGTCCGCCAATCGTAGGAACACAAGACATTCCTTCAGCAATATCGACGACGGCTGCATGCACATGCCAAGCAGAACGAAGGATGCGAAGCACTACAAACAGACTGCAACCATCAGTAGGATTTCTCGCCTCTGCAATTTTTGCTGATATCGACTACAACCAACGCCACACACACACACACACACACACACACACAGAGAGAGATTCCTCTCGTACATTTGTATGGTGATGGCAAATCGTGAGTGATGCGAAGTTGAGCCGGTCGGAGGGGGGGACAGAGGCGGATCACTTCTCTCAACGCAAATCACTTGACATGCTCGGTCGGCGGAGGTGAAGTCGGTTGGAGAGCAAAAGAGAGATGGTCCCTCCTTTTAGTACTCCTCCTAGTTAGTTACAACTGGCCGGACTCGCTACACAATACGACAGCCGACCGCCCGCCCATGAAATCCCCTATTCGCTGAATCTCGGTGGCTTATCAGTCCCGTCTGGCGTGACTACTCTGGGGTCCATGTCGCTTGTCAGATAGAAGCTAACGACTATCCACTACAGTAACTCCTTCAACCTCTTAATGACAACCTGGCTGCTGGTGATATCAGATATCGGACTCGAAACAGAACCGGGACAAGACCGCGACACAGACAGCTGAGACTAGTTTCTCGTTCTACTACTACTGTCATGTCGTGTCGTGTCGCTGGATGAATGGATGTGGTGGTGGCCTTGTGCCTCCGCACGCACTGTGCCGCTCTGCGCAGGCCTTCCCATGTGTGTTCGGACGCCGATCCCATCGATAGATATTCGCATTTTCCACCTCAACATGCCGAACCATACCCGAATAGGCAGGCCAGGGCGCTGCGGAGTTGACTTCCATAGAGCTTCCATTGCAGCTTAATCGAGCCATGAGTCGCTGGGATCGACATGCTTTTGGGGTATACAGGCAAAGATAAGCCAGTACTACCATGCAACACAACGGTGCGAAGACCAGACCCTGTCTCCCTTCGCTCGAGTCCGCGCCGGGGTGGGTGGGCCATGCGCATTTTGCTTTTATATACATCGTACCTCATGCCCTGGTTCACTACTACACCGTCGGAGAATATTGCGTCTGGTCGTGACATAGGTATACACTTCATCGTTCGGTGTCGGGGTGAAGAGATCATACTACTGGCCGCCCACTAAAACCATGGCCAACGCTACGGAAGCCATCGATCGCACCGTCATGCCGATGGTAAGCAACTTCATCACACTTTGTTATGAAAACATGTCGCGTATGATACACAGCTAACGGATGGGGAAAAAAAAGGGAAACATCAACCCGGATGTTCCTCCGCTGACAGAGAAGAGCAATGTGTTCAACACTCCCACGCAACAACATGGCGAGGTCGAAGAGCTATCGTCGCCTTCGGGGTCAGAGGGAGGCAACGAAAAGGAAAACATCCACAAGTCTACTGCTGTCGCTGAGATGGACGAGATCGATCTCGAGAAGCCAGGCAAGGAGCATACCGACACTGACCCATTCACACCATTCGACGATTTACCCGAAGAGTGTCACTACATTGTCACAATACGCGCCATGGTCATCGGTGTGATCTGCGGTGCTCTCGTCAATGCCTCCAATGTCTATCTGGGTCTCAAGACAGGTTGGACGTTTGGTGCCTCCTTATTCGGTGCCATTATCGGATTCGCCGTACTGAAGCCTCTGGGTCGCAAGCTGCCCGAGAGCTTTCCCATCCTGGGAGGAGACTTTGGCCCGCGTGAGAACAACATCGTCCAGACAGCCGCCACTGCTGCCGGAGGCATGAGCAGTGTCTTCATCTCTGGTGTACCTGCACTCTACCAGCTCGGACTTCTGACCACGCCACGCGAAGATTTCCCACGATTGATCACTCTCACTCTGGTCGGTGGCTACTTTGGATTCTTCATGGCTACGCCGCTGCGCAAATTCTTCATCATTTACGTCGCACGAGAACTGAAGCTCATCTTTCCGACGCCTTCTGCCACTGCCATGACCATCCGTGCGATGCACATGGCTGCCACTGGCGAGTCGATCGCCAAGATGAAGATGAGAGCACTCTCATGGGCCTTCTCGATTGCGGTCGTGTTGCGTGTAGTATCGCAGTACGCCACTGGTATCTTGTGGGACTGGCACATTTTCACCTGGTTCTTCATTTGGGGCAACTACAACAATGCAGCCATCAACGTAGAGAACTGGGGCTGGCTGATCGAATGGACTCCCGCGTTCATCGGCGCTGGAATGCTTGTCGGCTTGAACACTGCCATTTCCTTTTACGCAGGATCCATCCTCGCATGGGGAATCATAGGTCCTACTCTGGTCCACTACAACGTGGCCTTTGGTCTGCCCGCGGGTGGGGACGACCCCAAGTGGGAACAGTACATCTCGTTTGCCTCTCTCGGTGCAGCGGCTTCGACCAAAGACACCCCGTCTCCGCGTTTCTGGTTGCTCTGGCCCGGTGTGCTGCTCATGATTGTCGTCTCCTTTGTCGAGCTGGGACTGCAGTACAAAGTCTTCTTCCACGTGGTCAAGGCCATTCACCGTGGAACCTGCTCAGGCATCAACAGCGTGCGCAAGGCCCTAGGCCGTGGCTCGAGCCCATATCTGGAATCAAAAGGAGCACAGAATGACTCGGACCTCGTAGCCGATTTCGCCAAGGACGACGAGCTGGTGAAGTGGTGGATGTGGTTTCCCGCCATGGTGGTTGTCATCATCTTGGCTTGCGTCGTCATGGGCGTGCAATTCGATATGCCAGTCGGCATGTCTCTGCTCTCCATCTTCCTGGCCTTTTTCTTCTCTCTCCTGGCAGTACAATGCAGTGGTGTCACCGACATCACGCCCTTGACCGCAGCATCCAAAGCTTCCCAGATTGTCCTCGGAGGCGCCACCAAGGGCGAGCACTGGCAGACCGAACACGCTCAACGCCTCAACCTGCTCGGAGGATCTCTCGCATCCATCGGAGCCGACCAAGCCTCCTCTCTCGTCGGCGACTTCCGAGTCGGCTACCTCCTCAAGACCTCTCCCAAACAGCAATGGGTCGCACAAGCTCTCGGCACCATCGTCGCCGTCTTCCTAGCTCCCGCGCTCTTCATGCTCTTCGTCAAGGCATACCCTTGCATCATCGACATCTCAGCCGAAACCTGCCCCTTTAGCGCTCCCTCCGTCTCTGCCTGGAGAGCCGTGGCCGTGGCTATGACTGACCCGACTTTCCCCGTTCCCACCAGCAGTGGTATTTTCGCTATTGTATTTTCCTGCTTCGGCGCAGCCATGATTGTCGTCCGCCACTACGCTTACACCGGCTCATGGGAGAAATACCGCGTCTATCACCCTAATATGATGTGTATCGGACTCTCCTTTGTCCTTCCTCAAACCTACTATGGTACGATTTATTCCCCCCTCTCTCTCTCCCAATCCAGCAAACCAAAAAAAAGCTAATCTTCCCCCAAAAAACAGGTCTCGCAATGATCATCGGCGCTCTCCCCTGCTACTTCTGGGCCAAACGCAATCCCCAAAGTTTCGACATTTACGGCTTCGCCATCGCAGCCGGACTCATTGCCGGAGAAGGAATTGGAGGAGTCATCAATGCGGTATTTCAAGTTGCGGGGATTTCCGGACCGAGTCCTTATGGGACGAATATTGCTTGTCCTGCTGATGCTTGTTGAGAAGGTTAGGATTACTTTTTTGGGGAGGGAGGGGATTTGTGTTTTTTTTTTTGTTTTTCGTTTTTAGAGGGGGTGGATGATGATGATGATGAGAGTTGGGTAATAAGATGATAGGGACGTATGAGAGAGAGAGAGAGAGAGAGAGAGAGAGAGAGAGAGAGAGAGAGAGAGAGAGAGAGAGAGAGAGAGAGAGAGAGACAGATGACTCCCTCTCTTTCTCTTTCTCTTCCTCTTTCTCGCTAGGAACGTTATATAGGTCGTTCCTTTTTAGGGGGAGACTACTGAGGTACCTACCTACCTACCTACCTATATACAAAACGTTTACCTTACTCTTACTCTGATTCTTATCATAGAGAGAGAGGAAGTAAGAAGAACTGGCTACCTACCTTACCTAGTAAATGTTAAAAACTCCTCCCTCTTTCTGAAATTGTTTTGAATTTCTTTTTGGATTTTTCCGAGTGTAAAAAGAAAAGAAAAAGAAAAAAGAATTGGGTATGGTCCCGATGCTAGGTAGTTGTGCCTTCCTCTCTTTCCCTCTCTCTCTCTCTCTATTCTATACGGTATGACAGTTACCTAACCAATTAATTACCTTAAATCCTAACCTCCTAAAAACTTTCCTATAGTCAAGTCAGAATATTACCTACTCTATTCTTACCTACTCTACCTTCCTTTCAAATAATCAGACGAGAGATTTTGAGATTTGATTTGAGAGGTAAGATAGGTAAGGTAATATAGGTATATAGGTAAGTTAGGTTAGCTAGTTGACTACCTTCTATTGGGTAGTTTTGGATGTCTACCTAATTTTTCGCAGAAACCATGTCGAAGACAATCAAATGAATTTTTATTTTTATTTTTATTTTTTCGATACCCGCTTGCCGCTTGATTCTTTCGGAAGACATAATGGACTACTATTAGCTCTCTCTCTCTCTCTAACGTTAGGAGGTAACAACATTTTCTTGTATATGAGTAAAAAACGCCGTTTTCACGATTTCATGGAGATTTGATGGTAAGTACCTCGCCCATGTATTAGTGGCTTTAAGACTTGTGGGAATCCGGAGACACACTGATTGAATGGATGTCATTTGACCGCCATCTTGAAGGGCAGCCGGCTGTATTAATCCAGTATCAAGATGCTGCGAGAATGTGCCTCTCCGTCCCTCCTGAAAACGCCAAAGTGGCAAGTAGATGCAGACATGAAGTTAAGTTGTGATCAAGAAATTGCAAAAAACAAAAAACGCTACATTAGAGAACAATTCTGTACAGGACTATCCCCCTTCACTCCCTTCACTTGCAAGGCAACACGAGCGGCTTCGGTGAAAGCCTCGTTCACTCCGCGATTCTTCATGGCCGAACATTCTGTCACATGCAGCATTAGCTTAGTCATCAGCGGTACGAGTGAAGTGAACAACAACAAACAACATACCCAAGTATCGCAAGGCCTTGACTCTTTCGGCAGCTGCGAGACCCTTGTCATACGCAATCGGCTCCTTGCCACCAGCCTCTCGCAGGTCACTCTCGTCTTCTTCTCGGAGATCGCATTTCAATGCCACCAGCACCAGCTTCACACCCGGGCAGTTATCCGCAATCTCCCCCACCCATTTGCTCTCTACGTTCTCCAGCGAGTCGGGCGAGTCTACGGAAAAGCATAGCATGATGCAGTGTGTGTCGTCGTATGAGAGCGATCGCAGGCGGTCGAATTCTTCTTGCCCGGCTGTGTCCCAGAGGGATAACTCGACGTGTACATTATCGATGAATATATCGTGGACGTAATTCTCGAATACGGTGGGCTCACTGCGGGTGTCGGCATCAGTTCTGGCTGTGCGCGCGCGCGGGCGTGAAGGTGCTCGCTCCGTGGAAGGGCAGTGGAGTTGGGTCGGACGTACTAAACCGTGGGGAAGTAACCTCTCGTAAAGACATTAAGCAGACTCGTCTTTCCGCATGCGCCGTCGCCTCTGCGCAAACATCGTTAGCCGTCGTGTCAGTCGCAACGGGGACGCCAGTGAGGTCTGGGTCGGCGATAGGTGGCTTACAGCAGCACCAGCTTGCGCTGGACCGTCTTGCTGCCTCCGCACAGCGGCATGGTGGTGCTCGGTGCGTGGCGGAGCGCTGTATGAGGATGATGAATGGATTATGTTGGTGTTGCAGGCAAGAAGGTTGGTCGTTCCGCCGAGTATGGTCAAAGGTAATAGGCAGTACTCCAATGGTCAGGCAGAGTACAGCACACACTAGACGGTTGGGACCGCAGGCCGGGAAATGATTGCGCCGATCCTTCCTTTGACGCGCGACCTGGTGGGACAGTGTCGAAGTAGGTAGTGCTGAGAGAGAGAGAGAGAGTTCGCGACGCAGTACACGTCGCCTCTTCATCAGAGAGAGAGAGAAAGAGAGAGCGAGGACGCGCCTGTCGAAGAGAGCAACAAGGCATCTCAGCCAGCCAACCTAACCTGTACATAGTACTAACCTTCAAACTAATTATGCCCGAGCTCTCCAGGATCAACATCCTGCCCCGGCCCGTTGTTCTGGATCTGGAGAACTACCCACACCAGCTACATGATTGGCCCACCTATATCGATGTCGAAGCCTTCATCTGCAGCGTGCAAGAATAGACCCAGCCGGAATGCGCAAGACGACGATGAAAAGTTCTAGATGAAGAGACGGTCAACTCCTCGATAATCAGCTCCCGGTGTAGGTGAGACTCCGAGCCGCCTATGTCTCGGGCGTGAACATCTCCCAGCAGTTAGTGAAATCTCCGTGGCATAGCAATGATTCAGCCGCGCCCGATGAACTTGGCGTCTGCAGTCTAAGCCTCTGCGCAGTCAAAATTCCGGGCGTGAGCTCACAGCGAACTTGGCGAGCCGTCACAGGTGAGGACATCGCAGTATGCATGGGTCATTTGGTGTTGCAGTATACGTACGTACGCTGCGTACACCGTATATACTGTTGGATTTATTCCTCGTATCCTCGGACCCCGGTCGACAACGACCAGGTTCAACACTTCGGCTCTAGAGCCTCCGCGAAAGGCAGGCTCCATGAAGCTGGCTGGCCACAAGGCCTGTGAGCAGGGAATCCGTAAATGGAGACCGCCTCTCCCTACCTTGACGTATGATGCGATTCAAGTTTAGGCTGAGTGGGACTGAAGTCAAGCCGTGACCTCGAGTCAGCAGCTATACATTGCCTGAAACTAGGTATGCAAGGCAATAGGGTCAAAACAGATATTGTTCCATCATGGAGAAGGGCACAAGGCCCTTCGACGGAGCCAAGCCGAACCCTTCAGCGGGCGGAAAGCATACAGGTACATGGGACTACCTTAGTCACGGATGTAGTATCACCCATACAGTAGATAAAAATACCCCCCCTAACCATCACTTCTCCTTCCCGATGCACCCAATCTTCGCCCCATGTCCACATTCTCAGCAACTCTTCTGACGGTGCTGATAAACTTGCCTCGTTCAGACCGCTTGCGGTCATCTTCTTCTCTCTGACGAGCTTCTTTGGCTTCAAGCTCAGTCAAACGCATCTTGCGCTCAGACTCCAGCTCTGAAGCATTCGATTGCATAGCTGCAAGCTTACGAGCACGTTCCGCCTCCTCATCAATGTCGTCGTTCTTCATGTTCTCTTCAGGCGGTGAACGGTATGGCTTGTCGCTACGGCTGCGAGAATACGAGGAAGGTGGAGATCGTCTGCGCTCGTCTCGTTTCGACCGCGCTTCGCGGCGTTGGTATGGAGAGCGTGAGCGGGATCGTGACCTCGAATCGGACTTTGAACGCCGCGGGCTGGGGTATGATCTTCTTCGGTCCTTGCAGTCATCATCACTGTCTCTTCTCCGTGGTGGCGGAGAGCGGGATCGTGGTGCACTATAGTCTCGGCTTCTGTGCGACTTGGACCTGCGATCGTCCGTCCGCCTGGAAGGTGGAGACCTGGACCGCGATGGAGACCTCGATCGTGAGCTGTCCCGCCTGTGCCTGTGGGAACGGTGCCTGCGAGACCTGCGATCATCATCGTAGTCGTCACTGTAGCGCCTTCGCTTGCTTCGATGTCCATCATCGTCATCATCTCGGTGCCTGTGCCTATGGCTCCGATGCCTGTGTTTCCGTTCCTTACTTCGAGTAGCCTCGTCTTCATCTTCTTCCTCCTTTCCAGTGGCCTTTTTCATGAGCATCTTGCGCCTCACAGGATCGTTCATCATGGCCTCGTACATCGCCTGCTGCTGCTTCTTGATCGCAAGCATAGGGTCACTAGCAACCTTCAACGCGATATCTCTCGCACTGCCGCCCTTCCCAGCCGCAATAGCACCGACTTCAGGCGCGTCCTTCTTGATTGCTCCGTTACCACTTTTGACAAGACCATCCAGGCGACGCTTGCCTAGCAAGTAGCCCTCCATCTCTTCAGTGACACCGCCAACACCTGGTCCTCCTGTGCCCGGTCCATTGTACATCCAGTCAACTTTGTCCACTCGCTTCTTGCCCCCTGCCGCTTCCTGCAGTCGTTCGAGTTCCTGTATGGCGCGCTCCTCAGCACGCTCTTTAAGGACTTGATCAGTCTTTTTGCGCTCCTCCAGGGCCTTCAATTCTTCGTTGTACACCCGGCGCTGATTGGTCATCAGCGCTGGATGCCATGACTTCTTCAAGTTGAGATCGCCACCCATATTGGCGTTGTGATTGGTACAAGCGGTGGGTGTTGAGGTGTTGTGTCGGAGTGGTGGCGGACTGGCGGGCAAAGAGAAGTGGCTAGGAGGTACATGTACCTAGCGGATGGGACGGCTCTACCCGCTACCCGCGTCGCGGGGCCAGCCCGACCAGGCGCGTTGCTTCCGCTTCATTCAATGGACGTCAAGGCAAACGCGGACTTCAGGTCCATCGATAACAATACTCTGGCTGAGCTGAAAGGTTCCAGCATCTCGTAACTTCACCGGTAGAGCGAGAGCATTGCCTTGGAATCGCAAACATGTCGGACGACGATGATTTCATGCAAGATTCCGATGAAGAGAAGTATGTCCACCACATATCTTTGCCCAGTGGCACATGTAACTGACAGCAGCTAGCTACGACTTCGAATACGAGGATGACGACGATGCGGATGCTGACAATGGCGATGTCGATGTCGAAAACACATACTACAATGCAAAGCAGATGAAGGGCGACAATCCCGAGGAGGCGATTGTGGAGTTCCTCGGTGTGCCAGCGCTTGAAAAAGAGAAAGGCGACTGGGGTTTCAAGGGCCTCAAACAGGCCATCAAGCTGGAATTCAAACTGGGCAGATATGAAGATGTGAGCAGGACATGTCCAATAAGAGCAGGAGTGGTGAGGGATAAGGACTGACAGCTATCCCAGGCCGTGAAACACTACGCCGAACTGTTGACCTATGTGAAATCTGCTGTCACGAGGAACTATTCTGAAAAGTCAATCAACAACATGTTGGACTTCATCGAGAAGAATGCCGAGGACGAAGCCGCAAACGAGTGTATGGAGAAGTTCTACTCAAAGACCCTGGAATCTTTCCAGGCCACCAACAACGAGAGATTATGGCTGGCGACAAATACCAAGCTTGCGCGGCTATGGCTAGCCCAGAAGGACTATCCGCGTCTCACCGAAAAGGTCCGCGAGCTGCACAAAGCATGCCAACGCGAGGACGGCACAGACGATCCGAGCAAAGGCACATATAGCATGGAGGCGTACGCTCTGGAAATTCAGATGTATGCCGAGACCAGAAACAACAAGCGTCTAAAGGTATGACCGGTCATCTGAGCTCGCAGTGGCGGCAACCTACTTGCAATCAACTCACAAGTACCACAGGGCCTGTATCAGCGCGCGCTCAAGGTTCGCTCAGCCGTGCCCCATCCCAAGATCATGGGCATCATCCGCGAGTGTGGCGGAAAGATGCACATGAGCGAAGGTAAGTTGGCACGCGACGACTTTGTTGCAGGATGTCGGACTGACGAACTCGCGTGACCAGAGAACTGGAAGGATGCACAGGGCGACTTTTTCGAATCGTTCCGAAATTATGATGAGGCTGGATCGCTACAGCGAATACAAGTGCTCAAGTATCTCGTGCTGACGACAATGTTGATGGGCTCTGATATCAACCCGTTCGACTCACAGGAGACCAAACCTTATAAGAACGATCCACGTATTGCAGCCATGACAGAACTGGTAGATGCGTACCAGCGTGATGATATTCATCAGTATGAGACTGTTCTGCAGAAGAACAAAGACCTCCTTGCAGATCCGTTCATTGCGGAAAACATCGACGAAGTCACACGCAACATGCGCACAAAGGCCGTGGTCAAACTAGTGGCGCCATACACTCGATTCCGCCTCGACTTTATCGCAAAGCGGTTGAAAATCTCCGTACCCGAGGTCCAGGATATTGTGGGCTTCCTCATCATGGACAAGAGGTTGCATGGCAAGATCAACCAAGAAGCCGGGACTGTCGAGATCGAGAGTCGCGCAGATCTAGACAGGATGCACGCGGTGGCGGACTGGACTGATGCCATTCGTTCGCTTGCTAACGTCGTACTGAACGAGGGTGACGGGTTCAAGTCGGACGATGCTGGAATAGGCGGTCCAGGAGTGCCCGGAGTTGGGGACGCCTACGACTCGATGTCACAGCTCTCTGGTAGAGCCGGGCCCCAGGGCGGGAGACGTCGACCAGGCCGCTTCGGAATGAAATGAACGGGCGCCTGCCTTGAGAAGAGACGCTCAGTCGGGCGTCACAGAGCGCACAGTCGAAAGGGTCGCCGAGTTTGTGGGTTGTGGAACGCTCGCCCCAGACGCCGAACCTCGAGGAAGGGGAACGGCGACCTTGTGCGCGCCACGAAGTAATGAGGAAACGATACTCTAAAAGATATTTGAAACGTGCCCGGCACCAAGGCACCTTCCGATCAACACAGAGGAACAGCTGGATGCTGCTCACTCACCCATCGGATGGTGTTGCACTCTATCGACGGACACGAACACCAAGAGGATGGGTCAAACGGAACCCGACGCTCTGGACGCGCGCGCCCGACCAGGATGTTTTCTGCTCGCTTCGTAGCACATCTTACAGGGTATATAAATTGTACAAAGATGCGGATCCCTTTGCTGATTCGCTCCTTCGTGAGGCGGACCGCAAGTTGGAGAGGCGTACTTGGCAGCTCTCCGCTGTTCTCGTTGCTCAGTGCAAGGATCTGGAGGGATGCCATTTCTCCGCCGAGCTTAGCGTCATGAATGGATTTGCAAAGGGATAGAGCTAGCGGCCGCGGAAGGCTTCACGCGTATAGTAGTTCACGGTCGTTGGCCAAGTTTCAGACGACTCGCAAAATCTGCGCCAGGGCTAAGGGCAGACCCCAAAATGTCTAGTCGCAGACCCCATTTCTGAGTCATCAAGTTATTACCGTACCCTTCCGCTGTAATCCTACCCCCCAAAAAACAGCCTCCTTCGCTCCGGCTCAGGCCTCCGCTTTCTATACCTACCTACCTCCTAGGAGTTCTCTTCCTATCAAATGCTCAAGACCTCGGGGGTACCGGATACCTCGGGGACACCGACTAGATTGCCCCCCCAACCTCCCAAGGGGGGCTAAGAATCGAGAGGGGTATCCTTCGGGGTGCAATGTAAAGTGAAGCTACTACGTCCTACGTCCTAGGTAGTTGGAAGGTATTGGTGATATCGTAGGGTACGATAATAACTTGATGACTCAGAAATGGGGTCTGCGACTAGACATTTTGGGGTCTGCCCTTAGCCCTGGCGAAAATCTGGCCACTGGGATTTGCAGCCATCCATCCTCTGTTTCCTCAGGTATCCACGCTATGTATGCTACACAAGACCAAGAAAGCGTTCATGTATATTTCCGTCTGTGTTTTCTTTTTTTTTCTTGCTTACCAGCATGTTGGTCGCGCAAGGGATAGTGAAAGAAGATGGAGAAGAAGAAGAAGGAGAAGAAGGAGCAACGAGAGAAGCAAATCAGCGAAGAAGGCCGAGAAGGGTTGTGCAAAACACACAAAGTAAACGGCGTGGTCGTGCAAAGAGATCTGTGGTCAGGTCAAGGTTCAGGTCAGGTCATGTCGGGCGGCGGGCTTGCTCGTAAATTCAATTTTTGTTTTTATTTGGTGTACGTTACACGACATTTTTTTTCTGGTTCCGTCCATACCTCCTAGCACACACACACACACAGACACACACACACAGTATTGCCCGTACATACAGTACTGCAACTGTAAAGGTCAGGTAGGTAGGTACCTAGGTAGGTTGTAGGTACCAATGTACAAACTACCAGGTAGTGGATAATGTAGTTCCCCATTGGAATCCCATCCATTCTTTTCTACCTGATTTCTTCTTTCCTTGGACTGTTTTAGCGCCGAAGAAGTCCGGGTGCTATGGTGGACCGCCTACGGAAAAAACGGGAAACTCCTTGCGAATGGGAAGGATTTTACTACTTGTACATGTACATGTAGGTACTGTACCTTTATTATTATTAGGAGGAGGAGAGATGAGATGGGAGGAGCGATGGGAGGATGGATGGATCCATTATTCTTCATCCTCCTCGCCCGATTCCCGACGTTGAAGATTGGGAAACGCTGCTGCAAGCCATGAGGCGTGGAAGTTACCTTGCCCTTGCTCTTGCCTTGTGCCTACTGTGGGTAGAAATTTGGGTAGAGGTGTATGTGTGTGTGTGCGCTATGTGTGTGTGTGTGTCTGTGTGCTACGTGACTGATCAGATTTTTTTTTCGTTAGTGAGAAATGACGAAGTCATTCATCCATCCCATCGTATATTCGTTGGAAACAAGTGGAGAGAGGAAGAGGGAGAGAGAGAGAGAGGAAGAGAGAAAGAGGGAGATGGCAGATTCTCGTTGTTGGTTGGTTACCATGGTTCTGGCAATGCGACCGACCTTTTTATTTTTTTGCAGGGTGTGTGCGGGTATGCAATTGACTGATTGATTGATTTGATCGTCACGTTTCTATGGAGATGAAATGATGATGGTGTCGTTGTTGATATTGGAAGATGTACTGTACGATGATCCCCATGTCGCAAATCAATGGTAGGGGGTTGTTCATGGGGTCTTCTTCCTTTTGAAAGTTGCATGACGACCTACCTACCTGACCTGTAGGTACACACATGGTCGTACTCGATGAAGGTCGAGTCTAGACTTACTAAGGTACTACTGGTGTCGTCTCTTCCCATGAAATGATCTGTAGAGAACTTGAGACGCACACACACACGCACACACAGACACGCACAGGCGGTAATAACCCACTTCCCGGAACTATTGAAAAGGAACGAGACAGAGAGGGAGAGAGAGAGAGCGAGAGAGAGAGAGAGAAAAGCTCGTGCCGCATCGAGGCGCAAACCACTGATCGCTTTCCTGCTCTGCAGAAAAAGTGGCGTTGCAGCTCGCATATGAGACTCGGAGTAGTGGTTGGTACAGCTTTGTCTGCCGGAACAACCTGACACAACCACAAGCACCCAAACTGCTGCCCCTGCCGGCAAGCTGTTCCAATGCTTCTCTCTACGTGGAGACCCTGCTAATCGTTGTTCTCTTGTTGGCTCACACGTCTTTCGGGTGCGTCGAGCGGGACTTGGTCTCGTTGGCTGTGACTCTGGGACAAGGTGTCGATGCACTTACTTGGGTGGGAGACACTGTGGTGGGTGGGTATGAGGGAAAGATAGAGGGAGAGAGGTCTCAATGCTGGTCCGATGGGCTGTGGGACTCTCTCTCTCTCTCGCCCTCTCTCCCCATCTCTCTTTTCCTGATTACGCGCTGAGTGGGTGTTCTGCCACCCTCGGTAAGTCGTCCACGGAGAGTTCTTGCAACATATCCTTGGTCGCTCTGCTTCGAGAATCCAAGGCGTGATCTGATCGCATCCAATGGTCTCCTCCCATCTCGCGCGGTGGATGTCGTAAAGACGGGTGTCAATGCGTCGAGTCTCCCTCTCCCTCTCCCTCTCCCTCTTGCCTGCCCTGGTCGGGAGGCCGGATTGCGCATTTGGTACCTGGCATGATTGATAGCACCTGTGCCCGGTGGCGGTGCGCGCGAAGTAGGTCATCTGTGTGGACTCTGCAGCAGAGTGGATCTTGGGATCTGGCGCGAGTCGCGATCTGCTGGGAACGTATATATGCACCATCCTGCTGCTTGGTGCGCTTCTGTGCTGTGGTTCTGCTGCCGATACCCTGGTCCATTTTTGAAGGTTACTCTACAGCAAGGAAGAAGAAGAAGTGCAGCACCCTTTGTCTCGTACCCTCCCACGCAGTGCAGTCCGAGCCTCCGAGCAACGTCTTCCAGCCTGGTGGTGCATCTACTTGGGGCGCAGGTCTCTCTTCTGTCTTGTTGATTGAGATAGAGCTCTTTTGGCGTGCTCGTTCGTTTACAATAATACCTGCCTTACCGAAGGTACCTTACCTGTCCATCACTCTGCTGCTCCGCTTCCTCGAGCGCGGCCGCTTCAATCAATATCTGCGGCGGAAGTGTGCATGCTTGTATATGCGTGCGCACGAGTTCTCTGGTCCAAGTCTCGGGATAGGGCGACACATATCGTACCACGGGTCCAGGAGAACAGCAGCAACGGGAGCATAACGAGCCCACTTCCTCTCATTCCAGTGGCCGTTCGCTCGCTGGCCCTCGACCGCTATCAGCACCGCAACCTGGGATCGACCAACACTTTGACAGCACAGCACGACTCCCATTTGCAGGATAGCAGAGCACCAGACCAGGTCGTGGTGATAGGTATCGACAGGAACGAGTGCCCATTGCCCCAGCTCCGCTCGCTCCGTTCCAGTCTCCCTAGCTTCTTCGGGCACAGACGAAAGCTTGCTGGCAAAGGCTAGGTTTGCGGATTTCCCCAGGCCAGCGTGAAGAAATGATGGACCGGCAAGGGAGCGTGGCGACCGCGCCGTACTATCACAACCACCATCTCCATCATCACCACCACCACCACCAACAGCAACAACAACAACATGCGCACCACCTGCAACACTATCAGGAACAAGCAACCGCGCTGGCATATTGCCCCACCGTCCCGCTGTCAGTGCAGCAGCAGCAGCAGCAGCAGCAGCAGCATCAGCATTCCCATCACGCTCAACAACAAGCTTCTGGACTTGCAGGGCAGCAAACACAGCTCTCGCTAGTGCCCGCTGGCGCTATTTACCCACACTTCGGCCACCACCACCACTCTTCCACCCTCCCGCACCGCACCCGCCATCCACTCCGCGCGGAGGCCCTTCAGCACACCATGGCCTCTGAACCGAGCCACGCCATGTCCGACGAGGAGCTCGCTGCCTTCCAACAGGCCAGCGAGAGCTACGAAGCCCCCATCACCGTACGTTCGTCGCCAGCGCCTCGTGTGAGGTCTCGTTGTTGCTCGCGTCATTTAGGGTTGCGGCGCGGGTCGACACGGACTTTGGTGGTTGATGGACAGCACCCTACGCAAGGCCCTCGATGTGCTAACAAGAATGATTTCTACCAGGGACCGTTAGTTGGACAGCGACAGCCGAGCACGGCTCTCACCAGCGAATACGCCTCGGCAGACCCTGTATACCAAGCGAAGACGCAGGTACGATCAAATCCAGACACGAAGACGCGAAGTTGCACGTGCAAATCGACGCAAAAAACCCCCCGCCCCCATCAATCTGACCATGTGTATGTACTAGGCGCTGCCGCAGAAATACTCCCACTACCGAACCGTGCGCGGCGATGGCAAGTGTGGATGGAGAGGTATGTTCGACAACAGATGGCAGTCACGACACGGACTGGTGCTAAGGAGCCGTCTATTTAGCTGTGGCATTTGGCTACTATGAAGCTCTCATTCATCATGGCGACTTGAACCGCTTTGGCATGGAGGAGGCTCGTCTCAAGTCCATCGCTCCTCTACTGATCCAGGCCGGCTTCGAGCCCATGATGATGGAAGACTTTGCCGATGCCGCCTACGATTTGCTGCGAGAGATCGCCAACGCCGCCGCCGAGGGTCTCGATGCTCTCAGTCTCCTCCTGGAGCGCTTCAACGATGAAATGTTGCAAGACTACATCATCACCTACTTGAGGGTTCGTTCACATGTCGTTTTTTGTCAACCAGTGCTGACATGTCACCACAGTCTCTCACCGCAGCCTGGATGAAGACCAGAGAGACTGAATGGGCGCCGTGGCTTTCGAACCAGTCTGTCGATGCCTACTGCCGCGACGAGATCATGCCAGTGGGCGCCGAAATGGACAACGTCGCGTTGCAGGCTCTGAAAGATGTCTTGCTGTCTCCAGCTGGAATTCGCTTGGAGGTTCTCTACCTCGATCGCAGTGAGGGGAGCGAGGTCACGATGCATCGATTTGATCCTGTCGCTGCCGGAGGTTTCACGCTCGGCAGCGTGCGTCTATTGTACAGACCGTAAGTGACGCGTATCATGCTCCGGTCAGGACTTGCTAACCCGCGCACAGTGGCCACTACGATATACTGTACAAGCAAGAAGATCTCCCGGCACCAACTCCTGCGCCCGCTGTCGTACCAACGTACTTGCAGTACAGCAGCCAGCCATTTTACGAGCCCGCATCGGATCTCAATTTCTCGGCTATGCCGGACTTTATGACACTGCTGCCAGGCATGTCGTACGCCAACCAAGCTCCCTTCTGTGGTGGCGTGCCATCGAGTTACGACTCGTACGAGTCTGCCTCGGAGTTTGGCTTCGACACCAACAGCAAAGCTCCGGTGCTCTCCTGTACGCCCACGCCATCTGCACCGGCTCCTCAGTCGCATGTACAATCGCAGCCAATGTGCGCATCTGCGAGCACTCCGGTCCAGATGGTAGCACCCCCATCCCAGCTGACACATGACATTGATGTACGAACCGTTCCTCAGCTCGGTCACGCAGAATTTGGTGCTGGGCCCTTCCGTCCATCCCGACATACGTTCGATTCGGCCTTCATGTCAGGATCGCAGCATTTCCAGACCTCAATCTTCAGAAAGTGAGCAGCTTGACCCTGATCTCTCCTGCACGTTGCTAACATGTGTGACAGCTCGCACTACAACAATGCTCACTTCAACAACCCACACTTCCAGCCTGAACAGTGGAATCCCGATTGCGAATATGCCACGGCCAGCAGCAGCAGCGGCGGCAAAAGTTCGCGACACAAGAACAGCGGATGACCACGTACAACATCCACCCACCATCCGAGTAACCTGTGCAGCTCCCCGAGTTGCCGTCCTTGCTCGTGGTCGTGCACCCTAGAATCTGGGTACGTCTAGGGTCCGTGTACGTACCAGGTGCCACGAATGTCACACGACTGTGACGGTAGTGTGCATTAGCTCTCATCTCTCCACCTCCCACCGAAACAACATCAACCAATCGACATATCGAACCGACCTGCGACGCTCCTTACCCCTAACGACCGGGTGACGACGACTTACGACCAAAGACTTATCACCTCAGGGTAACCTAGCTAGTAGGATTACACACTCAAGCATATTTATCTCTCCGTATCGGATACTCTTTGACCTAATACACTGCGTACAGTAGCAGCGAGGGAAACCGGGATCGGATGGAACGACTGGCGGTGTTACGGCAGTGGCTTGCTGTCGCCGCAGCGGCCTCCAAGGCACAGAAAGCCTAGGGCCGTGAGGGGTCACTGCTTGCGCCATGCGTTAGATGGCGCATAGTGAAAGGGGTCCCTTCGCTGGAGACTAGGAAAGGTATGGCTACTGGCATGAAAGGAGGGGTAGGCCCTTCGAGCTGGAGAGCGCGGAGATTTCTCGTTTTAATTGTCTTGTATTCGGTCCGGGCGTGACGACCAGAGATATGGAAGAATATTGGTAGATGGCAGGAATAACCATAGACACACTCATTTCGATGACTCGCATGCTGATGCGCCCAATGTCGCTATCTTTTTCATCTGTCTACGCTTCCAAGAGTGTGTGAATTATGCAGGACTTAATCATGTAGGCTGCTACCTGTCTCAATCTCCGCTGTTGCTACTTCTCAGCACGTGAGTAACAGTAATGTAGGTACATGTACATAGGTGCCTTAGGAGGTAGTACCTGGCTTACCTACCTGGAGGTAACGTCCTGTAGCAGATTCTACTCGACGTTCGCGAATGCCAATTTCAGGCATCAGGCATCAACGCCAAGCCCAAATTCAGCACTAGCTTTCATTCTCAAATTCGTTCCACCACCGCTGCCTCGTCAACCTCCATCGCACCGCACGACATTAGTCCATCGCGAACAGACAATTCACCACACGGACGCATCATACCGATCCTACAGACGATAAATCCGGCCACAACACCGCAAATATGGTAGGTTGAGCACCTTTGGAGGATCAGGTGGCGAGCACCCCCGAGTTGGAGGCACACGACAGCAGAAGTGGACTGCGCAGGGCGGCAAAAGAGGACAGAATGCACGATAATGCGCTCAATGCGCGCGAGAGGACAACGAGCAAAGTATCGGGGCTGACATGGACTTGCACAGGTTCTCGCAGTCGATCTTTTGAACCCAACCCCTCAGGCTGAGGCCCGCAAGCACAAGCTGAAGGTATAATACAACCACCACCACCCAACGCTCTGACCGTTGAGCCCTTCAGACAGTATACTGACTAGGCCGCCAGACTCTTGTCCCAGGCCCACGCTCGTTCTTCATGGACGTCAAGTGCCCTGGCTGCTTCACCATCACCACCGTCTTCTCGCACGCACAAACCGTCGTCGTCTGCGCCGGCTGCTCCCAGGTTCTGTGCCAGCCCACCGGTGGCAAGGCCCGTCTTACCGAGGGCTGCTCTTTCCGGAGAAAGTAGAGGACTCGACTGTACATCATGACGACCGCGATGGATTGAGAAGAACGCGGGTGGGAAGAAGACTTGTGAAGGAGAGAAGTGTCCAAACGGTACATCGAGGACGCCTGATGTTATCAGCTGAGTGTAGTTGTAGCTACACTTAGCAAGTAACACTACACAAAGACACCCGCCCAAAATTCTACCTCGACATTGCGAAAACAAGCACCACAGATCTGGGACAACACCTTCTCTATGCGCACGATTATCTATGGCTGTTGCCGTTTCTGTTGGGGTGGATATGGCGTTTCTCGGCGTACGAAAACGAAAGCATCGGAGACGAGGCGCATGTTTCCCAAGCGAGTCTCTTGTTCTTTATTGATATGAGGCGAGGACCTAGAGGCGTGCATCGAGGAGTCCTACCTTTGCAGCGGTTCTGCAAACAGTGAAAAGGGACAATGCAAAAAAACCAAACATTTTTTTAAAACCTCGCTCACCTTTGCCACACTCCAGTCCTCACCCTCGGTAACGTGTCCATGACGCCTCGCATCGTGCGTCACGTGATGTTTGGCCCTGACCAATCCTTATACTATTCCTGTGTCATCTATGTAACGGATAACCATTGCTCACACGCAGCATATGTAGGAGAGAACAAACCAGTTACAGACGACCAACCTACAAGACTACCAATAGAGCAAGCATTTAGGAACCTGTCTCGACGACGACTTCATATAGGTGAGTAAGTTAAAAAAAGAGTATAACTATTCCCATCAGCAATCCCCATCAGGGATTAGCTCTGCAACGGATAATCTCCCTCTATCATCTCTCTCGTCCTCCTCGCCCTCCTCATCCTCATCCTCACCCAGAAGCTACCTCTTTTTTTCCAAAAATCTTCTAGCCCTTCTAATTCATCAAGAACCCACCCATGTGTGCTCGGGTTGTACTGACCGCGAAAGTGGCATCTGTTCGGCGCGATGATGAGGTATCCTTCTCCCGATATCATCAATCAAGAACACACCCATGTGTGTTGGGATTGTACTGGCCGCGGAAATGGCATATCTTCTGCGCGATGATGAGGTATCCTTCTCCCGATATCATCAATCAAGAACCCACCCATGTGTGTTGGGATTGTACTGGCCGCGAAAGTGGCATATCTTCTGCGCGATGATGAGGGTGTTCTCGGCAATAGGCAGGTAGTCCAACAACCACGGGGAGCATCGTCAAAACTTACCGCCAGCGATTCTTGAAGGCGCTGTGAGGGGCTCTGCACGGGATGACGACCCAACGAGCGCAACTGCTCGGAGAGCAACATGCCTTGGTAGTCCTGTGTTGAGCGCGGCGCGAGAGTCGGTGGACCCACGGTGGTCCCGGAACGGCGACACGCCACCTCGATGGCGTAAATTTCCCTATTGAGGGTGCGTGCCATCAGGTAGAGGCGCACCGCCTGACGGCAGTACTCGTCGTCACCCTCCGCCAGGGCGCGCGCGGCCTCGGCGGAATTCGTTGGGTGGTCGGCCGTGAGCTCCCTCCACATTTCGTCACACGCGTCCTTTTGACGCTGGACCGCTATCACTTTGTTTGAAAGACGGGGCACGGTCTGTACGCGAGTTCTGTTTTTTTTTTCAGCAGCACAGGCTTGAGGGGGACGCCGCCGTTTATCTCTAAGAACGATTCTGGACTGCTTTTCTCGGAAGCAGGACTGTCATGAGACTGTTTCGAGGGCGGAACGGATTTCTGATCGTCGAAGTCTGCTTGTTCGTCCAGTATGGTCATCACCAGTCTACCCAGCGAAGAAAAAGGATGAAAATCTTTTCTCATACGTCCTCGGATCATCCTGTCTCTCCTTTTCCAGACCGAGAGACATCCTTCCTTAGGAAGAAGTGATCAATGGCCTTGAAAAATGCTCGAAAGTTATATATCTTTCGCTCGCGAGCTCGAAAACAACAGTCTCTGTATATTGCGGATGTACGGTAGAGTATTGAGTTGTGTTGAAGGATGATCTGAACGGGTTCTGACGGGGGAGGATAAAAACAGTATAGATTTTGAAGGTTGAGGGATATATGAGGTATGGATATATGTAAGTGAAGGAAGATATTGGAGTTGGTTTCTGAGAGAATGAGGGAGGGGAAGAGGGTGAGGTTAGTTTGGGTTATATAGGTAGGCACCTTGTTGTTGTTGTTGGGGGATGTTTGCTGCTGCTGCTTGTTGCTTGTTGCCGGTCTGGAAGAAACGACTACGAAATATTCTTTTTTCTTTTTCAGGAGAAGAATTTACATGATTAGCTACCAGATACTACCTCATTGCGTCAAATCTGCAATAAGGTAAAACAATTGCTCGACAAAAAAGGAAAGTCGTTTGATTCATCAAGTCTAGACTATATATACGTATATCAAAATATTATGCGAAAATGCCAGTATCCACAACCCCAATTTTTTCTTTTCACCAATTTTCTTCTCTCAATCAAGAAACGCCCACATGCACAACAAACAGTCTCACCATCTATCCATCCTCCATCCTATTCCAAATCTCCACCCTCCTCACCTCATCCCCATCCCCTCTCAGAACCCCTTTCTTCTTCCTCTCCACACTTAGTTCACACACTGCGTAGTCCCATCCTCCTTCGTCTCACACTGCGGCCCAGCCCCATAAACATTAACATCTCCCAGGGGAGTGGCAACCTTGCCCTGGGCGCCCAAATAACCAAAATCCGACGGCTGCACGGGCTTAACATACTGGCTCCAGCCGCCATTCGGGTTATAGTTGCTGGGGTTATAGTTGCTGGGGTAATAGAACAAGCACCAGTATGGCTGATTCGTGGGCGTATAACACGTGGACCAAGTCGGAACCGCAAATGGGTAATCATACTCATCGGGACAGAATCCGAAACCGTCACCATAAACTTGGCAGCACCAAGGGTCGAATTGGGCGTTTCCGGATGCGGCGGATTGGAAATCGATAATGGCGCGGTGTTGGTCGACTTGAGAGGGGATGTTGTAGCCGCGTTGGAAATCTTGGAGGCGAGAGGCGGCAGCGGCTTGGATGCCGGCTTTTAAGGTGCCCTTTTGGAGTTGGAGGGGTGTGTCGGTTTTGGTGTAGCCTTGTGGTGCACCTGGTGGGGGAACACTTCCTCCGGCGATGGGGGATGGGACAGCTGAGACACCATTGCTGAAGACGGCTGCCAGGGCGGCGGCGAAGATTGTGGTCTTCATTTTTGTTTTTGTTGGATGGGGTGAAGGATGAAGGGATGTGATTTGCTTGGAGAATGGGGTTTTGATGGGGTTTGAGTTGATGTTACTGATAGTGGTGGACTGAAGAGAGCTGTTTGATGTGGTGCTGAGAGAGAAATGCAAGAGAACTAGAGGATAGTAATCTTATATGATCAAGTTCTTCGAGTGAAGTCCCGTCTCGAACTCCTGCATAATGTTCCGCATTTACCACAGAGCCGCATAGAATACGAGATGTCGTAAAGTCTCTTCTCCAGTTCTCGTTCGTCTTCTCTTGGAGGCTATGCAGACATGTTATTTTTGGTTCGCAGGGCTAGAGAGCCGCGTGCCAAGGCCAAGTATTGTCTTGTAGGTGGCTGTGAGAGCCCATCGACCGCTCTCGAGCGTTCTCTCTTATTTCTGGGACGAGGGCATTATGACTTGATGCTTGAACGATAGACGAGAGAACTCCTTGTTGTCGTTCCTGAGCAGAGAACGACTCGGATGCCGCCAATGATGGATCACCCGGCACGTGGCTGCGGTACGATGTTCCGCTGTCTACATGAAGGGGGTTCGTCTTATCTGTACCTATCATTGGGTCAAAATCCAGGCCTGAGGTGACTTGCTGGTCAGCTCAGGAATACGCTGTATCCTGTATGCCATGAACGGAGAGTGCCAAGCCATTCGTTGCTGACCATTTGTCGAAGGTTCTGGACCTATACTTTCCAACTGTGACCTGCCACGACCTCTTCGTCATTCCAGATATGTGGACGGCATACCTATCTAGGCGATGAGGCAGCGGACAGGTATCATGTTGAACGCAAACCCATAGCCAAAGGCCAGGAGACCGGACACAATAGACGCTCGACTCGGCCGCTCGGCTAGAGCACTCCAGAGATTTGACGCCAGCGCTCTCATGCACAGCGTCGTTCGTAAGTCGTACACTCCAGGTCTGCTTGACATTGTCAACAGTAGAACCCAGCCTATGCCCTATCCATAGTCTCTGAACACACGAGCCTACTTCCCCGAGTGGAGGCCAGCGCAGCGGAGACGGAAAGCCCGTAATGGCTGACGTTCCTCGGTATTGTACCTACATGCCATACTCGGCAGGCGTTGTAGCATTACCCGAACAAGGTATATATGGTATGCTGATATGAGTTTTATTGTCTTGGTCAGAATCGTATCGTATCGGGAGGTGTCGTGTCATATGAGCTAGGGTTGTGCTGTGCTGTCAGTTTCTTGGGTGACTCTAAGTTTGACGAATGACATACACATGAATCGATGAAGTAGGGCTCTCGCGCGACTTCTTGTCTGTGCTGTGATTATACTGTATGTCCCTAGATGATCGAGATTGTGGTATGTTCAATCTCGAGAATGACGAACGAAGAATCCCTCGCGGTGAACCGCTCATAATGCATCCTGCCAATAGCAGTCAGCCAATTGGTCAGCCAGTTGGTCAGTCGTTTGGTCAATCAATCGGCCTCTCTGGCTAGTATCAAACCGCCGAAGAGGGCTACCGTGCAATGTACACGTCGAACGACCAGGTTATTGCTTCGGTCCCGAGTGAGTGCCGGGGCGCTGTCTACTGAAGTTCTATACCCCGCGGAAAGACTGCTCCAAGTGCGACGGCATGTTGCCGACGGCTCCGAAAGCATATAATTACCCTTGTCACATTCACTGTAGAGCAGAAAGTTCGTCCCTAGGGTAAGCTGCACGCGTGATCCGATGATAATAAGTTTAGATCTTCCGAGATGGGTGAGTTCTCTCTTGATTCTCGTTATAGCTGGCTACGTCGACATTTCGGTTGTAGGAGTCGTCCTGTTGGTCGATTTAGCTGTAGAGCTATTGAATAGTACAGTATTCTTGTGTTGCTGCTGTCCACTATAGTTCGGCTTCATGTCAGCCAAGAATTTGAGACATTGGTCAGGGATGCCGACGGACGACAACGATAGCCTGACCAAAGTGACGTTTAATTAGAGTTCCGCATCGGAGATTTTGGGAAGGACTTGTAGGGATCGGTATAAATATGGTTTTCTTGACAGGTTGCGGAGGAGATTGTGAGATTGTGACCTAAAAAAGGGACGTCCAGGAAGTTCAGGTCATTGTGATAGGAGGTTGATTAGTGGTTGATCATCGGCTTCTTGGGGCTCAGGGCGTCAGTGAAGATCAATTTGATGGCCTTGTGACCTCTTGCGACTACCAGACTCGCTGTACAGCCTACACGGGCGTGAAGTTGAGCAGCGCCGTGGACGTCCAAGTGATGACTCCACCGCTCGCTATGGTAATGAAGTCTGTGCATGCTAAACTTTTGTCCAGCTAGGACCGGTCAGATAGGTCAGGTAGGTCAGGTATTGATTCCGACCATATCCGGGTTCTCCGCCAACAGCGCTCTTTATATGGATGGGTGACACGAAGAACAGCTCGTATCACACTTGTCCAAGCAGCCACACTACACTGTCTACACACCACGGGGTAAACACTGCATGAGTCAGTCGTTCTTGGGTCCAACAGATACAATACCCCACCAAATATCGAACCATGTCGCCAAGGAAGTTCTTCAGCAACGGTGGAAGAGGGAACGACTCAGGAATTCGTAAGGTGGCAGCAACAGCGGTAGAAGAAGTGGAAGAGCAGAGAAAGGAGTGGTATGACTCCGCATCCACCACAGAATATGTCGCCGTTGCATCCAAAGGAAGCACGACAAAAGTGCAAACAACGCGAGCTGGAAGTATGAGGTCTTCGTCCCCTTCGCGAGAACACTCTCTATCTTGGGTGACGCTGCCATTCAGCTGGGCCCGACCGAAGGCTAGCGTGCGAGACAGAGATATCCTGGACAAGTCTCAAAAAGCGGCTGTGGCGAGAACGAAGCGAGGCTCAGACAAGGAGAAGAGGAGGAGTGAGAAGGAGGCAGCGAGGGAGGCCGAGGGGGGGAAAAAGGAGTGGCCGGAGCATTTGAAGTGGTATTACGGAGCGAATATCCCGGGATATTGGGTGGTATAGGACCGAGGTGAGGGGGAAAACGAAGTGAAGACGAAGTGAAGACAAAGTGAGGACAAATAGTGAAAAGACATGTTGTAGGAATAAGCATACGACGGGAGGGAGAATGCAGGTGGCAGTGGTGTGGTGGTGGTGGTGATCTGTCTCCCGTCCGCTAGAGCATGCCGTCTAGCGTGTCGGCACTAGGAGGTAGCATAAAGGCATAAAGGCATAATGGCATTGCAGGTGCTGGTGCTGGTGGAATAATGGACATGATAATCCTTTGTAATGCGCACTAACCTAACTCAGGTATTAGAGGTTGGCGACCATGTCATGACGCATGTGATGTGAAGCTGCATGAACTTTTGTTTCTCCCCTCCCTCCCCGTCCCTCTCCCTTGTTCCGCCATCCCGCCCCTGTGTGAGCGCCAGTGAGGTGACCGCCAGTGAGGTTACCGCCCGTGCACCAGTCGAGTCGAGGTATGCTTCGCACCCTCTCGCCACTATGTCGGCGATGCGCAAGCAAGACCCGACCGTTTCTGTCCAATATCGTGACAGATCATGAGATTAGAACCACCACCACCACCACATCAAAATTGACGTCGACAGCAACATCCACAGTCACACCCCTCACGCGACCTCATTCCCTCATCCACCGCCGCTTCCAGAGCCGCTTCACCCACGCCGCACCGCCGTCCCCCGCAGATCTCGGTGTGCCCAAGGCCGCCTCCCACTACCGCAAATCTCGCAAATGGCTTCGTCGCCTCATCCGCACCTCTCTCGCCGCCGCCCTCATTCTCGGCATCGACTCTCAATTCTACGACGCCTGCCTGACGCGTAGTGTCCGCACCTTCTACACCGGCCTCCTGATCGCCCTCGACTACAAACTGAATTTCCGCGCCGACCCATGGATTGGCGACAGCGTGGAAGATCTACACCACCGCAGCGCAGTGCGAGTCTACAATCTCCTCCGCGAGAATGGGGGATTGTACTTGAAGATTGGCCAGGCCATCGCGATGCAGAGTGCCGTCCTACCACCGGAATTCCAAAAAATGTTTGCGCGCATGTTCGATGATGCGCCACAGAACGACTGGAAAGAGGTGGAAAAGGTCATTCGAGAAGACTTTGGGGGAAAGAGCGTGGAAGAGGTGTTCGGTGTGAGTTTCCGGGGCGAGGAAGGGAAGGGCATCATGGAGAGGACGGCGAGGGCGAGTGCGAGTGTGGCTCAAGTTCATTGGGCACGACTGGCGGATGGAAGAGAGGTCGCGATCAAAGTGCAGAAGAAGGAGATTGCAAGACAGGTCGGATGGGATCTGTGGGCTTTCCGGGTCGTGAGCAGGATCTACTCGTACTCTTTCGATCTGCCTCTGTACCATCTGGTGCCATATGTCTGCGATCGCCTGCGCGCAGAATGCAACTTTGAATTCGAGGCCGACAATTCGAGGAAAATGCGGAGACTCATCCAAGGCGAACCACGATTGCGGGATCGCGTATACATCCCAGATGTCTACTCCGACCTCACCTCCCGTCGAGTCATGACCGCCGAATGGATCGAGGGCATCCGTCTGTGGGACAAGGATGGCATCACCGGTTCATGGCAAGGCGGCTGGCGACAAGGCTCTCCAGGAGCCGGTGGCAGCCAACTCCCTCCCGTCCCTCAGGACCTCTACAGATCCATTCCCACTAACGATCCCCATGCCGAGAAACTAAAACCGTCTCGTGATGCCTGGCGAGGGAAAGATGGAAAAGGCGGTCTCGGCCTGTACCTCAAACCCGTCATGCAAACCATGGTTGACCTCTTCTCCGCACAAATGTTCCTCTGGGGTCTCGTGCATTGCGATCCCCATCCTGGAAACATCTTCATCCGCCGAAAGCCCAACGGCAAGCCGGAACTCGTCCTCATCGATCACGGACTATACATTAAAATGGACCCTGCTTTCCGGAAGCAATACGCCCTGTTCTGGCGATCTCTCATGACCTTTGACGACGCCACCATCAAGCGCATCACAAGCGAAGAATGGGGCATCAACGCTCCTGACATTTTTGCCTCTGCCACGTTGATGCGACCCTATGAGGGCGGCGGAGGGAAAGTGATGAAGGAGCTGAATAGCATATCGAAGAAGGAACAAAAAGAAAGACGATTCGAAGTGCAACAGAAGATGCGTCAAGGCATCCGAGACATTCTCGCCAATCAGGACAAGTTCCCGCAAGAACTCATTTTCATTGGAAGAAACCTCCGCATCGTGCAAGGAAACAACCAATTCTTGGGCTCGCCCGTCAACCGGGTCAAAATCACGGGATATTGGGCCAGTCGTGCTCTGACCGAGGATCCGGATGCGACGACTCGTCAGCGATGGGCCGAGTACGGCAGACATGTGCTCTTCAATTTTGTCCTGTGGGGTACCGATTTGTGGTTTTATTACGCGAAATTCCGCCAGTTGTTGGGCGTAGGCAAAGGCATGGATGATGATATCGAACAGAGCATGAAGAAGATGGCTGAAGGGTGAGTTTTGAGATTTCCCAATTTTGTGATGCAGCAATGATTTTTTTTTGTTCTCCCCTCCCCACAAAGAAAGAGAGAAGAGACAAGAGAGAGAGAGAATTTCTGCTAACGATTTTCTTTCTTTTTGTTGATGATGAATTCTAGAATGGGTGTGGAACTTCAACATGGCGTCTTTGATGGATAGGGTAGGAGGGTGAGAGACCAGACGAGACCAGACGAGACCAGACTTGCTTACATTGGGAAGCGGGAATGATGTAGGATCTTCACAAGTACAATGTTACATAGGGGGTACCTTACCTACAAGTTAGGTAGATTTCTCACTCACAAATGTGACCAAGACCAATAAAGGGTTACAAACCTGTCAAATGATTTCTTCTTCTAATGGGGCTTGTGTCAAGAGAAGGCGGGCTCGACATGAGAGACATTCTTCTACTTTTTCCTTTTCTTCTTCTTCCTTTCTCTCTTGCTGCTGCTGCCGCCCTCTCGGGAACTGGAATGAAAGAAAGGAAATAAAAAAAAAGACATTGATATTTTTTTTTAAAAAAAAAAGAAATAGGAAACTCAGGTATGTACATACTCATATGTCTCTCTGCTCTATTCCCTCTCTTCACTCTCTTCACACTCGTGAACTTGATCATCATCATCATCATCGTCATCGTCATCGTCATCATACCCACCCCCCTACACGTATTCTCCCAACTAAAACCCCAACCCCACCCCCATGCCCGTCAACCCGGTAACCCCACTCCTCGCAACCTCATCCCACATGACCGTCGTAACATTTGCCGGAATAGCAATTCTCGCCACGGGTTCCAACATCATCAACCCCGTCGCAGTATCACGTTCCAAAATCACGACAGAACCACTCAGTTGTAAAGCCGCGGCGACCAAATTCCCCGCAGAATTTGTAGCAAAATGTCGAGGATAGAGACCGCCCGAGGGAGAGAGTTGATGATGACGCGCGGACAAACTACCAGTGTTGGGGCAGAGTTGAAACGTGCTGATGGAGTCCGAGGGGCCGATTTCGGGGTCGGGAAGGGTAAAAGCTGTGGAGTTGCGGTTGGAGACGAGGAGGAATTTGTTATCGGGTGAGATTTGGATTTCGGCCGGGGCGTTGCGGCGGACGAGGTTGTGGTAGCCTAGAGTGCTTTGGGAGCCGATGGGGTTGAAGGATAGACCGGAGTAGTCGGTGGAGTATTGCACGGCGTAGCCGGCCACGCGAGAGGAAAGTTCTTCGACGAGGTACATGTATGTTGTTCCACCGGGGATGTTTTGGGGGGTCCAGAAGGCAATGTGGCGTGGACCGGAGCCTAGCGAGGAGATGATGCAAAGGTTAGCAAAAGAATCGTCGAATTTGGAGCGAGCTCGAGCATATGAGTGAGAGACATCAAAAGAGATACTGACCAGGGTCTGCCACCAGAGGCTCCAATTCCTTCAACTTCAAATCCGCCACATCCCAACCAAAAATACGAACCAAATCCGCGCCCAAATCCGGAACAAGAATATACTGCCCCGTCGGATCCAACAATGCCTGATGCGGATGAGGTTTATCCTGGCGCTCCGGATCCGGTCCAGGACTCGGCATATCCTCAAACACAAACTCCTCATTCAATGTCAAATTCCCGCCGGCAGAAACCGTAAAGGTGGAAACGGCCGAACCCCCATAATGCGCCAAGACAATGCCATGTTCGGCGGCAGCAGGATTCCCATACAAAGCCGAACTCACGGGTCCTCCGAGGGTGGTGAGATTGGAAATCAAATGTAAACTGCCATTGGCGTTGATGGTGAAGGAGGAGAGGGAGCCGTTGGGGGTGGTGATGCCTTCGTTGACGCAGAAGAGGAGACCGCGGTTGACGTCGAGGGTGAGCCAGGCGGGACTGGGTCCACAGGCGGTGGTTTCAAAGGTTTTGTCGAGGGTGTAGGAGCTGTTGGATTCGCTGAGGGATAGGGTGGTGATGGAGCCGCTGTAGTCGGCTACGAAGAGGTTCAAGGCCGAAGCTGCTGTTGCGGCTAGGGCGAGGAGAGTTGGAGAGGTGGGAGAGGAGAGGCGCATGATGGGTGGTCTGGAGATGTGATTTGCCGTATGTACTTTTGTTTTTCTCTCTCTCCCTCTCTCTCTTGGGGGGATTTCGTCAAGAGGTGGTTGGTTGGTTGAGTTGAGATGAGATGAGATATGTTACGGCCACTGTCCACGCGATCTTATTACTTCCTTCCAAGCAACGCTGGGCGTAGGTCACTGGCGATGTTCTTCAATAATGCTTGATTTTTAATACGTTTTTTGGTTTCGCCTCGCCAAGTCGGACCGTTTTGGTTTTCTCTTTTTGGCGAAGTTCGTCGTCGTCTTATACCCGAGTACCTGAGTTTAGTGAACGTTCACAAGGCGGGTAGGTACCTCTCACTTTATGCAGGAACAACGGGCCGGGACAGGATTGCTGTATTATTAAGGTAGGTACAGTAGAACTAAAAGGGGACGGCGGTGTGGTAGATTGGGTAAGTTGGACCGAATGGAAAACGGAAACCAGACAGGAGCGAACCGATGGATTGCGGCGTGATGAATCAGCCGGGGTCGTGTAAGTGAGTGTGACTGAAGGAGGGGGAATTCGCTATAAGGTCAATCACATTCATAGCCTATACCTCCTAGCCTATAGCCTATTGTAGCCATAGTAACACTACCTAGCCCTCGCTTTCCCCCCCGCAGGAGGATGAAGCGCTCCTCTTTTCCAGGATCATGCTACTACCCTATTGCTACCGTTCCTTGTGTGCCTATGAATTTCTGCTTCTGCTTCCTTCGGACATTTCTCCAGCGAACCGATTCCTCTCTCTCTCCACACACACTCTCTCTGTGCCACTCCATCTATCCGAGGTGCTTCCATTTCCATTCTCAGCGAAGAATTCAGATCCGCGCCGTGCCGTGCCACCGCCGTGCTACCGCCGACCGAAGAATATGTACTATAGCTTAGATTTATAAGGTAAATTTTATCCAAGTCCGTCCGGGGAATAATTAGGCATCATTTATCAAAATGCACCGTCTTCCCTAGCCTGGAGGAGGTAGAAACATGTCCCAGTCTTGGCAACACGTCACTAGCTTGACGAAACTGTCTCACTTCTGACTTCCGGGCTCTGTTCTCCTAACCCTGCCCCTGGAGGCTCACGTGCGAGATTGTTGTCCAGTGTGCACTGCGTCTGCGACGTCGGAGTGCCAAGGCCTATCAGAGGAGTGAATCCACCAGATTGGTACTTTTGTAGAAGTAGAGGAAGTGTATACTCGTATATCCATAGCGAGGTAGTATTGTTGATCAACTAGGACCTGTAACTTCATCTCCACATGTTTCAATTTGCCACGCGAGAACCATTCAAGTATCATGCCATGTTGGTCGTCGTTTACAAAGGGGTCGTGTACCTGTTGCACACTCCTCCTCGGCATACACGTCTAGTCATCATCATTACCGATGTATACGCTGTCATTGGCCCTCTACACGACACTCTTGTCAACCGTCGCGCTTGCAAACCAACAGGTCTTGCGACGCAGCAATGGAGACGCAGACGCATCGTCACGTGACACCAGAAGTGCGTCGAGGGACAGCCTCTGGCCCCGCGGGATGCATCTTGCAGTCGACTACTATCCCTCACAATGGCCCGAGTGGATGTGGGAACCCGATGTGGCCCGGATGCGAGACAGCGGCTTCTCCTTTGTGCGCGTGAACGAGTTTGACTGGTCTGTACTGGAACCGAGGGAGGGCGAGTACAATTTTACTGTGCTTGATAGAACCTTGGACTTGTTCGCCAAGTATGGCTTGAAAGCCATTGTGGGAACGCCAACTGCTGCTCCCCCGAATTGGCTGTCGGAGAAATACGACATCAGCTTTGTTGATCGTACCAATACCACTTTGCTGTTTGGCTCCCGCAGGTGAGTTTGAGCAGTTTGTAGACTCATTCTTATCCTTCCTCCCACTCGTCCCTAGGTACGAGGGCAAAGGCACACCTACCAATGATAGTCTCCTACATGCTTACTGTCCATCTTCTCCTGTCATAGACATTACAGCTTCTCTTCCTTCGACTATCGGGAACAAAGCCAAAAGATCACGCGCAAACTCGCCCAACGTTATGGCAACCATTCCAGCGTGGTCGGCTGGCAACTGGATAACGAGTTTGGCTGCCATGATACTGTACGTAGCTACGACCACAATGCCAAGAAGCGCTTTCGATCCTGGTTGCAACACAAGTACGGCACAATTGAGAACATGAACGAACGTCAAGGCCGTGTGTTCTGGTCATCTCAGTACGCTTCCTTCGACACCGTCGAGCCTCCATTCCTCGAAATCTACACCAATAACCAAGCCCACACGCTCGATTGGTACACGTTTTCCTCCGATATGGTCATTGACTTTGCCAAAGAACAAGTCGAAATTCTGAGAATGTATGCACCCACGCATGCCATTACCACCAATTTCATGGTCTTCTTCACCGACTTTGACCACCACAAATTCAACCGCGAAGTGCGAATGGATCTCGCCACTTTTGACGAATATCCTCTTGCAGGAACGACTGCAATCCCCCTTTCCGACCAAGAAATGCAAGACTACATGCGAACAGGTGTGCCAGATCTCCAAGCCTTGCAACATGCACTCTATCGCGGCATTTCCGGCGAAGCCTTTGGCACCAACCACGGTCCATTCGGCGTCATGGAAATGCAACCGGGAGTATTAAACTGGAACCCCTACCGCGTCTCTCCCCTCGAAGGCATGGTCCGTCTCTGGACACACGAAACGTTTGCCGCTTCGGGCGACATGGTTGGATATTTCCGTTGGAGACAAGTCCCCTACGCACAAGAACAAACTCTCTCTGGATTATTCCTCTCTGACAATTCCGAAGATCAAGGATACATTGAATCGCAGACTTTTGCCCACAACGATCTTCCCAAACTCCGCAGTAGTTTACAATCCACGACGACAACAACCACACGGCAAGCCGACGTCGCTCTCATCTTCGATTACACCGCCCACTGGATCTGGAACATTGAACCTTATAGCGGTTCCTGGTCCGTCAAAGAAGCTTCCTACACCAATCCCACTCTCACCTACACCACACTCGTCCACACCTTCTACTCCTCTCTCCGCCGCCTCGGTCTCTCCATCGACATCATTTCCCCCGAACAAGACGTGTCGGGATACAAAATTCTCGTCATACCCAGTCTTCCCATCATTCCCGAATCTCTCTCGAATGCACTTGCCAAGTTATCCTCTTCTTCTTCTTCTTCTTCTTCTGATGATGAATCTCCGCCTCCGACTGTGATTTTAGGCCCTCATACGGGTAGTCGTACAGCTGATTTTGCCTATGTGCCTGGATTGGGAATTGATAAGTTAGAGAGTTTTTTACCCGGGTTGCGCGTTACGAGGATTGAAACTCCACCTCCTCCGACGACGGCGGCGATGGGCAAGGGAGCGGGAAGTTCGGTGCGATTTAAAAATGTGGAATATGCTATTGGAGGATGGGAAGAGTGGATTGTTTGTGATGATGACAGCAGCAGCAGCAGCGATGGTGATGATAATGATGCTGTAATCATCACAGTAGAATCTACCTCTCGCCATCGTCTTCGAAAAGACAAATCTGCTGCTGCTATTGCTGCTGCTTGTTCTTTTCCTTTTCCTTCTCCAAAATCCACCACCACCACCACCACAAACAGAATCCATTACATATCCTTCAACCCCCCCCTAGATTTTCTCATCGAGTACATACGAGATCTTCTTCCCCCTTCATCACCCTCAACATCCCCAAATAGCGATGATATCAATCAAGGAAGAAAAAATCTCGATCTCGGCCCTGCGATTCGAATCCTTCGTCGAGAAAATTTACTCTGGATGATGAATTATGGGTGGGAAGAAAAAGAAATAGTTGTGGTGGGATTAGATGAGGGAGAGGAGGAGATGTTGGAGGGGATGTTGAGGGGGTTGTTAGATGAGGGGGAGGAGATTGGGGAGATGATTATTGGTGGTGATAGTGAAAACGGTGGGAAGGGGAATGGGACGATTACGATCCCCGCGGCGGGAGTTTTGGTGTGGAAGATTGTTTAGTTAGGTAGGGAGGTAGGTACAGAGGGAAGGAGTAAATTGAAGAAATACCTTATATCTGTTTTCTCTTTCTTCGATTAATTTATACATCTCCCCCCCCCTTTCCCTCCCTCCCCCTCCCCCCTCCATCCACACCTCACCACTCCAACCCCTTCCCTCCCCCACCCCCAGCAACCTCCCCCTCCAAAACCTCCAAAACCCTCCCGACGCCCCTCCTCGCCCCCCTCAATCGTGTCTCAGCCTTAACCCTCGAATAAAACACCTCACAATCCCGACTTTCGCAAAAAATCTCCTCGTCAAACGCCAATCCTGCACAACTTCGACAAACGTCATACAGGGAAGAAACTTGAAATTCTGCAGATTGGAATTTGCGTCGAAGGTGTAAGAGGGTGGATGTGGGATGGGAGTAGCGACATGTAGGGCAGAGAGGTAAAGAGATTGGTTGGGGAGCAGAAGAAGAAGAAGAAGCGGATTTGGGTGGTGCTGCTGTGGAAAGTTTGGTGTGGCAGACGAGACAGGAGGAAGTGGCCATGTAGCTTTCCATAGTTTTGCGAGAAATTTTTGCGTTTCCTCTGGTGAAAGCAGGAGGATTGTTATGATGATGGTCTTGTTGATGGGTGACGCTACTCAATTGTCGGATTCGTTGGACTTTGGGTAGTTCATCCCACCAACTTCTCACATTTGCGCCCACAAGATTGAAGATTCTCTCTAGTGGCGGAATGAGATTCTTGTTGATGTAGTATTCTGCGTCCAGCTCCGCATTCTCATCGCGAATGAGTTGTTCCGGTTCCACGCAACGTTCCCAGAGTCTTGCGCCGGGAGCACCTGCGACGACGACATAAGGGATACGTTCGCCATATTGAGGTTCTTGTCGAGGGTCTTTGAGCATGCGGCGGGTGGCAATAAGAGCACCAGGCGGTGGCGGACCTCTATCTGCGTATGTGCCCAGTTTGACTTCTTTGGCGAAACAGAAATCTTGGACGGAGAATCGACCGGTGAGGATCTTGGTGCATTGGCTTTGGAAGTAGGCTTTGACCTGACTGAGATCAGAAGTCCGGAAAAGGAGTTTGAGCGCCTTTTCTTCAATCTTCTGCTCTGCTGGTGTGCCATCACGTCGCACCGTCTCGATGCCTTTGGCGTCAAAGTCGGGCTCCTTTTGCGAGGGACTTTCGTACTTGAAGCCGACGTAGCGCTTTTTCGCGAGCAAAACACAAGGATGGTAGACCTTTTCGAACTTGAGCTTGATAGGTCGAGGGTTCGTATCGGTGACTGCTTTGGCGATTTCGTCGCCGATACGGAACGCATCGTCTTTCGTTCGACCTTTGAGATAGACAAAGAGCGAGTCTGTGTCTCCATATACCACCTCCGCGCCCCAGCGCTCTACAGAGTGTATCAGTGCAATGGCTTTTTCGAGTGTTTCGCGGCCAGTTTGGACGATACTGTCTGCGATCTCGGAACAAGGCATGCGACCGGAGTAGCTCGCGGAGGTGTAGCCATACGTGACATTGGCGATCAATTTGAGAGCGAGTTGTCTATTGTTCAGGAGCTGCTGTAGAGTCTTGTCATCTCGATCGACTTTCATGCCACTCTTGACCATGACTCTGGTCTCTAAAATCTCTCCCAACATCTTCGCAAGGAGCGACTTGCGCAATTCTGGCTTCACATACATCATGCCGTTCGGTGCGACATTCAGCTTGTCTTTGGTGAGTTCGAGGAGTCCAGGATGGCGCTTGAAATCTGCGAAACCCATCTTGTTCGTGCCGCGCCACTTTGTGACCCGGCCCAGGCATGTCGAGTAGCAGTAGTTGTAGGCGATCATGACACTCGGGTAAAGGCTTTGGAAATCCAGCACGAGAAGAGGACTGCTGTAAAATGCGGATTGTGGCTCCATGACCAGCGGCAGACACTCCAATGCATTCTGACTTCCGACCTGCTTTCTGCTGGGAGAGACAAGAACGAACGATTCTGGCTTCGCAATACGGAACATGAGTGATTCGACCTTGAACTGTGATCCACGACTAAAGACCGAGAAGAAGTCCACGCCCAGTAATCGCGCTTGTTCAGACGTGCGAGGAATCAGCTCATTCGCATCCAGAATCTCCAGATCCAGTTTGGTACGCGTGACAAGGTAGTCGAGGACTTTGGCCAAGTCTCGCGGCCTGTCGCTTTTGTACCAGCGAGTGAGTGTTGCATATGTATAGTGAGGAATCCGCCTATGCAGGAGATGGAAGACGACATTTTCCATGGTGTACTGCAGCAGATTGAGCTCGGACCGCATCGCGCGCCAGATATTGATGGTATGCCTGCCAGTGATGCTCACGGTGGAGGTATGCGTGAAGCCCCATCGGTCAGCGTCTCTGCCAAAGCGTCCTTTGGAGTGCGACTTCATTCTCGAAAACTCGTCAGGCAGGTTGAACTCGTAATGTAGCCGAGCCCGCTCGATCAGATAACCCCAGCTGTTGTTGTGCACTTCGTAACCAGTCAGTATATCGATGTCGTATTCTCGTACTATATCGACCATTCGATTGATGAGATCCAGCTCGTTGTCCTCGCTGTCGATCTGGACGTGGTCACCCACCATTTTGCGAATCTTCGCGGGCAACTCTTCATCTTCTTCGATCAGTACCAAGATCCCGAGCTTGGGTGAATCATCCATTTGTTCATCAGTGATGCACCAGACCACCATGTTGACTTCATCTCGCTCGGGATCTGGCGCGAGATCTGCGCGACTATTGACGTGTACTTCGAGGCTCATGGTGCTCATATAACCCGTCTCGTGCTGGACGCTCGTGCTTGCTTTTCGCTGCGAGTACTTGAACCCATGCTTGTTGCGCTGCGTGGGACCTTCAATCTGTGAAAGCTCAGGCGGCGGTTTGTTTTTTCGCTTGAGCTGGGAGGGGCTTGGTGGCCCATCAAGGTCCAGAATGTTGAGATCGTCTGGTTTCGATGGCTCCTCCATGCGAAGCCAACGCTCTACCTCGCTGCGACTGGGAGGAGGCTTCATGAGCTCCCAGGACTTCAATGAGCATTGCCATCGGCGGCGGTTCAATGCAAACTCTGCATCAGCTTTGCTCTGTCGTCCAGCTTGTCCGACCACGCCTCCGCTGTCAAACGGCGGAAGAAATGGCAGCGTATTGCTTTCAAGCCGAAACTCCTGACCTGCGTATTCTCTGACCCGCTCAGGTACATCTTTCTCATTACTGTAGTAGGCATCCTGGTAGATGACAGAAGGGTTCACAGTGGTCGCCACTTCATTCTGGGTTGGAGGCAAGGTTCTCAGCATAAGAACTCTGCGCGATGGGTCAATGCCAAAGCCATCAGCATACGCGAGTGCTGTGGTTGGGTGCAGGAGTTGTCGCGGATCTTCAGGCGATTGCAGAGACTTGTTGGAGAAGCTCGATGCTGTCGACGAGACCAATGCATCCTTCTGGCTCAGCTGTGATGCTCGTTGACTGAGACGACGTCCGCTGTTGGATTCATGCGCATTTTTCACAGATGGAAAGGCAATTTTGTCGCCATGGGAAGACTGCAGAGACCGTTGCGACAATGGTGGCTGAGCCGATGGGGGCGCATCAGTGAGACGTTCGTTGACAAAAACACCATTTCGAGCCTGTGCAGCAGGAGGCGCTGCAAAGCCGTCGCCGCCCGGTCTCGACGACGTTCCGATGTCCTTGGCACGAGATGGTCGATACATGTGTTTCCAGCGAGACGAATGGTCTGGCGCGTCCATGCGAGCCTTTTTGAACGGTAGCTGACTCCCGCTCGGCGCCGAACGCTTCAACGAATTCGGTTGTTGTGTGCCTTCAACTATAGTTTGCGGTAGTGCTGCGCCAACACTCTCATTGACATTCGCCTCACCCATGGCCTCCTCCAGTCCTGCGTCTTCCAGCTTTTGTTTCTGGGTCAACGCCAACTCTTTCGCGGCATCCTCGTCACTGAGATATCCCTCGTCTTCGCCCATGAGAGCGATGCTGCTCTCATCGACCACAGGGGCATGATCAGGCCGACGCTGCGTGCCCACGAATTCCTCGAAGCTCAATTCATGCGGCTGCTGTTCACGAGCTTCCGTTGCTGGAGCAAGCTTATCCCACTTTTGCTCCAAAGTAGTGTGGAATAATTCTGACACACTCTCCAGCACCGTCTGGACTCCGTCATCGTGGTCATGCTTCTGGCTACCAAAGCTCTCGAACGAGAGCGGCGCCCCTCCTCTCTGCTTCTTCTCTTGCTCAGCAAGCTCCGCAATGGCGTCGCGAAACTCGTCTTCGTGTACCCAGCCGCCCGTGCTGTCGTTACGAGGATCGGCAGACATGCTGACGAGAACTTCAGGCGGGAAGGGCGACGAAGAGGGGTCCGAAATGCCCATCCGCCTCTTTCTCCTTCGCGTTTCATCCTTCCACAGTCCTGCCATGGAGTGCACCAGCTTCTCCTCTGGTGGCAGGTTCTCCAGAGAGGCCATTCGTTCGATGAAAGAGTGATGCAGCGGTCTTGCTTGGATGGCATTGCGATTGAGAATGTCTTGGACTCGAATGTCCACTTCCAACTGGCAATGACTCTGGCGAGGAAATTGGTCTGCATCGAGAACATGTTGTGAATCAATAGAGCGATCGTGCCACAAATGAGCCAGATCATCCATTTCTTCCCATCGCGGGATGGGAGCCCGGAAATGAGGCTTGGACACCTCGATATAGGCACAGCCGTACAAGTTGAAGTCGCACATCCACTGAAGCTGGTACTGCAAGTGGGCTTCGTAGGGCTGGAAGTGCTGTCGGAGAATGGCGCCTTGGTGCAACAGATCTGCGAATCGAGTCATATGTAGGGGATTGAGAAGGTAGATTTTGAGATAGTACTTGTACCCAACATTGTACCCGAAGAAGGGAACGCCTTTGACGAGGCTGATATGAGCAACAAAGGTGGCATTTCGGGGGTTGTCATATGGGTTCCTGCGGTAGGACAGGCACAGGGCATGGTCGATGGATGAACGCAGGTTCGAGATGTAATGGGCGACCTGGCTCTCTTCGATGGAGTCGACATAGGGCACGTAGAGGTAGGGAAAGGCGCCATGAACGTGGACGCACGCTTTCTGACCCGTCTCCGTGGAGCCCCAGACTCGGATGACGGGCACATCTGGGAGCTGGACTCGCTGGGTGGCGGAGAGGGAGCGAGGCCCCCAGATGGGAGGATCGAGGGTATTGGGGGCGTACTGGGCAAAGTCGATGCAATTGAGGCGGATGCGGAAGACGTCGTGGCGGTGCTTCCCATCCATCGTCTCTCGTTATGCCCATTCATTCCCAACTTGGGAACCTGAAGGTCGCGATGGGATCTCGCCACCAACGCGTGACTTCACTTCACTTCACTTACATGTGGGTACCAGGTTGGTTCACGTTCGTTTGTTTGTCCCCGCGCCCCGGACGCGACTGAGACGTGTATGGCGATGACGACGGACGGGCCGCGGCGGGCGGAACGAGCCCGAGCTTAGAACCCGTTGTGCACTAGACTGGCAGTTTTTCTCTTGAGGTCTGTTCTCTGTCTCTCCTCTGTCTCCAGGTCTCCTCTGTCTATTCCCAACTTCCCCTTCCCATGTCTCCGCGGAGAGTGGTGATTATGTCGACCATTCTTTAGGACTTCAGTCTTGCCTTCACTTCACTCCAATTGTGCCATGCATGTCCTTTCGCCCACTTCACTCCATGCGCCTTGCATATACCAAGCCGGAAGTCCCAACTGGGAATCCCAGCACGAATGGATGCGACCCACCACCCATGGCCATGTCGGCGACAGTCTCGCGGGGCGGACTTGATCATCCTTCTAGGAGGTACCGTTCAACGACACATGACAATAATGACGCCCGCGACTGAGGATCGTCCTGCCCTCCTTCTTCCTTCCATACGCCGTTTCCCCTCTCCTGTACGACCTGCACCCTAAGGTACCATGAGTTCCATGTCTGCTGCTGTCCTCATCTCCCGTGCCGTACCTCACAGCATCGCATCGCCCGCCATCTCGTGTGCCCACGTGTGGTGCTGCCAGGCACGGCATGAACCCACGACACGACATATTTGTACCCTAAGTGCGCCGTGACGATGAGAGTGAACGACACTGTCTCTCCTGTTGCATACCACAAGGCCGATGATATGCTGGGCCGAGGACGTCATTGCTGCACTGCACTCCCCTCCAAGTTCATCTGCTGAAGGGCTGCACGATACCCCGCGAGCGATATTGCATGAAGCCACGCTCGTATGCACCAGAAGGTCGCGAACCGTGTCTACTGGTCGACCACCTGCAGCAGAGCCGCAATCGAGCTGCACAGAGGTTGAGAGACTCGACCTCCCCCCCTGCAGTATTGGCAACTGCTGCTGGTGCCGCCAAGATGCGGCTTCACGCGCAAATTCCGTTGTATCAATGAAATGTGACCGTATGTGAGAACGGCGGACGGTGACAGTGAAGCAGCAACGTACGCAGCTGATTGCACATGCCAGCCTTCACTTCGCTTCACCCGTGCACGTGGCCCTTCACTCGCGCCTCCCCCGCAGCCTCCAAACTTGTTATAAACTTCTCCACTCTCCCCAGAAAACCACCACCACCACCCCAAGACTGAACAACACCTACACTCCAGCCCTCGTGCACCCCTCGCACACACACACACCTCCTCCCCCTCGCTGTCACCCACAGCAACCATGGCACCCCCCTCGCTCTTCCTGGGTGCTTTGGCTCTCGCCGCGTCCGCCGTCACCGCATCGCCCTTTGCTCTCCGTCGCCGCCAGAACGGCACCGACTCGACCTGTCCTGGTTATCGAGCCAGCGGCATCACCACCACCGCCAATGGCTTGACCGCACAGCTCACTCTGGCCGGCACCCCCTGCAACATCTACGGCAATGACATTGAGGATCTGACTTTGACTGTCGAGTACCAGACTGGTGAGTCAGATCTGCATTCCACCCCCAGATTGCTGGAACTAACATGATTGTGAGACACCCGACTCCATGTCTTGATCGAAGATGCCGCCCAGCAGGTCTACCAAGTGCCCGGTTCTGTCTTTCCACGACCAATCTCGAGTGGCACGCAGAATGCGTCTAGCGAACTCATGTTCGAATACGTCGAGGAACCATTCAGCTTCACCGTCAAGCGTCGGAGCAGCGGTGACGTCTTGTTCGACTCGTCTGCGGCCTCCTTGATCTTCGAGGACCAGTACGTACGCTTGAGGACGGCTCTTCCAGAGAACCCCAATCTCTATGGCACCGGCGAGCACACGGACCCATTGTGAGTGAGCACATATGGACATCATGGTACACTGTGGCTGACTGCATTGCTAGCCGCCTCATGACAACGGACTATACCCGTACTGCATGGAATCGTGACGCGTACGGCACGCCGGCCGGTACCAATCTGTACGGCACCCACCCCATTTATTACGATCATCGTGGCGCCAACGGCACCCACGGTGTCTTCCTTCTCAACTCAAATGGTATGGACTTCAAGATCGACACGACAGACGGTCAGCACCTGGAGTACAACACCCTCGGGGGCGTCCTGGATTTCTACTTCTTGGCAGGTCCATCCCCTGTGGAGGTGGCGCAACAGTACTCTGAAGTCTCCCAAAAGAGTGCTCTTCAGCCCTACTGGGGTCTGGGATTCCATCAGTGCAAGTACGGATACCGCGATGTCTACTGGGTGGCTGAAGTCGTGGCCAACTATTCTGCTGCTGGCATTCCGCTCGAGACTATGTGGACTGGTAAGTCGATGAACCCTGGTACCAAAATGGACCGTAATGCTTACTGACTTTCTCACAGACATCGATTACATGTATCTTCGCCGAGTCTTCACTCTCGACCCTGATCGATTCCCGCTCAACCTGATGAGTGAGCTGGTCTCTACGCTTCACGAGCGACAACAGCACTACATCGTCATGGTCGATCCCGCCGTCGCATACCAGGATTATGATGGATTCAACAATGGCGTGGAGCAAGACATATGGCTGCAGACCTCCAATGGCTCCATCTTCAAGGGTGTGGTGTGGCCTGGTGTCACCGCTTTCCCGGATTGGTAAGACATTTCCCCCTTCCGAGTCATTTGACGCAACGTGGTGCTGACTACCCCTAGGTTCCACCCAAATACCCAAGGCTACTGGAACTCGGAATTCCAGAGCTTCTTCGACCCCGAAACTGGTGTGGATATCGATGCACTCTGGATTGACATGAACGAGCCCTCCAACTTCTGTGACTACCCTTGCGCTGATCCCGAGTACGAAGCTCAGGCTGCAGGAAACCCTCCTCAGCCACCTGCCATTCGTCTGGGTGCTCCACGCGCTATCCCTGGTTTCGGATCAGATTTTCAGCCACTCTGCAAGTCTGTTGTCACGTTCAACGTCAACGCATCCACCTTTTTCGGAGAAAACATTTACGTTTTCGGCAGTGCCATTACGATCGGTAGTGGTGACGAGATCGGGAACGCTGCACCACTGAACGCCAATAACTACCCCATCTGGAGTGCTGCCGTCGATCTGCCAGCCAACACTCAAGTCACGTATCAGTACGTCCGCTCTGCGGGTAGCGGCGTGTACAGCTACGAATCGAGCAACCGCACTCTCACGACTGGTGACTGCAACAGCACCTCGTCAGTCGACGACATCATCACCACCTCCTCATCGCCACAGACCAAACTTGTTCGCCGCAGCGATGACTTTTCACGCAAGGCACATCATCTCACTCCCGTTTCGAAGCGCCAGTTTGCCGGGGACAAGACGGGCCTGCCAGACCGCGACTTGATCAACCCCAAATACCAGATCGCGAACGCAGCAGGGAGCATCAGTAACTTGACCGCTTCCACTGACATTATTCAGTATGGTGGCTACTCACAGTACGATACTCACAATGTGTACGGAGCGCAAATGTCCGAGGCATCTCGTATCGCCATGCTGTCACGCAAGCCTACTCTCCGCCCACTGATCATCACAAGGTCCACCTTTGCTGGAGCCGGAAGTCAAGTGGGCAAGTGGCTCGGAGACAATCTCTCGAATTGGGACTCCTACCTGTTCGCCATCAAGGAGATTCTCGAGTTCGCCGCTCTGTACAACGTCCCGATGGTGGGCACAGACGTCTGTGGCTTTGGTGGTAACACCAACGAACTTCTGTGCGCGAGATGGGCACAGCTCGGAGCATTCTCTCCATTCTACCGCAACCACGCTCAAAACGATGCCATCGATCAAGAGTTCTACCGCTGGCCCATCGTCACGGAAGCTGCCAAGATCGCTATCGAGATCCGATACAAGCTCCTTGATTACATCTACACGGCATCATACGTCCAGAACCAGACGGGCACACCGCTTATCCAACCCATGTTCTTCCACTACCCTGAAGACAGCAACACGTTCGATCTCGGCTATCAGTACTTCTACGGTCCAGGACTCCTCGTCGCCCCTGTGACGACTGAGAACAGCACGACTGCTACGCACTACTTGCCAGACGACGTCTTCTACGATTACTACACTCACGAGACCGTCATCGGCACCGGCTCGACTATCACGATCGAAGACGTTCCCTACACGAGCATCCCTCTGTACTACAAGGGCGGCGCCATCCTCGCTCAGCGCTCCGAATCAGCAAACACGACCACCGAGCTCCGCAAGCAAGACTTTGACATCATCGTCGCACCTTCTGCCAACGGTACCGCTTATGGAGAACTGTACATTGATGACGGTGTTTCGCTCGTTCAAACCGCTTCATCGTACATGAAATTCACGTAAGTCTAGCTTTTTCCGGTCTTCTGCACCGCGCACGTGCTCGGCAGAGCTGTGAATACCTGCAATACATACTGACATTGGGCCCACAGATACTACAGCGACGGTCGCTTCACCATCACCGGCGAATTCGGCTACGACACCGACGTCTTCATCAAGACCGTGACTGTGCTTGGCACCGGCGCCAGCAACAGCACCGGCGTCTCCCGAACCAAGTCTTTGGGCATCAGCTTGAATCAAGCGTATGAGGGCACTGTCTAGAGGACAGGAGCGCCACACCAAGAACGACAGAAGTACAGACATGACTCGTCGATGGAGACGATACACCAACAGGATAGCATGACGCTAGAGGTACAGGTACAACAGGATCAGGTACTACTTCTTCAGCTATGATGGGATTGCATACAGTCTGCAAAAGACATTTTGGGGGTGCGTGTTCCATGATGGAAACTCAGGTATGAGGCGACTTGCGTAAGGAATGGGTTATACCTTTCCCTTTTGTTTTTCGGAGAGAGGCAGGACTTTGCTTTCTCGGCTTTTACCTTCCAGCTCGTCGCTACGCAATCAAACGTAGCTTCCACATCAAATTTTTGCATCAAGTGACTTCTCTCTATTATGGTTGACACGTGAAGTGAAAGCGAGAAGAGAAATGAGATAGGAGTAGAAGGCAAAGGGGAAGTAAGAAGTAAATTGAATATAGGATGTCTTTTCTGGGGGGTAAGCTAAGAATAAGATAGGTAGGGAGGGAGTAGGGGGGTTTTTTTTTCGCGAGAAATACGGATTGGGAGTGATACTCATCGATTTACAACAAAGTTTTTAAGGGACTTTTGAAGGACTTGGAGGACTTGTTCTCCCTTCCTGCTACGTTTGAGGAGAAGAAGAAATTGTGGGAGGAGGAGGAATAGTAGTGGTAGTAGTGATAGCAGCAATAGCAACAGCAATCTCAGGTAGTTACCCAAGCACCCCCCCCACAAACCCCCTCCCTAAAAAATCGGTCGATGAAAATCACAACAAAACCCACCAAAAAACAGCCAAAAAATCCCACACCAATAACACAACCCAAACTCGCTACCTATATCCATCCATCTCAATCTATCTCTCCTCTCAACCCCCCGAACCTCCAACCCCCTCAAAAAACAGCAAAATAGCACAAGAAATCGCCGCAGCCATCACCATCATCACCATCACCACTACTGTCGAGAAAACATATAAAATTGAATAATTTCTCGAAACTTTTGATTTTTTCTTTGCTGCCGCTCTTATCGCTGAACTTCTTCATAGCGAGGAAGGATGTGCTTACAGCTTTCGTTACGCTCGGAGATTTCGTGTCCGTCGTCGTTGTCGTCGGTTCTGTGGTGAGGGAGAGTTTGTTTCATTCGAGATAGGATTTGTGGTTGTGGTGGTGGTCTTGGGGTTCTTGCTAGTGGGATGAATGACAGGAGTAGCAGTAGCAGTAGCAGTAGTAGCAGTAGTAGCAGCAGTTCGAGATGATGGAATTTGTATCGCCATCATCGTCGTCATTGCCGTCATCGTCGTCACAGTTGCATCGCTGCTGCTGCTGGTGGTGGAGGTGGTAGTCTCTTGTTGTTGCTGCTGCTGCTTATTCTCCTCTGCTCGACAATTACTCCCCGAAACCCCACAGAACCCAAAAATGCCCGATGCAGTTTGTGCTCCCGAATGATGCGGCCAATTGGCGGATCGGGAGTGTTTATGGTCTTTGTGGTGCTGGTGCTGGTGTTGTTGTTGTTGTTGTTTGCGATTCATGAGAGGTTTTATGGGTGGTGATGGAGGAGAATGATGAGAAGAAGAAGAAGAAGAAGAAGAATGAGCGGACTCGGTAGACTTGCAGTTGGTCCCCTTAGGACCACAGAAGCCGAAGCCGGGATTCGAGGTTTGGAGTTGAGCGGTGCGTGGGGAGAGAGTCATCTGTGAAAGAGAGCATTGTGCTTCGAGGATGGCGATGCAAAATTCCGTGCAGGCTGCTGCTGTGAACTGGAAGAGATGGATTAGCTGCTGGAAAAATCGATAGAGTCGACTTATGGATATGCATAGTGGGAATCTCTCACTTCGATGTTGGCTGATTCGAAAAGGCCGCTGATATCGGCGTCAGGAGCGAGATTGCAAGAAGTCGTCGCCGTGGTCGTCGACGATGTGTCTTCGAGACAACGTTCACACTTTCGTACCTCATCGATGTTGCAAACCGGGCACTCCCGAATTTTACTGCATTGTATCTCGATATCATACTCGGTAGCTCTGCAGAAATCAGTACAGCCCTCCGTGTACTCTGAGAACCCAGGTTCCTTGCAGAGGCAATGGAAGTCGTATCCTGATATGCTCGAGTTATTGTTGACGCAGTATGTTTGTCGAGCGGCCTGCTCCAAGCAGAGATTACAGCCTGCGATGCATGTCAGTTGCCTTGATACGGTGGTATGGGCGAGGCGCGTGAGACATACTTCGTGCATCACCTTCGACGAAGGCAGCTCGTCTGTCGATAGCATTTCGCGGGGTTCCGTTATCTAACCTGCATTGTGATTCGAGGCTGTACTGAGTGCCCTCGCAGAAGCCGGAGCAACCCCTTGTGATAATTCGGAATGCGGTTTTGAGACAGAGACATTCAAAGTCGAAGTTGGTTTCCGAAGAGTCGCTAGCCTCGCATTGAGTTTGGCTCGCGGCGTGTTCTAAGCAGAGAGTACATTCTGTAAAGAACATGGAGTCAGTCCTCGGGGATGTGTAGTAGAACTCCATCTCTGTGAATTTACCTCTCGCGCCCCCCTCCACGACCGAGAGCTGGGCAGTCGAGACTGACTCAGCGACAACGGAGGATGATACCACCAGCGCAGCGGCGGCGCTGACGGTGATTAAGCGCATACTGGCAGAAGCTAGGGGGTTAGCGGCTACCTAGTGTTACTTGATGTTGTATAGGCGCTAAGTAGTGTCCCGACAATCCATGTGGTGCGGTGTATACTTGAGTAACAATTGAACCTGATGTCAGAGTTGGACGTGAAACGGAAGAAATGTTTGCGTGAGACTAATGGTATCTGTACGAGAAGAAATCGAAACTGTGGCATACTGAGGAGGAGCTGAGTTGCAAACTTCACTTGGCAGAAAAACAAAGGCCAAGTGAGGTACTGATGATACGTGAGTCAAGATCGGTTGGGAAAGGTCATCTCACTTACATTCAGAGATTAGCTATAGGAGAGCTGATCCTCATACTGCAGCTCCGGGCATGTTGCCGCTATCATCTCTACCGCCGCGCAAGGTGACAGGTTGCAGGACTGCTCCGTACGTCCTGAGTGCTTGCATGTGGCATCGCGTAGTGGTAATCCATGGTAGCACACAACCCAGCAACATGGAGTCGGTCGCCCCCCAGATCATGCCACTCTGCGGCAATTGCCTGCTGCACCGTACCACGAGATGATGCATACGATACGACGCAATTCTTACCACTCGGACTGCAGCCGCCGAGGCAGGGAGCTTACCGGGAAAACCCAAGGCAGAGTTGTCGGGCTCAGAGAGCATACGGTGACAACGGGAAGCCTGTCAGTTTCTCGGCTGATCATCCGAGTTCTTGTACTATTGAGTTATCTTTGATGCACTAGTCGTGCCATGCTTCTTTGACTTTTTTCCTGCAACATCAGTGCTGCCGTCATGAGCCTTGGCTTCAGGAGGAAAGAAGGAAGCATACCAAGAGAAGATTACAAGCTGAAAGGCTAGCCAGCGTGTAAGCAGTTGTGTCTGATGTGCTCATCACCAACCATTCGAACTGGCGCGCCATCGCTTCACGATATTCACGCTGCCCTAGCCGAGGGCCTGGCCTCGGTCTCGAGAGATGGGAAGGAGATCAAACAGGTACTCAATAAAACAAGAGTTCAATCTTGCCTTCCCCATTGCCATATCTCTCCTTGAACGCCTTCCTCGTCAACAGCTTCACGAGCGGAATCTGCAACTCCTTCATGTCCAGCACTCCCCTCTTCTTCATGTCGATATGGCTGGCATCCACCACAATTCGATCCAGCTTCTTGTCCAATAAGGCACCCTCGTCCAACAAGTCCATGAGCCTCTGTGGAGTGCCCACGCCAATATTGATCCTGTCCTTGCTCAATTGTTCACTCGCTTCAGCCTTCTTGATGTGCTTAGCGAAAAGCTTCGCAACCTTTGCATCTTTCGTCTGGAATTTCCGCAACACCCTCGTCAGATCCGCAGCGCGTAGTCCAGCGCCTGTCACGACAAGAGTATGAGGTGAACCCTTCTCTTTGGGCGCCCAGCTGACTCCATCACCTTTGCTTCCTTTTTTCCCGCTCTTCTTCACTGCAAATTCTTCCAAGAAATCGGGCAGGTTGTCCGTGATGCGATCTTTCTCAAAGCTTGAGCTGTCCGCTATGCTGGCTTCGGGTAACCTCCAATCTTCGGCTTCAACTAGGCTCAAGTCTGGTTGGAATCGGCGTGTTCGTTGGGCAATGTAATCTGCTAGCAGACCACTGTCCATCTGACCGATCGAGGTATTGATGCCCTTTTCAGCATCGAGAGTTGAGTCGTCGATGTCTTGAGGCTTTTTTGATTTGCGCTTAGCTTTCCGGGCGGCTTTTTTGGCTGCAGCTCCATCTTCGTCGTCGGCAGCGCGCTTTCGCTTGGAAGTCTTGGTAGGAAGGGGGTTATCGGAGTCGGAGATGGGCTCAAGGAGAGGGACACCGGCCAGATCTTCGGAGTCGGACATGTTGTCTGTTGTATGGGAAAGGACTGTCGAGGTTGGTAGAATTTAAGAAGATCCTTGAGGTCGCAAAAGTTCGGAAGCGGAATGGCGTGGGCTTGGCGTGAGTGGGTGTGGCCTTCACAGTTGAACTTTCTACAGTCGATGACAGTCAACATGGTAGACGCATCCATCATGTCGGGTGAGCCGAATGCATATCCCGGGGACAAGGTCCACAATGACTCTCTAACATCGCTGTATGGCCAACTTGACGCCCTATGGATCCAATATCTGACTCTTCTGGACGAATATACCAAAGCTCAGGCTGCCATCCAAAAGCACATGTCCTCTGGCTTCTTTACACTGGCCCAAGCCAACTTCAAATCTTCACGGGGGAGATATGGTCAAGACTACTACGATGAGCGAGCTGTTGCCACTACCCGTATCAAGATCGATGCCGAGACCGACGCCATATCCTTAAAGGTCGAAAAGTTCATCGTCAGAACCGACGAAGAGCAGCCCAGCGAGGATCAAAGTCAAGAGGCATCTTCCGAGCATGAGATGCATGGACCCAATGGTCAGTCGCAGTCTGAGCCAGTACAGTTGCCATCGCCGGCACCCACGCCAGGACCGGAAAGTAAGCAGGATCCTCCTGTCGATTCAGATGCAAAAGATCTCCCCGATGCAATCACACCAGACACGAGCACAGATCCCGCTCCTCCAGAGTCCGCGAGCCAAGAGAAGTGCAAGTCTCTGGTCAACTCTCATGATCCGATCCGGTGGTTTGGTATCCTGGTTCCAGCTACTTTGAGGCAAGCTCAGAACTCCTTTGTGACAGCTGTACGAGACGGATCGACTGTGACTACAGCTGTGAATAGTTCTCGTGGAATGAGGGAAGTGGAAGTCGAGATTCGCAAATTGAGAAAAGCGATCAAGAAGGAGGAAAAGAAGTCGATCGATGCGTTGCCTATTATCGAGAGGTCCTCATATACAGACCGTTCTTGAGAGTTAGGCGTACTTACCTATAGTCTACTCTTCACATCACTATGCAAATGCCAATGTCATGCCTCCCTTCCTTGTCGACACAGCACAGTCAAAAACAAAATCGACATATCCTACCTAGAATCTGCAAGCGCGACATATCACCTACACAGCCCGCCCCCGGGCTTAAGCAAAAACAACGCCAGCTCCACTCTCACACCATCAACCACGACTTGCGGAGTACCTCCAAAAATGCAAAAGAAGAGATTGCGAATTGAACGCTGCAGGACTCGAACCTGCGCTCTTTCGAACCGCCGAGATCTGGACTCAGGAGAGTCACTAACCTTAAGACGGCGCCTTAACCGCTCGGCCAAACGTCCTTGATTTATATTCGTGGAGAAGGAAAATTTGTATATGACAGTGTAACAAATCCGACCGCGGAATGTGGAGGGTAGCGCTTGCGATCTCGGAGGTTGACGAAATGCTAAATGAGACAAGGAATGTTTTTGCTCAAGATGAAACGAGAATCAACACCTCCTTTACAATAAGTGGTATCTCCACAAACGACCCGCTGCACAAGAGAACGTTTTCTTTACAGAAGACGTTGGAAAAATGAGCCTCAATTTCCTGCTGCTATATTCATCAATCGCCAGAGATCTTTCATACCTACCTTACTCTTGTTTCTTACACTCACCCATCTCCCCAAATCATCTTATGCATAAACGCAATATGGAAATTATATCCTTCCCCTCTCCAATTCTGATAATCCAATGTATATCCTCTGCGCAAATAAAATCCACCCATCAACTCCATTGGAGTACAAATCACCATCTTGACTTTTCCCGGCAATCCTGCTGCCGCCACACCACCACTACTTTCCCGTCCCATTTCAATTCTCCGCTGAAAACGTTCCAAAATCTCTCCTTCCACAGTCCTCATCATGTACCCCGCCAACCCCTGACCCTGCACTCTAACATCCGTCGCCATCAACTTCAACTCCCATTCCTCCGTATCTGGCGCGACATCCAGCGTGCGGAGCCAAGGTAAATTCGCATCGACGGGCCTATCTTTGGGCGGACCGTGATATCTTCGACAGCTTGCAGTGGCGAGTACAGTAGAGCTATCATGTGGGTAAGAGATGATGAGAACGAAAGACTCGGGATCGCTGATTAAGGCGGAGAGGAATTCTTGAGTGGAGCTGAGTCTTTCGCCGTGGTTCGTAAGACCAAGTTCTGGTTTGAGGGCGTGGGAGTCGCGGAAGGCGGTGTTGATGGTAGAGAGGAGATTGGGGAGGAAGGGGGATTGGGTTAGTTGGGAGGTGGGAAATATGGATGTTGTGGTCGCTCTTCCGTCGACTTGTGGGCCAGGTATGGTTTTGATGAGATTTGTATCTGTCATGCTTGGGGTTCTACTACGTTGATGAGTTGAGTCTACTCTTCGAGCGGGAAGTGCGGTATCAGTTCGCCGGACGTCGTTATAGTCTGTTGTTAATGCGACATCGCAATGTCCTGCAGCGTTGCATTTGGATTTTGGAGTATCGCACGTTGTTACATCTCGTCAATGAGTACGGGAGTTCGGTCCGATGCCGGTCTGTTCATTCGCCCAAATGGGTACGCTGGTTGTACGACCTAAGCAGAAGGCAACCGAAATAGTACGAGGACGGATGGAGAGGCTTCCCAGGAATTCTCCAACCGCCCCATTGGTGTCATCACCTTCTTCGTCGAATACCTACCTATACTCGCATAAAGTACTTCACAAGCTCATCATGCATATGCCTTCCAAGGTCTCAATGACCTTTGGTCGAAGGTGGATTTTGTGATGAAGTCCATCAGTCAACGATCGGCCCGAAGCAATCTCTTCAGCATATGCCGGCGCATACATGTAGTTTTCAGTGTAAGAGGTAGGATGGAAATCATGGAATGGTATTATTTGCTTTCCACGTGACGCGAGGAATACTAGCGTCCGGATATAAACTATATTACAGACTCCAAACATAATCACCAACCTTGGGCTTAATGCACGTTTCACCGACGCAACGGCATCACGCATATCGGCTCGATGAGCTCGATGAACGCGATGGCGACGGCGATGAGGCTGCCGCCTGCCTCGCCATAATAAGACGAAAGCTTGAAGAAGTACACCCAGACGCGACTCCATGCACGTCCGCATGATTGTTTCCTACTCCATCACTTCATGTCGTCCTACTGACCTCTAGAACCCCGACTTCAGTCCCATACTGTCACCATGTTGAAGCCCGTGACTGTTACGGAGTCTGCTTTGAGTCCTCCGAGACTGAGAATCCGCAAGCTGCAAAAAGATGGAGGTCAGCGACGTTCCATGAATCCCGACCGACCAGTCACAGCGCCATCGCCATCGCTGTCGCTGTCGCCAGCACCGTCACCGTCACCGTCACCGTCACCATCGCAATTACTCTCATTGTCACCCTCACCATGCTCCCTCGCACCCAGCGCCCCCACAGAACACGGAACTGGTAGCACGCTCAGTCCGACATGCCGACATAGCACCTCGATGCAGTCGATGAGACGCAGCTTCAGCCCGGACAGCTTCGTCAGAGGCCCCCATCCACTGGCCCCACGTTCCCTTCACGTCTACACCAGGGGCGCACTTCTCACATCTGGGTTCGCTTATCACCCGAGGCTCTTCGATCTAAATATCCACCCGATCATGTGGGACAAGTTCACCAGTCAGATTGTGGCCACTGCTAGGCTAAGCCCAGCCGAACGGGCTCGCGTCTGGGCGGTCGGGACTGCAGCTGCCATGACCACTTCATTTCCAGAGAGCTGCCACATCGGACAGAACAAGAGTCGGCGCATACAGGAGAGCAAGGTCAGAGAAGGACTCCAGAATGGGTCTGAAGATAGTCTAGGCGATCTGCTCCATCAGTGGAATGCGGGATACTTTTCAGAACGAGGACTACTCGCGCGACTTGACCTGAACGAAGCGGTTCAGAACTCATCTCCGCAGCAAAGCAAGGCCATGCGACGGGGGTCTCATTGGTATGCGCACAAAGAGGACCGTGAATTGGTGCGCGCAGAGCGCAAGTTCTCTATTGTCATCACTCAAATTCAGCATGGTGAGGGGCTTGCAGACTCGGTACAAACGTCTTACTCTTCAGGCAACACCAGCCCCTCTTCCGACCAGAAGAGTAGCATAGAGGTGACTGGATTCAAGCCGCTGCCAGAACTCCCCACGGGCGCCCATCCCTTGATCGATGTCATGAATTATTGGACCAACTTCGATAAGCCGAACCAACATCCGGATGCGCTGCCAACCGCCAACCAATTTGCAGAACTCGAAGGTGACAGTCACCGGATTCTACTAAATGATCAGGCCATCGTGCCTGAAGACCCCTTCATCGGACCGCTGCCCTTGGAGGAGTACAGTGAATTCATCTCCCAATTGTATTCGCAAGTCGCCGGACAGCAGAGTACAGTAGCGACACAGCCCGCCTCCAAGCTGCAGCCAATAGAGGATGAGTCGCAAATGGTGGCCGAAACCCATCCTTTACCCCTGACGCAGGAAACAATGTCAGAGCAGGAAGCCATGGGCAACTGGCCTCTGCCGCGCGATCTACCTCCGAATGGAAATCTACTGGCACAAGCCGAAGTGGCCAAAGCGTGTACGGCTGAACCAGTGGCTGCTCATAGTGAAATGACCCCAAAATATCGTACAGCGCAGCCCGCGCAGTACAGGTTGTACCCGAATATGTCTCCAACAGAGCGATCAGTCCGTTCATTCAGGACTACAGGCTCTACGCTTGAGATTGCACCTTCCGTGCAGTCCACGGCTATTCCTAGGGACATCGAGGAACCCCGAAGTAAAGCCATGGCCAGCCCTACTGCATCATTCTTCTTGCCACTGGATATGAAAGGCGTTGGTACGACGTTGGACTTCGATCCACAACTGACAATCAAGGACATGGCCACCGCGCACTGATGTTGAATTTCAGCGTTTGCAGACGATACGTGGGGATGTATGGGCGTCTCCGGTCATGGGCATGGCGGGCCAAGGTTGAGCTCATAGACATTGTCGAAGATCGGCAACGAGTGCCCGTTTACAAATCGTAATACTGGGCGACACGAAGCACCATGACCTTATTCATCGCTTGATGCGACAAAGGAATAAAAAGGCTAATCACAAAGCACACGCCGTCAAATTGAGATAGTATGTGACCTTTCGCTTCATCCAGGACGAGAATTATAGCGACGATTGTTCCGTGAACAGTCGTTGCGTCAACTTTGCAAAGCATGCTACAGTTGTTTTCAAGATCAGCCAGATATCTGTTCTAGCACAGCATTAATTTAGTGACCACCAACAGCCTATCAATCTTGTGGTATTCACACAAAAGAACGATACGATTACGGAAGTTTTCCCATGCCTTAGGTAGGGTCACTGAATCATAAGGTATAATGCCACCCCGAAAGTTCAAAGCCGCCGTATCATGATCTCAGTGCTTATCCTGAGTCTTGTACTTTGGTGCGAAACGCAAAGAAACTCTGTCTGAAACCCCACCAGCATAACGAACACATGCACACCCACCTTACTGATACAAAGCTAGATCGAAGCTTCATCGTCGCTGCTGTCGCATCTCACATGCCACAGGAGTTGGATCATTGTGCTATAACTCCCTCGTTCTCCCTGCTTATCAGAAGCCCGCCACTCAGCGCTGAGAACCGGACCACAGACCACGCGAGCACAGCAGAGTCTTCACGGCACCACAAACACATCATGGGCTACTCAGTATACACGGCATTCGCTACGCAAGATGAAGCAATCCCCGAATCCTGCCGCTATAGAGTTCACAAACAACCTGCTGGCTCAGGCCGCATCGGCTTCCGAGTTGATTACAATGGTTGTGGCACAGGCAGCATGATGACCAACGGTCTCTACCCCAGAATACTCGACCCCGAACCTCGCACACCATCACTCGAGGTCGCATATCAACACCTTCTCTGGAAATCCCGTCTCTCCGGCCCTTTCGTCAGCATCTGGCGTTCTTGGGCTCGAGCTCTCCGCTGGGCACGATATCTGCAGAAGAAAAATTGCCGCGGCATCATCATCTACGCCATCGATCTCGAAGTCGTACAAAATCCCATCTATGACGCTCATAAAATCGTGAAGGAACTGCAACAGCAGCAGGAGCAGCAGGAGTGTCCCACACGCGGTCGGGACCTTTCTCTGAAAAACCACCTGGAAGAACTTCTCGTGTACAATGGAATTGATGCGAGTACATGTGCGATTCTAGCGAGTATACCCGCCGGAAGCGAGAATGTCAAAGTTGCGGCTCATTTCGCTCATGCCTTGATTCCCAAGGAGTTGTATAAGGAAATTTCGATTTTACATTATCGTCAACAACAGCAACTACAGCTGCTACAACTACAACAACAGTTGTTCTTCCCTTACGCCTTTCAACAATATCCCGCAACAACAACAAAAACACTGTACAACAACAACTCCTCCTGCAACTTCTTCTCTACATCCCTCCCTCCTCCCCCATCATCATCCTACCATCATTCCGCCGTCCCCAGCGGGACAGCAGGTACAACATGTACACTCTTCGACTCCCTGCTCAGTCGCTTATACGTCGACATACTCCTACGGAGGGGAAATGTCGAGACGTCGAAATTGCTCGAGTTGGTTATTGCTATGTGTACGGATTTTGCGCTGGCGGGGAAGAAGGAGATGGTGGTGGTGGTGGAATCGGATGTTATGGGAGCGAGATCGAGAGGGGATTCGGATTTGTCGACGTTCAGTAGTAGTAGTTGTGGGACCTTTGGGAGTATGGAATGATGTGGGTGGGTGTGATTGGTTTGATCTGCTAGGGGGGATGATGATGATGAGGAGGATGTCAGGTGGTGATGATCATGATGATGATGATGATGACAGTGTAAATGTCTGTTCTTAGGAGCAAATTCGAGACTTTTGCTACATATGAGATATCACCAGCCGTTTTGAGACTTTGTTGATCGTGGCATTTGATGATTCCATTTCCCAGTTCAGATCGAAAGTGTAACGCTGATCACTGGGGTGATGAATACATGTATTTGTGATACAGTACCTATACCAGGCAAGGTATGGTGGATGTACCGAACTTCTACCGACTTGGCAGCTTCATGTTACCTGACTTCTCCCTTTTTGTCAGCCTTTTGCGCGAACCAAACAGTAATAACACCTACTGGCTTTCACTCCTGGCTTTCACTACTGGCTTTCACCACTGTGTCCACCATCTAGGATTTCCTACTGCTTTGTATGGTCCATATGGGCGGATGGTCCACGCTACGAATATGGTGCTCCGGGAAACCTCGCAGCAGCCTTGCGTTCGCTCGTTCGGCGCCATATTCTCAGTCGTCGAATCTGTGTCAGAAGTACTACACTGCAGATGAAGACAAGCTCATTATGAAGATGTCGCAGGAAGGAGCCGACTTCTCGACTATTGCCACGGAGCTGAACAGGACGCCAGAAAGCGTGCGGGCTCGCTACTCGAGATACCTGCGAGGCACACTACCAGCCACCAAATACCATGTCTTCACCCAAGGCGACGACGACATTATCATTCAAAGAAAATGCCAGCGTGTACCCTTAGCATCAATCGCCCGCGAACTCAATTGTCCCCTTATCCCTCTTAGAAATCGCTGGTATTCAGTATTGCGATTCCAATCAGAGTCGCTGCCAGGAAAAGATGGAGTGCCGCCTCTCAGACTGCCCAGTGGCCTGAATTTTACGGAAGCACGTGAATTGATTGTGCAACGCATACAGGAAGGACATACCAGGGAGTCTATCGCGAAGGAACTGAAGTGCTCAATTGGTGTAGTGGGCCCTATATACGCCTCTGTTTATCGGCCGCGTAATGCGAACCGCTCGAAAACTTACTCCGATCAAGAAATAGAATTGATCAAGCGCCGTAGGTCTGCGGGTGCATCGATAGTGGCTGTCGCGCATGAACTGGGTCGCTCACCTTGGAGCCTGAACAGTTTTCTGTGCTACCTCAGGGCCACTGGGGGCCTACCTAACTCTATGAAGCGCTTCACACCAGCCGAAAACAAGCAAATTCTCGAACTGTGCGCCAAGAACACATCTTTCGAGGCGATTGGTGAAATGCTGGGGCGGTCAGCCATTTCCATTCGTAGTCATTATCAGCGCTTGCGTCAAAACGTTGCACCATCAGCGCGACCTTCGCGACGGGCCCGTTGGACTTCAGCAGAAGTGGACGAAATGTTGAGGCAGTATGATACAGGCGTTGCAGTGAAGCAAATAGCCCGGAGTTTTGGCAGATATCCTGGCAACACCATTATGAAATTGAACTTTGAGCTCTTTCGTCGAGGACGTCCCCCCATAGGAATTTCGAGCCCACCTTCTCAACATGCCAATCTGGATGTGGACACCACCGATACTGTGGAAACTGAACCTGAGCGGGAGAGCAATCTTGCTGAAAAGTCTGCTACGGTCGCGAATGCGGATCAGAATTCTCGTACGGACTCCACATGAGACCGAGGGCGGCAAAAGGCAATGTCTCAAGGAATGAATGAATGATATAGGAACTCTGTAGCACTGCAAGAGAAAAATCTACGTGTCTAATGTTAGGGCGAAATGCCCAACATTCGCTAAGCTTCGTGTTTAATAATCCGAAAATTCCTGTCGAAGTAGGCATCCTTTCAATGAACAAAACAAAACCGCGTCGTAGGAGCCCGTTTCACGGAATGGTATCAACACAAACACAAATACTAATACAATGGGAGGGAAAACATATCATGTTTTGCCAATGTACCCAGACAGAAAGGAAAAACTTCGCAAGCTGGTCTCTTTACATGTATGACATTTGGACAATCTGGCTGCGATATTTGAACAACAAGACACCCATCAACCAGAGTCGAAGAAACTGCAGCCTAAAAGCAGGATAGTGTAATCAATATCAAGAGAACAAAGACTCGAGAAACTCTGCCTGACGTGGCCTCATTGAAATACTTCTACTCTCTCACTTTTCTCGGGTATTCATGGGAAGCTCATCTTCACCTCGGTAGTTAGCACACTTCACAGCCTGTTTTCGAGAGATCATATAATGTTTGAAATATGCTCGTACATCAACAACCAATCATCATCCGATATGGTGTACCGGCTAGCATCACCCGCTTTCAATGCTTTCATTAGCTATGATCCGGGTAGAACCGGGTTCGACTCCCGGTATCGGAATTACGATTACTGAACATTTCTTTTTTGGCTTTTTCGTCTTTTGCTGCGGGATGTTTTTTTTTTGCTTTTCGTAAGGGGAATTCATCGCATGTCATTTTGCAGCAGCAGCGGCGCTGGAAGGATTTTACGATCTACCTTACTACAGATACTTGGTTTTGGGGACTACATACTACATCAAGTCCGACAAAGTCGATAAAGAACATGGACACAAGTGGAGGGACATACCTCATCTTTCCGCCCTCCTGGCCACCGCTACCTACCTACCTTACAATCGGAATGACTGAACCACTTCCTTAGTACTCACCTACCCTACCCTGCCTGGTAGGTATGTATACATGTATGTCCTCGTCGCACATTGCAGTGCAGTGCAGTGCAGTGCAGGCAGACAGACAGACAGACTTTACCCGATAGGTCCCACGATGGACTTTTTACGGCATTGGCCTGTTCAACAGCTCTCTACCTTATAGTATAGCCTGTCCCGATAGATAAGGCGCAGCAGGGAGAGAAAGCAGAAAGCAGAGAAAGATTTTTTTTTTATTTTCGCGGGTCTGGAGATTGCGGCGGCGGTCGGTCGGTCTGAGATACCGGATTGAGCAAGTCCGCTCGCTCGCTTTCGGGTTTTTGGATGTCGGTGAAGAGAACGTTTTTAGGTATTGTAAGGTAAGGTAAGGTAAGGTAAGGTAGGGAGGGAGGTATGAGAACGAGAAAGTATATTACAGGTAGGTAAGGTAAGGTAAGGTAAGGTATGCTGCTGCGTTTTTTGATCATTCTAGGAATTTTTTCTTTGATGATAGGAGTTTACAGAACTTTTTTTTTCATTATATTGGATAGCACGATTGATTTTATCCTGTCGAGCTTGGGGCGATATATCTTACTTGAGAGGTAGAGAGAATTTCTACCTCCTAGGTACAGTATCTAACTAATTCATTGCGAAGTAACGAAAGAAGCATATCTGAAAGGCTCAGGTATCTACCTGGTACATATCTATCAATCGACTATGACCTCCTCTTCTACGACAAGAACTACGACTACAACTACAACTATACCAACAACAACAAAACCCTCAATGAACCACCAAGACCGAGATGAAAGACAAGAATATGAAGAAAAAGAAGATCGAGAAGAAAAAGAAAAAGAATCCCTCCCTCACCAACCAAAACAATCTTTAGATCCCACCACTTCCCACAGCATCGAGTCCACGTGGAGAGCACAACAACAACAACAAGCTCTTCTTCTCTCTCGCTCTTGTCCACTTGGATCTGGATCTGAATCTGAGTCTCTCCAATCATCATTTGCCTCTGCTTCTTCTTCTTCTTCTTCTTCTTCTTCTTCTTCTTCTTCTTCTTCTTCTTCCTCCTCCAATCTAGCCTCGGTAATAGCCACTCCGGATCCTCTTCTGGGAAAATCAGCAGCAATAGCAATAGCTTCGCGAGCTACTACGTCGAAACTTCGTTCTTCTATGATTGATGATGATAATGATGATGATGAAGCGAAAAATGAAGTTGTAGTTGTTGTTGAGATGGATGATGTGCACAGTACGGCTACTACTGCTGGTGGTGCTGGTGGTGGTGGTGCTGCTGCTACTACGTCCGTAATGGGCTATTTAGGCGACCCATTTGAAAATCCTTCAAAAGATTTCACGAAGACGAGAAATGGAGATGATGGGAAATTGGAATTTCAAAGGACGATGATGAGTCATCGGAATAGAAGATTGACGCCTGTTGGTAGTGAGGGGAAAAGATCGTTCTCGCAGTCAGTTGCAGTTGCAGTGGAAAAAGAAGAAGAAGGAGGAGGAGGAGGAGGAGGAGGAGGAGGAGGAGGAGAAGAAGAAGAAGCAAATGGCGGACCTCGAAAAGAACAAGGCGTACCACCGGAACTGAGCAACCTCACTGCAGAAATTATTTTTGTCAGCGTCTGTTCTGCAGGACAGCTCCTCTTTGCGTTTTTCATGGGAGACGTCAATGTCACGCAGCAATCTCTCAAGAAAGCTTTGAACCTCCCACAAGGAGAAATTCCATGGCTGATAGGTGCGTTTCTCACAGCTTTGGGACTCAGCGTTATTTTATCCGGTTCTCTTACGGATATTTTACCTCCTAAACTCCTCATCGTTGGCGCGTTCGTCTGGCTCACAATCTGGAATTTGGTGGGAGTTTTCACTTTGACTCCCTCTCGCGCGATTGCGTTCTTCATCGTGCGAGCTATGCAAGGCTTTGCAGTCGGCGTGCTCGTTTCTGGGAGTATGTCGATCCTCGGACGAGTGTATAACCCCGGACAGCGAAAAACTCGAGTCTTCAGCGCCATGGCAGCTGCTTCGCCGTTTGGATTCTGGCTTGGAGCACTCCAAGGAGGCGCGCTTGCCGAGAGACAGCAGTGGATTTATGGCAGTAATGCCATCATCTGTGGGATTTGCGCTGCGGCGGCGTATGCGACGATTCCGTCTTTGAAGCCCGCCGCAGACCACGGTTCTGCGCGTGTTCCTTCGATTCGGAATTTCGATTGGGAAGGCGCTATTTGTGCTGTCGTGGGATGCATTTGTCTCCTCTTCGGCCTCACGCAGGGCTCGGTCGCGCACTGGTCGCCTTACACGTATGCACTGATCATCGTCGGCGTCCTCGTCCTCAGTCTCTTCTTCTGGGTCGAAACCAAAGTCCCCCGGCCCCTCGTTCCCGCTCGCCTATGGAAAACACCAGGTTTCGCACCTCTGATGCTCGCATACTTTCTCGGGTTTGGCGGGTTTGTAGGTGCGTGGCAATTCTACGCCGTACAATTCTTTCTCAATCAGCAACACGTCTCCTCTCTCACCGTCGCCCTCTACCTCCTCCCCAACGCCATCTGCGGCGTCCTGGCCACATGGATCGTCTCTAAACTCATGCATCGCATTCCCGGACATTACATCTTCTTCGCAGCGCAAGTCGCCTTCGCTCTCGGGCCTGCCTTTTTTCTCCCCCAGACTGCGTCCTCGAACTATTTCGCCCTCTCGATGCCCGGGATTGGGTTGGCGACGTTTGGTCCCGATTTGAGCTTCGCGGCAGCGAGTATCTACATCACATCGCAAGTCCCGCGCAATTATCAGGGATCTGCGGGGAGTTTGTTGGTTACGATACAGAATTTGAGTGGTGCGATTATGACTAGTGTGGCAGACAGTATTGCTGCCAAGGTCGACACCCAAGAGAATGGAGAGGTCGGGTTGGAGGGCTTGAGAGCTGCGTGGTGGTTGGCTTTGGCGGCTGCTGTCGTCGGGGCGGTGGTGACGGCTGTTTGGGTGAGGATACCGAAGGAGGAAGAGAAGGATCATGTTGCTTAGTATGTAGGAAGAGGAGATGAGCAGATGTCGTTTACGTGGTCATGATAATGATAATGATATTCTAGAGAAGTTCATTGGCGTAACAAGTACTCGTTAGTAAAAAGTAGATATGGCTCTCGAACGGCTGTTCCTCGTTGAGAGTTTGAACATTTAGAGACGTTCGTGAGACTGGTCGGTGCGGTGGTATATGAGCGGACGGCAGTCGGGAGGAGCAGACTGATACCCATGTGTAGGTAGGGAGGTAAGGTAGTGATCCGTCAAGGTCTTGTACCTAGACACCTGACCTTACCTGTATGTAGGTAGTCAGTAGGTGCACACTTACTCTACCTAACCTACCATACTTACCTGTACTTACTGGCCAGACTTGTAATATTACATATTGCCTCCTAGGTAAGCACTCAGACTGGAAACGCAACGTGCCCGGGTTCGTGCGACTAGGTAGATACCGGTAGGTCAAGACATTTTGGTGACCTTCCGTTCATATAAAGACCGTTATGTCAGCACCACCCGGTAATAGTTGTATCGTGGACTGCTTCACTTCCTTCGAGATACGAAGTCGGAGAAGCCGTGGGCGATGGGGCCACCGGGCAGCCTGGAGGTCGGCGGTCATGGTTTCCGAATCCAAGGTGTGCGACCGAGGCTGGCGGGGCTTGGTATTGGAGGGTATTGGAGGGCGACTGTGGAGAGCCGTTTAAATGAATGGTTCATGAGTGCCTCCAGGCGTTCTGTCACCTCCAGGTGTGATGGAATGGAACTTATGGAAGATACATGAGTGATAGTACCTACATACATACATGTATCCAGTGGTGTCATGACATGTGCAGGTAGCAAGGGCGTGCCAAGGCATTGCCTTATTGTCGGAGGTTGCTTCATGTTTCTCCTAGATTGTTGATACTGATAGGAGCATGAACCCGGACGAGACGCCGGAATGAAGTCAGCAGCATGCAGCAGCGATGATCAAGGTCCAAACTTCTCGAGATGGAGGAAAGGCTGCTTGATAGAACGGTGCGGTAGTCCTAATTGGGCCGATATGCACAATTGGAAAAAAAAGCAGCGAAAAGGAAGTAGAGGCGGACATGAACTAATTCATTGGATTTCATTCATGGACGCATCACAGAACTCAAACTGGGATCCATACTACTCATATTTTTCGGACAACCGCCCGCTTCGGCTCCTGTCACGATTTGTGAGCGAAGCGGAGTGCACATGGCTTGTCATGCAGCTGCTTCCTGCGGGTAAGATGCATCTTGATCGATCGTGTGCCTGGACGCCCCGTCTCGCTCTGTGAAAGCCCGGCGTGGTGGTGGACGCCCGTCGATGGTGCTGTGCTCGTGAGAAAGGGTGCAAGGCGATCCTCCATAATGGAGGTGGTAGAGGGACTGTTTATAGATGTGGCGAGTCGTTGTCAAACGTGTGCGGCTGCACAACTGGGCGGTGATCATCCCCTTTCACTTACTGATCACCCTGAAGAGTCTAATGCAGGCCCTGGAACAGGGTGTTTCAGAGTTCCCGTCGTGTCCTCGAGCGCTGGAAGCAGCAGATTCCATGTTGATAAGAATAGCATGGAAGTATTCGTCTGCTGGTGATGGTGGAAGAGCGCGCAGTAGGAGGTGGTAGACACTAGACAGTATTGCTCCAGCAGCAGCAGTAGTGGAGTCCCTAGTGAACGGGCAAAGGGTCTCAGCGACGGGAGCCGTGGTAGAAGGATACAGGCCCAAAGCAGCACGACAACAGTGTTTAGCGCACATTTGAGGGCGTCGGGAAAGTCTGCCGACCGCGAACCAGGAGTGCCAGGAGTCAGGTACGTACTGTAGCATGAGTTAGAACTACCTGGGTAGCGTAGCCTCTCTCCCTGCCAGCCCAGCCTTTCCTCCCGAATTGGTTGTTGGAGGCTGTTTTCACTTTCGCACCTCTACCGAGCACAATTTCTTGTCGTTTTTGCTGTTCTGCACTGTATACTGTTCCTGACCCTCGACCACAACAACATCCGCGTCCCACGACTGAGCTGCTTCGATTGCGCAGCTGTGGTACGAGCGGGAAAAAGTTGGCAGCAGCGCGTCGCAAACACGTTCTGTCTCACCATTGCGGAAATCCCCATACCTCACCCAGCCTGGTACCTAGAGTTTCCCGTGCGAACGACCTTCCACCAGCCACTGTCCATCCCATCTCCACCCCCGACCGCGGCTCACTACTGTCGAGCACGCACGCACGCACGACACCACTACCACCACCCATCCACCACCGCCATCACTACACTGGACAGGCCTCCATCGACTTGCGAGAAAGAGCCTGGATGTGTGCGCGCTGCGAGCTCTCGCCTGTCGCCTGACCTGGTCTCAGCGTCTCCTGGAGACTGCGTGAAGTCGACCGCACACAAAAACCGCGCACTATACACGAAACATGTCCTTCTTATTCAAATCGTCCAAGAAAGGCGCGTCTGGGCCCGTGGCCACCCAAAACGCGCCTTCACTGCACGCCGTGAGGGAACAGGCATCGAGGGATCCGGCGTTGCCCAGTCAAATACCCACGCTGAATGGCTCACATACCAATGGCGCGAAATCAGGCTCACCGACACCGCCGCAGAGCGTCAATGCGAGTCTGAACTCCATACAGGGCTTCGACAAGTCCGCAGCTCGGTCAGCGGACGAGCGGGCGCACGCAATGCGAGACGAAGGAGCGCGATTGCACGGCGTGTCGAGCCCGGAGCCAAAGATGCTGCGTGAGGGCCGAAGGGATGCCAGTCAGGATGCGGTATGCGCGAAACTGCATATTCGGTACATGTAGGAATACAGCAAGGCTAATCATGTGCAATAGGTTGGCCAAAGGTTACCTATGCAGCAACCGCGACCCTCGCAGGAAAACTCCCCATACCCTTGGTCACAACGGCGCCTCAACTTCACTGTGACGAATACCAACCCCTTCCCACGTTACGGCGCTGCTGTCAACTCGAGCTCGAGCAAAGATGGCTCAATTTATCTGATGGGCGGCCTCATCAATGGTAGTACCGTTAAGGGCGATCTATGGATGGTGGAGTGCGGCCCAACTGGCATGGGGAGTATGACATGTTTTCCCGTCGCGACCACGAGTGAAGGCCCGGGACCTAGAGTGGGACATGCGAGTCTGCTGGTGGGTAATGCCTTCATTGTATTTGGAGGTGACACCAAAATGGACGAGGGTGATATGCTGGACGACACCCTCTATCTGCTCAACACATGTAAGCCCGAAGACACTCTGTGCGAGTGAGCGGATGCTAACACATCGATAGCCACCAAGCAATGGTCAAGAGCACTGCCAGCCGGGCCCAGGCCGCCCGGACGATATGGGCATACTCTGAACATCCTGGGCAGCAAGATCTACATATTCGGAGGTCAGGTGGAAGGCTATTTCTTTAACGACTTGGTGGCTTTTGACCTGAATGCACTGCAGCAAGCGACCAATAAATGGGAGATACTCATTCAGAACACTATCGACGGCGGTCCACCTCATGGTCAGATTCCTCCTGCGCGCACGAATCACACCATGATCACCTGGCAGGACCGACTATATCTGTTCGGAGGTACAGACGGCATCCACTGGTACAACGACGTGTGGTCGTACTCGCCCCATTCCAACTCCTGGACCGAACTGGAGTGCATCGGCTACATCCCAGTGGCTCGTGAGGGACATGCTGCTGCGCTCGTGGGCGATGTCATGTACATCTTTGGCGGCCGCAACGAGGAGGGCAATGACCTGGGAGATCTGGCAGCATTTCGAATCAGCTCTCGTCGATGGTACACTTTCCAGAACATGGGACCTTGCCCTAGCCCACGATCCGGCCATAGCATGACAACAGTGGGTAAGTCGATTGTTGTGTTGGCTGGCGAGCCGAGCAGTGCACCTCGCGACCCCATCGAACTGGGGTTGGCCTACTTCCTGGATACGAGCAAGATCAGATATCCTCCCGATTCCACGTCGAACACTCCCACGAGCGAGCGAGCAGCTACAAGGCGGCCGAGTGGTGAGCGTGGTGGCTCATTGTCGGGAATACGAGGACCAACACCGGCGCAGAGGTCAGAGCTCATGGGCAGCGAACGTAGCGGTAGCGCTGGCGACAACCGCATACGAACCAACGACGGGAACTCACGCTTACCTCGCCCGGGCCAGCCACCTCCTCAGGGCCCGCCTCCACAAGCGCCTGGACAGATGCGACAGACTGGCCCACCTGTGACTGCACGACAGCCGACGCGCTCCGCCGATAGAGCAATCAGTCCATCGAACGAGAACGGCCGCCCTCAACAAAGATTCGAGAACGTGGCTGCCGTTGCATCGGCAGCAGCAGCACGAGCATCGCCTGTGCAGAGAGAGCGAGCAATGCCAATGTCACCTACCTTTGGAGAAGGGCAGAGTCCAGCGACACAAGCAGAAGAGCAGACACGTGCAAAACCAGAGACGTATACACCTTCTCAGGAACTGCCCGGTTCTTTCCCGCAGACACCTGGCTTAGAGTCTCGGAATGAGTCGAGGAACGGTTCGCGAAGCGCCTCGAGGCAGAGGGGGAATCCTTTCGACGAGACGCCGCGGCCATCCGTGGACAGCGAGCCTTTGACGAGAGTAAGAAAGATATCAGAGGAACACGAGAGGCCGCAGGACTCGGGGCTTGGATCATCGCCAGCACTGACATCGCAATACGAGGAGATGGTCAGAGAGCTTGAGCAAGTCAAGCACAAAAATGCTTGGTATGCTTCGGAACTGGCGTTAGCGAAGAAGTCGGGCTACCAGTCACGGTCCACGGAGTCGCCTGTTTTTGATGAAAGTTCCAAGCAGACCTTCAAGGATGACGACAAGCCATTGATTGAGGCTCTCCTGAAGATGCGCACAGAGCTCGCGAAAATGCAAGAGGCCATTGACGAACAGAGCAAGAGTGCGGCCACGCGAATTGCGGAGACTGAAAGGCAGCGGGATACCGCAGTCAGTGAAGCTGTCTTTGCGAAAGCGAAACTCGCCGGCTCCGGCAGTCCACGACCTGATGCCGAACCCAAAAGTACGGATCGCAACAACGACATCAGTCGGCGCCTCGCATCTTCCCTCGAGGCTCAAAGCGAGCTCAAGCGCCAGATTGAGTCCCTGATTCAGAACACCGAGGCTGAGAGGAAGGCACGCGAGCTCGCCGAAGACACTGCCAACGCTGCGCAGAAACGAGCCTTGGAACTTGATACGTATAGGCAACAGCACGCGTCCGAGATCGAGAGTCTGCGCTCGGAGCTCCACGAAGCACAAAAGGCACATCGCGAAGCCGCAGCAAGCCATGCTGAAATCTTGACGCAGCATAAAATCTTGGAGGTCGACAAGGGCGAACTCAGCCGACAACTCGATGGCATGACGGCCGAAGGGAATACGCATGTCTCGGTACTAGCGTCGTTGCATCAAGCTGTCGGTGCTTCTACCGAAAAGGCAGACCTTTTGCAGAAAAAGCTGGAAGAGGAGCGCAGCAGCCGAGATGAGCTTGAACAGAGCCTGCGCGAGCTTCGGACACAGCATGAGCAGCGCACTGGAGAGCTGGAGAGCACCTCCCGACGATTGCGTGATGCCGAAGAGCTTGCGCACAGACATGCCGAAGAAGCGCGAACGCATCGTGAGGCCGTGATGGCAGGCCTGGGCAAAGTCACAAACCGCGACATTGACTCTTCCAAGGCTCATGATGAACGTCTCGCCATCCTGCAGCAGCAAGTCGATGCTGCACAAGCTCAAGTGAGGCATAACCAAGCTGCCGCTGACGCCGCTTCTGAAAAGTTGCGACGCGCGGAGGAACGGATCGCCGGTCTGGAGTCGTATCAAGAGCAAGCTAGCCGCGAAGGTCTGTCTATCAGGAAACAGCTGCAGGTGGCAATGAAGGAGAATCAGGCCCTGAATAGCGAGAAGGTTGAACTCGAGCGAAAGATGGAACGGCATATGCTCGAGACGAACGCCTTGTCTGTCCAGCATGCTTCACTCAAGGACGTCCTCAATGAGCGTGGCATTAGCGCTGCTGACAAGAGAAGATCACGCGGATTGGACTCACCAGGCAGCCATCGATTCAGCACACCTGACCTACATCGCGTTCGCGACCTCGAACAGCAGCTCGAGACTCAAGCGAAGGCACACGAAGAAATGAAGGCCCAATACGAGGAGGTCAACGAACGGGGCGCGCAAATGAAGCGCGAATACGAGGAGAAGCTTGCTGCTCTCGACAACGATCACCAGGCTGCAGTGAAATATCTTCGTGGCACGGAGAAGATGCTTTCTAAGATGAAGCAGGAAATGCAACGTGTCAAGAATGAAAACGCTGAGTTGGGCAAAAAGCTCACCAAAGCCAAGGACGACATTGAGTCAAGCGCCAGGAGCACGCCTGCCACGGATCGTTACAACGAAGAGTGGGAGGCTGAACGCCAAAAGTTGAAGCAGGAGGTGTCGACTGTCCAGGCCAGCCTACAGGGGTCCATCAAGGATCTCGAAGGTCGACTTGCCAAGATGCAGGAAGAGTTGTCGCAGACCAAGAGCTCTCACTCAACCACGCAAGCCGAGCTGCAAAGTCTGCATTCCACCGTTGCAACGTCCAAGGCTGACATGGAGCGACTGGAAAAAGAGAATGGACTGCTGGAAGAACGAGCCCGTGACGCCGAGAACAAGGTCCAGCTTCTGCTTGATCAGGTCGAATCGAGTGTGGACAATTACCGCCGCCAGTCGAGGATGCGCAGCCCTACTGGTACCCCTACCTTGAATGGAATCGTGCATCAGCGTGCTCCCAGCGGCAGTGAATCAAGCGTCGATGCCAACGAGACACATGTCCCTACGCACCTTAAAGGGCATTCGCGTCAAGTCTCTGGCGGAGGAGACTCTACCTACTCTGCCACTGAATCGGCCACAGGCAATGAAGGACGAAATTCATTGGCCCTCGACTCTCTCGCTTCCGAATTGGACGCCCTGCGGACTCATTGGGAAACCACCACCTCGAAGAATTACCGCCTCTCCGATCGCTTTGATTATGATAGAACACCCACCACTACTACTGGACCGGCGGGCGCCAATGGTGATAGCAGCCTAATGGATTGGCGGCGCGGTCTCGAAATTGATGATGACGATGATAATGCTACTAGGCCCGGCACATCTGATGGAACCAAGACCAGCAGAGGCCCGGCTGTCACGAAAAGACGAAGCTTTGACGAACCTACACCCACAGCTACCCCCCGGCTTGGTGTCGAAGGTGGTCTGCTATAGCACGGTGATTTGGGAACATGTGGGCCTCTTCATCAGCCTAGATGCTGATTGTATGACTGGAGGGGCGTAATGGCAGGCATGCTCGGGAACAACATCGTGAATTGGATGTTGTGAGCACACTGGAATGCAAGTACGCAGAAACGAGAGCACGCAGTGACATGCGTCGTCTCCTCGACGATCGTTATAGGCTTTCCTCGTGTGATGGTCAGAAATTGTATGGTTTTCGATTTTCTTTTCTCTGAGTTCAAAGACACGACTCTGTACCATGGAGGTACTTGCTGTTCTGTAGATCTATACATATGTATATATACCCTCTGCTTGTGTGGCTTTCGGTTAGGGTGACGATGAAGAGAGCGGAAGGAATTGTACGAGAGAGCGGCGACAGAGACATGTCGTATTGCTACAATGGAGCTGGTCAGGAGACTGTTGTAACTGCGATTTCCTGTCCACGGCAGATCCCACCTCCATTCACCCACCACCGTTCACTGTTGTTTTCTGCTGTCTGTTGTTGTTGTTGTTGTTGCCACCGGCAGTCCCCGCGCTCCGGTCGGTCGGTTTCGTCATCTCCTGCTGAGCTTCGGCCTCCAACTACCTCCTAGGTACCTACATGTACATACATACATGTACCTACCTTAGGTATATACGTACTTTGGAGGTATGTACATGTCCTCGCAGACTTCACCTTGCAATTCTTTCATTTCAGGCAACATGCGAACGAAAACGATGCAATGACGCGTCCGACGGTAACAAGACGCCGGACGATACCAGACCTCCGTCGCTCGCCTTCTACTCCTAGGCAGCACGGCTACCTCTACTCAAGAACAACTACAACGACGACAACAACAACAACAATAACCCGTCCGCTTGCCGCCAACATCTTCTCCGTCGACTTCACCATGGCAGGCATTCGATTCCTCCAGCGATTGCCCGAAGAGCTGCTGCAGAACGTTGTGGAGCGACTTGAGCGACCGGACTTGCAGAGCCTGAGTCAGACATCGATCTGGTGTTATCAAGTCGCCACCGCGCACCTCTGGCGGACTGTCGAGCTGGTCGATTGCAAAACAGAACACGACGACGCGTACGGCGATCCCGAGTACGACGACCACGACGACACGCCCTTGCTCAAGAAGCTCTTTCTCCTGGCGACGAAGCCATGGCTCGCCGCGCACGTCCAAGTTCTCACCCATCGATGCCACCTGCCCCCACCCGCCATCTTCCATGAATTGCCCAGGAATGCCTTCAGTGCGCAAACGCTGTCCGCAGATCCAAGGACCATCAAGCTCGCCCAGATGGCGGTCGGGAACATGAAGAAAGTGCATACGGTTCGAATCATTTTCGGACATCCCCATTTGACGGATGCTCTGTTGAGATGCTTCTTTGACTCCAGACGAGCCACGGGTGACTACGCCCGAGTGCGTAAGCTCTGGCTCGAGAATTGTCGTGTCTCTGCGGGACTGAATCCAGATATTGATTACCATCCTTACGGCTTGCCTCTACGGCTCGATTTCACGGGCTTGGAAAGCATTCGCCTTCGCCGGATGCCGATGCGAGCAGGACCACTGGATCGTGCTGGCTACGCGAATTATACAGTCTATGCGCGAGATCTGTATACCGAAGAACTACAAGACGGTCTCGGTGGAAGATATGCCGCGAGTACCAACCGCTTGTCGACTGAAATGAGAGCAGGAGATGATTATCTCACGTGGCTGGAGGCTCAAGGAAAGAAGACCACAACGGAGTTTGGGCGCACAGATCCAAGGAGCTTACCGCAGTCGATGGAGGAGCACCCACTCGTGGACATCTACAGAACTGCGCAACGGTTTGACGCGCACATGTATAAGGCGTTGGGCAAGCTGGTGAAGCTGCCAGACGATGTGCGCTTGCTTGGCGAGTTGACAAGCCAGAAAAGAGCTGAGATCGCATATCGAGGCAACATACTCGACCCAGGATCGCTATCGAAGGTGCCCATGGCTTTGCGACATATGCAGGCCGAGAAGATGCCGTGCGCTGATGCAGCCATGCTCATGGTGCATAATGCGAGCGCCAGTTTGACTTCGCTCAATCTGGACTGGATTCTGAGTGTGCCACACCTTACACCCGGAAATTACCTGCATTGTGGCGAGCAGAGATTTGAGAATTGGATCGCGATGTATCACAATTTGTTCCGTTGCCGCTTTCCCAAACTCAGAGCCTTTCAAGTCCGCAATTGTGTGGTGATGCACACAACACTCCCGGACGGATTATATCTTCTCGACACGTCCACCATCGCCACTGAGAAGCCGCTGACCAGTCGAGATCCGGCCACTGGTGAAGATGTGCCCTTCGCGCTCGCTGGTCTGGCTTTTATGGAAGCCCACCCAGAACTTCAATGCTTATCTTGGCCAATGACCCGCTTTTTCTCCAACAAACCGTCGACGCCCGAAGTGCAACAGCGAGTGAATCTTGTTCTGGAGAACATGGCTCGTAATCTGATCGATTTGCGGGTTGACACCAAGTTCAGCGAGATTGGCGAACCATTCTCCGAAACGGACGGCATGGGGAATCTCGAGGATCGCATCCGACGAAAGCGCTTCATCGCAGAGTTTGCTCCCAAGATGAGAAATCTGCGAAATATCAAAATCGAGGGTGGCATGCCGCGAGACGAGAGACGAGAGGTGGTGCGGGCCCTGCATGCATGCAGTCTGGAAAAGATCGTGACAATCGGAATTTGCAGTCCGATCGGCAATACCTGGGGTGAAGATGGTGATGAAGTGAGCGAACACGTCGATGAAATGGACCGGACCAATCTCGAAGCTGAAGACAAGTCTGCAGTGTTCCAACTGGGCGTGAGCAAGCCGCTCCCACCTTACAGCGATTTCACATTCGTCCCACAATACGGTTGGGACGGACAGCCGCCGATGCTGCATACACTCGCATCATACCATGCAGACACTATTCGCGAGTTGAAGTTTTGCGGCTGGAAGGGTGCTCCATTGTTGCTGAACCCAACGCCTCTAACTACGCCTCTTCTTTCACCCCTGAAACACTTTCACAAGCTCGAGTCGCTGATCATCAGTCTATGGCTGAGTACACAATTTGCAGGCCACCCTCGCGATAGCGAAGTCATATCCTACTGGACCAACGCCCGATCGCCCGCAGCCCAGGCGCTGGTCCTGATCTCGGACGAGGAACCTGAAAATGCGTGGGATTTGGAGCTGCGAACCAAGTACGCGCCTGGTGCACTGGCATGGCGTGTGACAAATCTCTTGGGACCATTTCTGAGCCCTGAAGCGAAGAGTCGACCAGGGGGTGTGCATGTGAGGGCTTCGTTTAGTATCGGGGACTGGGGTGGAATCTTCGACCTGGATTTGCATATCGGGAAGGGAGCTCTGAAAAGTGACGTCTGTCTGGGTTACGTGGGACCCCGAGAGGAAAACGAGGAGACTCGTCGAAAGGAAAAGTTGGAAGGACGACGGTGGTTTTGATGATATGCAGTAGTCATGCTGCTTTACCATTGCACCGCGGACGTGGGGATGAACGCGATGAGCGATGACTCGAAATACACAGTCCACACAGATTGCGTCGGGAGAGTCTTGTCCAGCAGACAAAGACTGGGTATTCCCGCCCGATCACCATTGCGGGAGGTGATGCGTCGGACAGACGACGACAAGGGAGAGGGTTGATACATTTTCGTGACGGGCACTAAAGTCACCAGCTGGTAGAGAGTGTCAAAGGGGGATCAAATTGCATGTCCTGGGTCGGTGTGGAAGCGGATCGACCTACAGTAGACTAGCAACTTTGAAACCGGAAACTTCACTCATCTCACGTGCCAAGAGTGTACATACTGTACCTACGTCACGTATAAGGTCCTATGTACATCGTGATGAAATCTGCTTGAGTAGGTCAGGTAGGTACATGTATGGCAGCATAGCCGTAAGACCCAACAGCCTTTCTTCCTCGCATCATCTATGCAGTGTCAGTGCACCGAGCAAAGTGGTACATGGTCAAGATACCTTCAGAGCCTGGACAAATAGTAAAGATGGCTTCGCTAGTTTAGAGAGTAGATTTCTAGATGTTCAGAGTTTACTTGCAAGTCCAGTTATATTGAGCTCCCTGGGTCGCCTCGAATACCTACCTTACCTCCTACCTGTTGAAGTGTAAAATTGAGATCCATGATTGTCAATTGAGTGTCTATCAGCTGTGCTATATAGACATTGTCTCTTGTGCCTCAGGCTTCAACCTCGCCGTCCTTCATCGCCGTCCTGACCGTTTGCAACGGGTGCCTGAATGCTGTGTGCTACATCAACACTACCTACATTAGGTACTTTATGCCAAGCCATATTGACTACCTCCTGACAAAGTCGTGATTGCAGGGCGAATGATGCAATCGTTTTTTCTGTTCTCAAACATTTCAGTCCTTCTTAGCCGCATATTTTCTGTAGTCATAGGATATACCTCTTGACAAGTTTATGACTATTTCTATTTTGTGATTTAATATCAGTACAGCCTACAATCTCTTTTTCTGTAGTCGTTTTTTCAAAAGTTCCCTAAGAGTAAGGGGCTGTTCAATAGCCTCTAACCGCAGTTGCTACGGCTCGAATTTGCACTGTTTCTGCTCTATTGAACGTATTAACGCCGCAATACGGCAGTTAATAAAGCTATTGAACGCTAGTCGCAGTTGCTATAGTCTATATAGTTGCCTAAAGTCCGTAAATATACAGTTGAACTGTAATCAACTCAATTACATTGCCTATATTGTATCTTAGTATACCGGCTTGCCTAATATAGTAATCTATCAATAATATCGAACTGCGACTATCAATACGGCTGTTAAGGTGCATTTTCTATCGCATTGCCTCTATTCTATAGTTACTAACGTCTAAAAGCAGTAATTTTACGAACGATCGATGTTATCTAATAGCGAGGAGGAACGATAGTCTACTACCAATCTCGCCGCCGCCGCCGTATACTACGACGAATTCCTATTACGCGACCCTTAGAAAGAGAGCGACTATAGTACTCTGTAGACAGTATACTTTATTAACTATAAAGACGAGTTATATAGGTTAATGCATATTGATAGGCGTACATTTGAGGCCTTGCTAGCAAGATTGATAATGTCTTATAGCTTGGAATCAGAGCGTATACTAACAGCTACTAAGAGACTTATACATTTCCTATATATTGTAGGATAGGGTAGTAGGTTCCGGGCTGTAAAGAGTCAGTTTAGAAGGCCGCTAGGTACAATAAGCGACAGTTTCTACTATGTTATAGCTATACTGCTATCGCTGTATAAGGAGGTAGTATAAGAGCCGGATTATAAGGCAATACCTATACGGATTCAGAGTAATAGCAAGTTCTTTCTATACTTCTAGGATTGCGTTAGAGCCCTAGATAGTAGCTATATTAAGGCTTATATTATAGGGGAAAGCAAGCTATTCCGGAATCGTAAAGGCGACCTCTCCTAGAATGTATTAGCCGTAGTAGACTTCAATATGCTGTTTACCTATATATTAGCTAGATAGGAGGGCTCTATAGCGGACGTTACTGTACTAGGCTACGCTAGAGATATAGATAGATTCGGGGCAAACCTACCTCTAGGCAAGTACTACCTTGCAGACGCTAGCTATGTCTCTTCGGATATAACGTTGATTCTATATTCTAGCGGGGTTCGGTATTACCTGAAAGAGTAGTTACAACTATTGGTTACTATATAGCGTAGTAGTAGACAACAGGCAGACCTGCGTCTAGTTAATACGAAGGAACTCTTTAATCTACGCTATTCCTTACTACGCAATGTTGTAGAGCGAGTGTTTGGCGTCCTTAAGAATCGATTCTATATCCTTAAGAAGCGTTCTCGGTATAATAAAGAGACGTAGGTACGGCTTGTCTATACCTTAGTAGTACTATACAATTTTATCCGTCGTACTAACGCAGAGGATACGCTGTTTAAGGATAAAATAGCACGGATAGAACGAGATGTACTATTACCGCAGAGGGCCGATATGTTCAATTAGAATATAGGGCCGAGTCGATCGGTCGATAGGCAAGAGAAGGAGATAGACAGGTTCTAGGATATAGTAGCTACGGATATATAGGAGGACTATAAGTATACACTAGCAACTAGTAGTAGGGCTATCCGCGTAGAAGATAAGATTCCTTGAGTAGTAGCTCTATATCCGTACGTTTTGACCGTCAGGCCCCCGGGGCCTAACTAAGAGGGGGGAGGGGGGGGGGAGGGGGGGGGGGCATAAGAAGCAAGATATAGCGATAACTGCTAGACGGACGGAACGACTCGAGATTTATTTGAGATATATATAAAGTAGTATACAGTATTGTAGAGACAGTAGGGTAGTAGGGTAGTAGTGTAGTATAATAGAGCTCTTAGTTTATTAGGCGTAGTATATCCGGAACTGTACTAGAACGGCGGTCTGCCTCCTTATCGGTATTCTTATTGTTACTCTCTAACAGTCTGATCTTATAAGGCCGCATAGCGTCGAGGTCAATGCCCTCGATAATATCGCGGCGTATAACTATAGTATAGTGCTTCCTACTAGCGGCCTCTGCTTTAGCAATACGTATAAGCTGCTTCTATCGACGGTTACGTATAAAGTCAACGCGAGCTACCTTACGGTTAAAGCTATTATCTGTATTGTTGTCAGATTGGATAGTAGCTATAAAGCGTAGGCGATACTTATAGTTACCCTCTACAAATAGAGCTACTATCTACGGTTGTTCGTTCTACGTCCGTATACAGGTATTAGAATAGAGCTAAGTACTAAAGAAAGCGAACATTAACGTTCTCGCTTCCGTTAGTTAACGCTTGGGTTCGAGCCTAGCCTCTACGGCAATAGCAGCAGCTCTCTCTATAGATTTACCAAGCAACTTAGCGCTAGATACCTTCTTCTCCCTCGGGGTTAAGAGAGGAACTGTACCGGCCCGGCGGGTATTAATACTATTCGCAGCCGGCGTTGCGGGACCGTTATCGTCGTCGTCCTCCTCTTCTACTACTTCTTCGGTAATAGCCGCTGCCTTATCTAACGCAACGCCCGGCTAGATAGTACGCTTGCGCTTCTTTCCCTAACTACTAGCAATTGCGGTACTAGTACCCCTAATAGAGAGGTATCTAGTTGCAGTCTTTATAGCCTATATAGCCTAACACTACTACGCTCCTAGCAATAGCTCAGACCGCAATGATCTCGTATGCTTATAACAATCTAGCTTAAGGTACTTCTCCTAGACATAGTCGTCTGCTATAACGAGGCCGGTAATCCAATTAATGCCAAACCTACTATACTTAAAGAGTAAACGCTCTGTAGCCTGCGTCCGTCGTTAGTATTAGTCTTCTTTTGTCTTATACTAACCCTAATATAGGGTCAGTGTCTACGCTTCCTCTAGATACAGCTCCTTTGCTATATTGAGCACGATAGCGATAAGATAGTCTCTCTCTAGCTTGCGCAGACTACCGGCCCTATGCTTGTTACGAGCTAGTACCTTGATATAAGCCTCTAGTAGTTTGAATTCTAGTACCCGGCCGGCGTCCTATAGAAAAGGAGGAGATTTCTGCTTCTTCTAACTACTACTGTCCTAATATTCCGCCTATATACTAGCAACATCCCTACTAACGTCCTCGTTATTATTATCGTCTTCGTCTTTATCGTCCCCGTTGCCGAGTGTATAACTAGTAGAGTCTTAGGAGGCAGGCCTACTTGTACTATTCTCTTCGTCGCCGAGCAGAGACTAACTCTTACCAAATTGGCCTAGACTGTCCTCTAAGAACGGGTCGAGGATACCGGTTATTAGGGATTTATTCCTAGTAGATAGGTAGTCTAGGTACCTAGTAAGTAGGTATAGCTACGACTAAGAAGATGCTCGATCGGGTAGGGTAGGGCGCTTCGGAGGAGGCGAGACGATATCCTCTATAGTTATAGCCTTTAAGTATACGAGAGCTCGTTACGCGGCGGCATCGCGGTCTGCCTTCTCGTTAAACAATTAGTTCTATAATTTGCCGGTATTATGCTTTACTCGGGGTCTCGGAGGTATATTGATAGCCGTACAGTATAGCGACTATCGGTTCGATTGGCGTAAAAAGAGTAGAATCGAAAGCGCTTAATACTATGTTTAATTCGGCCTATCGATCGTATTATATACTAATATATTAATAGAGCAGTAGTCGTATTAATACCTTAAGTAACACTTACAGTTGTTTGTATATATAACTTCGGAGCTATCCGAGGCGGCTTAGCGCAGGTTGATAGCACAGTACTATATAGTTAATAGTATAGTACTATATAAAGTCGGCCTATTAAACAATATAGCCGTTTGTAGGCACTACAGTTACTGTCGTACTGCAAATACCGTCTAATATATTGCGACCGTTAACCGCAGCGACTGAGAGCGTCACTATCGAAGCCAGCGGTGTTTATAGGGCCATCGCAGTAACTGCGGCAACTGCGGCTGGAGGCTATTGAACAGCCCCTAAAGACCGCCGATCTCGGTCACGCCGCGCCAAGACTTTTCCCTGAGTACCTCCATTCGCCACCCCTTTGACTCTGTTTTTGCTTCCTCCTCCTCCTCCTCCTCCTCCTATCGAAACACCAAGAAAGAAAGAAGAACAAACCTACTGAAAGCAAGACAGATAGGTATAGAGAAATATACCTATTGCGGCACGTGATACTGTACTCTACCTTCAGGACTGAAACGGCACGGAACGAATAGAGAACGTCGAACTCGCGTTGTCGCTATACACACGCTTACTCACTCTGCGGCTTGTCGGGTAGCCCTAGAGTAGCGAACAAAGCCTTCTATTGTTCGAACGTGACGTATCAGACAAACAAGACAAACAAGACAAACAAGGAGAGCTGCTCTTACGGGGGAAACTATACGTTGAAGTTCAAGTTAAGCGTTGCCAGTTCTTCGGGGCTCTTGGATTGACTACTAGGAGGTAGAACGAAGAGAGAGAGAGAGAGGTGAAGAGAGAGAAAGATTCATTGTCCAGCAAAAGTATCCTCGTCGGACCATCGGCAAGCGACCTTTCCACGTGCTCGCGGGTTTCGACCACACACATGTCTCGAAATCCTCCTCATCATACGAGCGGTCTGGTAAAACGCGTTATCAGGACGTTAATCGATGTCCGATCCTCCTCCCCCGGTGAGCTTTCACCATGCATGAAGTCGTTGTTGCCCGGGCGGCAAACTCGGGCCGCGTGGCAAGGGAGGGTGTACGGTGGTGATGGGGGGAGTACTACTACCACAACTCGTGCAGCAGCCATGTTTGTCGAGAGACCGTTGGCCAACGCTCTTGTTGCTTCCAGACGAGCAAACTTGAGGGAGTTTGTTGGTTCGAGAAGATTTTGGGCAAACTTGGACAGTATAAGAAGAAGAAGAACGATGGCTACACTTGCAGACGATGCACCAGTGTACAGAAGAGATTCCGCAATGTCGGATTTGCACAGCACGTATGAGGCTGTGGTGGTGGGAGCAGGACCGGCGGGGATCGTATCTGTGGGAAATTTGTTGGAGAAGCAAGTCGGCAATATTCTCTGGGTGGATGAGACTTTTCAAGGAGGCAGAATCAATCAGTACTACCGCGAAGTGCCTTCGAATACCAAGACCAAGCTCTTTTTGGAGTTTGCGGAATCGGTTACTCCGTTTCGGAATATTGTGAGCGCTGGTAGCAGCAAAGATTTACTCCAAGATATTCGAAAGCTGGACCAGGAGAAAGGTTGTCAACTCAGCCACGCAGCAGATATCTGCCTCATGCTCACCTCCGGCCTCAAGAACACTCCCGGCGTCACAGCGCAACCCGGCCGCGTCACATCCGCCACTCTCGACGAGCGTTCTCAAACCTGGAACGTCAACCTCACCACCCCAACCCAATCCTCCTCCTCCTCCTCCACACCCCTCGAGCCCATCCGCACCAAACGCCTCATCCTCTGCACCGGCTCCACCCCCCTCGACCCACCCCTCCCCTACGAACCTCCGGGGCTCAAACACATCAACCTCGACGACGCCTTATCCCCCACCACCCTCCGCACCCTCCTCACCCCTCTCTCCAGCAGCCGCACACCAACAACCATTGCCGTCATCGGCGCCTCCCACTCCGCCATCCTCGTCCTCATGAATCTCTCCCACATCATCTCCTCTTCCCCTCACCTCAACCTCAACGTCAAATGGTTCACCCGCCACCCTCTCCGCTACGCCGAATACGACTCTTCCGGCCACGTTTCCGCTCGCGATAATACCGGTTTGAAAGGTCAAGCTGCTGTGTGGGCGAAGAAGAATCTCGAACCGTTGTTTTCTTCTTCATCCTCCTCATCCTCATCCTCCTCCTCAACAACAACAACAACAGTAACCTCGGTAGCGAACGGCAAAATCCAAATGATTCGATACAAAAAAGGCGACGAAGAAAGTGTCTATCGAAAATATCTTCTCGAGAAAGAACAAGAAGAAAAAATCCCCTCGCCAAAATTCCTCATCCAAGCAATCGGATACGTGAAAAATCCCCTTCCTACTCTCAGCATCATCATTCCCAAAGGCCACACAAACGCAAACGCAAAAAACGAAGAACTCTTCATAAACCCAATTTTCGATCACGACAAAGGAATATTCTCTTACATTCCCAACACCACTCCGAAGAATGAGATGTCAAAGAATCGACAAATCCCCGGCCTCTACGGCGCAGGAATAGCTTTCCCGCAAAAAATCTTGGACAAGAAATATTTGCACGAGGAAATGAATGTGGGGTTTATGAAGTTTATGAAGGCTGTCAAGGGGTGGGTTGGAGGGTGGAAGGGGGTTGGGGGGGAGTAAGAGGGGATGGAGGGTGTTGGATGGGGGGATGGAAATGGGGGGGGGGAGATGGGAAGGGGGATGGAAATGGGGGAGATGGAGATGGAGATGGAGAAATCGTCAAACTTTAGCTTAGGTATCTAAGATGTGAAGAGAAAGATGATTAACCGACTCGCGTTATATTCTATGTAGAATTGCCTTCGTCTTGTCTTATCTTCCTAACTGATACCTCCTAAGGAATAGGTAGTAAACCTTATAACTCAATTTCTACATCTTGATTCATTCATTCACTCTCCATCTAATTCAGAGATTTGTATATATATCCACAAACTATCTACAAAGCAAGCAAGCTCCTATCTATAAATTTGAGCCAAAACCCCCTCCAACCCCTTGATAACATATATCAATATATATCACACATCCCGCAATCATCAGGAGGTATATCTTCATTATTATCATCATATCCCCATCCCCCATCCCCCCATCCCCAACCGATTCTTTCCCCCATCATCCCATCCCCCCCTCTTTCTGATTACCAAATCCACCATTCTCCTTCTTCTCCCTCCAAGCCTGTTCAGCCGCAGGACTCAATTCAATCAACTGATCCATACCCGCCACAAACACTCCATCGAGTCGCAAAAGAGCCAAACTGAGTAAATCGCAACTCCGACTCTTGATGCGTAAGAGACTGCGCCAGGCGTTGAGGAGAGAGAGACATTCTTTCGCGTCGGGGAGAGTGGGCGAGGTGGCGAAGAGGAGGAGCATAAAAGAGGAGGCGATGGTGAAATTTGTTCGAGCGTCTTTTTGGTTGAAAAAAAAAACGGGTTAGCGAATGTTAAAGGGAGTAGGGTTGAGGGGATAAAGGGAATGAAAAAACTCACAGCTCGTCCAAAAAGCTTCTAATTCTCTGGCGTGGAGGTCGTCGAGAAAAGTGGAAATTTCTTTGGCAACAGCGAGAGCTCCTGTTCGGAGGGCGGTGATGGCTGCTGCGTTGGCATCGGTCACGCGGGGTCGGAGCATCGCGCGGAAGAGCTCGATTTTGGCCGTAATGTATGCGAGTTGCAAGGAGCCGTTACCATCGAGCTCGAGTTGCACGGATTTGCGCCGATCACTCCCCGGAGAGTTGAGGATGGGTGATGGAGCGCCATTAGTGGTAGTAGTAGTGGTGGTGGTAGCAGGCTGACTGGGCAACAGACCAGCCGGGAGTGTCTGATTCCATTCGGTCAATCGGATGCGCAGGGGCTTGGCAACCTCGAGGGTCGCTTCCAGACTGGTGTGCAGCTGTCTCGTCGCTTTGATGCTGAAGAGCTTGCGGAGGATGTCGTCGACAATCATGGTCAAGTCGCAGAGTTTGATAAAGTGCTGGCAGCTGAAATCTGCAATGTGATTCTCGTCATAGCTTCGATCCGGTTCGGGGAAATCGCCTTCTGTCAATTTGGGCACATCCCAATCATCCGCTTGGATATGGCTACTGCGTCCAAAATTGAGCGCGAGCCACTTTTCTTGCACAAACACTGCCCACGCGAGCCGCTTTCGCTGCTGAATTTCCCACGAAGGAATCGGCCAATCGGTAGGGTCACGGTTCAGGCCCAGGGCCTGGGCAATGCTCACTGCCGTCGACATCATGACCCATTTGAAGGGAGTGTCGCTCACGTGGCGATTCGTCGGTCGGCGTTGCACCAGCATGAGGAGTGTTTGTAGCACGGCGATGGTGGGAGTGTGGAGTAGAGGCTGGCACGAGAGCCATGATAGCTTGAAGAGTGCGTCCGCAGATGATGGCGTGTACACGTCCACACAGAGCTTCTCGTCCCACGGACAAAAGGGGAGCGCATGTCCATATATGGCTGCGAGCACACACGGAGGCATTTCTCGGGGCACCCGAAATCCATCTGCGTCTCGCTCGCCACCTTCCCGGCTCAGGATGGGGAAATATGGCTGCACATATCGGTAGAAGAGTCGAATCAACCGCTTTCCGACTTCCTCAGGCACAAGCTCCTCCAGCTCTCGCCGCCACTTCTCGCCGGAATCTGACTTGTCCCGTGGCTGCGCTTTGGAAGCGAGACCATTGTGCTGGATGACGAAAAAGGCGGGCACGGACTGCTGCGACTCTGCGGGACCACTGTTCATCTTGCGCATGCGCACGGATTGAAACGACGCCTCGTTGTATTCATCGTATCGATACCTGGACAGCAAATACGGGTCGAGTTCGCCCCCTAATCCCACAATCTGGGCATTGCTCGAATGCTGGCGATCGAGAGAAGGCTCGCCGCTAGTAGAGTCGAAAGGCAGGGTGAGGTCGATAGGCAAGCTCGCGATACTCGATTGTGGCGAGGTCGAGTGGTCAAAGGAAGAGCTATGTCGGTGATTGTTGGGGAACTTGTGATCTATGCTATGCATCGTCGACGCCGACAGGGGTTCAAAGGTCTCAAACGGCACAGGCTCCTGATACAGGGCTGGATCGAATGGAAAGTCGGGGTTGTGCAGGTCCCCGTCCAGGGCCGGAATGCCATTGACCGAGAAGGGGTTGATGCCATTTTCCCACGGTAGCAGATCCTGTTGGAGATCTAGAATGTTGCCGTTGGTGAAAGCGGGCGTGTGATCGTGGCTGCCCGTGCGAGCGCTCTTGAACATGCTGCCATTCCCGTGGCTGTGGCCGTGGCCGTGGCTGTGGCCGTTGCCGATACCGTTGCCATGCACGTGGTTTTCCTTGTCGGCAGCCGAGTCGTTGGGCCGACGCCTCTTGGCGGGACTCTCCACAAACGTACACTCCTTGTTGTAGCGAATGCACAACTCACACGGCGGTGCACTCTCCAGATGGCACGCCGCCTTTTTGTATCGGCAAAAGTCACATGGTCTCTTGTTCCGCGACTTGTATGCGCGGGCTCTATCGGCGCCGTCGACGCTCTGCTGCTGCTGCTGAGGTGGTCCCGGCGGAGGACTGGCCTGGCTGGTGCTGGTGCTGGCGCTGGCACTGGCGCTCGACTGCTGCTGCGACTGCTGCTGGTGGTGGAAGGAGGGCATGAGGGGCGTGGACAGAGGAGGGGCAGACGACGGCGGGGGTGGAGTCTCACGTCTTGGCTTCACCGGAAACAGAGACGTCGAGGACACGGGAAATGGGTGAGAGCAGGTGAGGGACGAGAAGGTGGTCATGTCGATGACTACGATCAGCGCCCAACGGCAGTAGTAGTAGTAGTAGGTAGTAGTAGTAGGAATCACTCGGTCATGCCAGAGATAGAACTACGAGCAGCGCGCGCAATAACCGCAATAACAATGCCTGTCCCCAACACGACCCGCAATGGGGACCACTACCGCAGCTCCCTCCGATGGCACGGCGAGACTCTTACTTCCGCGCGCGCGAGTCGAGGAGGTGTGTGAAGTTGCAATACGGTACATGTAGGGTCTCGTCTGCGTGGCGGCGTCTGCTCGATGAGATCAGCCTCGCCAGGATGCCAGCTACGTGGCCAATGGTAGAGGAGTGTCGGTCGCAATTCTTGCATCCAACAAGCGAATCCTCCAGGCGCAATAAGAGATTCAAGCATATACGCAGTGGGATTGAACTATCTTCCACCGGGTGGCAGTTGAGGGACAGCTCCCGATACCACCCTACCTTTTGCAACGACAGTACCTACCACCCTGCCCGCTGCCCGCTGCCCACTGCCCACTGGACATCCATCATCATTCACAACATGCCAATGCTCCATGCTCCCTGCTCCCGCCCTCCACACCTGCATCAGCGCTAGGTTCGACAGTATGCCACAACAGGAAATCCAGAGATGGCAAACGCCAGACGGACCACGCGAATTCCACGTTGGACTGCCATTCGCAATTAGCCGCGATGCGAATGTCCAGCCCTCCGCGAATCGGCATGTCTGTTCGGATCTGCTTACTTCACTCACCGACCAGGGTTGACACACACAAACCAACAAGAAGCGCGCGAAGTTCAGAAGCGACGCGAGCTTGTTCTCCCAGATCGTACAGTATTACCTAGCCCAGTAGGGATGCCGGGGGGGTTATACCGTTAAAAAATAATAAGCCGGAGCATGGCCGACTGCCTTGTCCCAATGTTATCTACCTCAGACTACCTGTAGTGCTGTACCTCTCTTATCATCGAGTGGCCGGTGTCGCAGGCCAAGAAGGAAGAAGGGCACAATCACATTGATTGCCAGTTGCCACACCGTGACACAGTGACACAGTGACACCCGTACAGTATGGCTAGCCTCTACTCCCTCTAGGTACCTTAGTAAGTACCTCTTCTTCGACCAGGGGGACGCAGCTGAGAGCCTGAGAGGGAACAGCGCTGGACTGCTGATAATGCAACATGATAACAGCCTCAGCCCCTCTCCCAACCACCCAATGATTCTGCCGTCGGCGACAGCAGGCGACGGGTCCCACGACTGGCACCGGCCCGAGTACCATTTACCATCCATCCGTCTTCACACGTCCAGTCGTCAACCTTCAGTGCATAATGCTCATGGGCGGGGCACTCTGCAACACCATCAGGTAGCACATGGCCCGATGAAGAAGGTGATGAGTCTCTGTCGACTGGTAGACAACATCCTGGATACATCGCGCCCTGTGGTCTACAAGTTGGAGGTAAGTCTACATGTGCAGGTACATGTACGTGAGGTGAGTGAGGTAGGCATGACTCGCCTGCTGACATGCTGTACAACATCTGCTTAATACTTCATCCCGCTTCAGGCGTCCTGGGCCAAGCTCATCCCACACCTCTTCCCTAACACACACACACACACATGGCACGAAAGATACGTATCGCAGCAGCGCAGATTGGTGCTGTGCACCGGACGACACCACGGCCAGAGGTGCTACAACGCATGATCAGTCTGCTTGAAGATGCATCCCAGCACCAGGCAGAAGTAGTACTCTTTCCTGAAATTGCTTTCACCACTTTCTTTCCTCGCTATCTCATCGCAGACCAGAGCGAACTAGACTCCTTCTTCGAACATGGCGACATCCGCACAGCTCCCCAGACAGCACCCCTCTTCACCAAAGCCCAAGAGTTGGCCATCGATATTAGCGTAGGCTTTGCAGAAGCGACCACAGATGGTCAACACTTCAACTCCAGCATTTACTTTCACGCCAAGACGGGATCGATCCTCGCCAAATACCGCAAAATCCATCTTCCCGGCACATTCGAGCCCTTTGAGAATCCCGAAGCGACAAACCAGCTAGAGAAGCGATATTTCCTCCCCGGGGATCTAGGCTTCAATGCCTTTCGAGTACCCGATCTCGCAGATTCCTCCGAACCCATCTTTGGCATGATGATCTGTAATGATCGGAGATGGCCCGAAGCGTGGCGATGTCTGGGTCTACAAGGAGTCGAGGTGGTGCTTTGTGGTTTCAATACAGCAGGTTTCGCGCCGGATTTGTGGGGCTCTGATGCAAAGCAGTCGCCTGCACAGGCAGAACAGGATGCGTTGTTTCATCATAAACTTTCCATGCAGAGCAATAGCTACATGAATGCCACATTTAGTGTCTGTGCTGCACGATGTGGGATGGATGATGGGAAATACGATCTGATCGGGGGGAGCTGTATCGTGGATCCAGAAGGGAGGATTGTGGCGGAAGCGAAGACGAAAGAAGATGAGGTGGTTTTCGCGGAGATTGATTTGGATGCGTGTCGGCAAGGAAAGACCAAGACGTTCGATTTTGAGAGACATAGACGTGTCGAGCATTATCAGAGAATTTCTCAACAGACTGGGGTCGTGGAGCCTCCGCGCCTCAATGATGATAACAATGCCATGATTGAGAGCACGGCCGTTTCAGTGTCAAGCAAGCCAAATGGTATACCATCGATGATGATAACCAACAACGGCTCTGCAAATGCCCACCCTTCCACACCACCAAAACCCATCCGAATCCTCCTCATCAACCCCAACTCCACCTCCAGCATGACCGACTCCTGCCTGCACTCCGTCCAACACACCCTTCCCCCCGACGTCTCCATCGCCGGTTTCACCGGCCCAGCCAACGACTCTCCCACGGCAATCGAAGGCCACGTCGACGCCGTCCTCTCCTCCGCCGCCTGTTTCCGATCTCTGATCCACACTCACCCCGACCTCATACCCTCCCACGACGCGATTCTCGTGGCCTGCTATTCCAATCACCCACTCATCGGAATGCTGCGCGAAGAATTCGACCTTCCTGTCATAGGCATCATGGAAGCGAGTTTACTCGTCGCTCGCAGCATGGGAAATCAAATCGGAATCATCGCAACGAGTGCACGCAGTGTGAAAATGCATCAAGCTTCCGTCGGAGAAGCGTATGGGATGGGGAAATATGTGGCAGGGATTGAATCGTGTGATTTGGGAGTGTTGGATTTGGAACGATTGCCGAGAGAGAATGTGTTGGGGGTGTTGAGAAAGGTGAGTCGGAAATTGGTGGGGCAGGGGGCGGAGGTGCTGTGTTTGGGGTGTGCGGGCATGACGGAGATGAAAGTTGCGGTGGAAGAGGTGGTGCGGGAAGAAGGGGTGCAGGTGGTGGATGGGGTGGTGGCGGGTGTGCAGTATCTGGTCGGGGTGGTGCGGATGGGAGGGAGGACGGGGAAGGGAGGGGTTTGGAGGAGTAGTAAGGAGGGGAGGGAGAGGAGAGGACAGAGTTATGTGTGAATGGACTCACATGTCGATATATCAAAGCTGCCCATGACGACTACATGTATTGATATTGATGTTGCATTCAAGAGCAGTTGTTGTCAACCTCCGAGCGAAGTTATTGTCAGTCACGTGAATACACCAGCGGGAGTTTCCGTATTTCCAGACTTCAAGTTGCCAAGCTGACTCCCACTCTCTACAAGACGACAGGACAGGACACGATCTGCCAGGTCGTGGACTCGGTCTGCAGCAAGTCCATCTCCACCAAGCCGTTGGCTGGCCTGACGACAAGATGGAAGCACAAACAGCAGACGCCGAGCTCGTAGCTCTGATCTTCGCCAAGGACGATCTGCATTCTGAAATGTGGCAGAAGCTGTTTGGTAGCATCAGCAATTCCTACAGCCAACACACCGCCCACCCCGATGGCGCCAAGATCTTATCAACGAGATTTCTCGACCAAATACCAACGACAGCGACGAATGGCCGCGTAGCAGAGGTGAAGCTATCAGTGGGCACAACCCCAACGTTACGAGAATGCAAGATTTTCACAGACGGTCCATCCCTGCAAACATTGCAAAGCCAATACCATGTCGAGATCATCCTGCAACCAGGCCCTCTCTATGCCGCGCACAGAACGCCAGGGCTGGCAGTTTTCGACATGGACAGTACTCTGATCCAGCAAGAAGTCATTGATGAATTAGCGAGAGCCGTGGGCTTGTACGACCAAGTCGCCGCCATCACCGAGGCCGCCATGCGTGGAGAGGAGCCCTACACAGACTTTGAAGCATCATTGCGAGCTCGAGTGGCTCTTCTTCACGGCGTGCCCACTACCATCTGGGAGCAACTCAAGAGTGAAATCATCACCTTTACGCCTGGAGCGCCGGAGCTGCTGCGCGTTTTGATCAAGCTCGGGTGGAAAGGGGCTGTGCTCAGTGGTGGTTTCACGCCCTTGGCAGAATGGGTTAAAGATACTCTGGGCTTGAGCTATGCATATGCGAACCATTTGGTCACGGATCCGGTTCGGGGGGAATTGACTGGTGAATTAGTCTCTGGTCAACCTATTATTCATGGGCTGAAGAAGCGAGAGCTACTTTTACAAATTGCAAAAGACAACGCTATCAGTCCCGAAAATGTCATTGCGGTGGGTGATGGATCAAACGATTTACCTATGATGGAAGTTGCAGGCCTGGGAATCGCTTTCAACGCCAAACCAAAAGTGCAACATGCTGCTCCCAGCAAACTCAACAGCACCACTCTCTTGGACATTCTCTACATTCTCGGTTATTCCCAAGAAGAAATCAACAAAGCACTCGCCCGTCCAAAATGACGTGCACGTCTTTCTTCAACCCTCTATGGAATATTTTGATATATCGTATCTTCCGCACCTGGCGGCTCCAAAAAGTCCTGGGGAGTCGGCTCTTGAATTTGATGCGTAAAAGCCCATTGACGAATTTCTTCGAAGTTACGACATGTGTGCTTTGTGTTGAAATCCACAAATGGTTGAGGTTTTTTCTGCTGCTGCTGCTGCTGTCCCCCGGGCGATGGCGATGTTGTTGATGGTTGATACCAAATTTGTCCCATGACTCCTACATCTATCGTGCATTGTAGTTGCTGTCGAAGAATATCTAGGCAGTGCGCTTTTATGCCGAATTAAATCGTTGTCAGTAGTTGTTCTGTTTGTCTGTTTGAAAGAAATAGCTTTATGATAATTGAAAAAAAAAGAAAAAGAAAAAGAAAAAAAGAAAAAGAAAAAAACTCACTAACATGCCTCTCCACAATCCCCTCATCATTTCGAAACGCCCCTTCGCCACGATTATGATAATACGGGAAATTCCAATAAAGAGCTTGACGCAATAAATTCTAAGTAAGATATCACCCCCCAAAAAATTGAATAGGTCAGCACAAACCGAAAAAAAAGTCAGCAGCATAAAGTGCATGAAAAAAGCATCAAACATACAAGACAATGCAAATGATGCAAACCCTCCAAATTCGCCACATATCCTCCTCCATATTTCCTCTTTGCATGGACATGTTCACGATGTCTCAAACCGAGATTTGGTGCGAGGTGTGGCGGGATGAGGATACTTCGATCTAAAAAAAAAACAAAAAACAAATTAGTCGATTGATTGCTTTTTTGCAGAGGATGGGAATGGGATAGGGATGAGACGAACAATTTATCCCTAAGCTATCCCAAACGTGATCGACTTCCGGGGAAGGTTTTGCGCGAAATTTGGTTTCGTGGAAGAATGAGCCGTTGAAGGTTTTTTGCTGGAGGGAGGGGGTTGGGGGGAATGGGGGGGTTTCTTTTTCTTTTTCTTCTTTTTCTTTTTCGAGATGAAGATGAGGAGGATGAAGAGGATGAAGTGGAAGAAGAGGAGAAGGTTTGGATGGGTGGGAGAAATATGGCTGATTTGTGATGTTTTTGTTGTCGTTGATGTCGTCGTTGGTAATGCTTTGGGGTGGTGTTGTTCTTGTTGTTGTTTGTCTGCTGCTGCCAAGGGCAAAGCCGAGGAGGAATATGAATGGGCAGAGAATGAGGATGAATGTGAGGAGGAGGAGGATGAGACGGGTTTGGTGATGATGATGGTGGCGCTGCTGTTTTGATGAATAATGAGGATGATGTGGAAATGGAATGTTGGTGTTGTTAGTGGTGGTTTCTCTTCTGGCGGGTTTGGATAATAGGGTCTCCGAGGCTGTTGCTTCATCATTATCGTCGTTCACATCATCGTCGATGATGTTGTCCTTGTCTTCTTCTTCTTCTTCCTCTTGCCATGGTGTTTTCTTCGGCATCCTGGACTTCTAGAATTTCCCTTTTTTCCCTTTTTTCGAGGTAGATGAATACCAAACAACCCCTGAAGACTGACTGACTGACTGACTACACAAGATACGTTATTATAAAAGAAGAAGAAGGAAAATGAGAACCCATTCCCATCCACACCTATCTTATCAGTCTCTTGTACAGTAGACAGACAGACAGACAGCCAGCCAGCAGAACGAGACACGAGATACGAGATATGAAATTGAAACTCTACATGTACCTTACCTCCTGCCGTGTGTCGTTCCACCAAGAACAAGAACAAACAAAAACAACAAATCACCAACACTGTTCGTTCGACTCGACTCAACCGCTCGCTCGCACCTATCTCACCTATCTTAGCTAGGTCAGATCAGGTGCCCCTTCGATACCCTCTAGGTCAGTCCCTATGTAAACATGTACTCTCTGTGCAAGGAGAAATGTTTGCTACTCGCTACTTGTGAAGCTGCAAACTTGTAATTTGTGTCGAGATACATCTATAAGGTATGGATATATGGATATGGATGGATACGCATGGATACGCATGGATACGCGGCATTCAGCGTGACTGAGGAAGGCATTTCTGTGTTGTGATATATGTTGTGTGTGTAAACCACGTAGCTGGATAGGTACCTAAGTAGGTAATTCGATCATTAGGTAGGTCATCAGGTAATATAGAACGTAGAACGTAGAACGTAGTAAGTCCAGTAGTAGCAGTAACAATAAAAAAGTATGCATAAGGTAGGCATATATCCACCTCCATATCCCTATCCACTTTCTAATTCTCAACTCCTCACCTCCGAATCCCCCTCTCAAACCAGCAACAGCAACAGCAACAACACCATATCACCATATCACCAACAAATATCCCCTCCTCCCATCCCCCAAAACCAAACCCCAACAAAAGAAAATGCTTCCCTCCTCTCCCACCACCACAACCTCCATCTCCATCTCCATCTCCCTCTCCCTCTTCTCCCTCTTCTTCCTCACCATCCTCCCAACTCTAATTTCCGCCCTTCCAACTCCCCTCTCTCCCACGACTTCCGACGTCGAGATTATTGCTCCTGCTTTACAATTCCTTCCGCAGCGGGCGTTACTGCCAGCGCAAAGAATGCAGACGGAGATTTCGAGGCCGATGGTAATAAGAAGCGAAGAAACTTCTGATGAGGAAGGTTCGGATGATACGGGACCAGATTGTAAGTTTTGAGGTGTGGTTGGGTGGGGAATTTGGGGTGGTGATTTCATGGGAAATGCTGTTGAAGAATTCGAGGAGAGAAAAAGATAGGAAAGGAGAAATTGGCTAACTTTTAACTTTTCTGTCTTCTTTTCTCGATGGATACAGATGAATATAGCAAGGTGTATAGCGAGGTAAGAGCTTTTTTCTTTTTTCTTTTTCCCTTTCCCTCTTTTCCGCCCCTTACTCCAAGGAGAAATCTCGAAAAAAAAAAGAAAAATCGCGAAAGAGAATCTTGAAAAAAGACAGAAAAAAAAAAGAAAAAAAACTAATTATCGAAAAAATAGTATGCTACTTACGGACAATATACAGGAGATTATGATAATTATCCGGGATTGACGTTGAAAGGGAATGAATGAGTAAGAGAAAGGAAGGAAGAAGATTAGAGGAGAAGGGAAGAGGAGAGGAGAAAGAGAGATAGGAGAAGGGGAGATAGGAGAAGGAGAGATAGGAGAGGAGGAGAGAGAAAGCATATAAGAGGGAGGTGAAGGGAAGAGGAGAGAAGAAGAGAAGGAATAAGTCTGATCGTATTAAGAGATCTGGAGTTTGTCGAGAGAAGAAAAGGAAAGAAGAGAAAGAAGAAAGTATTAAAAAAAGAGAAAAGAGAGGAAGATGAGGAAGAAGAAGAGCTCGAGAGGAGAGAGAGAGAGAGAGAAAAAGAGAGAGAGAGGTCAGTCACCTAGGAGAGCGATGAGAAAGAAAAGTTTTACCTTGTATTTTATTCTTGTTCTTGTTCTTGTTGTTGTTAGAAGGGCGCCCAAAAGAGGAAAACGAAAAAAAGATTTCTTGTTGGTAGTGGTGTATACCACGTATTGTCCAAGTCTTTTTCCACTTCCTCCTCTTCCTCCCCCTCCTCCTCTTATTCTCTTATATTGATAGAAATGAAGTGTCAGGAAATTGCTTCTGCACTGTGTGTAAAGGGAACAAGGGAGAATTCAGCACAATTGATGTAGAGACGAGTAGAGTAGTAGAGCAGTAGCAATGGTGGAGTTGACTCTGCATCTTGGGGCTATGATTTTGTCGAAGAACAAAAAAAAGCATCATCATCTTCATCACGTAGTCAATCATGCAGAATCTCTCCCCATTCACTGACATGTACTCTATCGGGTGGGTTTCCGCTTCATGTGATCAGCAGCAGTGATACCAAGTAGCAATCATGTCAAGATGAATTGGAACTTCCAAGTTGTCGCACAAACTTCAACAAGTGTAATTACTGACAATAATGATACAGGAATTTGCTGACTTCAGAGTTTGAGGGGTTTGTCCCAAGGCTGTGGTTCGGGAATTGATGGGTTTATACTCCCAGATTAGTTCCAGCCCATTCCCACATGCCAAGCTTGCCAGGTACCGATGGCGGGTAAGTGTCCATCTCTTATTTTACATGAAGATGTTCATAAGAGCAAGCAACAGGTGGTAGGTATCCAGTGATGACAAGTATCAGGTAGGTGTGTTGTTGGCACATCACCGGGACGACGCAAGTATGGTGGCTGGGTTGTCGATGTCATGTGTGTAGAGAGAGTCTGAGAGACTACCTCCTACGGGCTTGGTGCAGGAGCTTCTGTGCCGCTGCCGCCGACCGGGCCAGATCCGGCGACGGGAGGCATAAAAAGAGGCATGTACCCTGTTGGTGAGCACACGCGTGTCAGCATGTATCATGTATACTGAGGGTATGAGGGGAGCTGTATGAGAGAACTGATGGGGAATTTGCAAAAGCCGTGTGCCGCGTGGAAGCAGGCAGGAGTATAAGCTCTGGATGGATAAATGAGAGTCGATACGTACCGACGGCAAGCGACAACGCTGCCATGCCGACCTGCAGATAAGCAGGCGATGAAGCTACGGCCTTTTGGGCGGGAGTTTCCGACAGCCAGCTTTGAATGGAAAAGAGCACTGCCGTCCAGCCCAAGAGTCTGGCAGCAGGGAGTGTCAGTCAGTCAGTCAATTTTAATCGAACATCATTCCTCGTTTGCTGACGAAAGGCCGGTTTCAGAGAGAGAGGAGGCGAATGATTCTTCTTACTTGTTCCTCGTGAAGATCTGCACACACACACACACATTCCCAGCGGATTACGTGTCAGCGATGATACAGTCACGTGGGGGCCGGATGGAAACATCAGGTATAGCTTACAGCGGCCATGGGTAGGGTGCTGGTCATGGTGCCTGACAAGTGCAACGTCAGCATGATTAGTACCTCTGCTGAGCGACAATAATACCACTTCCTGGCAACAGGACGGGACTTGTGTTGGGTGCATTGCCTACTCTGAAAGTCCGTGGCGCCCTCATCCTTCTCGGGAGCATGATAAGGGACGACTAGAATCCGGTGGCACAGTCGTCAGCCTTCATTTGCCCCTTCTCGTGGGGGGGAGGGAGGGGGCTCGAATATGCCAACGTCCTACCCAAATCTGGCCGGCGCATATCCTTTTTTGCAGACATGCTGCTCTGTTGCTCTGCTGCCCTGCTGCTCCACGCGGGACGGTGGGTCAGGTCAAGGAGTTCTGGGGTGTGTGTGTTCGGAGGATGGAGGCGAAATAGTCGGCGAGAAGGGGGAAAATAGAGGATCAATCACAGCTCAGTCCTCAGTGCAGTCGGGTGGGAGGTACAGTAGTAGAACTAAGTTGTGCCAGGCAGGTGCAACAGCAACAGCCCGAGACGGGTGCTGAACTATTCTAGAAGGAGAACTAGTGGGTACTGCCGCTATCCGTTCATGCCAAGTCCCGTCTCGCTCCCGTCTCGACTCTCCCAGACTCCCTTCTTCCTTGTTACCATGGTACAGACAGGCAGACGGCCAAGTTGAGAGTCTCGCGTGCCTGGTCACTAAAGTGAGTTCAGTCAGTGGCCAGACCACATACTTCCAAATGCATACCGAGTGTCAGAGTACATGGAGGAGGTAGTATACTACCCTCACTACCCTCATTACTGCCGACGATACTTCTCATCAAAGCAAGCGACCCAGGACAGTACCGGTACCTGAATACCTGTACAACTGGATTTGGAAAAAAAGACAATGGCGAGATAACGGCAGGATGGGTGGACACGTTCCGAAAGGGCAACCTTGAGGAGGGCAAACCTACATCATATAGCTCCGGGCCTCGCCCGAATGAACGGTGTAAAGCAGAACGGGAGTCAAAAGGACGTCCTACTAGGAGGCACTTACCTTAGTGTGCTGATGATGTCGGAGAGCGGAGCTGCTGCTGATGGCGGACTGCTACATGGAGGAGGTGCTTTTGTTTGTCACCCGCGGCACTGGCAGCAGGATGGCCGTGGGCCCATAGTGTGACATGTATATACCTACATGTAGGAAGTAGGTAGTCTATCATTCTCGCGTCGTGTCGATGCCGTCTGCCTGCCGTGGCTGTTTCGGAGTCGAGGACATGCGCGCGCGCACCAAGCATGCAATCGAACTAATGCAGCCACCGCCTCGAAATGGCTTGATAACTCTCCCCAGACATATCTCATCGATGATACCTATCTCTCCTATCTTGCTCTGCATTGCACTGCACTGACCTGTACGGCACGTGGCATGCTGCTGATATCCCCGGTGTTCGCCGGTACCTGTAGTGAGTTGCATTGGTGCAGAGATGGCTCTCACCATCATCATCACGACTAATCATACCTGGTAATTGATGATGATCATAATACTAATAAAGCTATATACCGCCGACCGGTCATGTCGTTCTCATCATCTCGGAGCATCATCACCAGTAGGAAGTCGATGGGTGGGCGGGCGGATGGACATCCTGGACGTGTCACCGGCGTCTTGGGACAGGGAAGCATGTGCCCAGTGTGCCCAGTGTTGCCAGTGCAGCCAGTCCAGTCCATGGCCCAGTGTGCCCACTCCACTCGCCCACTTCCACTGCCCACTGCCCACTGCCCACTGCCCACCTCACCTGAGAAGGCTGAGATGCCCGAGATGGCTGAGATCATAGATAGATACCTACATGACCTCTAACCGATTCCCCAATCAATATCTTAATCAATCGGACCGTTCGCCTTCCCGTTTCCACACCCACACCGTCATCAGGTACTGTCACACATGTCACACCCTCACGAATGGGGAATAACGCGGCCTGGCCTCCCGTCAAAATTCGTAATCCGTCCGTTCCATTGCAGCTGCCTTTCCACTTTCCCCGGCCGACAATCTGCTGGCTGATGCACATGCAACTGACCGGCCGCAGCTAGCGCGTCCCTGTCTTGTCCTTGTGCACCGCTGCCGCTGCCCTCTCTTCCTCGTTCGACCTGCAGCTGGCGCCTGGCTGTGATCTACTGCTGGCTGCTGCTGCTGCTGGGCTGTCTCTCTTCTTTGTGCTAGGATGACCTCGTCCACCGCCCGTCACCTCGCACCCTTCCTGGTCCCTACACATCCCTAGAACTGCTCCTACAGTACCGCTACACTGTCCCTATCTATTCACCGTGTGCCCTGCAGCACAGGCCGGCCTTTGGAACAACACCCGGACGAACGTGCGATCTCGACCACGATCTCGACCACGACCTCACCACTGCAATCCCAATAATCCCCCTCCCCCTACTCGAACCACGACCCTCCCATACCACCAACCACCACCACCACCACCACCACCGTACCCATGCCTCACATTGCAGCACCGAGTTCGAGTAGCTGACCGATGTGGCTTGCTTCTTCTGCTTCTAAGATGATGGTGCAGCGGTATTATGGATCATGGGCAACGTGCAGCGCTGGGTGGAGGAATGGGTCAACGACCTCTGCCTCCCAAGCGTGCCGTGAGCGGGTCATATGCTATTCAGCAAGGTCTCAAAAGGCCAGCGGTCCCATCGCGCCTGAATAATGTGCGCTCTGTCTCGCAGCACGGCAACTACGTGGACCTGACCACCTCCGATGCGGCCTCCTCCCGCAACGCAGCTGCCTTTACAAACAATACTGCGGCCCGCAGCATCTCCAATTCGCCCAATCATGTCATTGATCTGAGCGACGAAGATCATGAACGACCAGCGAAACGAGCGAGGACCGGCGCCGGCGACATGTCTCCATTCGAACCGGGCACTTCGCAGCATGTCTCCCACCAGAGATGGCCAGGACAGCCGCTGCCATTGCCTCCCACGCCGCGGGTGCCTCCCACCATGGGAAAAAGTCGCCGGCCCGCCATACATCGGCTGGCGCGGAAGGCGAATGGGCTGGAGCCACCGCCTTGTGCGACTCGACTGGCCCCTCCGAAGCAGGTCGCTGATTTCGCTCCGTGGAATGGCCAACACCCCGAAGACGTCATGACCGAGGGCGTGGTCAAAGGTGGCTACTACGATAAGGCGCCAGGACCGAATTCGACCGAAACCAATTCCGCCAAACCCATCATTTGGCCAAACTTGTCTGCGAAGAACAACATGGGTTTGCAGACATTGTCATATCTCTTCACGTCTGTGATCGAGAAGAGGCAGGCCCTCGGCAAGTGCACCGCCCCATCGACCTTTAAACCTCCGCCTCGTGTGACGGTGACCGATACGAAGCGAGAGGCGTGGCTACGCGATCTGGCGAACCCCGATGTTCCCTTGCGAAAGCAGAGTAGGACGATTCCGCATGGCATTCGCGGGAAGCTCCTCATGGAACAGTGTCTGAGCAAGAATATCCCCATGCCACGTGCCGTGTGGCTGGCAAAGTGCGTGGGTGCGAACGAGCTGAGAGCGTTTCGAAGGAAGGGAGTCAGTGGTGTCGCTGCAGCTACGGGAGAGAGTAAATGGATCCAGGAATGGTCCGTACAGGTCGAACACTTCCTGGCCAGTGTAATTGCCATGTGTGGTCAGCCGGAATGGCAACCGAAGATGGACTACGCGGTGAAATTGGCGACGGCATTCTACGCCGAGCGCCTCTTGGATCGGGAACACTACTTGGACTGGATTATATCTTGCTTTGCACGTGCGCCGATGGATCAACTGCCCATCTGGATCATTCTGGTTCAGCTCTATTGGAAGGACATTACTGCATTTGGCAGACGAGGCAGGCAACTTGCCGCTGCCACCTTGGAGAGCCTGCAGAAACTGACGCAGGGCGATCACAGAGCAAGCAATCATGTCCTCGTGGCACGATTACACAAACTCGTCGCGGTTCTGGCAGTGACCAACCGAGGCTGCTTGGTCATGCCAACCGCCTGGCGAAAGTATCAACACTTGCTGCTATCGCTGAGGAACATTGCACCTGATGCGGCGCAAAGCATCACGAGGCGGAACCTCCGGCTGCTCGCGCCGTTGACGAAGACTTCGCAGAACATCCGATGCCCATTGCTCACTCTATACGGCATTCTCGACGCTCACACGACGCTGTACGTGGACGTCGAGAGGTTGACTGTTGCCTGCCAAAATGTCATGCCCGACCTGGACAGGCTCGTGGCTGCATTGCTGCACTGGTCGGCATCCGCGTACCGCGTGGGCGAGAGCAGAGCGTATCTCGCTGCCCAGGTCATCATGCATCTCCACTCCCACGCTCACGACACGGACAGCGCGATCATGAACTACCTGAGACTCACACCCACTCCGGACGTAGTGGCTGCTGACGTCTATCGCGTAGTCGCAGATCTTGCACGGGCTAACTGCTTCTCGTGCGGCCGGTACATGCAATGGCTTATCACGTCAGGCGCCTTGGCCGGAACAGAAACGACGGGACTCGCAACGGGCCTTTTGACGGCGCTCCCCGCGAACATCACGGCCACTCATTTGCAAAACACTAGAAAGTCTTTGCTACAGAGGGTTCCCACGCTTCGCGATGATGGAGATGTCGTGGCAGCCACCCTTGACGGCGTCGCTCGGCGTGACTCTTCGTCAGCTCGACACGTCCCATCAGAGGCGATAGAAAGCTTGACTGCGACTTCTCGATACGAGCTTGCGTCATCCCTGACGCAGGAGTTGCCCAGTCTGCTTTCGGACGGCAGCCTGGACGTTGGGAAATTCTGCAATATTCGCAATGCGCTCGAATCGACGGGAGATGTGCGGACGTTGGGCGAGATGCTCCACATGACCATGGCATCGAACGACGTTGCAGTGCTTGCCAGCATCTGTGACACCATCAATCTGCACTCCACATCGTTTGCAGCCATGGGCGCGTTGCTTCCCATGCTGAACCTCATGCTGGACAAGTATGCTACGTTACGCTCCCAGCTTCCCCTGGATCGGACATGGATTCTTGCTCTCATGGCTTTGACGCAGCCGTTCATAGACAAAGCGTCCACTCTTGGCAGGCCGCAGATACTTGCAGCCCTGCCACTCGATCTGTCGTTTTGTGAGCAGCAGACTTCTTTGGCAGTATGCTCGCCTGCTTCTGATAGTATGGTCAGCATGCAAGCAGCAGGAAGCCTCAATTCCGACCAAGAGATCGATGCGGTGTTCGCAAGCGGGAACACCATGGATGAACAGCTGATGCAGCGCGTCTTCGCTAGGATCGTGCAACGTGCGGGCAAAGAGGTAGAAGGTGAAGCGGAACAGCGCACATCGCCCAAGCTGTGTGTGTGGCTCAGTCAGCTGCATGCTGTAGACTCGATTGCCTTTGACGCCCTGGCGAAAAGCTATGTGCAGGAATACCTTCGAGGTTCCGGCGACATTGCCACGACCTGTGTGGTCATCAGTGCCCTGGTGGCGAGTGGTTGCGTAGGGTTGGACAGCGTCGTCGATTTTGCGCAAGCCATCGATACTTCCACCGCCGCATCCAACATGATACATCTGCTCACGTCGAAGCTGGTCGCGAACGCGTGTCTACGCGAGGCCGAGGCATACCGTTTCCATGTGATGCAGCAGCGTGTTCGCACGACTTGTGCTTCTCGCGTCATCTCCCTCCTGATCTCAGCCTTGGACGATCCACAATTCCCATGTGAAGAGCCGGGTCTGATCAGTTTGCTGATGGAATACTCGGCCAGCAGGTACCACGCCTGTCTCCAAGCGTTGGCTGGCGCTCCCTCCTCGTCCGCAGTCTTTCTTTCCAACTGTGGGCGCGTGGTGACCAATATTCTGAGCGTTGCACGGGGTCTGCCAGTAGCAGATGTCAGGCTTGATGCACCAACCATGGTGGCGATCGCCGATCCCATATCTGTTGTATATTGCACCTGTGCGCTGTCATTTCTCGCCAAGGTGGAGACGTCGTCGATTCAAGACAGTCCCGATAGCACTTTGCAGGCGACGATAGTGGAAGCCATTGTCAATGGCAGCGAAGTATGGCCACAACTGCTTGAGAGTGCCGGAAAGCATACGATTCGCAGCATCTATTGCTGGGCAAGAGACCAAATCCTCAGCGGCACATCGTCTGGTGGGGACGAAATCAGCAGCGTCGACGATGTGCAAGCAAGCCGCAACCTTGACATTCTGTATGCATCACATCACGCTCTTCAGGGGGATGACAATGCACATGTGGTTCACAGTCTCACCGAGAGAATCAAGGCGCTTACGGAACGCCTGCCCAAAGCGCCGCTGGAAGCAGATCACAAAGGTGATTTGTCGATGCTGAAGCTACTCCTCGACCTCAGTGTGCTCTATACGACACCTGACGCGGTGGCCGAGAGCGAAGATCCAAAGTCTGGCCGTGACAGTCTGTTGGTGACGCTCTGCGTGCTTTTAGGACATCCCGGCCTGCAGTGCCATCAGGGACTCCTGGAGTACACGTATGATGTCGCCTCTGCGTTGGCTGACACTTTGCCATTGGAAATCCTGGCCGCTTTGAGTCATACCATGGCACGCAACGGCTACCGAGATCCTCGACTTGCTGTCATCCTGGGGTCCACGCAGAGTTCTGAGTCATGGCTGGCGCTGGTATCTTATCCACAGTCACAAGCTGTTGGTGGTAGCGCACAAGCTAAAGCTCTTTTACAGAGAGCCGCACAACAACAGCAACAACAGCAGCAGCAGCAATCGATCAATGCTGGAAGGTCGGGTGCAATGCCCAGCTCCTGTGGACCGGGAGCTTTGCCACGAACGATGTCTATGAGATCTGGTCAACAAGCGCAAGCGCAAGGCGAGGCGAAGACGGTGCCGTATGTGCTTCGACGATGGGAGGTGATGAGTGACGCGACACCAAGTATGGGCGACAACGACACCAGCTTGAGCTTGGCCTTGTTTGGTGCTAGGAAAGTGTCTTGAAAGAGGAGAGAGAGAGAGAGAGAGAGAGAGAGAGAGAGAGAGAGAGAGATAGAGAGAAAGAGAGAAAGACGAATCCTAACTTGGCGTAAGGACACACTGGGAGGGAGAACACAGCGACCACTGGCCCGAGATCAATCATCTTTGGCTGCCAGTAACTTGGATGGCGAACGACAGGCGTTTTGACACGGGGAACTTTGCTGTTTTTTTTTTCGGGCATGTGATTCATCATCACCAGGACATGTTTGTGGCATTGGAATATGTCGAGGTGCGATCCTGTACGGTCATTGTTGCGTTTCGTTTTTTTTTTCTTCTCTCTTTTTATGTGTGTATGTGTGTGTGTGTGTGTGAGAGGTGCGTTCAAGCGGTAACCTGACTTACTGTATAATCTTCTGCTTCTTCTTCGTCTTCTGGCGGAGATCAGGATAGTAGTCGTAGTAGTAGTCGTAGTAGCATCATTGTGGAAAGAACAAAACGGGGCAGCGCAGTCCCCTGAGGATGAATTGAGCTATTGAATAAATGCATATTATGAGCAATTTACTTGGTCACGTACTTAGTCACAGAGCTATGCCGCTATTTGAATGGAATCATTACATCTCATGTTGACCACTCTAACAGCCTGACCAACCATGTCTACCTATCCTCCTCATCCCTTCAAGCCTCCCTTCTCCTTCCCTTTCTCTCTTACCGTCACAACTCACTCCGTCCCTCGAATTCTCCAGAAGTGCAACAGTCGCGACCATTCTCATCACACGGCCTGATGAGCATCCGCGAGGTGTCGTCACTCAAACGACAGCGTCGACAGCTGGACGTGTCGGTCGAGCGGCGTTCGCTGTTGACCACTGTTCCAGCTGCTCACGGTAGAGACGTCTCAGTGACTGGCTACCGCCGTCCAGTGGGAAGTAGCCCGTTCCATCTGCACTGCCGTGCCCCTGCCTAGCATGCAACTCACGTGGCATGCGGCTTCTGCTGCACCCCCGGTCTCCACATCTATCGCACTCTCCGAGGCCTCGAATGTCTAGTCTAGCACCAACGCTCGGCTCTCCATGGAGCAATGGATATGACTGCGGAAGAAGAATGTGTCCCTTAAGGAAGCGGCGCATGTCTGAGTAGGGTTCTTGCCACAAGCCCCGGTCGTGTGCCTCGACTCATGAGCAAATCCAAAGGGGTATCGACCAGAGCGCCATAATCCCCATTTTACATCACGCATCGACTCCCTCACTGCGCAGCCATACTCTTCCTCAACTGCCTCTGCCGCTGACTCGCCTGCAACTCCAGCCTTTCCACCGCATAAGTCAGCCGTTCCTTCTTCTGTCTCAACTGCTGCATCTTCATCTCCTCCAGATTCCCCAATGCGGCTCTTCTCGTCGCTGGACTCTTGCTGCCCGAGTTCTTGCGAGAGGGTTGTGCAAGCCTTCCTTCTTGCAGGTCCGCCTTTGCCATTAAGCTCTTCTCGCGTCGCTCCAGTTTATCGAGATAAGTTTCCACGCGGGAAAGGAGGTTGGTCACTTCGGGCTGGATCTCGGAGACGAGGCTGGATTGTGCGGTGGTAAGATCGTGTTCGGAGACCAGCTCGAAGTGCTGTACATAGATGGCATCGTTAGATCAGTGGTATATGGGGCTAGAGGCACGAGCATTAGTAGCGTACTCGTGTGGTTTGCAGCACTTTGGCTAGACGGGGATAGTCGTGGACGCCGCTGTCGAGAATGCTGATGCTCGACTCCAGTAGCTGCATGCTGGAGCGCAGGGAGGAGACGCAGCCCTGCAGCGCGTTTTGTGTGCTGCTGTCCATGGCTGAGCGGCGGATATAGAGGAGGAGGAGGAGGAAGAAAGGGAGAGGGCGAGCAAGAGGTGGATGCGGAAGTGAAAACGCGAAAGTGAAAGTGAAAGTAAGACAAGCTTGAGGAGGTGACGCGACGCGAAAGGAAGTCAACAGTCAGGGAAGGTGGGGTAACTTGTTCTTGGCTTATACCGGAAGGCATCAATTCCTCAGGCATGACTTTCACAACCCATCTTGTGTCAATCGCCAAGCTGTTAGAAAGGTGTTTCTTCTTCTGAGGTCTCCTTGGTAAGGTATAAGCATATAAACATATATACTTATTAAATTATAAATATAGAAGCATATATACTAGAACTACTACCTATAGGCCTACTACTTACAGGTATAGACTCTAGGACTTGGGAGTGCAGGATCTTAGATGCAGTTGTAGCCTCAGGCCAGGTTCAGAGCGCCGTCACGTAAGTATGTATGTTATAATTGAAGCCGTGCTGTTTTCTCACAAGAACACCTCCCCTACAGAGCTTAGCAACCACGAAGACTCGCAACACACAGTCGCTTCACTTATCTCTCTGCGCCAACGACAAACGCCTGCTGTGTGGGCTACTTCTACTGGATCGTCTTTTGCTACACCGGATCCCGCCATCGGTACCGATTTGCGGAGCGGACGAGAACATACCAGAGTGGCCGCGGCCCTCCATCCTGACTCTGGGCAATGCTCAGTGCTCGAGAACTCGCTGAGGCGGCGGTCCAACTGCAGGCTTTCCGTCGAGAGGGCGAGCAGCACTTCCAGACGCAATCCGACATATTGAACAAGTACCACGGTAAGTCCAAGGCCATCGCCAATGCCAAGAAAAAACTTGGATTCTTCTTCCTGGCAAGTGTGCAGATCAACGTGACTGACATCTCACAGCACTCCTGGAGGACTACAAACGCCTTCAAAGTGATCATGAGGAAGCGCGAGACTCGCGCGATAAGTACAAGCAGCTGGTCAGAGGCCAAGACCGCGATCCATTCGTCCTCGTTCTACTTGATGGCGATGGCTACGTGTTCGAAGAGAGCCTCGTTTCAGACGGCGCTAATGGAGGCTCGCGGGCGGCGAGTCTGCTGAACGAAGCGATTAAGACGCGCCTACGACATCTCGACCTGGACCACTGTCGTATAATGGTACGCATCTATGCCAACCTAGCTGGCTTGTCCAAAGCACTCGCACACGTAAAGCTCTGCGGCGCGGAAAAGCGGTCTCTCTCCCCCTTTGTTGCTAACTTCAATCGGTCCGGAGACCTCTTTGATTTTGTGGACGCTGGAGAGCTCAAGGAAAACGCCGACTTCAAGATTCGGGGGGTTTTCCGCCAGTTCGTTGAGAGTACACAGTGCAAGCACATATTCCTAGGAGTTTGCCACGATGTTGGCTACGTGTCGGAGCTTCAGCCTTATGTTGGCGACAAAGATCGCATCACACTCATAAAGCATTACGCCTCCCATCGCGAGTTCTCCAAGTTGAATTTACGCGAAGAAGAGCTGCACAGAGTCTTCAGAGATAAACCTTTAGAAGCAGCACAATCGCAACCTGAACTCAAAAATCACAACAAGACGGCGACGGTGGATACTGGTATGGGGACGGCATGCGCCTACTATCAGAAGGGTACATGTAAGAATGGCTCAAGCTGCAGCTTTAGACATGTCAGGGAGACTGCGTCGCCCATGAAGCCGCAGAACAGGTTCCAAATGTCGAATCTCGCTCAAGGCGACCATGAGTTCATGAACGGGAACTCGAATAGCATTCGGAAAGCCACTAATGGCACGAATGATCCAGCAGCATTGCTGCCTCGTGAAGTAAGTCTAGGTCTGCATACCGCGCGGCTGTCATATTTGCGCATTGCTAGGACCTTACTCATAACATATCATAGGAGGATCTCCCATCCGGAACGATTGCCCTCAACAACCGAGGACAACGTATAGACCCATATGCTGCTCCGTCATCTCGTGCAGATAGGGCGGAATTCGAAGCACGCGTAGCTAATAAAAAGCTCTGTAACAACTATCATATGGGCGGATACTGCCCAAGCGGCGCAGACTGCCTATATGACCATACACCAATCACGCCGCAAATACTCGATTGCCTGAAGTTTGTGGCAAGACATAAACCATGTCCAAAGCGAGGTAAGGCTGGTCCACCTCATCCTACTCCTCCATCTATTCATAGCAGCAGCTCGTTCACCCTCACTGACTCTTTGTCCAGGAGAATGTCGCTCCGTGGCGTGCTGCCTTGGCCACATTTGCCAGAAGCCGGACTGTAAGCATCGAGGTGGCAAGTCGTGGTGTAAAATCCCAGAGGCATCTCACAACGTCGATCTCCGCGTCGCAGAGTTCGTCCCAGGAAGCGGTGGGATCAGGTCGAGCGGCGACAGCAACACCTCTAGCACTGCTAGCATTATTGCAACTGATGGTGAAAGCGACGACGGAGAACAAGCGCAAGGAGCCGCCATCTCCAGCGCACTTCTGCGATACGCGGAGCTCTGATAACGAAGCTAGTTATCACCCAGGGGACGACATCAGTTTACAGTTAGCTGAGCGTTTCCAGTATCGAGAAACCTCACCCATCAATCATGCATGCTGGATGGGTATTCGTATCAAGAATGGGCCCTTGCGCTCCCCGCACGGCCAAGTGTCAAAGCATGCTAGCCCACGCTTCAAGCATGGATAGCCCTGGCGTGCGTGGATTTTACAGTACACAATACAGATGATCCTTTCCCGGGTATCCTCGTCAGCAACAGAACCGCTCGCAATGGATTTCAGAGTATGTTCATACCGTGCAGCTGCAGCTTTGATCAATCCAGGACTTGTGCCTCACTACGTACAATAAGCACCAAATACTCGGCCAAACTTGAGACAAATCGAATCGGATACAACTGTTGAGCGCAGTATGATATACACACTGAGCACTTCCTTGCTGTCCCTAGCATTCGCAGGACTACTTCTGCTCGCGGCTAGATCCTACCTCTCTGTCCTCTGTCTACGTCGTAACCTCCCACCAGGGCCATTTCCCCTTCCTATCTTTGGCAACTTCTTCCTCACTCGTCGTTCACGACCATGGATCCACTGGGAGACACTCTCCCAGCAATACAACAGCCCTCTGATCACCCTCTGGCAAGGTAGTCGACCTTTCATTGTCTGCAATGATGCCTGGACTGCTTCCGAATTGTTCGAAAAGCGGGCGCCAATTTACTCTTCGAGGCCACATCTGATTATGATGGGAGATCTGCTTGATATCTCGGACGCCAATCAAGTCTGTCTAGTGTATGGTGACAAGTGGAGGTTGCATCGAAAATTGACGGTATACATGGTTCCCAAGATCACGCTGATTCCTTGTAACTAACTGGTCCATTACGCAGCACAGCGTAGTGGGTTCGCAAGCTGTTCGCAAATATCGCAAGTTCCAAGGCGACGAGGGGAAGATACTGCTGAGAGATCTTCTCGAACGCCCTGACGACTATGTCATGGCCATCGAGCGCTACTCCGTCTCCACCGCTTCGTTCATCGGCTGGGGTCGACGCATTGACAAAATGAACGACTATGTCGCCCAACGAGCTCTCGATTTCATGGAAGGCGTCAACTTCATCATCCCCGGCCAATTCCTCATGGAGGCCTTTCCATGGCTCTACAGTCTCCCATGGTTCCTCAACCCCATCCCCCGCCTCGTGAAGAAAACCAGCCGCAAAGTCCATCGATATTTCTACGAACTCTCCAAAGAAGCTGCCGCACAAACCAATTCTGAAAAAACAACAGAATCTTTCGCCCACAGCCTCGTGACCGCTCAAGTCCAAAACGGCATCTCCGACACCGAAATCGCCCAACTCACCGCCAACCTCATCGGCGGAGGCGTCGACACCACCAGCAGCACACTCATCAGCCTAATTCTCGCCCTCGCCACTTTCCCCGAAGCGCAACGCACAGCTCACAAAGAACTCGACCGCGTCGTCGGCCGCAACCGCATGCCCGACTGGGAAGACGAAGCTCACCTCCCTTACATCTCCGCTATAGTCTCCGAAGTCCTTCGCTGGAGAACTGTGACCGTCCTCGGCGGCCTTCCTCACGCTCCCATTCAAGATGACGTGTACATGGGCTATCACATCCCCAAGGATACGTGGATTGTCGGCAACATTTGGGCAATTCATCGCCATCCTCGCGATTATCCTGACCCAGACGGTTTTCGTCCCGAACGGTTTTTACCTGATGATGATGAGGATGAAAACCACAACAATAACAACAAGTGGAAACGTCCTCACCCTTCCAAAAAAGGCCATTCGGCTTTCGGTTGGGGAAGGAGACAATGTAGTGGCCAACCTCTAGCGGAGCAAGGATTATTCATCGCTACAGCGAGATTATTGTGGGCGTTTGAGGTTCGGCCGGGAATTGATCGGGAGGGAGGTGGGAAGGAAGTGGAGTTGGATATTTTTGCTTTTACGGCAAGTGAGAATCAGAGACCGGTGCCGTTTTCGGCGAGGTTTCTGTGTCGCGGTGAGAATGAGGAGGATAAGGGGAGGATGAGGGAGAGGATTTTGGTGGAGGCGGAGAAGGCGAGAAGGGAATTGGAGAGGTTTGATGGAGAGAGTGCGTTGAGGGTTTGAGTTGGTGAGGGGGATGTTTTTGTGGAGGTGTTTATGAGAGGGTTGGATTTATGGATTTGGTAGAAAAGGGGGTTTCACCATCCTGAATGGCGATCAAAAGCTGCGCAGTTAGTTGGTCGGTCGGTCATTGTGGTGCAACCTCTAGGGAGTACTGGAATTTGTTTTTCTTCGGGAAAAAAGGGATCTTGGAACAAAAGAATAGCTGTTGTACTTAGCAGGTGAGGTTGGAACAATCTATATTGCAGGATTCCGATGAGGTCACCGTTGCCACTTCAGGCAGTTTTAGTACCTACCTGCGTGGTATACAGTACTCTATACAGGAACGTATCATCAGAGTCTACGACATGCTCCATTAGTATGAATGTTGACCCCTTTGATGTGAATATCGACCTCTTCGACGTGATCCCTGCAGTGAGAGTTGATCACAGAGTACTGTACTTTACTGTCAACTTTCGTCACCCGAGTACTATGCTTCTTGTTGATGGAAAATTTCATCGAAACTCGGAAGAATTCATCAAGTGCATGTAGATAATGTTTGACCAGAGGTGAATTGTTGCGTTGGGTGCAAGCGACTATATAAATGATCTATCTCGAACAAGGAAGTCAGTTAGGCATGTTGCGCGGAGAAAAGTCCGAGGATGCTACAGTACATGATACATCGGTTGGAGTACCTCCTAGCACAGGACAGGGGTTGAACAGAGCGCAAATTCAGCCTAAACGACGACGACAACGACGACGACGATGACAACGACGATCCGAATTCCGAAGACATACGAGACTTTTTCTTACTATACAAGTGTACATGAACACCTTATTACACCAACACTTCAATAATGCAACAACCCTCCCCAAGTCAGACCCGTGGTCCAGTGCTGTAATCTCGTGCATCTTGCCAAGAGTTCGCTTGCCATCGTTCCAACTGCTAAAAATGTCCGCAAAGCAAGAGTGGTCACAAGGGGGCGGAGCAGAAGCAGAAGCAGACCCCTCGAAATCAGTCGAAATCATGATTATTCCGTTTCTCCAGGCTCGGCATGTTTCGCGTACAATGAAATGGCCATATACCACGAGACACGGCCGTTGGAGACGATCCACGTGGCGTGCAGCTGTGAACGTCCAAGGATTCGCCCAGCAGCAATTCAGCACTGGCAGCGTCTGAATAGGAACCTATCTCCGCAAACGAATAGGTATATGTATCATGACCTTCCGCATCGAGCCATCGCGCCCTTTCATTACTCGCCAGGCCTGATCCGGGGCTTACGAAGGGCCTGGAGTCTGTTTTCGGTATGCCTCGCCATCGATGCCGAGGGGCTTACACGCCGAAACACGTGTATTGCCCGAGACAGGACGAGCCGGGCGCCAATCAACGCTCTTGTAGTCTGCCACCGCCTTCCAAGAATCAGGAGCCGTCTCCGAAGACAACCAACAGAGATCCGTTCTTGTAGATAGGCACTATCTCGTCCGGATCTCGCCTCCGGTCAAAAAGGAGTGTGAGTGGGGCCTTGCCGAGAGGTGTAACGTCCAAGTTTTAGCGGAAGGCCTCGAGGCGATAGACAATGACATGTCCTTGAACATCGATCCCCAGTGCGTGGAGACCACTGAGGGCTTTCTGATCATCCTACCACTTTCTCGTCGGAAGATTTCTTGGAGACTCAATAAATAAATCTTACGCGACTATACTGGAATCAAGCAATACCACATGTGCATGTCAGAGTTATCCTGGTACAACCACAATACAAGGGTATACGTTATACGAAACGACGTTGGTGCTGAGAGAGGCGGAAAAATTGACTACCCGCTCCACTTTATCTCAGGGAGGAAAGTCGATTACGGTGGTGTGGCATAGTTGGAGCGTGTTCACGCTTGTAATGCAGGTCCATGGATAACTAGCCGACTCCATGGAACGATATATCTGCCTCATCGCCTGGGAAGTCCCCATTTTCCGGCGGACGACTCCATCCTCATGGCTATCTTCAACATCCTCCTAGCCCTCCTCGGCTTCCTTCCTGCTGCCTTTGCGGCATTCGGGTTGACGGAGAACAGTGATAGCTTCATTGTCGATGCAGGCTCTTCCAATCCCCTGATCGCGACCATTCGCAAGTCCGACTGTGACATCCGCTCCATTCTCTACTATGGCAACCAGCTGCAGAACCCAGATTCGCAAGGCACACATATCGGCTCTGGATTGGGGAGTGCTACGGTTACGGCTCAGACGATCAGTAGTGCGTATCGACCTACCTACCTACCCCCTTCCCCTGTGACGGCTGTGATGCTAACAACTTGATAGACAAGTACATCAAGATCACCTGTGAAACCTCAACTCTGACCCATTACATCGTCGTGGTCTCCGGTCAATCGAACCTGTACATGGCAACATACATCACCGCCGAACCATCGATCGGGGAGCTTCGCTACATTGCCCGTCTCGACAGCTCGAAACTACCGGATGAGTACCCCTTTGGCGATGTCTCTACCACCAAGCCAAGCACTTCCACCGTCGAAGGATCCGACGTCTTTGTCGTCAACGGCCAGACTCGAAGCAAGTTCTATTCATCCCAGCGTTTTATCGATGACGATGTCCACTGTGTCGGCAGCGGATCACTCCACGCGTGCTTTGTCAAGCCACAGTACGAATCTTCCTCCGGTGGACCTTTCTTCCGAGATATCAACAGCAACAATGGTGGAGTGTATACCTCTCTCACCTTCTACATGAACAGCGGACATGTACAGACCGAGAAGTACCGCATGGGGCTCCATGGCCCATATGCTCTCACGTTCACTCGCAGCGGCATCCCAAGGCTGAGAGACTTTGATTTCTCCTTCTTCGCCGATCTCAACATCAAAGGCTACGTTCCCACTTCCGGCCGTGGCTACGTATCCGGTACAGCAACAGGAACCGCAAGCGGCCTCGACAGAATAGTACATTGGTACAACGACGCGGCCCAATATTGGGCCGACGGCACCAGCGGAAGATTTACCTCTCCGGCCATGAAGCCCGGCACGTATACCATGAAACTCTACCAAAACGAACTCGAAGTCGCCTCGCAGAGCGTGCAAGTCTCTGCCGGCTCCACCACCACCAGCAACATCGCCAGCGCCCTCAAAGAACCTTCTTCTCGCCTCTGGACCATCGGTGTCTGCGATGGCCAACCCACGGGTTTCCGCAACGCCGACAAGCAACTCCGCATGCATCCCTCCGACTCTCGCATGTCTTCATGGGGACCTCTGACGTACACCGTCGGCAGCTCCTCTCTCACAGACATGCCCATGGCAATTTTCCAGAGCGTCAATAGCCCGCAAACTATCTCTTTCACTCTCACTTCGAGTCAACTCGGAGCTGCGACTCTTCGTATTCGAACTACTCTTGCGTTTGCTTCTGGCCGCCCTTCTGTGGTTGTCAATAGCTGGAGTGGCAGAGTCCCTGCTGCTCCGACGAGAATCGATAGTCGTGGTGTGACGCGTGGTGCGTATCGGGGTTATGGAGAGGCGTATGAATTTGCGATCCCGGCGGGTACGTTGGTTAGTGGGAAGAATACTATTACGATTAGTGTTGCTTCGGGAAGTTCGGGCGCGACTTTTCTTTCTCCTAACTTTGTAAGTTGTTTTTTTCCCTCCTCTTCCCTGATGATGATAATGGCTAATCCTAATTCTGACAGATTTTGGATTGCATTGAATTGTACCGCTAAAAGAAAAATGTCGGAGAAGGAGAGAGAGAAAGAGAGAGAGAAAAGAAAAATAGGAAAGACATCCCTTTCTCACTCTCAGAGCTTTCTCACTTTCAGAGACTTATATCCACATACTAGCCAGCCAGCATCATCAAAAAAGAAAAAAGCCTTTTATAATTCTATCCTACCCTATCTCTTCTGACCTTTTTTTTCTTACTACTCGCAGAGCACTTCGGAAGCAGAAGGAGGACCAAGGAGAGGAACTCGCAGCTGGCGGGCTCTTTTCTAAAAAAAAAAAGGTTCTCTTTTTCCCCTTTCTCTCTTTCTCTCTCTCTCTCTCTACGGCCCCTATATATAAAGTAGGTGTTTTTGCTTCTCGCTTCTACGTTTAGAGAAAGGCCGTGTTATCTAGAATAGAGAGAAATAGTAGGCTCCTTTTTTTTTTCAAAAGTTTCTCTTTTTTCCCTTTCTCTCTCTTTCTTCCTCTCTCTACGGCCTCTATATACAAAATAGGTGTTTTTGCTTTTTGCTTCTATGTTTAGAGAAAGGTTTTATTATCTAGAATAGAGAGAAATAGTAGGCTCTTTTTTTTTTTAAGAAAAAGTTTCTCTTTTTTCCCTTTTTTCCCCTTTCTTACTCTCTCTCTCTCTCTCTCTCTCTCTCTTTCTTCCTCTCTCTACGGCTCCTATATACAAAGTAGGTATTTTTTGCTTTTTGCTTCTACGTTTAGAGAAAGGTTTTATTATCTAGAATAGAGAGAAATAGTAGGCTCTTTTTTTTTTCGAAAGTTTCTCTTTTTTCCTCTTTCTCTCTCTCTTACTCTCTCTCTTCCTCTCTCTACGGCTCCTATATACAAAGTAGGTATTTTTTGCTTCTCGCTTCTACGTTTAGAGAAAAGTCTTATTATCTAGAATAGAGAGAAATAGTAGGCATTTTTTAAAAAAGAAAGTTTCTCTTTTTTCCCTTTCTCTCTCTACGGCCCCTAATATACAAAATAGGTATTTTTGCTTTTTGCTTCTACGTTTGGAGAAAGGTTTTATTATCTAGAATAGAGAAAGTGCCTAGTGAGTGCTCCGAAAAGAATCTATTCGAAATATCGACGGATGATGTGAATAGATTTGAAAGATAGATGACCTTTCCTTCTTCCTTCCTCCTTTCGTTTCCTTATATCTTCCTTCTTACATCTTACATCTTCACAGCTTCGGATTCGAACACCACGCCTCCGTCCCATATTTCCCAAACTCATCCTTATCCGGCGTACATCCATTTCCATCCTGCAAACATTTTCCATCCTATACAATTAAAAATCAACATCAGCCTTTGCCCCACATGTTTCCTTTTCCTCCTCCTCCGCTGTTTCTGCGTATTGATTCGCTTCTCTGTGTATGAAAATGAACGTACAAGATGACAAGTAAACTTCAGAGGAAAATCAGGTCCGTTTCCGAGGCAGCGGCCTGCGCCGCTGTTGAGGGAGCCTTGGACGCAATTCTGTTTGTGCGAAAAGAAAAAAAAACAAGGAGGTTAGTTTGAGCAAGGGTTCAATGTTGTGTGTTTTTGTTTGGCGATGCGCGGATGAGGATGAGGATGAGAGAAGACGTACAAACCATGCCTGGACTGGAAGGGCGGGGAGGAGAAGGAGGATGAGGAGGGGGGAGAGAAATGGGAGATGGGGAGAGGGGTTCATTGTTGGGGATTTTCTTTTTTCTTTTTTTTTTTTTTTTGGTTGGATTGAGAATTGATGATGTTGTTATTTTCGCTGACGAAGGCAAACGATATACAAGAACGAAATCTTTCTGATATAGAAAACTAGAAAACTCTTACAGGTGCAAAGCCATCTAAGATACATACAAAGTAGGTAGTAAATGCCCCCCGGCTTTCAAAAGTGGTGTTCACATCCCCTACGTATCTGATAACATAGGTAAGGTAGTGTTGGATCAACTACGGAGATTGTTTGAAAAAAAAAAAAAGATGTTATAGTTCTAACGAGTTGTACTAGCTCTACAGGCGTAAGACTCTAGTTTCGCAATTCCGGGCTCCGTATTGTATACTAAACATGCTACAGAAACTAGACGAGGGTCTTACTTCGGGATAGCGAGTTTTTTGGAGCCTAGTAGACGGGATTCTGAAGAGGGATGGATACGGGGGGTATAACTTATAGATGACGCAGGTTAGGTTGGTACATGTAGACGATGATGGACTGATCGAATTTGAATATATAGACTGCAGTATGTTGCTGACGACGAAAGTGCCTAACTTCTTCAGCGATTCTATCTCTCCTGAGAAAGTGCGCCGACGAGGAGAAATTCCTGCTTTTTGTATGGTCTTGTCGAGTGCTGTTGACAGAAGAGGAACTTCAACGGTTACTAGTCTACTAGAATAGCTGTAGAAGCGAGTCGGTGTCTGACCTGGGTTACCGTAGCGTCTAGAGTAATAGGGGTCGTTCTGTATCAGTCTGGTCTGGTGGGTTTGCCTTGTATAATATCCTTACAAAGATAGGTAGTTGGCCGATTGTTATATCCTTTACGCTGCTCGAGATGATAACAAGAAGGACTAAGTGAGTACGGTTCATACAGCTCAAAGGCTTCTCTTCTGCAGTGAGAGAGACGCATAGCAGTAGCCATGTCTTGAGAGAGACTCACAGTAGTGGCAGTCTACATGCCATCCGGAGCAATGGAGAGTGCCCGCGGCACGAGAGCTTCATCGAGCTCAGCATATCTTTATGGTTCTGTGAATTCGGTCGGTCATACCTCGAGAGGGAGATGACCCTGCTCTGGGGGATCCAGATGAACGTGCCTCTGGATAACGTGTATCATTCAGTTCAGCGTTCGCACAGCATCTGTATTGCTGAACGTCCAGTGGCGGAATCTGGATGCTCTCGGGCTGTATTGGGAACCTCTCTCTTTTCGAACAGCTGCGACAGCCAGACAATAGCTAGAGGGAAACGCGTTCGGTGAGCCTCTGGAATAGACTAGTATTGTAACTTGGAAGGTATAGAGCAAAAGGGTGTAATTGAATGTGTATAATCTGTTTGACTACTGCCTCTTCAAGGCAGTATCTGTATCTATTTATACTATTAATACTATTATACTGCTAATGCTATTATAATAATTTTCTATCAATCTCTACACAATCTCTATATAGAGATTTCCTACCTATTAGAGATTTACTACCCTCGGCCTTAGCCCTCGGCCTGACTCGGCCTTAGCCTCCTACTATCTAGGGATTACAATACTCCCCTTTAATCTGAGCATTACCTAATGTAATAATTGTCCCTTGTAATAGCCCGTAATTAATTACCTTAGAATGTAACTGCTATCTCTAATTAGTTAGTCTAATTCCTTTGACTCTTCTTTAACAGGTCTTTAACAGGCCTCTACCCTTAGGTCCTTTGTTGCTTGTTAAAGCCTTACTTTAAAGACTTTACTTTAGTAGCTTTGTTAGCCTTTGTTACTTTCCTGATACATTTACCTGATATGTTATTCACTTGTATTATAATACCTCATTCACATACCCTATAACATATTCCCTAGGGTATTTAATACCCTCCTTTCTCTTCTATTCTTCATTTCAAACCAAACTTCCTATATTAATATCTAAACAACTTCTATATTAAAGGTTCTTAGCTATATTATAGCTACTCAATCCCCTGTACCTACCCTAACTATATTTGGAGGTAGCTCTAGTAGTAGTAATAGTAGTAATAACAGAGTACTAACTAACAACCTAACTTAGTAGCCTAATACTCTGTTAGCTAATACAGCTCTTGCCTTTCTGATTAAGCTGTCTAAAGACAACTAGGTTAAGATTAATAGGCCTAAGCTTAAGAAGATCTAACAGTATATCCTTACTATCTATATAGCTAGCTAAACTAGGGATCTTCCTCCTTAGTTCAGAACTAAAGAAACTATTTCTCTCTTGAATAAGGATATCTTTGACATTATTACCCTAAGAGATAACAACAAGATATACAACTTTTCTGCTAAGTCAAATATCAATTACCTCCTAGTACTTCTTGGTCAGATTTCTAGGAATAGAGTTATTAATAGCAAAGATGTAGCCTGTAAGCGATACTAAAAGGGTAATAGTCCTTTTGTTAGGTATATGTTATCTAAGGACAAAGGATTCTTTAAGAATACCTATATAAATTGTAGTTTCTACAACTACTTTAGTAAGTGCTTATTCAGTTCCTATACTGTTGTTTACAGACTAGTCTCTAAGAAAGGTAGTCTATTAAAGAGAGCTAAGAAAGCTGCCTCTAGCTTAGGTAGTTCCTCCCTTAAGATCCCTTTTAAGGATAGTATTGATTAAAACACTCTAGAGGGAGCCTAGGCAATTGCTAATCATCTTACTATAGTAGCTGCTCAGTATATTAAGAGAGTAGAGCAGGGTTAGGGGTTCAGTCTAGGATCTTAATACTCTAAGTCCTATAGCTCTAATAAGGATAGTAATAATAACAGTAAGGGTTCTAGCTATAGTGATACTAGTAAAGGTGCTAGCAAGAGTGCTAGCAAGGGAAAGGGTACTAGCAAGGGTACTAGTAAGGATACTAGTAAAGGTACTAGTAAGAAGTAATAGTTAATAGTAAAAGTGAAAGTAAGTTGGTTAAGTAGGTCCCAAAAGTTTTTGAGATAGTTAGTTAAGAGATTCAATCAGATCCCTATCTAGTAGGTAGATTAGAGAATAGAGTTTGGAGTTTTTGCTTTAGTTAGACTATTAGCAAGTTGTTTATCTATCCTAATGTATTCTATAGTGATATACCCTTTAGCCAATTGTTCCCTACAGTAGTGGTTCCTAAGGTTAATATATCTGGACCTCTTTAAGTTAATATAATCCCTTGCAAGGGTAATAGCTGACTAGTTGTCTACTCTTATATTAATACTCTAGTAGGAGGTACCTATAAAGATGCTGATTTCATTAAGAAGATTCCTAAGCTAGTTAACTTCCCTAGTTGCCTCTATTAATGCGAGATATTCTGCTTTAGTACTTAATAGGACAATCTCTTTCTAGAGTACTAATCTCTAGACAATAGGTAACTTAGCTATTTGAATTAGTAGTTCTAATATTGACTTAGTAGTAGATAGGTCCCCTGCAAAGTCTGTATCTAAGAATGCCTAGATAGGTATAACTCTACTTTTGTTCTTCTTGTATACTAGGCCTTTGTTAATAGTACTAGAGATATACTTCTAGATATACCTTACTGTAGCTAAATAGGCTAGTCCTAGGTTTAACAAGAATCTGGTAAGGTAGTTAGTAGTATAAGCAATATCTGGTCTTGTTTGGTTAGTAAGGTACTAAAGCTCCCTAATATACCTATTAAAAAGGGTAAAATCTTCCTTAGTATATTCTCCTTCCAGTAGGTCTATTACTTGAATAAGTAGGTATTTAATACTTTTGCAATTCTCTATCTAATAACCTTTAAGCTTCTCCTTTATATAGTAGGTCTAGTTAACAGAGATATTACTATACTTATCTGTTTTGACTTAGAGCCTAAGGAACAAGCTAGTCTTAACTGTCTTAATGTTGTATTCCTTCTTTATTCCTTTAACAAAGGAGTAAATAGCCTTTTCTGTCTTCCTAAATACCTAGAAGTTATTAATATAAATTAGGACTAAGGTATCTTTCTTGAAGAACAGGCATATATTACTTAATAATCTCTTGAAGCCTATCTTAGTAAGTATATCTCTAACTATATAGTACTAGAGAGCTACTACTTGCTTAAGTCTATAGAGTCCTTTCTTAATCTTAATCAAATACTTTTCTGGGTCCTTGATAAAGAGGTAGGCTATCTTAGGTAGTCTAATATAAAGATTAACATCTAATAGTAGATTTAGGAAAGCTGTCTCTACATTAATCTAGATTCTCTTCTATTAGTAGTTAGCTTAGAGGGCAAGGAGAACTCTGCTTGTTGCTGCCCTTAGAGTAGGAGCAAAGGTTTTAAGGAAGTCTTCTCCCTTCTTTTAGGTAAAGCCTCTTGCTATCTATCTAGCCTTGTATTTCTCAATTGTCCTATTAGGAAGTCTCTTAATTATAAAGACCTATTTTCCTATTAATAGTGTCCGGCCTTCTAGTATATCTTGGATTAGGCGGAGCTTAATACATCCTAAGTTAATAAGGGAGTTCTATTCCTTAATAATAGCTTCCTCCTATATCTTTGCATTAGGCCCACTTAGTACTTCCTTAATAGTAGTAGGATCCTTAGCTGTCTTAGTTATTTTCTTGTTGTCTTTAACTGATCTTTTGATATAGGATAGGGTTATAAGTCTTGCTATAGCAACCAGTTTCTGTATTTTTCCAGTAGGGCTGTTATTATTAGTCCTCTTCCTCTTAGAACCAGCTAGTGCCTTAGGGATATAGGGGGTAATTATAGAGTTACCTTCCTTAGGGAGTATATTGACCTAATCTTCCTTATTAAACCTAAATCTCCTCTCCTCCTTAGAGCTGTTTAGATCTGGCTCTTAGTAGATAGGGGGTAACATTAGGTTTTGCGCCTATAGTTGTAGTTCTTAGGAGTCTTAGAGTAATTAGGCAAGTCTACTACTATCCTAGTTTAGGGTTTGATATTAGACTTTTATAACTGCTGTTGTTTTCTAGGGTTTTGGTTATAGTTGATAAAGCTCCCCTTAGGATAGATGATTCCCCTCTTAAGGTTAATAGTTAGGTTCCTAGTAAGAGTAGGGCAATAGGGTGAATCCAGTTCTAGGCTCCTAAGAGGAATAGGGATAATTCTCCCCTTAGGTTTCCTAATAAGAGTAGGGCAATAGGGTACCAGTTCCAGGCTCCTAAGAGGAATAGGGAAATAGGGTAGGGATTCTAGACTGAATACCAGTATCAGTTATATATTCCTAAAAGTTCTCCTATTATAAGAGCTCCTCCTAAACTGAAGGAATCTTAATAGCTAGTAATAAAAGTATAGAACCAAAAGTTGTATACTTATCAAACTGGACATAAGGAGAGAACTTGACTTTATAGATCTACCTTTAACCTGTCTTGTTAAAGTGACCTCTCTAGAGAAGGTAGTTAGTAGATAAGTCCTCCTAGAACCTAATATGCTAGTAAATTTGAGCCCTTAGGGCAAATTTCTAGCTAGATAGGAGTTTGTTATTATGCTTATAGGCCTTGTATCCAAACTTCCTAATCTTGGTTAAGTTAATTAATAGGTTACTAAGGTCTAGGTCCCTATAGAAAACTTGGAGAGGGATCTCCCTAATAGCAAGGTTAACCAACCTGTTAGTAATCTAGCTGCTTAGCCTAATTGCAAAGCACTATAGCTCAATAGGAATTCCTGAGGCAATAATAATAGCCCTTGCTTTAGAGAAAATAACCTTGTTAGCTGCCTTAGCAGTTCTATTCTACTCAGCAGTCCCTAAGGTAGAGAAATGCTATCTTATACCCTCTTATACTGCCTATTCCTAGAGGGCTTTGTTCTAGAACTCCCCTCCTCTATTAGAGAACTATAGGGTAGGTTACTTCTTATACCTATTCTAGATATACTTCAACTATTAAGCAAGCTTAGCCGCAGTATCTCCTTTATTAATAAGGAAGATAGGCCAATGTCTTCTTGTCTTTGTACAAGTAATGATTATAACATATTGGTGCCTATAGAGATCTAGTAGACTAATTTTCCTAGAGAGATTAATATAGACTTTATCTAGTGCCTTAAGGGGCCTCGTCCTTAGTATCCTTAAGACAATCCTTTATAACTTTGACAGTTTGTAGGTATAGTAATAGGTAAGTTCTGAGGTATTAAGCAGCTCGAGTCTAGGGAGTGCCTTCTTAGTTTGCTTAAGGATTAATTTACTAATATAGCTAAGCCTCTTATGCTAGAGAGTGCTAGTTAGCCTTTCCTATCTTACTACTAGTATAGCAATTGCATTAATTGACTTCTTAGGCTTAAGCATTAGGGAGTTGTATAGGATTAGGACTCTATTAGTTAGGGTAACTGATCTAACCTGCTTTCCTTCCTTTATAAGCCTATATAATAGCCTGTTAAGGTAGATACTAGTAGATTTATAGATCTATTCTACTAAGATAAGGTTGTAATCGGACTTAAGTAAGTATAGGGCATTCTGAATACGGATCTTAGTCTTCTTACCTTTGTGTTTAAGGTATATAACAACCTCTCTATAGTAGTCAATAGTACTAGTCCTAATAGCCTAGTAGAAAGAAGCTAGTTCCTCTATTGCCTTGAAGGTATAGAAGTACCTAATATTATTAATAAACGTAAATAATGTACTAGTGTCCTATATATAGGTTAACCTAACAATAGTCTTCCTTATAGCTACTGCTACTGAGTGTATTAATACACTACTACAGGCAACTAGTCAATTAGAGTCAGAATCAGAATTAGAGCTTTTACTATTAGGCTTTTCTGCCTTAACTACTCCTCCTGCTTTAGACCCCTTTTCTGCCTTAGCTGCCTTCTTTGACTTGTCCTTCTTCTTCTTCCAATCCTTAGGGGCTAGTTTAGGGTACTTAGTATAGCATCTCCTATTAAGGTAGCTATAGGTATAAAGGGTATATTTAGTATTAGGATCCTCTGTTGTAGGTGCTCCTCCTATAACTATTGCCTATCTCCAATGTACTAGAGGTTTCTTATTCCTCAATAATATAATCAATTCTTCTAAAGAATGATTCTTGGGCGGGTGTGCATACCGCCAACTCCTAAGCTATTTATAGGAGCTGACACCGTTATAAAAGAGCATTTTGATCAACAGTAGTCCTAACATAACATTACTAGCTAGGTACCTAATAGATATATTAGTCCTATTTGTAACTATAGCTCTAGTATTAGTATCCTCTATAGAATTGGCCTAGAAGTACTGTTCTATAGCTCGTTAATAGGTCTAGAGCCAGTTGTTAAATTCATTACAGTATTTTAAGGTATTACTCCCTAATAACTTAATGTTCCTAATCTGTCCTAGGGTGTTATAGATATTAATAGTAATAATTAGTCTGAAGGTAGCTGCCACTATATTATATAGCTCCTTAGCTATCTTATCCAGGCCTCTAAAGTTTGGCCTAAGATTAGTAGCTAATCTTTCTATAATAATTCCTCTAGTAAGGTAATCTCCCTTTATAAAAGCAGCAAGATTGGTTTTGTATATTACATTTATAGTGTTCCTCTCCTCCTAAGTAGCTGTTATACTTATCTCTAGTAGTATTGGCCTAACCTTTGTATCCTCCTATTCAAAATTATAAAAGATATAACCAAGAACTTCCTTATTAGCTAGGGTACTAATAAGGATGTTCTTCTATAGCTCGAATAGTGTAGTTTTAGTAAGGATCCTATTAGTCTTCTCTGTCTTTAAAGATATAATAATAGAAGGGAAGGGGGAAAGGGTAGAAGGGGAGAGTAATATTGATGTCCTGGTAGGTAGGTAATTAGGTAGCAGTTATATAGTAATATTGTTTACTACAACCTCTATAGGTTCTCTAGATTCTCCTAACAATAGTATACTATATCCTTTTGAGGGAACTGTTAGTAGAGTAATTAGGGAGTCTGAATAATTGCTATTGCTTTAAAGAAAGTTTTGATCCGGGCTTATAACCTATTATAACTTAGAAGGTATAGAGCAAAAGGGTATAATTGAATGTGTACAATCTGTTTGACTACTGCCTCTTTAAGGTAGTGTCTGTATCTATTTATACTATTAATACTATTATACTACTAATACTATTATAATGATTTTCTATCAATCTCTGCACAATCTCTATACAGAGATTTCCTACCTGTCAGAGATTTACTACCCTCGGCCTTGGCCCTCGGCCTGACTCGGCCTTGGCCTCCTGCCATCCAGGGATCACAACAACTAGCGCGACTCCACTCAAAGTTGAGGTTGGCTAAAAGACGAGTAGCACGTGGCTAACCCAGATTCCCGACTTCTGGTCAGGCTACCCTAGGGTTGCCCCTGACAAAAGCGTTTGGGCACTCCGTTCAACTTTCATGCCGCACTCAGTTATGGGCATGTCGCGAGCTCGCGGCTCCCCGACGATGCAAGAGCAGAGTAAAGTGATTAAAAAGCTCAGAGGAATTTTTCCGAGAGGAGAGAGGAGGTTCCTGAATCGAGTTATTCGTCCAGTCTGTAGTGATTATTCCTCGTATCGCGGGCCAGAGCATATAGAGGTATCAGTCGATGCATTGTAAGCAACAAACTGATTATTACGGAATCATGCCGAGCAGGATATCTGGCAAAAGATAGGGCGCTCGCGATCCGCGGACAGAGATGTTGTCGTCAAAGGTCAATGGCATGATCATAGCCTTAGTCTGGATCTCGTAAACAAAAAATCTCCAGGTCGCCATCGTCGGCTCGGTCGGATCCTCAGTTCGGACCAAAAAGCATAGGTACAGTCCGATGTGCCGTTGATGAATAGTTGTTCCGTCGCCACTGTGTCCGTAGCAAAACCCTCCATATAGCTAGCTGGCCTGGTAGTCTCTGCAAAACCATAATGGTTTATAGCTGAGGGTACTAGCCAACTAGCCATGCAGAAGTGAAGACATTGGACCGTATCATAGATACTATTTGCCGCCGATCTCCAGTTCCCGTAGTCTGCATGTAACTGTGCCCCGCTATATATGCCTTCCATCTCGGTGAAATCAGGCTAGACCACTAGATATTAAAGGGCGTCGGTCGATACGCAAAATGGTGCTGACATGACTCCGGCACTGATACACGGCAGTAGAATGATGGTGGTTGTTGCGTATGAAGGAGAAGGAGGAGGAAGAGGAGGAGAAAAAGAGGAGAAGAAGATGAAGAAGACGGAGAAGCTGCAGGCAATAACAGCTGCACCTATCCGAGAGTCAAAGCACCAAAATGTAGCAAATGGCAGGCCTCCAAATCGACGGCCCGCTCCTGAATGCAGATCCGAAAGACATTGAAGACATTAATGAAAACGCCGCAGACTCGCTAGACATATTTTCTCCGCCAAGCACGCTTCACGGAATTTGCGGGAGCGTATTGGACGACATTCACCCCTGCCCGTCGCCCGAGGCTTGGGGAAAACACATTTCCAAGCGGCCACTGAACCTCTTTCGACTCTCAAGCCTCGACTCGCTGAGACTCGGTCGGTTTCTTGTCCTTCGTCTGGTGCGTTTAACCCAGTGTCCCACCTGCGGCTGCCGGCAGACGCCGATTGATCCTCAGCCGTGGTGGCATCATGGCAAGGGTATGCTTTGGACTGGAGGATTGCCTCATGGAGCAATGCACTCCATCTTGTGTTGCATGAGCTGACTATAGATGGGTGGAGAATGGAGATGATCTACTGCCCAGACTGGCTATGTAAGGGTACGCAAGCCCTCCTTGGGCTCTCCTACGGTCAGTCCTTCACATTGTTCTTCTCCCTCTGCGCCTCTTCTCCTTCTTCCTCACTTCACAATGGACAAGATATCCCTCGGGTTCTCGTTGGCTGCGGGACTGAGTCTCATCTCCTCTGCAGGCGCACAGCAAGTTATCCAGGATCCCGCCTCCGCATGCTCGAGCATAGCATCGACCTTCACTTATCCCAATGCGACTATTACTTCTGCGGAACATGTCCCTGCTGGAACAATCCTCGATTCTGGGTTGTCTTGCAACCAGACTTCAACCGTGCCTGCCGATATCTGTAGAGTGGGCTTCAATGTCTCGACGAGTGCTCGATCTGGAATTGTTGCTGAAGCCTGGCTCCCTGTAAACTGGACCGGACGATTCCTATCGACTGGCAACGGAGGACTGAATGGGTGCGTTAAGTACGAAGATCTCGCATATGGCAGCGAATCTGGCTTTGCGGTCGTGGGCTCCAATAACGGTCACGACGGAGAAAGGGGTACAGCCTTCTACCAGAACGAAGACGTTGTCGAGGACTTCGCCTGGCGGTCAATCTACACCGAGACCGTCGTCGGCAAAGCTATGGCCAAAGCATACTACTCCAAAGAGCTCACCAAGAGCTATTACATCGGATGTTCCACAGGTGGCAGGCAGGGTTTCAAGATGGCACAGAGCTATCCCGAATTGTTTGATGGTATTCTCGCTGGAGCACCGGCCATAGCATTCAACAACCTCACAGCTTGGTCTGGCCACTTTCTGCTCATCACAGGCTCTCCCGACTCCGAGACATACCTGACCCCCGAGAAATGGAGTCTCGTGCATGACGATATCCTCAAACAGTGTGATGGATTGGACGGCGTGGAGGATGGAATCCTCGAGGATCCCAATCTCTGCCACTACAAGCCGGTCTCCTTGCAGTGTGCCTCGGACGCGACCAACACTTCCGCCTGTCTCACCCCAGTACAAGTCACGACCGTGACCAACATTTTCGCACCCTACCACGGCGAACAAGGAGCTTTAATCTACCCTCGCATCCAACCCGGCGCAGAAATCATCGGAGCACTCATCAACTTCAACGGCCAAATCGCCCCTTACACAGAAGACTGGTTCCGCTTTGCAATTCTCCAAGACCCCAACTGGGACGCCACCACTCTCAATTCCTCCACGGCCGCCCTCGCCGCCGCAATCAACCCCTCCAACATCCAAACCTGGGAAGGCGACCTAAGCGCCTTCCAAAACAAAGGAGGCAAACTCCTCACCTACCACGGCCTCATGGACGGCGTCATCTCCTCAGACAACAGCCCTCGCTACTACGAACACGTCTCAACAACCATGGGCCTCGCCCCCTCCGAACTCGACAGCTTCTACCGCTTCTTCCGCATCTCGGGTCTCGCTCACTGCACCGGCGGCGACGGAGCCTGGAATATCGGACAAGCAACCGGGGGAGGTGTCGGCGCGCAGAAAAATGCCCTGCAGAGAATTATCGATTGGGTGGAAAAAGGGGATGCTCCGGAAACTGTTACGGGAGTGAAATATGTCGAGGGGGATATGACCAAGGGTGTGGATTATGAGAGAAATCATTGTAAATATCCTTTGAGGAATAAATTTGTTGGTCCGGGGTCGTATAAGGAGGTGGATGCTTGGGAATGTGTGCCGTAAAAGAATCAGCCGGAGGGGATTTTTCTTTGGTTTGGGTTGTTTTTCTTTTCAACAAAAGATTAGAAATTTTCACTGGATGTGATGATGATGTATTTGTAGAACTACCGAAGTAAGGTAGGTAGATACAGTAGAGTAGATGCGGAGGGCTATTCATCCTCGAAAGATGGAGAGATGATCTTTCCGACCTATCATACTCTTTTTTCATGACATGCTTTCCACTCCTGCTTTGGACTCCTGACTCCTAGAGACTTGACGTGATTTTTCTTTTCTCTACTGCGAGGGCAAGGAACGTAAGAGATAGCGTACATATAGGGAAGTAGCGAGACTTCACATAATATAGAAAACGTGCGGCGTGTGGCACGCGTCGAATAGAATCAAATCATGTATTACATACAGCCGTATATATGCCTCAACTCAACTCCACTGCAACAATCATCTGTATAAGTACATATCAAGTAAAATCACCTTACTTCACCAACCAAAAACAACCTCTCCCGCAATAATTTCAAACTCCCAAACCCCACCAATTCCGCGGAAGAAAACACAAAAAAACAAAAGACAAAAAAAAAACAATCTCATAAATTCATCTGCCACCATCGACATCTCTCATTGACCGTATCATCCGGCCTCAACACAATTCCCGCCTGAACACTAAACACCAACATTTCCTCCCCAACCCCAAATCTCTCCCAAACTTCCGACCCCGCAGCACCAGCACCAGCACCGGCACCGGCACCACGATCCGGCCGCCCAGAGTGGACAAAATTCAAAAAATACGTTTGCATAGCAACAGCAATTTGCGTTCGGAAATCTCCCATGATGGAAGAAGATGGGCCAGGCCAATATGTAAACGGAACATCACTTCCGTGAAAAGCCGGAGGGACGGCGAAGAGGTAGGAGTAAGAAGAGGTGTTGTTGGAAAAAGCGGTGTTTAAGTAGAATGTATTGCATGTGAAAATCATTTCGGCAGTGGCTTTGGAGGCGCGGCCGATTTGGTCGGTGTAACCGTAGCTGCCGTCGAAAATGGGAGGGTAGAGGGTGTTGGAGATGTATTGTAAATTGGAAAGGGTGGCTTTGCTGGGAGACATGTTGGATCCGATGAATTGGGCAAATGTCGTGTCGGAGTTGACGAAGGGAGAGGTGAAGGCGATGCCTTCGTTGGCGTTGTGGCCGACTATGATTTGGAGGTTGTCTTTGTGGTATTTTCCTGTGGAGAGGAGTTGGCCGGGGAGCGAGGGAACAAAAGTACCGTCCACCACGGGGCCGTATGTGAAGGAGCCGTATTGTGAGTCGCCGATTTGTTGAGCGCTAGCTGCATAAACGGCTTCAAATGAGGCTGCTCGAGCTTCGTCGAGGTTGGAAACGCCTAGGTATTGTAAGAACCTACTGGCTGTGGTGGCCGTCTGCGTGGGATCATCCACGGGGAAGAAAGCCGGCGACTGCACGATTGCCCTTTGGAAGCTAGGTGGATCCCTGCTGCCTCCATAGGATGTGATGTGGTGCAGTATGCTTGCGCCTCCAGCAGACTCGCCAATGACGGTGACTTGTGAGACGTCAGTAAGGCTCTGCGTTCTCGGATACTCGATGTGCAAAAAGCTTACCATTATTAGCATTTCCCCCGAACCTCCCTACAATTGACGGGTGTGTATCAGTAAGTGTCTAAAGGAACCTCAGACTTTCACAAGTCGGATTCTACTGACCAATATACTTCTGTACCCACTGCAGCGCAAACTGCTGATCGAGTAGTCCTGCATTGGCATCGCCGTCACTTTGTAATGCCGACCCAGCAAGCCATCCAAGCGCACCCAGCCTGTAGTTCAGACTGACAACCTGCTAACCCTCAGTATGTGAACCGTCGCATCCCTTGAAGCGAAGACAACTCACAACGATACCATCACCACCAGTCTCTCGATCTCTCTCTAGGAATCCAGCAGGATTTAGATCCTTGACACCAGAGACAAAACCACCGCCGTAGATCTGCACTATCACAGGCGCACCTGCACCTTTACCTGCATTTTCAAAGACTGATCGTGGAGCGTAGACATCCAGGAACAAGCAGTCTTCTGTTTCTCGACTTGAAGGAGTAGGACTCACGGTTCCGCTCTGGTAGTCGGATGGACTGAATTGAGTCTGGCCAGTAACATATCTGGGAACGAATTGAGCTGACACAGTTTGCCACTTGGGCGATGCTTGAGCACAAGCTCGCCCTTCGCCACCGGACTGAACAGAAGACCGGTCTGTAAGTGGAGTTTGAGGAGCTCTGAATCTGTTGGCACCAGTGGGTGGTGCGGCGTAGCGGATGTCGGAAAAGACACTACAGATGTTCAACACCTGTGGGATACAACTACGATGGCTTCTGAGGAGGGTTTTACTCACTATACATCGTACTGTGTATTTAAAAAGGTCGGTTTTTGCAGCACATAATCGAGATCCACCGTAGGTAGCTCAGCAGTAGCAACAGAGCGCGGCAAGAGACTCTGCACCACGGCGCACACTCCAACAACAGCACACAATCCAGTGAGCAGTGAGATTTGCGGCGGCGCGCCAAAGCCTTGCACAAACTGCTGTATCAGCGCTTCGACTGGACTGCCAATGCTGCTATTATAACCAGCCAGTAAAGGCGTTCCGCTGTTCCAGACTCCCGCCGCCATGATAGGGCTGTTTCTCAGGACAATAATAAGATGATGTTAGTGCACATGATGGCTACAAGAGGCGCAGGCAGGCGGATTTGTAGCCTGGCGAAGATATGAAAAGACGTGGCGACGAGTGGCGTGGAAAGTATGGTACGCGTCGTCATGGCCGAGACAGGTGAAGTCTGGATGCTGTGCATATGAGACCTGTTGAACAGCCGCTCCCGCTTGGCTGCTGAGAAGGGCGTCCAATTGTTCCACCTTGGTCGAATCTGAAGTGTATCATCGGGAGGCGTAGACTGACGCATAGGAGAGATGGATGTCGCATACATGTAGTATCGTGAGGTGGTTGATGGTGGGAAGGGGAAGGGGAAGGGTTAGAACCACGACAGCTTCACCTTTCGGCCGAACTCTTGGCGCTCGCTTATGTAAGCAAGACCAGCAGCACCGCGACGGGACAGGTGGGGGCAGCTACCTCCGTACATGTACCCGGTAACCTGACCTCCTACATGTACATGCGAACTCGATACACCACCTCCTCCCTTCCTTCTATGCCATCTCTCCTCTGCACCAGACACCATCCATACCTCAGTCATGTTCCACCAAGGTGACCTCCAGAGTGGTATTGGCCGAGCGCTGCAGGAGCAGAAACTCGTGGCATGTTTCGTCCGATCTGACAACGACGAGAGCCGGATCTGGGAAGAGCAATGGCTGGAGAATGGAAGTGGGAGTGGGAGTGGGAGTGGGAGTGGGAGTGGTATAGCTGCCCTGCATCGGCGAGCAGTCTTGTTAAAGCTGGATTATGGCAGTACAGAGGCTGCCTTCCTTGCCGCCTTCTGCCCCATCACGACTAGTCCAACACTGGTGGTGATAGACAAAGGCCGAGTGCTCGACAAGATTGAAGGTGGTGTGAGTTGTGACGAATTCACTGCTCGCATTCACACGGCTTGTGCGAGTCTGAACGAAGAGACAGCAGGCGAGAGTGGTGTAGCCGCGAGTGCTAGCACCGGCGCAGCAGAGCCTATGGAGTCGCAGCCTCCCACCGCAGTAACGACAGACACTCAAGAGCCTGAACACTCCAGCTCAGCACAATCTACCATACCATCTACGCAGACGGAACCGCCCATATCAAGCTCATCAGACAGCAGCAATGCCACACTATCGACGCCCAACCCTGATATGTCTGCTCTCTTTCCAGATCGCGCTCAACGTCACCAAGTAGAGGCCGATAGACGGGCGGCCGCAGAGAAAGCGGAACGCACAGCTCGTGCCAACGCGCGGAAGAGAGAGGAAGCACAAGCTCTGGCTCGCGACAAAGGGAAAGGTAGAGCAGTCGAAGAAACCGAGAAAGAGAAATCCCGACGAGACTGGCTTGCCCAGCAGAAGATCCGCAAAGATGAAGCCAAGAAAGATCGAGAACGAATTCTCGCGCAAATTGAAGCCGATAAGCAAGAACGCAGGGCGCGCTCTCAACGTGCAGCTGCGGAGACGCTCTCTGAATCTCGCCTTCCAATATCAGTAGACGCGGCGAGCAAGCGTCGCATGGGCGCCGGTGGGATGTGTAGCCTTCAGGTCAGACTATTCGATGGCACTTCCATCAAAGGACGCTTTGAACCTTCTGCTACACTCGACAACAATGTGCGCAGTTGGATCAAGACAACCACTGCGGATCAGGGCAATGTCAACGCTGCAGATGTGCCTTTCACATTCAAACAGATCGTTGCTCCACAGCCGAGCCGAAGTATAGAAGTCAGTGAGGAACATCAAACGCTTGCGGATCTGGGCTTGACACCGAATGCGAATTTGGTCCTAGTACCTGTCGCGGGCTACACCGAAGCATACTCTGGCAATGCTGGTCGAGGTTACATGAGTAGCGCTTTACACTTGACCTATGCTCTCGCAAATGGCGCGTCAAATGTTCTTGGTTCTGCCCTTTCTTATGTGCCTGGGTTGTCTGGGCCTACTGCTGCAGACCCCACGGCGTCCTCGACTAGATATTCGGGCAGCGCCTCGGAGGACGAAGGTGTCCCTACAAACCTGGATGGGTCTGCAGAATCGATTGGTTCTGCGAAAACCAAGGTGAAGACTTTGGCAGACCAGAGGGCAGAGGCCAAGAGAATGAATGACCAAAACCCAGAATTCTATAACGGCAACAGCTCTGCCTTCGAGGGCAGAAAAGACGATGGTGACGATAGTAGGTAGCCAGGCGGCACGGTCATCCCAGCAAGATTTGCGAGGTATAGATGCCCTTTGTTTGAGCCTTGGCCATGGATCTTAGCTGTCTTTGCGTTGCCGTATTTCGTTCGGCTTCTCCATAAAGTATGAGCTGCGCGTGAGGAAGCATGCCTCGCTCAATGTTGGCCCTGACAAGAGTCTCGTCTCGATCTTGGTGCTGGTGAATGGTCCTCGCATCGCGAATCTGTGTGTCAATATTGAAAGCCGCTCCGTTTGTAGAGACGAGGGGAAGGGAACCTAAGGCATGATGATCGAGAATCCCATGCGATTGGTGATGCAATGCCTGCTGTCCGTGTCTGGACGTTCTCGTATCGGGATTCGTGGCGGGCAGCCAGTGGCAGACAGACGTATTCTTGCCACATCGAAGTCTAAAGGGACCGCATGTTCCGCAGAAGGCGTGCGACTTATATTGGACTTGGATGTCCGGCGTGGAAGTGAGCGGAACAGCATCGAGACCCTCGATGAACGCACAGTATCTTACTTGCTATCCTTGGCATCTGCAGGTCGCGCTCTGACGGATGACGAGGAGAAGGTCGGTGTGGACCATGTGGTGTCGTCGATGTGCTCCATTCGCTCCATTCGCTCCGCTGACAGCCTCCGTTGTTCCGCTTTGGGAAGCTATATCGTTCTTGGCGGTGTGAGAACACATACAGGTACACATACACACTCGATGTCTTAGCATCTCTTTTCGATCACGGGCTTCTCGGGTTGACAAATTAGGTATGTGACCTCGTTCGCGGTCTGACTTCCTGCCTGAGGTATACTGTCCGAACACCCGAAGTCCCGGAGAGATCCTCAGGACTCGCCGTCTCGCAGGCAACGCTGTCCGACCAGAACCAGACTGCTGGGTGGGATGCAAGCATCACAGCTCTTCGTACCGCAACCCTTGCAGTCTGTCTGTTCTCTCCGGTCGCTCCCGGGTATACCGTAGGAGTGGCTGGCATCAACTACACCGTGTCTGCTGTCGAGCCCACATGTGCAGTATGCATCAACCTATCAATTTGCAATTTCCAGCCTGAGTTGCTCCAGCGAGCCACCTGATTCTGACAGCAGTGTCTCCAACACCAACCAAGGTATGCAGAGGCCGCCAGCTACAGATTTGGGAACAGCCTCGCCGGTCAACAGAAAGCCGGACTGCCCGCCAGAAGACCATATACCCATGCATATTTTTCCATGCCTACGGTATAGAGGCACCTAAGCCTTCGAGCACGTCCCCCGTCTTGGCACTCGTCCCTTTCCGCAGTCCGCACCTCTCCAACCCCATCCGAGCGCAGGATGTGCAGGCTTCAGCAAAGTCAAGTCTTCCCAGAGCAGAGCCTAACAGCGTCTCACTCATCGTCACAGTGCGGCGGAGGAACACGAGTGACGGCATGGATCCTGGCCTCGATGTTCCTAAAAGCAGATCTGTCAGGCTGTGTCAGCCACTCAGCCATACCATATCCTGGCGCGCAAATCTGACATTCCTGGTTTGATGCCTTGTCATTCAAAACCTTAAACGGACCTCGCAAAGAACGTTCCATCTTCAGAAGGCCTTTCGAGCATCAACTGGCCAGCACAGTGTCACAAAGTTCCTGGAGTCTGTGTTGGCAGATTGCCAGTGGAGTCACCTCTACGTAGCCCGACCAGCTGTAGGCACTCGATCGATACGGTACAGTGGCATCCGTCAGTAGCGACACGTGAGAATCACTTGTAGATGGCAAAATGATATTGGTCTGTGGAGAACGCTTAACCTTGAAGCCAAGATGACACACAAGCTTCTGAAGCATGAGCACATTTCCCAGCAGCCGGGAGAGAGTGTAGTGCTGGGACAAGACGATCACCATCTCGACCCTCTCAACTGTTCGTTGCTTGTTGTTACCCGGTTCGATCGAGTTTCGTACCTGGCAGTAAGCTGCAAAATCATGCGTCTACTGCTATTCTTGCCTACACATAGCTGTCTCCATGGTGTCCGAGAACATGGTGACTCATTCGTATTGTTCAGTTGTGTCGGTGCAATACCTGGACGTGAGCAGTCACCGCCAATCATTCGCGAGCAGAGCTGGGCGCCCCGAAAAGGTTTCGTACGGATCTCACATATCTTGTTGAAGAAAGTCTCGCAGCCTGCCGAGACCTAGCCTGTGCTGAGCCTCTGCGTTCCTTGGGCTGTTGGTCTGAAGAGTGCACCAGGTTACGTAAAGGAAAGGAATGGATGCGGCGATGCTCCGGCAGGGTACATGGTTTGCTTCCGGTCTTGTGGCCAGTGAAGCCCAAGTTTTCTTACGCACCTCAGCCTCTCCCAGAGCTTATACCCTGCAGATGTTTCCAAAGATGGCAGGCGATGACACTCCGTCTCTCAATTATGGTATACGAGTGGCCGGAAAGCTCACCTGGAAGCCTGAGGGCTCATTGTCGAAGAAGGTATAAGTAAGACTATCCTTCCGACGAAAGAATCATCACCAGCACAACAACAACAACAACAACAACAACAACAACTCCAATCAACTCAAGCAGCCTACTTCAACGGTCGTTCAGAACATCTCATCATCAACCTCGCAACCACATCAACCACATCAACCCTCACTCCTCAGCAAAAATGCAGTTCAAGTTCATCGCCGCTTCCGTCGCCGCACTCTCGGTCGGCAGCGCCATCGCTGGCCCAGTCCCAGCTCCAGTCTCGGTACGACCTCTCTCCCTCATCCCATTCCGCCCCGAAAGACACTAACCTAGCATAGGAGAATGGCATCGTAGCCCGTGAAGCTGCCGCCATTGCTCAGCCAGAGGCCGCCCCAGCGGCACTCAAGGCCCGCGACATCGATGGCGATGAGCTCGGCTCGATCCACAGTCAAGCGTGGACATACGCTCAACAGAAACAGGGTGAGAAGCCTAGCGACTACGACTTGACCAAGGCAAGGCAATATTTCCCATCGGACTGCTGGTCGAACAACTACTGGAGCATCAACGACTACCAGACCATTGGATGGACCGCACAGGTCTGGTACATCTACATTCTGTACGCCCAGTACAACACCTACAGCTACAAGTGGGACACCTACTGGCCAACTAACTGTAAGTCTTGATCCCCCCCACTCTTCCCCCTTTTTCGTCACTCATTGAATACCCCAACCATACGAATACTCATCTGTTCTGATAGGGAACCAATGGTCCACCTACTGCACTCCTGGTCTCTACTGCACCGGCAGCCACTAAATGTCTCGCCCGGAGCCAGAATCACAACAAGACCCATGCGCGCGCAAATGGTGGGGGGAGTGAACGCACAAGGACTGTAATATCTGGTGTTGGTGGTGTGGTCTGGTGGGCTGAGAGCAAGACGATGACGATGTTGTTGTTGTTGTTGTTGTTGTTTGTTGTCAGTGGAAATGATATTTTGACGATGGGGAAATTTCCGACCGAAGACATGAGCTTGACACATGAAGCATGCGAGATATGATGAGAAGATGATGATGCTGATGATGATGAGGAATCCGACCCGAGACGCTTGACTAGCATTCGTTTTTATTGTTTGTTCTTGACAGTGTGTGTGTTCAACGAATAAGACAAAAAAACTACCCAATATACCTTATATACCCTACTTTAGGTATTCGAATTGAGTGGGGGGGATATGGGAATATATACACTATTTGGAAGGTGTTTTTGTTTTTGTCGCTCAACTCTCTTTTTCCCTTTTTTCCATTCAATCTTTTGGAAGATATCCAAAAACCCCTCCCTCCCAAACAAACTAATAATTAGAAATATTGGTCTTCAGAAAGAAAAACCCGCCTCTACAAAACACTACCCTAAAAGCCCTAGGCAGACGAATCTAATCAACCTACAATTCTATATTTACTAACTCTTCCCAAACATCAAGTCCTAGAGTGAATACCCGAGTCTAGGTATGTAGGTACCTAGAAAGATTATAATACTTAAAAGACATTGAAATCGCAGAAAACAATACAGCGTAGTTAAACCTATCAAATCAACCTCTAACCAAAAATACCTTTCTCGATAGAATTCTCGTATACATCTGCTGATATAAAGCTTCCAGTGTCCACAGGTATGTATGCAAGTATCTAAATGAGGAAAGATGGCGTTTGACGTTTGGTGAAGGATGATGGTGTTCCGTCCAGGGGGGGTTGGGTAGGTGAAGGATAAAGGAAGATTTTATTGTCTGAGTGGATAGAGGTAGGGAGTTTTCCCAGGGGTTGCTTTCTGGGTAAGGCTGGGAGGGTGGACTGAGGTATGTGATGATATTAATAGTGTTTGTTAGTTGTGCGGGGGGTCTTTTGTCTCATGATTTTTGGTGGGAGTTGGGTCTCCTCTGTTTGAGATGGGATTGTTTGCGGGAATATGGTGTAGTGAAGTGTGGTAGGAGAAGGAGTGGGAGGACAAGGTGTGTGAGTGAGTGAGGGGCCATCCATCGGTGCGTCATGAATAGAGTTTCCGACATTATTTTCCTCGCCTCGACTTACTCATATTCTCTACCGTCCTCTCTTCTTCCTCCCCAATGGAAACAGCCAAACATCAGATTCACGAACAAGGCCACGATCTCGTCCTCAGAATGGCAGTCAACCACTCCAATTTTCCTCCAAAGCGGTGCGGTTAGTGAGTCGTCCACGTCCAGCGACACCATCTCCAATGCTGATGGACATTTGGTAGGTGTTCTGGGAGCCACGGGCAGTGTCGGCCAGCGATTCATTCTGCTGTTGGCGCAACATCCTCACTTCCAGCTCACTGCCGTGGGAGCATCGCCGCGCTCTGCTGGGAAAGCGTACAAAGATGCGGTCAAGTGGAAACAAGCTACGCCCATGTCCAAGGCTCTGGGCGAGCTGGTGGTGAAGAGCTGCACTCCGGAGGAGTTCAAGGGTGAAGTCGATATTGTCTTCTCTGGCTTGGACAGCGATGTTGCTGAAGATACTGGTATACCGCTCCTGGCTTCCACCTCCGAAAGTCGTTGCTGATGTCCCCCCAGAAATGGCCTTTCTCAAAGCCAACATTCCCACCTTCTCCAACGCCAAAAACTACCGCCGCAACCCTCTCGTCCCTCTCGTTGTCCCGACTGTCAACCTCCCCCATCTCGACCTGATCCCGCACCAACGCTCCCACTTTCAACTCGAAAAGGGCTTCCTTGTCTGCAATTCCAATTGCGCAGTCATAGGCATTGTAATCCCCTTTGCAGCGCTCCAAGCCAAATTCGGCGAGATCAACACCGTCTCCGTTGTCACCATGCAAGCCGTCTCCGGAGCAGGCTACCCCGGCGTCAGCTCCATGGACATCATCGACAACGTCGTTCCCTTCATCAGCGGAGAAGAAGATAAACTCGAGACAGAAGCACGCAAGATTCTAGGAGGTATCAACACGGAAAAGAACGCTTTCACAGAGCAGAGTGCTCTTCGGATATCAGCTGCATGCAATCGTGTGCCCGTGTTGGACGGCCACATGGCGTGCGTGTCGTTGAAATTCGCAAAACAACCCCCGCCGAGCGCGCAAGAGGTGAAAGAGGCTTTGAAGGCATATGTGAGTGACGCTCAGAAACTCTCATGTCCCTCTGCGCCTGAGAAGGCAATTGTGCTGTTTGATGATGATCAGCCCGATCGTCCGCAGCCCAGACTGGACCGTGAGTTGGACAGAGGGTATGCCGTGTCTGTGGGACGAGTGCGAGAAGATGAGAGTGGAATCTTTGATATCAAGTTTGTGGCTCTCAGTCATAATACTGTCATTGGAGCTGCTGGTAGTTCCATCCTCAATGCTGAGGCGGCGGTTATGAGAGGTTATATCTAGATGGCCAGAATTGTAATTGAGCACACACAAGGGTATTGGGATCAGGAGGCGTTGCATCGCATCAGAGCCCGTGGCATCGACACTCCTGGGGAATATAATGCCAATCAGCCCCCGCTCGTCAATCAACGGAGGCATATAGGCCAATACGGGAGGTGGTGATCAAGGGCTCGCCGAAGATCCTTTCTGGCCTTACAGCTGGTAAACAGACGAAATACAAGCCTCCTCGCCGTATTGGTCGGGAGACTCGATAATATTGACAGGTGTCTAATAGTCTCGAAGTTGCTACCTATAGCTTTAACAGATACATTCAAGCTACCGCATATCCTATACTACTCCTACCTATGTCGAGCTCGGTCTCTCTCGGGGGTCTACGAATACACTTTCGATCCGTATTGACTTTCGATTGGAGATGATTCCATCCGAATCTCATGCAAGCGTGCTTACGCTGGAACCTTTCAAGCGAGCTCTCGCTCATATCATTCACGCAGCTTCATCTGATCTGGTTGCGAGGCTGCTTATCGTTACACATAATGGCATGTGGGAGCCACCACATACCCTACTTATGGACATGATAACCACGACGCAATCTGCGATCAGATCCAAATGAGTATCTGTTTACTTCAGTAACATTGCAGCCAATGGTTCCGTTTCGCAGGCTCACGATACTTTGTATGCATTGCTAGAACTTCAAGAGCTCATGTATACACAACTACGCGGTACCCTATGCCCTCGAGGTGACACAGCATAGAGGAACACTACCATGGTCTGAATATTCATTCGGGTCAGCATGTGCTTATCACTCAGCATGCGGCCTATCCTTATCGGCGAGCGCCAAAGGCTGTATATACGTGCGCAACTGGCTAGCTATAAGGATCTCCCGTCCTGTTTCAGGCACTAGGCGTACTGAAGCTTTTGGTCCATTAGTAGCTATATCAAGATGACTGCGAAATCTCCGAGTCTCTACAATGTAACTACAAGAGAGTTCTGGCATGGGCCTAGATGGTACGACTGGGACAGTATCATTTTCGACGTGCAGGTGATGGACAGTCGCCCTATCCTGTACGAAAGAGGTTGCCAGATCGACGGCAACAAATCCCGACATGACTGCACTGCAGCCTGCTCCAACCCAAAAGAAGTGTGGACTAACAACTCCTATACTCTCTATAACTGTATGGTATGCGTGCCTCTCAAAAGAAGAAGTCCCCCCCTCTCCGCCGTATGAAACTACTGACCTCTCATAGGTGTACCCTATCCTTGCCCAGCTTATACACTCTGGCAGCATCATTGGTAAGAACTCATCTGGTGCTGCAGAGTTTAATATTGTCAACGACAGCACTTCGGAGCTGTTCGCTGGATGGCCAGTCATCACGACGTGTCTTACAGATTACTGTCACGACAATCCACAGCTCCCTGCCTGCATAGCAAAAGACTCGAAAACGAAAGCATCCAATTCCGCATATGCCAAGAAGCACAGACTCACATATCACGAATTGGTAAACACCGCGCTTTTCATATGTTAAAACTTTTATGTAACGTACTGATCAATTCACCAGGATTTCAACGTCGACATCTGCCACAACCTCAATGCAGCGATCAATCCAGATATCGGAGGCATCGGTGTACGTTGAGCGTTCCAAAGTCTGCGACTTTCTTCACGCAGCTGATGAAAAGGGGGGAACACAGGTGTTCGTCTCCTATCTCATGCAAATCGCCATTGTGCTCTCAGCGTGGGGTTTGTGGCATATCACCGAGCACTGGGCTCGATACTTCTACTTCGCCTATTGGCGAATGTCCAGGAAGAATGCACCCCAGGCCTGGTCATTAGCCGACGCCGCACAAGCCAAGCTCAAGGACTCCGAAGTCCACAACGCTCTACTTGAAGCACTCGCAGACTTCCAGAAAGCGCAAGTGTTCTTCATGCTTGCCGTTCAAATCGCTTGTATGATTGCGCTTCACGACCTAGCAGACATCCAGAGCACTTCGTGGCAGCAATTCTGGAACAACATTGGAATTTTCTTCAACCTTGCCGTGGGAGGCTATCTTCCCGTTCTGCTAGGTTTGATGATTCTGAGACAAATGGGCAGGAAGGACAGCTACTCTTTGATCGTCTCCACGTGCTCTGTAGGGCTCGCAATCGTGACATGGCTCACCACGTGGGAATTGACAATTCACCGGAGTGAGATACAGAAAGTCGACATCAAGAGCGTAGGGCCACCTTCTTGTAATGGCATTGCTCCGACACAGTACTGCTGGTCGTTCGACTGGTTCTGGCAAAACGCGGTCGCGTCGTCGAGAGGTTTTGGCATGATCGCGTTTGCGTTGGTCGTGCAGCTTTGCATGATTATCGATCACTTGACAGTCTTCAAGCCAGCTGGAGCGAGTGACGACGACCGTAAACGACAGAATTTGTTCCAAGTCACACGGGACTGGCTACTTCATCGCCAGGAATGGGAATACTACGAAAACCTCGTCCAGCACCAACGGTGCCTCATCTGGCTAGCGAAGATGAAGCTCGATACCCGCCATTCTCTTCTCACGAGGTCCAAATGGTTCGTTTTACTCGGTACTGAGATGGCATTGATATCGCTGAGTATATTGCTGCTGAAGGCCTATGGACGCTTGCTCGTGAATCACGGCGTACTGGGCTATCTCGTGCTTGACCATAAAGCCTGGTCTCTGGGACAGATCATCGCCGTGACCATATGGGTGCCTGTACTCGTGAAATTTGTATGGGATACACTGAAGGGTGGCAGGAATGCAGATGGAGGCAAAGGAGGTATCGCCAGTGGTCCATACAACAGGAGCTATACGGGGTCGACGGTTGGTGGTGGTGCTTCTTCATAGTCGGGGATACCTTTGGCCTGATCATGCGGTGCTCACGCGCGCGGAAGCCTTTTACTTGGTTTATCGTGAAGGGGACGATGGTCAAATCTGCGGCGTGTTGCAAGCAAGTCCGCGGAGGCCGGGACTTCTGCCTCGAAAGGGGCACTACTGTGGTGGTGGAAGTGAGGACAATGCTACCCGCCCATCAAGAGCACTGACTTCTGCGCTATAGTGAGAGCGCCGGAAAATGTTCCCATGACTCTCGTCGATGTCTTGGCAGTCTATACATTGCGCATTCTTGTTCGCTGCCGATGCACACGATTACTTTGCCAAGCAGGAAGGATGAGGGCTGAGACTACCTATGGAACCCGAAGAGAGCTTGGCGCTCGGGCCGTAACTACTAGTGCCAGGGGCTCCATAGGAGGTTCTTTCACCTCACTTGTCGGTCTGGACTCCCCATTGCTCTTTTTTACATCCAATATGAATATTGATATCGTGAGTATGATGCGACTAGCAATCAGCACATTGCACTTACTGGCTTCCTTCGAGCCTATCCGTCAACGTTGTTCTTTTCCTCATATTTGCATTATATACCTTATCACTCGTCCCAAGAACGCACCGGAAGGATCTATCAACAAGTCTTTGCTGACTAGATCGACCTATGCACTGTGGAAATTGATGCATGCTTCTGGCTTCACACCTGACTCTCTGAGATCGTCGTCGATCCTTTACAGCTTCAGTCCATGGCAGTCTGCTGTGTCATGGACGGGTATATACCATTGTATACTCAATGTGATGAGCAGGCATTCGAAGCCTGAAGGAACAATTCATCTGCAAAGATAGACTAGGAGGTGTTGGCAACGCTATAGGTCGAGACGACTTGAGTTCTAATCGGCTAATTAGCGAACGAAGGCTCGACTCGCTCGGGCGACCTCGAGATGAAGGCCTCCTACAACTTCGTCTGTTGTCCTTACCCTCTCGGCTGTAGAACGAAGAGCAGACGCTCCTAAGAAAGTGTAACGATTCGCCTTTCTTCGACTCGCGTACAGAAACCATATGGCGCTCGAAGCAACCACCTATAGCTTGCCCCTCACATGCACGCGGAGCTGCATTGTCAGTAATATAGGCGTCCAGCAGTGTCTGCTTACTAGTGACAATCGATAGCGTAACGATGCCACGCCAACGTTGAGCTATAGAATGTAGATATGGACTATTTGCACCATATTCATCAATGAACCAAGCTTACGCATCATATATGAATAGATCGCATTGCTCCTTGTTGACCATCAGCAGACCATCAGCAACCTTCATCCGCACCACACTCGCTTGAACATTCGTTCATCACTCTCGCTTCATATCACGCATATCCATATATTGCAACTTTCAAATCATCACCAGACACATTCTCAAGATGCAGCTCACGGTCGCTTTCGCCGCCATGCTGGCCCTCGCTTCCGCTACCTCAAATGGACGTTTCTACGGCAAGAACAACCCCTGGCCTAAGAAGGATTGCCCCACCACAAAGACCTGCAAGGCCGTCTACTCTACGTACTACAAGGAGGTTCCAACCTACTACGAGAAGACGAAGACGGAGACGGTGTACAAGCCGTATACCACTACAATCTACATTGACAAGTAAGTCTTCATCAATCATTCCGCTACAGGCTACATTCTCTCTCTCTCTCTGGCTCCTGGTCGGATCTGCGCTACTCACAAGAAAACATCCACTAACTTGCTATTGCTACTCCCCTCAGAACCCTAACCAAAACCTCCCATCTCCCCACCACATCCATCGGCACAACAACTCTCACCTACGAAACCGAAATCCCCACCAAAACCCCCATCGTCAAAACTCTCACGACCACGTACCTGACCACCTACTGGAAAGACTCCAAAGTCCGCACCACACTCACTTCCGAGCAACCTTGCACCTTTGTCTCTAATGTACCACAATTGTACACGACAGTCGAGAAGGGCAGTCCAAAAGCGATTGTTACGAAGAAATTGGAAACGTATGTCGTTACGAAGAAAATTCCAACTATGACGAAGTCGCCAGGTACGGTTACTTCGACTGTGTGTTCTGCGAAGGAGGTTTGTCCCACGATGATTATGACGACGGGTACGACGCCTACGGCTACGACTACGCGGGGACCTCAGGCGCCTGGATATTATTGAGTTTGAAGTTTCTTTTCTTTTTTTTTCATTATTGGGGGTTTATGATAAGAGATATGGAAATGAAGGAGGTATATGACTACGATTGTAGGGTTCTTAGTAGGATTAGTGTCTAGGTATATTATTTACAGTATTGTATTGATTTAAATCGAATCTTCGTCGGAGAATTTTAGGAGAAGACAAGACAAGGTCTCTAGGCAATTAAGAGATCGAGACAGAGATAGAAAAACTAGAGTAGAGTCTATCTCTTACACACACATACACATACACACACACATACACTCTCTCTCTCTCTCTTATAAGAGAGGAGGGACCGTACTACTTAGTAAGAGGCAGGATAGAAAGAGAATAGATACTATAGTATTAGAGAGAAAGGGAGAGAAAGGGAGAGAAAGGAAAGGAGAGAGTAGAATTCTATCCTACTAAGATCTTATATATATCTCTTTCTCGTACTTGATACCTTACGTCTAACTACTCGTAGTACTTCGGAAGCAGAAGGAGGAGCAAGGAGAAGAACTCAGCGGGCTCTGTTTTTCGAAAAATTCCTCTTTTCCTCTTTCTCTCTCTCTCTCTCTCTCTCTCTTATAAGAGAGGAGGGACTATACTACTTAGTAAGAGGCAGGATAGGGAGAGAATAGATACTATAGTATTAGAGAGAGAGGGAGGGAAAGGAAGGGAGAGAGTAGAATCCTATTCTACTAAGATCTTGCTAATATCCTCTCTCTCTCTCTCTCTCTCTCTTATAAGAGAATAGAAACTACGCTACTTAGAAGAGAAGCGATTTACAAAGAGAAATAATCTTAGAGGTAGAGAGAAAGAGAAGAAGAAGAGAGAAGAGAAGAGAGTAGAATTCTATCCTACTAAGATCTTAGGTATATATATCTTCTTCGTACCCTTTACCTATCTCTCGGCTACGTCCTAACTTGGATCTAAGCAATGCCGACACACCGGCAAAGGCCAAAGAACAGAACCGGAAAGTAGAAGATATGATTTCAGGTATTCCCGACTTTGAGAGTACTGTTGTATCTCTGAAGAAAGAAGCTAGTACATGGACTCCTATAGAGAACCGGGTAGTAAAGGCGAAAAAGATACTAGCAGAGACATCTAGGAGACTGCAAGAGATAAACTAGTTCGTAGTCGATCGAGAGCAAGAAGCAGTACGAGCAGAGAATACAATTATTCTCAAAAAGATAATTGTCTTGATAGACAAAAACGGAGAGCTTGAAAGGAGGAAAAAAGAGCAGACCGATAAGATCAGCCGCCTGGAGAGTACAAATAAGAAGCTTACTAACGATATAGACCTGGAACGGCGTGAATCAACCGATAGCCTACTAACGAGGGGTTCTATCGAGGTGCTCCGTACGCACCGAGAGAATCAAAAGAATAAACTCGCAGCGCTTCGAACGCAACAAGACGAGCGAAGACTAGAGCTCGTAGCGCTTCGGAAGCAGAAGGAGGAGCAAGGAGAGGAACTCGCAGCACTTCGTAACCCCCCCCTCCTCCTCTCTCTCTCTCTCTCTCTCTCTCTCTTCCTCTCTCTACGGCCCCTATATACAAAGTAGGTGTTTTTGCTTTTTGCCTCTACATTTGGAGAAAGGCCTTATTTTCTAGAATAGAGAGAAATAGCAGGCTCCCTTTTTCTATCTATATTAATCACTCTACCTTTGCCTCGCCTCGTACACGCCTCGATTATACGCTTCTATCCTCCTCCGTCATTTTCTCGATCTCTCCCTATCTTTTCGACCTAAGAACCGAAAAACGAGCGATAGTACCGACAAAGATGAATACATTTACCCGGTATTACAACTTTTTTTTCGAAATTTCCCTTTTTTTTTCTCTCTTTTTTCCCCTTTCTCTCTCTCTCTATCTCTCTCTCTACAGCTACTATATACAAAGTAGGTATTTTTATTTTCGCTTCTATATTTGGAGAAAGGTCTTATTACCTAGAATAGAGAGAAATAGCAGGCTCTTTTTTTTTCGAAAGTTTCTCTTTTTCCCTTTTCTCTCTCTCTTTCTTCCTCTCTCTACGGCCCGTATATACAAAATAGGTGTTTTTGCTTTTTGCCTCTATATTTAGAGAAAGGTCTATCCTCCTCTTTTATCTGCTACTATAAACTGCGTACAGATTACAATATCCTCGTCTTTATCCTTGTCTTAAGCCTCGTCTTCGTCTTCGTCTTCGTCTTCGTCGTTATCGGAACCGTACGTAATCGAGGAGGGGTTGTAGTCCTCGTTACTACTATTATACTCGGTACGATCTGTTATTCTTCGAGCAGGTCGAGAAGGACTACTATTAAGTAGTAGTAGGGACAAAGTTAGTATTGTAATAAATTGCGATTGATATAGGGACAAAAAGAGAGAGAGAGAGAGAGAGAGGCAAGAGCAAGCGCAATATAGGAGGAGCGATTGTATTGTCGACGCCGCCTAATATAGTATACGCGTAATACCGGTTACGGACTAAGATTTATAGACTAAGATATTTAAAGTCTATAAGGTAGGCACCTAATTATACCTACCGTTAGTGCCCGTATACCTGCTATAAATACCGACATCTACGTCAATTACTCTACCTTTGCCTCGCCTTGTATACGCCTCAATTGTACGCTACTATCCTCTTTACGCTTCTGTTACCGGCCGTTATCTTCTTAATCTCTCCCTATCTTTTCGACCTAAGAACCGAAAAACGAGCGATAGTACCGACAAAGACGAATACGTTCACCCGGTATTACAACTTTTTTTTCGAAATTTCCCTTTTTTCCTCCTTTTTCCCTCTTTCTCTCTCTCTCTCTCTCTCTCTCTCTACGGCTACTATACACAAAGTAGGTGTTTTTCTTTTCGCTTCTATATTTGGAGAAAGGCTATATTACCTAGAATAGAGAGAAATAGCGGGTCTCTTTTTTTCGAAAGTTTCTCTTTTTCCCTTTTCTCTCTCTCTTTCTTCCTCTCTCTACGGCCCGTATATACAAAATAGGTGTTTTTGCTTTTTGCCTCTATATTTAGAGAAAGGTCTATCCTCCTCTTTTATCTGCTACTATAAACTGCGTACAGATTACAATATCCTCGTCTTTATCCTTGTCTTAAGCCCCGTCTTCGTCTTCGTCGTTATCGGAACCGTACGTAATCGAGGAGGGGTTGTAGTCCTCGTCGTTACTATTATGCTCGATATAATCTATTATTCTTCGAGCAAGTCGAGAAGGACTACTATTGAGTAGTAGTAGGGACAAAGTTGGTATTGCAATAAATTGCGATTGTTATAGGGACAAAAAGAGAGAGAGAGAGAGAGAGAGAGGCAAGAGCAAGCGCAATATAGGAGGAGCGATTGTATTATCGACGCCGCCTAATACAGTATACGCGTAATACCGGTTACGATTTTAAAGAATTCCTCTTTCTCTCTCTCTCTCTCTCTCTCTCTACGGCCCCTATGCACAAAGTAGGTGTTTTTGCTTCTCGCCTCTACGTTTGGAGAAAGGCCTTATTATCTAGAATAGAGAGAGGAATAGCGGGCTCTTTTTTTTCGAAAGTTTCCCTTTTCCCCTTTCTCTCTCTCTCTCTCTCTCTTTCTTCCTCTCTCTACGGCCCCTATACACAAAGTAGGTGTTTTTGCTTCTCGCTTCTGCGTTTGGAGAAAGTCCTTATTATCTAGAGTGGAGAGAAATGGCAGGCTCTCTTTTTCCGTAGGATGGATACGTCGGATTTCTTGTCTGGCGAGGATATGGCGTGTGCTCTTCTTTCTCTCTCCCTCCCCTTTCATCAATTCTTTTCTATGCTTGAAGTTTCCTCCTCGTCTATCCCTAAGACGAACCCTTCAAAAACTGCAATCTCGAAGGAACCGGAGGAGTATAGCCATTATCACTAACACTATCACCATCACTACGATCATCAATCCATCGGAGTATCAATAACTTTAACCTCATGCAATCTCCCATTCCCATCGCGATACTCCAACCTCGTCGCAGTCGTCGTACTAGGCGGCTCATGCCTCAACTCAATCCCATCACTAGACCTCGAAGAATTCTGCTCAGAATCCCCCACAGATTTCTCCTTGAAAGAAGTCGCCGCGTCGGGATCAGATGATTCGAGAGTAGGAATCGCCGGAACAGGAGGAGGAGCAGTAGAATAAGAATTCGCTGTTGTCGCGCGACGCATCTGTAGCATTTCTTCGTGGGTCGTAGGTCTTTCCGGATCGATGCTTTTCGCGTTAATGGGTGCTCGGGAGTTGTTGGTGGAGGAGGAGGAGGCTTTAGTGTTGGTGGCGGTGCTGGAAGCAGCAGCGAGACTACGCATGGGTTTGCCGGATAATTTGGCCCAGATGCGTTGGAGGAGACCGGCCATGGCGGGCATGCAGGTGCAAATGACGCTGAAATTGCATTCGACCGAGGACCAGATGACGGCGTTGCTGTATTCCCAGGTGGGGTTGGAGGAGTGGCCGATTTTGACGAGGTATTGGAGACGGATCTTTTTAGGGGGGAGAAGAAGGGGAGAGGAAAGGGGTTAGAATCTGTCTTGTCTGCATCATTGAGAGGGAGGAAGAAAGAGAGAAAGTGGCACTTACAATACTGCAGATGGTGACTAACATGCCAACCATGAAAATGGTGAGGACTCCCGTCTTTCTTCGCCAGGAGATGTTGAGTTTGAGAAAATTGTGCAACGGCAAGATGAAGACCACCACATCGTAACAGATGTTAATGGCACCCAGAGCGTAGAGCTGCGCGGCTCGATTGGCACAACTGCCCTGATGAAGTCCATCCCAGAAGTGCCACGAATATGGGACGGGTGAGCAGATGAAGATTTCGGAAAACACAAACGCCAGAATCGTGACCAGATGGACGGCGACCAGAAACCAGCAAGTTCGACGAAACCAGATGGATACAGCGTCCTCACTCCAAATTCGCAGATAGAGTTGCAAGATCGAGACTTTGGTGAGCATGACGAGGACGGTGTAGAGGATGGTGAAGACGAAGAAGTACTGAATGAAGAAGAACACTATCAGCTGAGCTTCTTCTTCTCCTTTCGACGGTCCTTGGTAAAGTATACACTACTACTACCACCATTACTCACCTTGAGGAACAGCGTAATCTGTCGCGGGGACAAGGTGAAATTGTCCGTGCCGAGACCGTTGTTCGTCATTAGCTCGACAAACGAATTCACGGGAACCAGCAGTGCCATGCAGGCGAGAATGGTCCAGTCATCCTTTCCTAAAAAAAGAGCGATTAACAGTCCGCATGAATCATACGTCTAGATGGGAACTAGAGATGTTCTCGTTGTAGCTAAGAGGAAAAGAAGGAAAAAGAAAAAAAGGGAACTAAACTCACCATAACCACTCCCATGCAATCGTTCCGGACGAGCTACAAACCGCGCCCCAACAAACAAACACGCCAATCCAAACAGCGACCACGTAATCCGACGTATCACAGGCGCCCTATTTCGAACCGTAGCACCACAAAGTCTCTTGGAGATTCTCTCGACGACTGTAAACCTTTCCCCATGTCAGTCAGTCATCATCGATCAAACCAAAAACAAGAAAAATTCGACAAAAAACGTACACAATTGCTCCGGAGTCGTACAATTCGCAAACGTACACGCCGAAATCGCAGTCGTGAGATTGGCATTCGAACACATGCATGAAGGATTGTTGAGTGGACAATCATAATCGGGGAATTCTTGAACGAAACATAGGCCCTGTAGAATAATCATTAGAAAAGAAAAAAAGAGAATGATACAAGATAGGTAGGTAACATACACCACATGTCGGTAAATCGAGATCTGCAATTTCTGCCAGTCCTTGGATTTGTTGCTCTGCTGCTATTATATTCGATAATGATGATGTTGTTGTTGTTGTTGTTGTTGTTGTTGTTGTTGTTGTTGTTGTTGTTGTTGTCTGGGCTGCTGCTGTATTGGCGCTCAGGGATAATAACAAGGACAACAATAACAGCAGCAGGGCGATGCTCGGGGAGGATTTTGGCGTCATCCTCGTCGCTACTACTACTGTTACTGGTAGTAGGGCTGGCTGGCTGGCTTTTATGGGTAGAAAGGCCAGCGAGGAGAAAAGAGAAGGAGAGAGAGAGGGAGAGAGAGGGAGGGAGCGAGATAGAGGGCAGAGGATTGTCTCAGAACGTATCGTCTACTACCTTAGGTAGGTAAGGTACCTAGGTAGGTAGATAGTGACTTTACAACAGCAAGTTGAGAGAAGCGGGAACAGTAACCTGTCGGTCGATGCGCTCATCGTCGACCTGGGGAAACAGAGAAAAACAACCGGCATGACACTACTGCTGCTGCTCCTCCATGTAAGGTAGGTAAGTATTGCAGACGGTTGTTTTCTTGTATAGCGCGAAGTAATAATCTTGACCATCCCTGTAGTGACCTATATCAGACCTCAACAACCTGTTATAAGTGATCCTGATGGAGAGGCCGCAAGTGCAAAGTGCAAGTGCTATAATGCACGAATAAACGCCGAGTCAGGACTGTGCTGTTTGAGATGCGGTACGGCTATGCACGCACGCAGCAAGGCCATGTCTTCCGGATGGACGATTAGGTGTGCGCGAGTCGTGTATATGCGCGTATGTTACCTTACCTGCGGCCTGCATATCTTGGGTACCTATAATGCTGTATTGGCGTGGTTGGTGAAGAAGGCAGAAGACAACCAGGTTGAGTTGCCTTTTTTTTCTCCTGTCGGAGTCCTGGTTTTCCAGTTTTCGAGAGAAGCGAAGGCGGAAAAACCTCATAATGGTAACGCTCAGTTATTCATACCGTAACGATGATGATGATGATGATGATGATGATGATGATGATGAATAAGACACACACACATCCATTACATACCTATATCTGTACCTGCAATGCCAAGTTCCGACTTCTCAAGCAGCGGGAAGACTTCCATCGATTCGATACCTCTTCATAGGTAGTCGGGTTAAGGCTGATTAGGGTGCATACAGCAAGCATTTCAGCCAGTTCATCGACCGGACCAGGACATACATACCTAGTAAATAACACGGTACAGTGCACACTGCTCTATCCCCACCCTCGTCGCGGTATATGCGAACTGCGTTCTATCGTTGGCCGTCGTCCGGGTCAAAATGAATAGGTTTGAGAGAACTGGTTTGGTTTGTTGGAGAGAGAGAGATTGTTGGTTTTGGATGGTTTTTACTTTTTAGCATGTTTGGCCAGTGTTACAAGCATCTTCCTGGCTATATGACTGGCTTGTTATAAGGGGGGGGCTTGAAATTTCGCCTATTGGGAAGTCAATACTGATGATGGCGACGATCGCTGCTCGTAGGTGGGAGTCTGCTACTCGGTATGGTAGGAGGAAATGTGATGTATTATTTATCGTAGATACAATGGGCGTTTAGGGATAGATTTGATCTGATAGAAGGTTACCTTGTGTTGGAGTGAGGAGATGGAAGTGAACTGAGAGAGACAAAGAGAGTGGAAGACGGCATCTCGGCAACATAATTGTCCGTGCTTCGCTTAGGAGGTACATGACAGCGTCCTCATGCACCAACAGCCTAAGGTTCTCTCACACTCTCTCTGACTACCAACCCACGTGGACTTCTAGGTTCCATTATCCCACGCAGCTTTACCAACAACCTTTTGGAGGGCCTAGGACTTTGAGTAAGTCTTCGACAATTCAGAGCCCTAAGTCAATATTTCAGGGCCTAGTAGTCCCGCAGAATGCTTGGACCTTCCGAGAAACTATGATGTCCAAGAGTCACATGGGCAATGGTATGGATGGAAGAGGAGATGCACGATGATGATGTAGAAACGCTCTCCGTTTGAAAAAAAGAAGGTTGCGATGCGTTGAACTAGATTACATGAATTGTTCTATGAACATCTGCTTGCCACGATGTACAATAGGACACAGAATCTCGAAATCGCATCATTTCAGTGGTCGCTGGCTGTCAGTCACCTTGTTGGGTGCGCAATGTCCGCGGAGGCAAATTTCGCAAGAGAATTTCGTGCGACAGGCTCCGCGCCCTGCTCGAATTTGTAGTGACTATGGTCGGAGAGCTCAGCCAGAGCAGGGGTTGAACGACTGAAGGCCAACAAGGACGCATCGGGCTGTTGGATCGCTTGACTTGGACTTGATACCGTGTCATGTACACCTAACGTCGATGACTTCTTCGGTTCTCCGGTAGAGCGTGGACAACAGTGGGTCCCGGATTTATCGTAATCCTACACCACTTTGAATAGAAGTACAACAGAAAAGCATTCTCGATCAATCCCAGCTGCGAGAATATCATTAGCACCGTCACAACGATGAGAACGTACTCCAAGAAACTCACCCTTGATCCTTCTGCCGTACAATATCGTTGCGGTCGCCCTTCTGTTTGCCCTCTTTCCCGCCTTCCACCACTAACTTGTCGAGCTGGAAGAACTGGCTGACCACTGTTTGTCTCTGTACGCATATAGTCAGTCTCGACTCCAACCGTCACATCTCCTCCCTCCATGTGAAAACGCCATCATGTCCAGTCCAGTCCAGCCTCTCTCTCTCTCGCCACTTACCTTCAACATCTGCAGCTCCTTCTGTCCCTTCTCCATCAACTCATGTACCTTCCCCGCATCTGTCACTGTCATGTTGTCCCGGAAGCCATCTCTCGTTCTCCGCGTCGCGTATTCTCTGAAGTTGTATAGGGCGAACTGTTTGGATTGGCGGAGGAGCTGGCGGTAGAGGGAGCGCACTTGAACGGCTGATTGATTCGTGGACATGGCGAAGCTCATTGCCTGGCGACTGAATGAATGGTCCTTGCTCGGGTGTGGGAGGTACACAGGCGATGCAGAGAGGCGAGGAGGGATTGGTATCTGGAGTCTGGAGATGGCCATGGACTTTTGGGAGAACGATGACGGTATGCTCGGACTCGGTTCGTACCGTAGTCGGGGCCGCGGGAGTGCCTGAGGATGGCGGTGGCCGTCTCGGTCGCGACTGTTGGCCGTCTGTCTTGTCTGTCTGGGGAAAAGAACAGAAGAAGCATCACGTCCCATTCGCAACACTGGGAAACATTGTTCTGCTCGAGGAAATAGTCCATGTTCTACCGGTGTACTTTTTAAATATCCTTCCGCAGCCATTCTCGTATATCCCGCGCCTGTTACTCCCATTCCATCTCGTACATCGTCTGCCCGCTCCTCCGGCGCGTCACGCACGCAGCGTAACAACATATGGCTCCCGTAAGTCTCACTTTCTTCTCCAGACGCGTCCATCAACTGCTACATATGCCTCTGCCAGCCTGGTCGGATTGGACGCGACAATCAATAATACCACCAATGAGCATATTGGAACCCGGCTCGAACAGAAGAACAAATAGAGATTCGTGGATCCCGGTAGCCAACACTCTGGTCACTGCATGCTTCCGGGACTTTGGTACCTGGATGGGTGGATGCATACTGTATTGTTACCTACCTGATGGTTGCATGTAGACTACCCATCACCTGACACCTGTTCCGTTGTGTCGTCTTACCGCCTCCCAATAGCCGATGCTTCGACTTGACCTTGGACCACACCCTGTATATTGTTGACTGACTAACATGGCTACCACGGAACAGTACAGACCACCGGGCCGAAGCAACCGCTCCGGTCGCTCCAATGTCGACAATGATGTCTTTGAAGGGCTGCCGGTCAAGCAATGGGGGCAGACATATGCCAAAGTCTCTCTCGCGCCCCCCGTCTCTGAAGTCGAAGCGGGAAAGGACGACAAGTGGGGCGAACCACCAATGCCACGCGACTATCAACTGTTAAATCCATGGACGCAACATCTTCTCCGCCTGGCGCGTTCGGGCAAAGTGGGCAACAAACGCAAACAGGACGCCGAAGCAGACGATGAGAAGGCCGAGGACGAGGCGCCCGAAGAGGAAAGCAAGCAGAGCGGCACTGATGAACGGGGCTATATTGCCAAGAAGTGGAAGCCCGTACCCGACCATTCTCTCGAGCCCGAACACAAGCATTTCAGTTTTCTTGCCAAGCGGAGAAGAGGACTGCCGAGCCTGTATGGCGTCGATCAGCAGGCTGTCGTTGTGCCCATGCGCAAGACAAAAGTGCAAAAGGCAGATGTCAATGGCGAGATTGCCGTCTATGAAGTCCTCGTGCCCGAAGGACAGACTATTGATGGCGAAATTGCAGAGTCTACGGAACTTGCAGACGTGAAGCCTGTCACTGCTGCACCAGGTAAGTACTCTCGCACAATCATGAGAACTGGGTATTGTCTAAGCCACTGTAGGTACTTTCATCGAGGGTGTAGGTGTGGCAAACGAAGACGGGGTCATGGTCGCCGAACATTTGAAGCCATCGGTTGCTCCCAGACGAAATCGACCTCCGCCCAAGAAGAAGGGCGGTCCAGGGCGAGGCAAAAAGCGAGTGACGTTCACGAATCCCGATGGCTCGACATATACCAAGATTGTGCCCAACGCCACCAAGATTGTACCACAGCCTGGGCAGACCATCAAGCATGTCGCGAAAGGCGAGGAAGCCACGGCAGACGTCTCAGCTGTGGCGACTGTCAAGGATGTCCAACAACAGCCGGGCGAAGGCGCCGAAGTGGAAGTCGAAGAAGGCTCAGGTGAAGATGAGGAAGAAGGCGATGATGAGGATGATGATCGGGAGGATGGAGAGCTTTCAGATGAAGATGCGCCTGCTACTGCTTCCCAGACGCCTGCGAAACCCGATCCCCACGGAGACTCACAGCCGATGGAAGATGTACAACCTACAAGCCAGCCGGCACCGACGGAAGAGGCAGATGTGCCTTCTGCAACCGCAGCCGAGCCAGCACTAACACAAGAAGCAGGAGATTCAGGGGAAGCTGTGCCCGAGGCCGCGCCTGAGACTGCGCCTGAGACTGCGCCTGAGATTGCGCATGAAAATGCGCCCAAGACTGTGGCGGAAACCTCACCCACCAGGACTGCAGAGAGCTCGCCGGACCTGCCTCTTGCGCAGAGTCACAGCAGGAACGCGTCGCTGGCGGAACCAACTTCTCTCTCTCTGGATACGGTCATGACGGAAGCCCCTGAGGTCGCCGTCGCTGAAGAAGCTGAAGAAGCTGAAGGGGCCAAAGAAGCCACAGAACCCGCAGAACCCACGAAACCCGCAGAACCTGTAGAAGTTGAAGAAGCCAAGGGACCTGTAGAAGCCAAAGAACCCACAGATCCCGCAGAGCCCGTAGAAGCCAAAGAAACTCAAGAACCCACAGAATCCTCAGAACCTGAAAACCCTGCAGAAGAATCCCAAGAAGCCCAGAAGGAGGATTCCCAAAAAGAAGAAACCGAAATCGCAGCGTCTCAAGAAACAAAACTCCCACCACCACCACCATCTGAAGAAAAAGAAGAAGAGAATTCTTCCGCGCCAGCCGCCGCCGCAGCCACCGAGGAGGAGGAGGAAGAGAAGAACCCCGACGAAGCCGAAGAGGATTTGCTAGGGAATTTGGAAAAGTCTTTGGCTTAGTAGGAGTCCAGATAGTCAGGTAGATAGGTAGGTAATAAGAGGAGGAAAAAAAAGTCTTTGGCGTAGGACTTTTTAGCTAGTAGTAGGAGGTAGGAGGAGAAGGAGGAAGTACGTATGCATGTACATCTGTTAAGAATTTGTCAAGTCGATGATTGTGTTATCTGAATGGGGGTAGAAGCTAATACCGTATACATGGTCCCCGCACGTAACCTAGTAGGTCGATTACGTGCCCATCACTCACGTACCGGTTACGTCCCCTCCTAGAGGCTTCTCGCAACAACATAATGCCCGGTTTCTCGAAAATAACACCTTCCCTCAGGTATACTTAGAACACAAAGCCGTCGTCTGAGTCGCCCTCTTTCTGGATCGCCGTACCCACAGCTTTCCGCCGCTGGTTTCTTGCCGTTCTTAGCGAGTCCCTCCCGTCTCGGCTTCTGCGTCGTCTGAGACGTGTTCCCATCGTCGTCGCCGTCCTTCGCTCGCTTTAGTAGGCGAATCGCCTATCTAGCAACCGCGAAGCCCTTGCGGACCGCCTCCTCCTCTGCCGGCTATGCCTTGGCGATCTTTATAGCCTCTTCGTAGTAAAGCTGTTTATTAGTAGAACGGGCAGCTGGGGTAATTATGAGGTTCCCCGGGCGTGCTACGGCGTTCTTCTCGCCGAGTACTATTAGCTTGTCGTCGGTGTAATATTCGCGGTACAGTACGTCGAGTATAGCTCCGTATGTTCTCGCGTTGAATTCTTTTTTACTGTCTCGTCTAGTATAGAGCGTTTTTATATTACGCTAGACTTCTAGCGAACCTTCTATCTCTCGTTCTCTCTATCTCTAAGATCATTCCTCTTTCTAAATCGCTTCTCTTCTAAGTAGCGTAGTCTAGACGGCGGTAAGGAGAAGGCGCCGACTTTCGGAGGTCCCTATCTGCTTTTACGGGGTCTACTAGTATAGGGCGTCGTATCTAGAGAAGACAAGGGGAAGGTAAGGGGGTAGAAAGGTTATAGTAGGGATGTCTGTTGATTCGAAAGCTACCTATGTACCCATCCGGTAGAATATATATTGGTATAGTAGGTCCCTACCCTAGTAGAACCTTCCTACGGTGCTACCGTATAAGGGAGGCACTAAGTACGGTTCTACCGTGCCTAGGTATCACCGTGCTTTCTACCTTCCTCCGCTCTCTGCTAGGGGGGCCGGAAGTCGGTCGCCTACGACCGAAATCCTCCCTTCACTCCTTCATCTGCTGTCCGTTATTCGCAGTGAAAGGTGTACCCAAGTTGGGACGTAGCAGAGAGATAGGTAAAGGGTACAAAGAAGATATATAGATATATATACCTAAGATCTTAGTAGAATAGGACAATATTCAACTCTCTTCTCTCTCCCTCTCTATCTCTATCTCCAAGATTATTCCTCTTCCTAAATCGCTTCTCTTCCAAGTAGCGTAGTCTAGACGGCGGCTAAGGAGAAGGCGCCGACCTTCGGAGGTCCCTGTCCGCTTTCCAGGCGCCGCATTTGGACCCAAGTTGGGACGTAGCCAAGAGGTGCTTTGAGTGCCCTGCCCATGATTGCGGGAGTTGATGCAAGGTTGATGTTCGAAAGAGGAAGAATGGGTAAAGCAGTCGGTCTTAAGTATAGGTACAGTAGGAATGGACGCGCGGCGCTGCGATGTGCGGCGAAGTGAGGTTTGCGAGTTGGCCATGTTAGGTCAAGCTGCGTGCTGAGATGGACTTGTTGTTGGTTTTGTTTCCTTGCCATGGATCTAGATACCACACCACCACCACCACTACCACCACTACATTACTTCAAAGCAAATGTCAGAGAGAGGGGGGCGGAGAGAGAGATGTGTAATCAAGTCATCATATACATTCATTATTCATCATCATGCCTTGATTCTATAATCAAAACTTTTCCATAAAATTCTTCTGAACAGTCCACAGTCGCGCCTTCTTACCGTAAATGTACATGGGCACCGTGGTCATCATCAACGCCAGGTGGATCAGGCCAATGGCGATAAAGACTTCCTTGCTACCGTTTCGCTTCAACCAGTCATTGAAGAACAAGCTAAACACCAGTCCGTGGAAAATGTTCTTGCTGAAGTTGAGCGTCACCAGCGCCTCTCCCGCATACTGTCGATAACTATCCACAGCAAACGTGATGCCTGTCGTCGAGCCGAGGGAACAGCCAAACGATATGAAGCCAAAGAAGATGGTCGGGACGATCCAGGCATCCTTTTCTGCGACACTCCAGCCGTAGCCCATGAGTCCCATGACGGTGGTGATGGTCATGGGAATGGCCATGACGAGGCGGAATTCCGGTTCGTAGACGCCTCCGTTCTTGCGAGCCATCCATCTCACGATGACGTCGGAGAGTTTGCCGGCAACGGCTGTTCCCAGGACTCCGCCGATGAAGGGGGAAATGTAGATGAGACCGGCTTGGAAGGAGGTGAAGTTGTACGTGTCACGTGATTTGTAGATGGCAGTGACGGATTCGGAGAGGACGATGAGCCAGCCGATGGAGAGGGAGTAGACGAGTGCGGCCCAGAGGATTGCCGGGTAGAGGAAGAGCAAGAAGGGGCGTACCATGACACGGATCCACGATGATTTAGAGAGGCGGCCGGAATAGGGGCGGAGCTGTTGGCGCCATGTCTTGGGAGGTGCGGTAGAATGGTGCTTGGTGTAGTCGTTGCGAGGGTCCACTTCTTCGGAGGTGGTGTATTCCAGTGGAGGTTGACCTTCCAGATTGAGGGGCGTGACCAGTGGGGCTTGAGCCTCGACATCGATGGATGAGGCATAGGGGGCATCGAAGCGGACTTCGGTGGCGGGAGAGCCGGTTCGTGAACCACGCTGCGTTGGGGTGGCTTCCGAGGGAGTCTCCCTATGCTGCTCATCCTTTTTCCTCTCCTCTTCATCATTCTGTTTCTCGTTCTGATTTTCATTCTGGTGCTCATTCTCATTGGGGGTGGGGTCGATTGCAAAGTGCGCATGTCTCTCTCCTGCTCTGGGGGGATGCACGTCCTCGTGGGCTTCATCCGGAGCGCTGTCGTTGTGCGATCTCCCCTTTCGTGGGGGAGTCGGAGATCGAGGGATATGTGACGGAAGACGGTGCTGGCGCCGATGCCTCTGCTTGTTGGGTACGGGCGTGCGATCCCAAAATGTCTCGGGCACAAAGACCAGCAGCAGACAAAACGCGAAGCCCACGATCATGGCGACGATCCAAAAGACCCACCTCCAGCTGAGGCTTTGTATGATGGCTGCGCTCACCAATGGAACGAGGTTCTTACCACTCAACAGGAGGAGGGTGTAGATTCCGAGTCGGTAGGCTTTCTCGTGCAAGAAGTAGATCTCCGCCACTGTTGCCGATGGAAGACATTCGACGGAGCTGACAGCGAAGCCTTGGAAGATACGAGCGCACACCAGGCTTGGAAAGTTGGGCGAGAGAGCACACCACACGGACGTGAGCACAAAGCAGATGGCTGCGAACAAGTAGACCGGTCTCTTGCCGTACAAGATGGCAGTCGGACTAAGGACGACGCTGCCCAAGCCCAGGCCCATCATAAACAGTCCGGTGGTCAGGGCGACGCGTGGCTCCGAAGTACCAAAGTCCTGGGCCACGTTGTTGAAGCCAGCGGCCAAGATGGGGGTCATGCCTCCTCCCAGCATGCAGTAGAAGCCCAGAGAGAGTAGGGCGGCATCTCTTCTCCAGGTGGGCCAATTCAGGGGATCGTTGAGACTGTCGTCGGGCTGCGGCTCGAGCACAAACTTGCCGTCGGGCGACTTCTTCTTCTCCGGTGGAGCTCGCGCGCTGCGTCCCGAGGAGCCCGACGAGGGGCGACCTGCCGGTGTCTGCGGAAAAGAGGAGGTGGAAGTTGGTCGCGGCGCATTGCGCGTACCCAAGGGCTCGTTGAAGACGGAGACCTTGCTCAGCAAGAGGACGGAGCCAGGCACGTCCTCGGTGTCGGTGTTGAGCATGCCCATGTTCCACTTGAGGGCTGTGGGAGGCGTGGTCGAGCTCGACAGATCGCTGCTGCGGCGGGAAAGGTTTTGCTTCTTCTTCTTCTCTTGGCTGTTCAGCATCGTCTTCCAGTCGAATCGCCTCTTTGCCCGTCCATGGTGCTGTTCCTCCTCCTCTTCCTCTGCCGCTGGGGGCAGTCCCTCATGGTCAGCCATATGGTGTTGATAATAGGGCGCGCTTTCGCGGCAGTAGAGGGCAATGACCCAAGGGCGGTAACAATAGTATGTGCTTATCAGCGCAAAAAATGGGGGATGCGATGAATGAAACGAGCAAGTAGCAGTCGATATGGGAACATATATGTTGTATTCGACCGGGAGGAGTAGGGTAGGGAATCCTGCTCCAGCGGTACGCCTGTCTGGTCAGGACTGCCTCGTGTGCACCTTGTACCCAGCAGGCTGTCCAGCGGGCTGGTCCAGCGGTCGGTCACTTTAGACGGGAGCAGGTAGAACCAGGCGAGGAGGGATGTGTTCGCCATAGGTGCGCACACCGCCATGGGGTCGAAGTCGACGTCGACGGAAGCATGCAGGTGATGATGGGCCCGTTCAGCCCTGCGCGCGGTGTCCCCGTCGAGTTTGCAGACGGTGGTGTGGTATCGATGCCGGTGTTGTTTCGCCCTGGAATGACGACGCGAAGGACCCACCAGTGCTCGTCTCCGGGCACTACGGAGCAGAGCAGTAGCAGCAGCAGTACGTAGTTGGACCCATGACTCCGGTCATTGTCAACCGAAAGCCGCTGGGCAGCAGTAGCAGCAGCAGAGCCAGTAGGTCGCGCGTTGGTGTTGGTAGTGGGCAGTAGGCAGTGGGCAGGTCGAGCGGAAATGCGGAGGTGTGCGGTAGGGAGGTGGGATTGGTGGATGGTGGACTCTGAGGTGAGGATGGCAATTTGGCAAAAAGGCGCATGTGTGGTCAACATGCAGGGATGATGGCACGGGATGCGATGGCGGAGGTATGCGGTACTAGGTAGTTCTAGAACGGGCATGGCCTCACGGACGGGAGGGTTCATTCATCCAATTCATCCAATTCTCATTCATTCATTCACCAGCAACACCCGCTTTCGGCATTCCTGATCCCCCGACGCCCATCCAGGATCCCGTGCGCAGCAGCCCGATAGATATCAGAGCGAACATTTCATTCAGGAACGTGTGGACCATATAGGCAGTATGCTATACAGTCCTTCCCCGACCTCTCACACCGACAAAAAGCAACTCATATGCCTCCTATCCACGACATGCCTGCTGCATTCTCTCCGAAGCTTCCAAGTGCATCTCATCATCACATCACATCACATCGACCTTCTCCTGTTCCTGTCGCTGTCGCTGTTCCTACTCCTGCTCCCCTCCTCCTTTCCATCCTCTTTCCATCCTCAGCCTCTTCCACACGGATTCCCTACTGCTCCAAGCCCCCGCAATTATGAGTTCTGCGGAGGATATTGATGCAGCACGCTAGGATAGACCGCCCATCCTAACGCACCGGACCTTACCGGGGTCGAATCAAGTTCTGTCGACACTGTCACATCATCAGCAGAGAAACCATAAGGTATATACACTTTCAGGGACGAACCGCATCATGATGAGAGAAGTATACACTTACCTTGGCGACTGTCATGATTCTCCGTATCTCCGAGCTAGCTGTGCTGGCCTATCTGTCTGTCAGTCAGCAGTCAGAAGTCAGACTCGAAACGCCGTTTCTCTGTTTCACAAGTCAGCTCATCTATCCAATGTTGTGGGGGTGCTTACCTTTCCTTGTTGCAGATTCGACAGCTAGCCCGGTGAGATCCATGATACAAAAAACCTGCTGAGAAGAAGATGAAGTTAGCATATGCTCCAAAGATGGATGGGGGCTTACCTAGTCTAGATTCTTTTTTTTTTCCTTTGTGTGTGTGTCTGTGTGTCTGTGTGAGGCTGGTGCCAGTACGCGGTCCTACCTGCTGAAGAAGAGGTCAGTGAGCTGCGCCAAGTTGGGAAGGGACTTACCAGGGATATCCTGTTTTCTACTCCGCTGTGGCAGGTGTCAATGAGCTGTCAAATGTGTCCATCACAAAACATGCTTCCGAGAAACGAAAAAGAAAGCTCCGAAAAAAAGAAAGGTCAGTACCGATATGCAGAAGGGAGTTGCCTGCTGACAGCGCGTCTTGGCAATATTGCTGCATATCAATACTGTAGTGGTGATTGGACGCCTAGCGACTTGATGATGTTGATGATGATGAGAAGAAGAGAAGAATAGAGCGAGGTGGGAGAACTATATGCAAGCTGCATGAGCGGTCAAACAATGAACATGGCAAGATTAATGAATGCTGATTGTCCGCCACTGGATACAGACAAAGCCCATCGAGACACCCGACCACCATTCATTGTTTGCAGACACTATGAATCAAAGAAGATCAAAGACACATCTACGACGCGGACAAAGCCGCTTTCATCCATCAACAATCCAAGACCTCCGGCTTTGATAGATACCTCAACAGGTAAGCTCAACTCGGACGACTATTCCGCAGCATGCACGAAAGTCGCAACATGCAAGAAACATAGTCGCAACATGCACAAAGTCATACTTGCATACCAGGTACTGTGACAACAAGAAATCACAAACCCTCTCGCGGAAACTTTATCAATAGTACAACATAAGGTATGTACCTTTAACCGGAGATACCTGACCGAACCTACCTCACCTACAGTATATTTCAATCCCTACCAAACTCTTTCCACAAGTCTACAAAGCCCAGGGGTGTATCTCCTTCTGGTCTCATTCATCTGCAGAAAAGTAGTGCACGTCCACTCTCTCTGCCCCCTGCAAACATGTACCCTAAAACCCTCCGACACATGCATGCATGTCCATATGTATACATCAGGTACTGTACCCTATGTACCTACCAGCCCCCCCAGCACTAAAGCACACAATCGAGCAGGATGAATTGGAAGAGAGAATACCTCAGGTAGGACTAGGATTGGGGGTTCTCCAAGAACCAGGGGTCCAGCCCCAGCCCATCCCCCAGCCCAGCCCACACACACACACACCCACACACACACATCCGCACACACCAGGGAACAAAAGCTTAATTCCACTTTCCACTTTCCACTTTCTCTACTCTACCGGTATCTACCTACTACCGGGTACAAGTATGTATTCACAGTACTGTAGTAAAAAATCCAAAAAATCTCCAGTACAGGGTACCTACGCTTGGACCATACATACTACCTCCTTACCTCCCTACCATGATCATCATCATTACAGGCAGTATGTGAGAAATTTGCGCAATTGCCGTGCACAGAGTTGCAAGTCTGTGTATCATCATCAGCAGACTCACATTACAGTGCGGCGCGGCGTGCCGTTCCCTATGTACATGTAATGGTGTATATCTACCTAGGTAGATGGGTCAGGTAGATGGGATTGAGAGAGTTAGGTTTTTTTTTCCTTTTCCTTTCCTTTTTCTTTTGTTTTGTGACTTTCATTCGCATAGCGGCATAGGTACCGTACCTACCAGGTAGTTCTGATGAGCTTGCCCGAGAGAGTGAGAGAGTCAGAGAGTGAGGGAGTGAGAGAGTGAGAGAGTAAGAGAGTAAGAGAGTAGGAGAGTGAGAGAGTGAGAGAGTGAGAGAGTGAGAGAGTAAGAGAGTAAGAGAGTATAAGAGTAAGAGAGTGAGAGCGTGAGAGAGTGAGAGAGTGAGAGCGTGAGAGCGTGAGAGGGTGAGAGAGTGAGAGAGTCAGCGAGTCAGAGTGTAAGAGTGTAAGAGAGTGAGAGAGTCAGAGAGTCAGAGAGTGAGAGAGTAAGAGAGTGAGAGGGTAAGAGAGTGAGAGAGTGAGAAAGTCAGACAGAGAGAGAGTGTGTGTGAGTGTGTGAGTGTGTGAAGAGAATGATCTTGTGACTACAACGTACCTACCTACACTACCTTACCTATAGGTAGATACCTAGGTACAGGCACTGCAGCCCCCATCTAAATCATCAAGTACCCCCTCTCTGGTAGTAAATTCACCTGCGAGAAATCCACCATCAAGCGTTCACCCTTGGGAGCAATCACCACATAATTCATCATCGTCATGCTGTCATCCGTCGTCTCCGAACCCAGTCTCGCGCCTTGAAACGTCTGGAAAAACATGGCGCAGGCGAGTCGCAGTTCCATCATGGCGAGATGTTGTCCGATGCACGTGTAGCTGCCCGCGCCAAAGGCCCACCATGCGGCTCGAGCGTCGGGGGATAAGGTCGCTGAGCCATTGGGTAGCCAGCGGGTGTAGTCGAAGCTGATTCCGAATGAATAAGAAAAAGAAAGGTGTCAGCTAAGGTATATATAGTTCATGACAGATGTGGATTGGAAATTGGCGGGAGGGGGGGGACAAAGAACAAAAAACGCACTTTTCAGGATTGGGAAAAACAGCAGGGTCGCGATGCGAGACATAAGGCGTGGTGTTCACCACAGTCCCCTCCGGTAAGAATTGGCCTTCCAGCGTCACGCCGCCCTTGGGCACGACTCGGGGTTGAGGCATCGGAACAGCAGAATACAGACGTAAAGTTTCCTTGATGACGGCGTTGAGAACCGGCAACTTCTCCAACTCGGCATCACGCAGTTCGAGGTCGTGCGCGAGGAGTTCGTCTTGCAATGCCTGCTGGACCTCGGGACGCTTGAGAGCAGCCCAAATGAGGTAGGTGAGAGATTCCGAGGTGGTGTCGCTGCCAGCAATGATCAAACCTCCCGCTTCGACCGTGACCTGCATGGGAGTCAGACGGCCCTCGGGATCGTTCTCTGCTTTGGCGAGAATTTCGGAAAAGATGTTTTTCTTGGAAGCATTGCTCAGACTGTTCTTGTATGCAATGGACGCAATGTCGAGGAGTGCTCGCCAGGCATTGAAAAAGTCAGTCAATGCTGGTACAGGAATCCGGCTGAGCACCTCGTAGAGAACGGGCATGTAATAGTACATTGTTGATGCGAGATTCGATGCGAAGACTTTGTGGAAAAAGGGGTGCATCTGTGTGATGTAGATTAGCCCAGTGATATCTATATCGTGCATGAATCGGAGCTCAGCTGTACCTCCTGAGTGTCCAGACCACCGAGAGCTTCACCAAAGGCCACCTCGCTTACGACATCACTGGCCATCAGCGTCCACCACCTTCTGACATCGGCAAGACCGTTGGCACGATCAGCTTCAGCAGCGATCCCTTTCACAGCCTTGACCACTTTGCTGCGGACCATGTCTTCCCACTCGACCCGTAAATTCGCAGTCGAGAAGCCACGCGAGAACATCTTCCTCGTCTGAGCATGCCTGTGTGGGTCGAGTTCCTGGAACATACCGGCCGGACCATGATTCTTCTCAGTAGGACCAATAAATCCATACCATACTGACTTGGTGAAACCGCTGCCGATCTTATGCACCGCTTTGAACGATGCCTGTGACGAAACGGCGACCTCGCCCGGAGCAATCCGAACGATGGGGCCGTACTGTTTATGGAGATCTTCGATCGTCTGGGCCTGCTGTCGACAGACTGCTGACTTGTAGAAGAGGGGAATAGCCGACAGTCTGGCCCACCATGGTCCAGGGATGCCATTGAGCGGTGAGTTCAGGTAACGTTGTAGGAGCTGGAGCAGGTGAGCATGGCGTGTGATGTCGCGGGCGATAGACTGTGTGCAGCACCTACAAGGGTAGTAGGCACCAGCAAGAAGAACGCTGCTGCCAACACCAATGGCGAGGCTGTTATCAAGGTCAGCAACAACATGTCGACAGATGCAGGCGACGGTGTGTCTCCCACTGATCACGGTCAGAAACGAGCGTCATCATGCGAGGGCAACTCTTATATGGTGAGACCATTTTCAATGCTACTCATGAACATAACGTGAGTGAGTGCCTGCGACGGACTGACGGTCGACTCGATATGCTTGATGCACGTAAGCTGCGCGCTGTACCACTGACATCAGCCTTATCAGGTGGGAATGTTCTCAGGGCCTCAGGTCTCGTCCGGGTCCGGGTATGGCACTATCGGTCCACCACCATGAAGTATGAAGCCACTCCTCCCACTGCCGCCAGATCTAAGGGCAGACTCCATTCTGAGTCAGCAAAGTAGATAAGTGTTCGCTGTAAACCTCCCCTGGGAAAAAATGCGTCTCCCTTGCTCAGGGCCTTCGCCCTTATTTAAAGGGCCTTCCCTAAGGCCTCCAATTTGCTACCTCTTCGTAACGAATCCCTCGGGGATGCCGACTAGATTGCCCCCCTAACCTCTCAAAGGGGGGCTAAGAATCGAGAGGGGTATCCTTCGGGTTGCAATATAAAGTAAAGCCAAATAGAAGGTGTACAACCTAGCGAGCATACTGCATACTGACAGTGTAACATGTAATACGTTACGGTCTGCCCCTGGACAGATATGGGCTTTACCCTGTGCCCTAAGTCCCTAGACCGGGTGTTCCACTGCCACTGCCACTCCCGCTGCCACTCGGGCGCTCTGAAGCGAGTATGAGAGGCCCACAGGACATGTCGTTCGCGGCGTGGCCACCATATGGGTGTGAGACATTAGCCGCGCTCTTGGGCAATCGGAGATGGCGCATCGGTCTCGGAGAAATGTGAGGGTGGAGTGTACGAGTGGGGCGCAATTGGTGGCAGTGAGGGTGAGTGAAGGTGAGTCGAGAATGTGTGCGGTTCAATGGATCCATACCACCTAGGAAAAGAGGGAAAACAATTTGCCGATACTGACCACGGCAGCGCTACGTCCCGCCCGGCCCGCTCGGCCCGAAGCATACGACCTCCTAGCACCACTACGTCTTCGTATACTAGTGCTGAGGTGGTTCCATGTCAATGACTGGAGGTATGTCCGTTCGCCTTCCCTTGTAGGAGTAGCGTGCGCCAGGCACTGAGACACCATGTGTGTGGAGGCCGGATTCCGATACTTCGATGTCCTAGACTTCTAGCCCTGAATGACACGAGGATCCGGAAATGCTTGGCGAAGAAAACAACCACATGCACAAGTGAAGATTCTGGTCCATTGGACGACCAAGCCATCGGATGAATCCTGCCCTTGCGTACTCGGACTGAGACATCAACCATGAATCCATGATCTCGCGTGATGTACTTGCTGCTTGCCTTGCTGCTGATCCACGCGAGTCAGGCATACAGGTATCGTGAAGCCTGCGCAGCGGACTACACTCCGGCCTGCTGTACGAGGCAACCCCCTTCTCCTTGTTGCTTCCCACTGCCACAGACGCCATCTAGCAGAGGCGACTCGGTCAAAACACACTTTCGGGCAAGCTGCGTCCAGGAATGGACTTGCAACAGGTCCATCGCATGAGCGAGTCCTTTTGAACGCGAACTTGTCGAGACCTCCAGTCCATCAAAAGCCAACCTAGTCCATTATGGCGTTAGAGCGGATCGACAAGCGTGAGGATGAGGTGATACTCCTTGCATTAGGAGGTACACATCACTCTCTCACATATCTGCTCCGAGACATTGAAGCCTTGGCGCCAAGATAGTTGAAGCAGATGCATAGGTAGTCCCTTTCGACTTCACGCTATCGACAATAGTCCTACAACAATATACGTCTGGCCTCATGCATGCTCTGGTAGACGACGTACGGTATGGGCTGTCCAGCAGCCTAGAACGCGCTCGCAGAAAGTTCCCGTGATTAATCAACAACAATCTTGCCCTCTATGCGGATGATGGTCGGGGTGGCCATGGGAGGACACAGGCCCGCGGCAAAGCATCTGCCAGGTTGACAACGTGATGGATGGGACGCTACCAGCTCAGCTCACACACAAGCGCAAGGTGTGATCAAAGAAAAAATTCATCATAAAGCATCATCATAAAGTGCATCAGCTCCTGAAAACGACTTCATCAGTTCGGTGCTTCACAACACCATGTACCCATCTACTGCCTCCACTGGGGTCGAGTCAACCGGAAACACACCCCCCGCAGCTCAGCGCATCCAGGCAAGATGGTTTGAAAGCTCATCTCGTGCTTCTCCATGAAGTCGACGATACAGCAAAATTCATCTCCGGATATCAGAGTCAGGTCTCGGAAGAAGACAATCGCCGGATTCGCCGCGGGATAGGCTTGCACATCATGTCTCTCCTCATGATTCTGTATTCTGTGCAATTCACCGACAAGACCACCCTGGAAACGTCTTCAACCATGGGCAACCCTCACAGTCATCTGGGCGATGAGGACATTCGGCAACTCGAGAGCATACATCGCTGCTTTATATGCCATACCAAATTTCATATCCGGCATCCCTCTCCTGACCCTGCCGTGGTCAGCTGAGGGTGTCCTCATCTTCTCAGTGTACCTCAGCTTCTTTGGCGGGCCAGACTTCATCGCACTTCTCGCCGTGGATCGGTGCCACCACCCCTGGTCATACGAGACAAGACCACCACAACTGCCATGTTATTGATCGGCTATTGTCTTGGCAACTTGCTGAGTCCACAAATGTAGGAGGAGAAGTACATATATGCCCTTCGCTACCGAGTTCCGTGGCTCATTTTTCTGGTGACTTTAGTCCTTCGACCCTTCTCTCTACTCGTGATCCGCCATTTTCTGGTGCAGGAGAATTGTCGAAGGACCCGGAATTGGCAGTAGAAAACGGAGGGCAGCGTTTCTTTGACGAGAATGGCTAAGAATTCGACCCGACTTTTCTCGATGTCACTGATCGTGTCAACCAGGCTTTCATATATCCGCTCTCGTCAGAAGTAAGGTCCTGTTGACCGTCGAGCTACTTTTCGGTCTCCTCTTGTACGAAGAACGGGCTGCGACAGTAACCACCCAATTTTCTTTCCTCCCCAGACTTGATCTTGAATACAAATATCGCTTTTGGAGCTGCTGCTACTTCACTCGACACATTAGTGATTCATGCGCTGCATATGCATACTTGCTTGAATCGCAGCAGTATCGCCAGCCGTCAATCCTCTTTCGCTGAACACCCTTGTAAGTGAGTCATGCAACTCGGTCTATCTGCCACGACGACACACTGTGATCAACCTGTAACTCATAGAACAAGCAGTACAGATGTATATATGTCAGCGGAGCTCCTCGATCCCAATGGACACGTCCTATATGAAGAAGTGGGCATATGTTAATTAAGAGCCTACGTCTTCTCCCAAAAGAAGGCATTTCGATCTTTCCGGGCGAAGTAGAACAGCTCTGTTTTTCACTGGTCCCGGAAAAAAACATACAACCGTGAGTTAAGCAACGAAGCGTGTCACAAAAGACCTAATCACCACAGGGCATGCCAAGCTTGAGCGGCCAAAGAAATAGTTGGTACTCATCATCCCACCAATCAGAGCTCGGTACCTAATAGTTCAACCACATATCATCCAATCACCCCTCCATTTACAAATCTATATACCTATCAAGGCTATCATCCATCCCAACCTCCAAAAAAAAATCAAGAACAAACATAATCTTCCCCTACCCATCCATCCATCCAGCGACACCAGCTACCAAAAGTCAACATAAAAAAAAAACAAAAGAAATGTCCAACCCTCCACCTCAACCCAAACCACCCATCCAAATCCGCCCAGCAATCCCCTCCGATCTCCCCTCTCTCACGACCATCGTCCCCCGAGCCTTCCACCCTCGCAACGCATACATTAAGAAATGCCATCCCGATACGCCTGCCGTGCGAGCGTGGTGGTGGAAAATTTTTGCCGAGGAAATTGCTGAGCCGGATTGTTATGTGCTTGTGGCTGCTATTGGTGATGATGATGATGATGATGATGGGAATTTGTTAGAGGGGGGAGGGGAAAGGGAAGGGAAAGGGATGGAAGGGGGAGAAGAAGAAGAAAATGTCGTTGGAGTGCTCTGTTTGAGATTGATGCCGGCTATTACTTCTTCTTCTTCTTCTTCTTCTTCTTCCCCCAATGAAAATAATAACGACAACAAAAACCAAAACGAAAACGAAGAAAACCGAAAAGAACAACAAAACCAAAACCAAAAAGACTCCCCCCTCCTCCCCTGCGGTTTCTGGACCAAATACCCCCTCACCCCCGACCAAAACTCCACCCTATTCCAACCCGCCATAACAGCAATGAGTCAAGCCCGCGCCCTCGCATTTTCCCCTTCCCCCTCAAAACCCACCCCAAACCAAGCAGCACCCCAACCCCACTTCCTCCTCGAACTCCTCGGCATCTCGCACGACTATCAAAACCTCCAACTCGCACGCCGTCTACTCACTCTCGCAGGAGAAATCTCGGACAAAGCCGGCTGGGAGACGTTTGTAGAAGCGAATGCAAATGCGGTGGGATTATATCGGAAAATGGGGTTTGAAGAGGTGGGAAAGGTGGAGATTCCTTGGGTTGAAGACGATGATGAGGATGATGAGGAACATGGGAAAAAGAAAGAGGGAAAAGAAGTGAAAATGTATGTGGAGCACATGTTGATCCGGCCGGTTGGTGGGGGGACTACAAGGGGGTGACTGAATGAGTGAATAGAATGAAAAAAAGAAAGATAAAAAAAAATCGAATAGATGCGGTTAAATCAAAGGTGGCATAGGAATGTCTAGTCATTTCTACAGGTCACAGCAAAGTTGGGGTCTTCTCGCACAGAGCTAGTATCGTCCTACGGTTAGATCAATTCGAGCAGTCTTGCAACAACCTGTCATTGACTTTTCCGTCACCTACTTACTCAGAACAAGCTAGAACTCGTCCCTTGCCAAGTTCGCCGTGTGCTATGCTGTTGCTCAATCTGAATGCTATCGCTCATGGTCCCATAACGCCTGCGCGCCCGCGCAACTTCCGCAAAGTTGCGCCGCCCTTGTTCGCCCATCTCGGGCAGTTCCCATAGCTTTTCATACTCTGCCGGGCCTTGTGATGTGGAAAATGATATTGACTCGTCAGGATCGAGCGTTTAGGCAATGGGCGACCACGGCATTGGCACCATGATACGACTCTTCATGCTCTCGATGAGCGGCACTGTCTTGTGAACCGTCTCGCCCCAGCCGGGGATACTCCAGCTCTGCTCGCGACGTGCACGGCGCTCCTCGAGATCGGCAAACTGCCACAGGTGGTGGACTTCGTTGAGGGAGCCAATTTGGACGAACCAAGCTGTTGTCATGTCAGTTTCCGCTCCACTCCCATGTACTCAGTCGAGCCAATACGCACCTCCTACACCCTCCATGACTTCTCTCCTCGCACTCAGACCCTTTTGCCAGTGCGTCTCCCACTCCAACAGGTTGCCGGGGTGGAGCGTGTAGCTTCGGAGCTCAAAGACACCGCCCAGCTGGCGAGGTGGTGATGTGGGCCAGAAACGGAATTCTTGCATCAGCGACGTCTTCTTAGATGTGATAAGTGACTTCAGCTTCTTGTCGAACTCAGCAAACTCGGGCTGGTTCTGGATGCGGTGAATGGACTTGTGGTAACCAGCGTAGCGTTGGTACTCCCAGATATGGACTGCAACGTGTTAGCCCTGCGGTACTCATTCCACACATGTCCCCATCAATCTCACCAAAAGTATCACAGTCGCCCACCTCCGTCCTCCAGCTGCCCACCAGATTGACATGATTGTCTCCATCCTTGGCAACCTTGGGATACCAGCTTCCCACCAGCTGGACATAGTCCTCCACCTTGTCCGGCTTCACCTCGTGAAAGACAATGCTGTGCACGTATTTTCCTCTTGCCAAGACCTGTGAGAACGACCTTTCAATCTCCCGATCCATCTCGCGTCCCTCCTCTGTGCCGTGAATGACACGGCTCAACAAGCCCGTTCCCTTCTTCTTGCCATCGGGGTCTTGCTGGCGCGCGGCCTCACCTGCAACGGAACTCAGTGAGCCTAAGAAGTGCGAAACATTGCCCGAGAGGCCGTGAGCAGCATCATTGGAAGTGGAAGTCTTGGGGGAGGAGGATGAAGGGGAATGGGAAGGGGAAGAGGAAGAGGAGGAATCAGACTTAGCGAGCTGGGCAGCAGCAGCAGACTGTTGAGACGCACGTTCTTGTTCCTTTCGCTTGCGGTGGGCTTCGGCCAGGTTATCGCGGAAGTGCTGTTGTTTCTGATTGAAGACATGGGCGGTGTCCGGGGCGATGTCGCTGAGTGCAGGTGCCTTGCTGCTCCATTGTGCTGGCACGCTCGAAAAGGGACGCGTGACGGCTGCCGTCTTGGTGGAGGCGGTGGTAGCGGAGAGGTGGGAGAGGCGTGGTGCGATGCGGCGCGACATGTCGGAAGCTGCACGTGTTCGTCGGTGGACGCGTCGAAGGGTGGTATGCACTTCGTAGGGCGTGAATCGGGCGTGGTGTTGCTGTTTCTCCTGAGGTGGTGGTGGTGGTGTTGGTATGGATGATGTAATACGGAAGGTGTGGGTGAAGTCGTCTTCGTCCAGTGGTCACCAGCTCTTTCCTCTTTCTCTCTGCTCTCTGCTCTCTCCAAGTCTGCGTGCTTGCTTGCCTGCCTGCCTGCTTTGCTTGCTTGCCAGCTCCTCACGAGGTACTAGTTCGAGGTACTGCCGTATGCCTGTCCCGTCACCACCAAGCTGTTGTCAGCAATCACCCTAGCTTCCCCGCAGAATCCCCGCCAAGCTCCAATCAGATCCCGCATGAACCTCTGGCTAGCATCGGCTCCGCAATCCAGCACAATCTGCTCCCGGATGTAGTACCGGTACCGTATATAGTCAACTGCTCAAAAATTACCCTCTTTTCAGCCTGACCAAAAGGTATAAATAAATGAAGAAGCCTTTGCACCAGATCCTGCCGATAAATAGATGGATAGATAGATGTATGAAAGGACAGATGATGTGAATGGCGGGTTGGGATGCTTTTGGAAGGTTAGGTACCTTTCACGTGAATACACACAGAGGTCAGTCAGGTACATGTAAGTACATGTACTGGGCTGTGCGTGGGAGGGGAAGTTGTGAATGAACCTTATGTATAGAAACATTACCTGATCGCTGATCGCTGGAGTGAAGCCAAAGGGTAGGTAGGGAACCAGTCAATCCGCAACATAATACTGCCAGGTGGAAGAAGATGAACGCGAAAAGGGCTAGAGCAGAGATGTAATTCCATTCTTGCTATGCTACGCTATCGTCCTCCGCAAAGAACTATGCAATTTGATTGTTTGTACAACTTCTTCCTCCTTCAAAACACTGTCTCCCCGTCTTCCACCGTCTCTTGTGTCAATGACAGCACATGCTCAGCCATCCTAGTACTGACTAGCTGCACTCTGGCACGCCTTCAATTGATCCAGATACCACCCGCAAATGGTCAGATTTCCCTGGTTCTCATCCATACATCTCTTGAAACCCGTCACCTCGTTCCCGCACACACTGGGTCCACCCTGTTGCTGCGAGTACTGAGCCTGTCCGTACGCCACCTGAGCCTCCTGCGCCTGCTGAGGAGAAGCGGCTTCCTGAACTGGAGCGGGAGCACTGCTACCGCCGCCGAAGAATCCTCCAATTGCGTGACCGATCGAGGAACCGACTGCGACACCACTGCGGTACAAGAGGACAAAGGTCAGCGCTGATCGGGGTATTCTTTTTTTTGTGCTCCCGCGGGCTGATCGTGTAGTGGAGAAATGGACTTACGCTGCGGTGCTGGCCATCTGGCCAAAGAGACCAGGGCCTTGGCTACCTGCTTGCGCAGGAGGTGCCTGCTGCTGTTGCGGTGGCGCGGCGGCAGTTGTGCTGGCTTGTCGTGTTTGCTGGGGAGCTGGAGGAGAGGGACGAGCCGGGGCGGCGACTGGGCGGCGAGGCGCTGCTGCTGGACCACGAGATTGGCGAGGCATGTTGTTGGATGGGTTTTGGTGTGGTAGGAGAGATGGTGCTGATGGGTATAGTATGTGTGCGTATGGTGTTGGCGGAATGTGAGAAGAGGCGACAAGTGTGTGATGGATGGCAAAGGCGGAGCAGACTAGCCTAGCCGTAGAAGAAGCTCGAAAGACGAGGTCTGGAATTAAACCGATTGGCTCATTGGGAAACGTGCTCCGAGCCGAGCATGCGACTGAGGCACGGAACAGATGGTATCTATCGCAATAAATGGTCCAGCACAACGGCGACACGTGAGGAGATCAGGTCTTGACGAGAGCAATTAAAGTAAAGCAATTCTCGCTATCTACATTTCCCAGCCAGGCAGTTCAAGAAACTTCAAATGCCTCGGACGAGTAAACCGCAATGGCACCAGTAAACCACCCTGATGGCCTGCAATGTAGCGCTGCGAGTGCAGCGCAAAGAGGGAGGGTATCATGCAGTTGCCCATGATCGAGGCGCTCCTCGGAATGGAATCAGTCACTTCAAAGAAGCCCGTGCAAAACAGAAAGGGGTGGAAAATGGAAAAAACGCCTTGCAAACGCCGTGGCATGTCTCGGAACTGAAACGGGTCTCGCGAACTGCCATGTTCTATCGCTCGACTGATAACTTTCGGTCTGCCTGCTGATGTCGTGCGTCGAAAGAGAGGTGAAGCGTGGTAGGAGGAGATACTGGGGGAAGGTCGAATGTGCGGACCTGCAGGTGGTCGCGATATCAAGAAACGTGATGGGGTACTCGAGTTGGGTTTCGCCTGCCGCAAAAAGCTTTGCGCGGGCGCAGGCTGTCTGCTGCTATGTGTGATGTGTGCACTCATAAGATGGTGCACTTGGACTTCTTGACCTTTTGTGGCGGTCGTGGGTTGATGACGGCTCTGTTGTCGCAAGGTGCGTTAGAGAATCTGACATTGAAACATAATCGAGCGCTCGTAGCGGATTGGCTTTGGCGGTACTGACTTGATTGCCTCATCGAAGACACTCTTCAAATTTCTCTGAGTGAGAGCAGAGCACTCTAGGTACTTGACTGCTTTGATATCCTTTGCAACGTTCACGGCCTGCTCGTACTGAATGGGCGTCATCTTTCTTTGTCGAAGCTGTTCCCGGACTTCTGGGTCGTCTCGCAGGTCGAGCTTCGTGCCGACCAGGATGATGGGTACGCCAGGCGCATGGTGCTCGATTTCGGGGTACCACTGTGGTGCAATTGCTGTTAGCTCGTTACCCGCCATGCTCCAGCCACAAGACGCAGTCTCACCTTTGCTTTGACGTTGTCAAAGGACGACGGGCTGACGATGGAGAAGCAGATCAGGAACACATCCGTCTGAGGGTACGAGAGTGGTCGGAGTCGGTCGTAATCTTCCTGTCCCGCTGTATCCCAGAGGCCCAGACTTATAGGCTTATTGTCCACCATTACGCTCGCCGAATAGTTGTCGAAGCTGACACGCAAAGTCAGCCATGCACGCAGAATCATCAGCATCCCGACATCACCTACACTGTGGGTATGTACTCGCCGGGAAAGGCATTCGTGGTGTAGGATATCAGGAGACATGTCTGTTTGTTCTTGTCAGCCGGCCAGTCTCTTGGGAACGCGCGCGTGCGCGCGCTTTGCGGTCCATCATACCTTGCCGACTGCACCATCTCCCGTCACCACGCACTGTAGGTATCGCGTCAGCTATTGTCCAAAGGTACCTGCTGTGATCTTGTGGCTGCCCACCTTGAGAGACTGTGTTGCCGGAGCTGCCATGCTTGCCCCTTCCTTTGAACTGCTAGCACTCCCTCTTCCTCCTATCGCGGAATTTCTGTCCGTCGCACTGCAGTTCACGTGCTGCGGTGGCGGTAGGTAGAGGCGGGGATTGCGGAGAAGGTGTTTGGTGGTTGGTTGGTGAGTTTAGATTGTGGTGCTTGCACGTTCAGCCAGCTCGCTACTGATGGTGGATGATGATGATGATGATGATGATGGTGGATGATGGGTGATGATGATGTATGCCGCCGCCACAGTCTGTTCCGGCGGAAGCTTCAACGAACGGTCCACGCGCGCGGAAGGCCGTATACTACTGTTGCTCCGACGGTGCAGAGAGGATTCCGAGTGTTGGTGAGTGTGTGGTATCACGGTACTGCGACCGAAGTTGGCATCAGCGCGCACGGCCTGTCGTCCCTCGCACTTGGTTGAGATTGGCGGGATTGAGATGGCACGGTCCGGAGATCTGTGAACGACTAGTAGCTACCTATCCCCGCTCGCCACCCTGCTTCTTTGGTCTGATGGTGCGAAAGAGATCACTAATAAGGTAGGCGGTTCGGTTCGGTTGTTTTGTTGTTGATGTCACGAACGGACGCGGACAAAGCGACTGCACTGGGCTGAAGAAAGGAAGAAGTGCGTCTCTGTTGAGTGCGAACAATGCGGTGAAGTGACCAAGACTAATGCAAGGTCGCTTGGTCCACAGCGACTAACCATCCATGCAGCATCCGTTGCTCTCAGATAGAACGATGTCATCTGCTGGGTCTACTGGATCTGTGGAGGACGATAGAGCGCTTAAATTCACCGGCTCCTCCTCTCTTCTCCCACGCCGTCGGACTGCCCCATTCACGTCTCATTGAGGATTCCACCTCCACCTCCACCTGTTTGGAGGACGGGTGTCGTCGCTACACCAATAATCACGAAATGACTTCCCCTGATACATGTGTACCTACCTAGAGAAGAAAAAAAAGTCCCAAAGAAGGTGGGACAAGACACGGTGGTGCAATACCACCTAGGTACCTACGATCTATCAATACCTAGCCACTGCCGGATGAGGAACCGACGAGAGACTTGCCCCGATGGGTATGCCGTGTTTGACAGATGCGGCAATATGTGCAAGGCTACTAGTGGCTGCTTTACGGATAGGGAGGTGTGCTGCTGGTGCATGACATCAAGGTCACCTGAACGGGAGCTCCAGCTGTTTCTATGTGATCACGCCGCACCTCGCTCTCATGCCATGGCCTACCTCTACTGCTTCACGCCCTTTGGATCGCACAGTTCGCACATGAACTCCCGGAAATCTCCCCTCGTAGCCTCCTCAATCGCGTCTTCCAGAGTCTGGCGATACTTGTCATAGTACTCGCGCTTAACCCGCAGCATATGTGCCTTATCCCAGTGCATCCGTACCAGTCTGGAGATCAGCAACTCATAACGAAGCTCATCATCACGATTCTTCTCGACGATGTCTTGTATCGCGTGTTGGAGGAGCAGGGCATCGCGAGCAGGTCTGTTGATGACGCCGTTTAAGATGTGTGCAATCACTTCGCCCTGTCGTAAGTTGTAGTCAGCGAGACAGGTCGATCGGAAGATGAACACAGACAGATGATAGAAGCAGAAGACTTACGACCAGATTATTGCTCTTCTTCAGCGCCGCGCGGGCAAAATTGTCCCCGAAAGTTCTCTCGTATACACGAAGCACTTCTCGTAAATGCGCGTCACTTCTCCGTACAATGATCTCGAGCATGGCAGTTTCGCCTCCTCGTTCGGCTGCGATCGATCGATACAAGGTGTCAACATCGCGGTGCAGATACTCCACCGGATAGACATCTTGTTCCTCCTGTCTTCTCTCTTCCAGAACCATCAGAATCGCCGTTCGGAACTTGTCCATTTTCAATTCTTTTTCCATGCACTTGACCAAGTCATCGGAGTAGCGTTTGTCCTTGAACTCGTCCTTGATCATGCGAATATCCGCATTGCTTCTTCCCGTGAGAGCCTCAATGAGAAGTTCTCGTCGGCTTCCGTGAGTCTGGTAAAAGAAGTTTGCCCAGTAGCCTTCGCTTTCGAACTTTCCCATTGCACATACGTATACGGCTTTGCCGAAGTTGCCGGTCAGCTTCATATTGATGTGTTTGCCCATGTTCACACCTTTGCCTTGCACTTTGACTTGCTTCTTATACTCCTTTCGTACTTCCATGACTTGGTCATGGGTCAAATGGGGCAGTACATCGCAGATCAGATCAGCATCAATCTTGCCCGTGCGGTGTGAAAGTGCAGAAGCAATCTTCTTCGCATCTTCCTCTGGGTCATACATAATGACACGTTTCTTGCCTTGCGAATCACGTTTGGCTAGATCGGCATCCAGGCGAGACGAACCCGATGTTCTCACAGGCAACGGTGATAATGGCGGGAGGTCTTCCACGTCCAAGTCATCATCAGGTCGCATTGCAAGGGGCATTGGTGAGATGGACTGATATGTGCCATGATATGCTTCTAGCATGGGACTTGGGGGAGGAAGACCTCCTCCACCACCAGCACCACCACCAAAGCCCAGAGATTGCATATCAGGTCTATTACCGCTGACTGAAAGACGCTCCATTCGCGACCCGAGTCCTTGTGGAGCTAATCCAATCGGTGGCTGGGTGGGAAGGTCAGAGGTCGAGAGACGATGATGGATGGTGCTGGAAGTCTTGCGGTCCACTTTCGCCCTGCCCGGTGTGATGTCCACCACTTGGGCGCCATGATCTCGGTTATAGGACTCATTTGAGTAGGTCCGTGGAAGCTGTTCATATGGGCGGACAGCAGGGGTCGGATTGTACCTCAAATTCGGCCTGGGTGGGTCTGGCGGCGTAGCAATGTAGGTGGGCTGTGTGGGCAGAACATTGGGCTTGGCGCTGTACTTTGCCTTCTCGGGAGGCTGACTGTACTGGTACTGCTGAGCGGGGGGTCTGGACTCTACGGGAGCAGTCGGGGTATATCGCTGAGCAGCACTCGAGGTGTAGGAAGCATGGCGAGAGAGTGGTTCCTGTTGTCTGCCGCGAAGAGCTGATGCTTTGGAAGATTCCGATCCGTAGGCTAGGTCGTCTTCATCACTTGCTCTTCTAGGAAAGCGTGGCATGTATGCACCCTGTGAGGGCACATATCCAGGACGTTGTTCGGGGGGGAAATCAGCGAAGCCGGCCATGGTGAGTCCCGCATCGTCCGCTGGATATGGTGTACTCTGATGTGGCGCATACGGAGCGGGGGCGGGAGCGGGAGCGGAGAGCGGAGGGGCATATTGAGAGGTGGAAGCAGTGGTGGGCAGGTAGCGGGAAGCAGCTGGAGTGGTCTGGTGGGGAGAGCGCACATCATACACCGGGTAGGCAGTGGATCCATTCATGTTGTTCACAGCAGCGGCAGCAGCAGCGGCAGGCACAGCAGACGCAGTGGGAAGAGGAAGATTCAGGTATGCATATTGACGAGGCACTTCTGGAGCCTCCGGGGCTCGTACGTTGCTTCGTGATCTGGATCTGTCCCGCCCCGACCTGGATGATGATCTTCCACGCCGGGAGCGGTCCGTGACGTGCAAAGTCGACATGCTGGGTGCGGGAGGAGCAGCGAGAAGTCCACCGAGTCACTTCACAGCAGGTTCGGGAATGGGAAGACGGATGGCGGTAGCGTAGAAAACAGCGGCAGAGTCAGACATGGCTCCGAGTGGATTCGGAGAGGGCTCGCAGTAGGAGGTAGATGTAGTGTTTTGAAGGAGGCAGTAGAAGTCGTCTGCTCCTCAGCCGCACGCTGCAACTCGAATTCAAGCTGCATCCCTATCGGCCAATGAAACGAGGCAAATTTGGCGTGGCTGGGTCCACCTAGGCGCCCGCCATGTTCTAGCATGTCGCTTGCAGTGGTGCCGGGACAGGACACGATGATGATGATGAGGGGCAGAAGGGGGGTGTTGAAGATATAGATGGGTGGTATGGGATGGTGTCCCGTGCCAAGTCAAGGCACCAGTCAGGTATCAGCCAGGCGACAATGTAGCTGGTACAGGTCGTGTTGTAAAGACTACCGCCAAGGCGCTAGTGTGGAGGAAGGTAGCCAACACATCGGTCTGAGAACTGCGCCGTCGGTTCTATAACTACCCATGTACTAGTACCTCTAGAGTCTACGTTACTCCGTGGAATATAAAATTTCAAAGACCATCACCACCAGTCAGGTAGGTAGTGGACGGTACATACTAACCTAACCATCCATCGACGTCCGGGTGCCGCCGACAGCGAAGAGCATGGCACCTACTCCAGGTATGTACTGTACCTACTGACCTGACTTGCGAATGCTTCCGTCATCAGCCTCTGCTACCACCTCTTCGACCCGCACCACTTGCACCGTCTTGAGCTTCGATTTACCCGTCGCCTTGCTTGACCAGCGCTTGAAGAAGGAGCTCAATCGACGACCATCTTCATTCGGCATTGTGGATAGCCCTGCCTCCATCAGCGACCCCAAGCCCATTGTGCAGAGCCCCACCACTTCCGCCAGCTGCTCCATCCCCATAGCCTGCACATCGTCGGGCAAATCGCCAGTGTGGGGATCGACGCAATCACGCAGAAGGTTCCTGATTTCAAAAAGGTGGCACACCCTTCGACACTGACACTGCTCGACTTTGTCGCCATTCTGTCCAGACTCGCGACCGCCGCTGCTAGTCTTCTCCCCATCCACCCACAATTTCGTGTCTTCACCTCGCAGAGAAGCAGCATTACGACCCTCTTCCATTCCCGGAGAAGCATCAGCGTCAGCTGCCTCTGTCTTGATAGCCACCACAGTAAGAGCATCATTCTCATCGCTAATGCTCCAAGTCCTCCCCTTAACCCAGGGCTCAGCTTCAACTTCGGCTCGAGTTTGGGGAGCACGTTGAATATGCCTCTTCCTTTCTGCCCCACCAATCTCTAACGAGGCGAGGGACTGTACCGTACTGCGAGGATCGCGCAATCCTTTTGCGAGGAGACACGTCAGAGAGGATAAGTCGAGCAATCCTTCAATGAGTTTTTCGAAATCCACAGCCCGAAGGGTTCGATAGGTGGAGATGCGAGCCATATCGACGCAGACAGAATGCGCGTAGTAGTTCAGGTGTCGGCGGTGGGCTTTGGGAAGGTCGGTGTAGGACACTGCGGTCTCTGCCGCGCTGCCGTTGCTATTGGTGCGGGTGAAAGGGTGCCTCATTGTGATGGCAATGACGATATTGTTGATGATGATTATAATGAGGAAACGACAATGGCGGCGATGATCTAATCCTTGCCTGTATGAATGTTGCTCCGGTGATGAAAACGTGCAAAATGGCAAGAGAGATGATGGTGGGAATTGCTTCATCGTGGTTAAGGGTGACTTATATATATTGGGGATTCCCGAAAAGCTTCCATTCTTTTCTCTTGAGATATGGGGACAGTTGTGTTGGTAGGGTCGGGTAACATAGGCGAGTAAGCAGGTAAGGTAAGTAGGTACCATGGAAAACCTATGGAGATTTCCCAACTTACCTTAAGGTCTGCGTTCCTTCATACCTAAGGTAGGTAGTGAATACAGTAATGCATCCCGCTGTTCCTGCTCGAGGACGAAGAGAGCAAATTCAGGAACAGACTTACTTCACTCCTGTACAGGCAGGTATATTAAAAAAAATGGATAGAGATGAGACATGAATCCATAAAGTCCTGTAGTGACCTGCCAGCGTTGGGGCTTTTTGATAAGGGATAGATACATAGCTAGGCGGAGGGGTAGGTAAGAATAATGTGCACGTGCTCTTTGAGTTATCCGCTTTGTTCACTTAGTAGGCAATGCTGAATCTGTTGGTGTCGTTCTTGTTGTTGCTGCTAATGTTATTGCTGATGCTAGGAGGTAGAGGGCATGCAGTAGGAGGTAGTAGTTCGACGAAGCCACACTAGCTACCTCCGAGACTCGGGACTCGCTCGGAACGCGGAAACAGGCGACTCTTCGGACAGCGGCTGTGCTCGGTCGGCATTATAGTCAGCTAAACACCGACGGACCGCCGGAGAGCTCCAAACACCAGCGCGTCAAGTCGTCCTTCTTTTCTCTTTTGGTTCAACAACAGTCGACAGCAACGTGAGTTTCATCCCATCCAACGCAATAGGGAAGACTTCCGCATGGGCTGACAGAGACAGAATACCGCGTCGCCATCACCCCTCGATCCGCCCTCACGCGACGCTCACATCATTCAGGAGGCCGCGCAAACACTTCATCTTCCACGTCTGTTGTTGTATCATCAGACACCTGCATCGGAGAGACATTTGCGACTGGCGTTGTGATCAAGCGTACGCTTTGTGTCGGGACAATCACAGGAACAGCGACTATTGTACTATTACTGCTTTCCAGCTTGCCATTGGAGCATTGAAATTGAAGGAGAAGTCAAAAGAGAGACGAAGGGAGGAGAAGAAGAGGAGGAGAAAACAAGAAGAAGAAGACGAAGAACCAAAAGAAGAAGAGGGGAAGAGGGGAAGAAGAAAGCGTTTAACTGTACGTATATCTGCATATCGATGGTGGAGCGCGGGAACGGGAAACCAGCAGCCAGGGCGCATATATCATGATCATCACCAAGACCACAAGACTGATTGTACAATAACCAGACTTACTTTGCCCGCGACGACGGACTTGTACATAACTCACTCGCTGCAAACAGGTGCATCATCTGATCATAAAGCTCATCTCTCGATTGACGATTGATCTCTGATCTGAGTGACAACACCTTGCTCTCGGCACTGTTGTGTCCCGCCATAACCATCCGTCGCAGTCTGCTTCCCCATACCGCGCATCCCCTGTGCCCATCATGTCGGGCGAGGACGATACCTTCGATCTCGACATTTACGGCGATGAAGAGAACCAACAGCAACAACAGCAGCAACAGCAGCAACAGGAAGAAAACCCAGAAGACCGCATAGACTTTGGCGATGACTCCTATGACCAGAATGGCAACGCCGACGATGCCCAGCCAGACGCCAATGCGGCCATAAAAGAAGATGCATCACCGAACCAAACAGCAGCAGCAGCAGCCGGTCAAAAGCGCAAAGCCCCGGACGACGGCTACGATGACCACCAAAACACAACCAATGCTACTGCTGCTGCTGCTGCGCCCTCGAACTCTGCCACTTCCTCTGTCCGGCCCACCTCCTCCGCAGCAACCGCACAAGTCGATCCTAACGCTACCCTCGCCCTCAAACTCTCTGAACTCCACTGGTGGACCACCGAAGAAGACCTCCGTTCCTTCTGCGCCACCGCAGGCGTAGAGTCCGAACTCGTCGACATTGCCTTTGGTGAACACAAAATCAACGGCAAATCTCGTGGAGAAGCCTATCTCGAATTCTCCTCTCGAGAGGCTTGCTCGGCCGTCAAGAAAGCGGTGGAAGCTCGCGACGAGCCCGTCAAACAAGAAGATGGCAAAGTGGCATTAGAGGGCAAGAGAAAGAACCAGTTCCAAGTCTGGTATGCAGATCAGAGATTGGGAAATCCTTTCAAAGGACGCGATTCCGGCCAGGCCACGAAGAAGGACGCTGGAGCGTACAACTCTGCACCCGTGCGAGGTGGTGGATACCAGGGCGCTCGAGGCGGAGGTTTCCAGCCTCGGGGTGGCTTCCAATCGAGAGGTGGTGGTGGTGGATTCCAATCCCGTGGCGGAGGCTATCAACAACAACAGAACCCTCAAGCCTTCGGCATGAATGGCGCTGGTGGCGGTGCTGCCGGCTTTGGCAACGCCTACGGAGCTGCCAACCCCATGATGGGAGGCATGATGGCCAATCCCATGATGGCCATGGGCATGGGCTTCCGAGGTGGTTTCGGCGGTGCTGGTATGATGGGTGGCGGTGGAGGAATGCGAGGCAACTTCAACGCTCGAGGCGGAGGTTACGGTGGCTTTCGAGGAGGATTCCAAGGCGGACAAGGTTTCCAACAGCAGCAACAGGGTGGATTCCAACAACAGCAGCAGCAGGGCTACGGAATGCAGACTGGAGGCGCGAATAAAAGGCCTAGACAGGAGTGAGGAGACTTCAAGTTTATACCTTGCCCTTGCTCCGTAGGTACATGTCGATGGCCGCGTATGACGACGACGACGACGACGAAGACGACGATGGAAAATAAAAAGGGGGGAATGGCGGGCTGGAAAGATCCTTCATGGCATATCCCAGCGAGAACTACCTACCTTCCCATCTACGTACTCAGCCACAGCGCCCTTCTTCTTTTCTCTGTAACATTACAGTATACGACACCACCCGTTTTTTCTCCAGTCGATTGATGGCCGTGATGTATATCGTGAATCTTGCCAAGCACTCACGCAAGTGAACAAACATTCATACAAGTAAACAAATAGGTAAGTCCCATCTTAACTACAACCAGCCGAGGTGAAGCAAGGTGAGATGAGAACGAGTGAGTTGAATCCCCCTCCCCATTTTTACCGCAAATTGAATTCCCAACTGAGATGAGGTAGGTGAGGAGAAAGATATTAGCTATTACTTACTCTCCTTGCGCTCTCCTTCTGCTCTGGACGATACGCAGGTGTTGAATAATCGATTGGGTGTCTGGTTAGTCAGTCAGTAAACCACCAGGTCAATCGATGAGTCAGTAGTAGGTATAGGGCAATAAGATGCTCGATCGATCGCGATGAATTGGTATTTATTGACAGAGTATGACACTCAAGTTTTCCTCAGCTGATTGCGCCTACTTTCACAAGAGAGATGGCAGGTGCATGCAGGTTCTCGTGAAGATATCTCACTTCGTTGTCGGATACACGATGGAAGGAAGGTGTTGTTTATGGTTGTTTTACTGTATAAGAAGGTACGTTTTGGTGAATCACTTGTTTGTTTAAAAGCATGTGAACGATGGACGACAAACTGATGTGACAAGCAGTTTATCTTCTTCGGTGGTATTTCAAGACGATCTTGATTTGAATCTCTACTCACTCGGACTACTACTTATTCTCCCATTTTTGGATATCTTGGGTGATTGATCACTGGACAGGACCTACCCTATTCGATATGAACAAGATATTCTATTTGGTGTTGCTCACCACGGCAACTTCACGGGGAAACATCATCTTCCACCGCGTCCAACCGAAATGTGAATATTCTCAGAACACTTCCTCTGAATGTCTGCGGGGACAAGTGTGTTTGGAGAATAACACGTTGAGTCACCCATCTAATCTTCCCCCTTTTCTTGGTTATCTATACTAACGATTTCACAGATGCATTGCTACAACTCACCCAGATGCCGCACCACTCCAAATGCTCGACAACGAGCCCACTCTAGGAGCACCATCTCCAACCTCATCTGCCCCACAATCGACCGGCCCCGTCACAACGGACGGATCATGCGGAGCGAACCACAATAATGCAATTTGCGGCAACTGGCATCTCGGCAGCTGCTGCTCCATGTATGGCTTCTGCGGCAACTCAACTTCTCACTGCGGTGAAGGTTGTCAATCTGGACCTTGCAGTCAATCTCCCACCATTCCCGTCCCCGAACCATCTCCTGCACCTCCCAATCCCCACCCGGGCTCGTTCAAGATCGTGGGAGACTCTGGTGTACCGGCAATGCATGCAGCGCTGATGCCGAATGGGCGTGTGGTATTTCTGGACAAGGTGGAGAATTATACTCGTCTCAAACTCGCGGATGGATATTTTGCGTATAGTTCCGAGTATGATCCTGCTACGAATGAGGTTGTGCCTCTTTCGTATAAAACCAATGCTTTTTGCGCAGGAGGCGCCTTCTTGGCGAATGGTACGTTGTTAGCTGTGGGCGGGAATGGAAATTTGAGTTGGTTGGACCCGACGGTTATGGATGGATGGCGAGGGATACGTTATTTGACACGCTCCGCATCGGACAACTCCTCGAACGGCGCGAATTGGGTGGAACCAGGACATCAACTCGATACCGCTCGATGGTATCCCAGTGTTCAGACTCTACCCGATGGAACCATCTTCGTCGCCTCGGGGAGTTTGAACGGTCTCGATCCGGCGCAGCATGCGAACAACAACCCAACATATGAAATTCTCGACCAGAATGGTATCACTCAAGGTCACTCCATCCCCATGGAAATTCTCGTCAAATCACAACCTTACTACATGTACCCCTTCATCCACCTCCTTCCCGATGGCAATTTATTTATCTTCGTCTCTAAATCCTCTGAGATTTTCAACTTCTCCTCTAACACCACCATTCAATCTCTCCCCGATTTACCAGGTGAATATCGCACTTATCCTAACACGGGAACTTCTGTCCTCCTCCCCCTCTCCTCTTCCAACAACTGGTCTGCGGAAATTCTCATCTGCGGCGGAGGCGCCTATCAAGATCTCACTTCGCCCACAGACGCCTCTTGCGGCCGCATCACTCCTCTCTCTTCCTCCTCCTCTTCTTCCAAAGACTCCAACAACAACAACAACAACAACAACAACAACAACAACAACAACAAAACCCCCACATGGGAACTCGACAGCCTTCCCCAAGGCCGCACCATGCTCGACAACATTCTCCTCCCCGACGGCACCATCCTCTTCCTCAACGGCGCACACGTCGGATCCCAAGGTTTCGGCCTCGCCGATGATCCTCTGCTGCAAGTTCTCATTTATGAACCTTCTGCCCCGTTTGGATCGCGTTGGACGACTGGGGCGAAGAGTACGATTCCGAGATTATATCATTCGATTGCCATGTTGTTGCTGGATGGGAGTGTACTTGTTGCGGGGAGTAATCCGAATGAAATGCCTGTTGTGGATGATGATCGTAGTAAGAGTGATAAGGGCAATTTTTTCCAGACGGAATTTCGGACGGAGAGATATTTTCCTTCGTATTTTTCTGGTTCTGATTCTTCTGATTCTTCGAGACCGGGAAATGTCCTGCTTTCAACTTTGGAATTATATTCCAATCACTCGGAATTTCAGATTTCTTTTCAACTCCCTCCTTCTACTACTGCAGCAGCAGCAGCATCAGTATCAGCTGCAGAAGAAGATGAGAACGAAAACGAAAACGAAAACAACACCAAACCTCCCGCACCAAAAATCCAAATCTCCCTCCATCACAACGGCTTCATCACACATTCCTTACACATGAACCAACGAATGGTATTTTTAGATTTCACAGACGTCTCATCATCATCTTCGCATGAAAAAACTACAAATAAAGAGCTGGACCACCCTACACATGAAAAAACTCAAAATCTGCAGCAGCAAAAAACTTTACGAGTCCGAATGCCTCCAACTCCAAATCTGGCTCCGCCGGGTCCATATGTGGTGTATGTGGTTGTGAATGGGGTTCCTGCTGTGGGGCAGATGGTGATGGTGAGGACTGGGACGGAGGCGGGAGAGGATGAGGATGAGGGAGAGGGAGGACAGAGGAAAAAGGGAGAGGCGGGAAAGAGGTTGTTTGGAAAGGAGAGGAGGAGTAAGGTGAGAGTTTGGGGGGTTGCGGGTTTGGTGGGTTTGGTGGGGAGGTGGTTGTAGGTTTTGTCTTGGGGATTGTAGATGTATTGTATTGTATTGTAGTGATGATGTTGGGGGTGGGGGGGGGTTCTTTACCTGTTTCTTTCTTTTTTTTTCTTTGATTTGGGAGTCCAAGGGGGTCCTTGGAAAAAGTACCTGTATCTGAAGTAGGTGCTGTAATTTTATAGCGAATATCAAGAGTCGTCGAGGTTTTTGATATATTTTCTTACCTTACCGATCTGTGGTTATCGTCGATTGAAAAGAATTCTGATTATCATCGATCGTGGGTGGCGCGAGATCTTTTTCTGGTCAAGATTAGAGCGTACTGAACTATTGATTGATTGATCGATCGATTGATTGATTGATTAGGGCTTATGGAGTTCTCAGTGAGGAGAGGAGGAGAATGCAGTTCTCTTTTTGAGCGGAAAACGAGAGTCACGCATGCACCCCGAGAACATCTCCCTTCAATTCATGAATCCATACATAAAATTCACCTCCTCCTAATCCTATTCGGCAAAGCCGCCGTCGTAACCACACACCCCAAAGTAATCCCTCCGGCCAAATACAAAAACCTCCGAATCGTATCCGGATTCTTCAACCCTTCCTCTCCATCCTGCATCTTCTCCGCAATCAACGGCGCCAAAATCGAAAACAGTCTTCCCCACGTCGTCGCAAGTCCCACCGCCGTGCCTCGAATTTCCGCCGGAAACACTTCAGGAGTCCAGCCGTACAAGACAGCATTAAACATGCTTTGGAAAAAATGCTCGAGAGCGTTCAGACCAATGTTGGAGGCTTGGGAATTTACGCTGCTGAAGGCCAGAATGGAACATCCCATGAACCCCGAGGAGAGCGTCATGGTCCATTTGCGACCGAATTTGGGAACGCGAACGAGTATGGCTCCGATGGTGACTCCGAGGATTCCGGGGCTGTAAATGGCAATGTAGTTGCGATAGGTCTGGCGCAGAGAGAGAGCGATTTGGGCGTTTTTGATGGCGATGATTTTGGGGAGATAGTACCCTGCGAGGGTGAAACCGAAAAAGTCGAAAATGTAGGTTAGCCAGACGAGGATGGTGATGCGGGTCATTTGTGGCCCGTGGAAGAGTTGCTTGTATTTGGAAATTTTGGTGCGCATTTTACTCTTCCAGTAGCGCTTGTCGGTGAATTCCACTCGGCCTGTCAGTCCTGATGCTCCATCACTGTCCATGTCGGCGCGCTCCAAGTCTCGTAGTCGGAGTTTGCAGTCTGTGCGGTTGGACTTTGCAATGGCTTCCAGTACGCTAATGGCTTCCTCGTCTCTACCGTGACTGAGCAAGAATTTGGGCGATTCATGAATGGTAAAGACGACGAATCGGAGCAGAAATACAACCACGTTGATGGCGCTCAGGGTGTAAATGACATATCTCCAGCCCATATTCTGTGCGGAGCTACAGCATTCTTCTGTCCCTGCAGGCACCCGATTGCACGACGGTAGAGCATTTTCTTCGCTGAAGTTGGGTCTGCACGAGTACGACGGCACAAACGCATAGGCTATGGCACAGGTGCCCACGACGCCAATGGGCTGAAATATGGACAAGAGCGAGAGCAGAAAGCGACGATTCGACGGCAAAAATTCCAGACAAATGGTCGTATCGACGGGAATATTGCCGCCGATTCCAAAGCCCATAAACACCACAATCGCCAGAAATTGTCCATAGGTATGCACAGTTCCCAGGGCAATACCGAATGCACCAGAGATGAAGCACGTGAGATTAAACACCCAACGTCTCCCGATGATATCTCCTAGTATTCCCCACACCAACGCTCCCGCCGTCAGACCCACGGAGAAGGCGATGGATATGTTTCCGGACTCGCCCTCGGAAAAGCCAAGCTCTTGCTGGAGAGGACCGAGGACCAGACCGAAGGCTTGCGCCCAGAGTAGATCCAGTAAGTAGCCCAGTCCACATAACCACCAGACGAACCACTGATAGGTGCCCATTCCATGGCTGTCGATTTCGGCATCTACCATGCGGTACTTCATCTCCATGGGACTCAACGGGATGCCATCGGAGTCGTAGCCGGGCAGTTCGGCGACGGGTCGATTTTGTATGTCCTGCGACGACGACGTTCGTTCTCTCGTCAGCCCGCTGCTGCTGCTGCTGCTGCTGCTGCTCTCTCCCTCCCGAGACTCTCTTCTGCTCTGCTCGAGACTCCGCTCTTTGGCCAGCAACGGCACACTGGAGTCTTGACGATGTGCCGTAGCCGCCATGGCTCCCACCCCGCCCCACGCAGGTATACACTCGACCACAGCAGCAGGAGGAGGAGAAGAAGAAGAAGAAGAAGAAGAAGAAGAAGAAGAAGAAGAAGAAGAAGAGTGTCACAAAAATTCCCCGTACGCTCTCTTCAGGGTCAGGGTCAGGTCAGGGTCAGGGTCAGGGTCAGGAATCGGGTTGTTTTTTTTTTCTTGTCGTCACTCGAACCAACTTCCTCTCACAGTTACACCCGACGCGACCTGTTGGAAAAGTGGGAGAAGTAAGGTAGACTCGACTAATTTAGCGCGCCATGAGCTCATCATAGATTGGCTTTTCCACGTGTCACTGCAGATAAACATGTTTGCCTATCACATGTGCCCTATTCTCGAAGCGTCCCCGAGAGTGAAAGAACTCTTCTAAACTTGTTCTATTCTAACCGTAAGACATAGAGAAGTTGGAAGACTTAGGACGCCTGTCATTTTAGTGTGATGTATAGTTGATAATTAATGGTTCATAACAAGGGTTCGATGTTGCCGGCAACCGGTGCAAAGAAAGTGTGGAGCGGTTAAACATCGCTACGACGACCCAACGAGATCTTGGCATGTGAAAGAGGTCTGTGCTTGTGCTCGTGGGAGGAGGAGGGAGGAGGAGGAGGAGTAGGAGGAGAATTATATTTAAATTTTTATTGAAATTCATCGACCAAGGGACAAGGTGACATTTCGAGAGAAGAATCTTTTGTTAATACAGATAATACAATAGGCTCCTGACTTGTCCCATTCGCTCATGGCCTCACCAAGACTCCACGATACCGCATACGACCACTTTCAAGCTTCTCAAAGGCCTCGGAAATTCCCTCTGGCGTCATATCAAACACTTCCGTCCATGGTTCAATCAGCCTTCTGTCCACAAACTCGAGCATTTTGATATGATTCTCCCGCGATGCTTCCGTCGATGCAATCAGTCGATGTCCGGGCAAGACAAAGTCCATGTACGGAATCTCAATCGAGTCCGGCTGAATAGTCATGAGCACAATCGTCGCTCTCCTCGCAAGCAGCGGCAGCAGAGTCCGCAAGTCGGGCACCACATTGGATGTGATGAGAAGGACATTAATATTCGCAGGTGCAGGATCATCTTCAGGTTCATTCTCCACCCTTTGAGACAAGCCAATGTCTTGTAGTTCGCGAAATTCATCTGCCCCCAGCTCAAAAGCATCTGCCATCTTGTCGCTGTTACTCGATAGCGCAGTCACGCCGCATCCCATAGCCGATGCGAATAGAATCGCACAATGGCCCAGTCCTCCAATCCCGACTACACCCACACGATCATTCGACGTGGTGCCTGCTGCATCGAGAGCCTCATATACCGAAGCTCCAGCACACATCAACGGCGCAGCGTCCACAGACGCGATGCCTCGTGGAATGGGATATGCAAACGCCGCATCGAGAATTCTGTAATCGCTGAATGCGCCCTGATCCAGATCCGAAAAAGCAAATCCTCGAGCTGCGCTGCAATATTGTCGATATCCAGTGACACAGGTTGAACAGTGGCCGCACGAACTATGTAGCCATCCCCACCCGACTCGATCGCCGGGTTGCAGATGCCGGACTGCGGAACCCGTCTTGGCGACGAGGCCGATGCCTTCGTGACCTAAGCCGCATTGCTTGTCTTTGGCGTGCACGTCGGTGAAGCAGATTCCGGAATGCGTCGTTTTGACGAGAATGTCATTGTGGCCCAGGCTCTTGATGACACTCTTCTCCGTGAAGGTCTGGGTGGAGGGGTCGAAGCAGAATGTGGTCAGTTTGTGTTCGGTGGGATCCATGGCTGTGCAGGACCGAGAGTCACAATGTGTTCTTTGGAAGATCAGATTTTGAGACACGGGCTGCCACGGATGCGTTGACAGATATACGGGAATAATAGCATCATGATGTGGAGTACTAAAGAAAAGGGTATACCGTCTCTCCTATTATTGCCCTGTCGGCCGGCCATGTTGGTTCACGAGGGATTGATAGGGGCGTGAATGATTCCATTGGAGATATCGGGCGCTGGGCTGGGATTGAAGATGAGACCCCGCCTTGGCACTATTAACAAGCTTTCACTTCAGCACGCCTCCTTTCAGCCGAACTCCATCAACGAAAAAAGAAAAACAGAAAAACAGATGGGGGAATCTGAGATGAAGCATCGTGAAATCTCAGATGCCATCGGACCGATGTCTACCTCCTCTACCTCACTCTAGTCACACGTGGGCATAATTGCGGCCAGGCGGCTCGAGTTTATTTGGCACATTTCGTCATGGCGAAAAGCATCTTCTTCCTCTCTTCCAGGTTGTTATACCCGATTTCTCTCTCTTATACTCATTCTCTGTGATATTCGATCTACACCACCACCACTCTGCTTACTTTATCTACCTAGTCCAGCAGTCTCGCCACCTCTCAAGAGAATCACCGTTTCGAAACAACTACAGACAGAAGAAATCCGCGTGAAAAGATAAAGCCAATCCTAAAGATACATGTACCTGACCTACTAGAGAAAGGATCGCTCATATCAGCCGTGTAACAACCGCTTTGAGTACTTCCACCACGAATGAGATCGCAGAAGCGTCAGCTGTATGTATTATTAACTACATGTATACATGGCAAAGCTCACTGCTGCTGCTGCTGCTGCTGCTGCCCGCCGCCGCCGACGTAGAATTTTTCTCTAACCGAAAGGCGGTAAACGCGTTAAACATCACGCGACGTGCTCTGTAACTACCTGACTTTCCTTTCACTTGTGTAAATTTCATCTTCTCCCCAGAGCGCTCATCATCATATATGTCTTATTCTTCTTTTCCAGCGGCGGCGGCTCGTGGGATTTGAAAACTACCTAGGACCTCCTCCTACTACCTCCTACACACCTCATCTTTTTGTCCGCGCTTGTTTTTTTCCGCTCATCGCCCGGCACCCTGTTGTGATGGCTGCTGGACTTCTCTCGCATAAAGGTCTCTTGGGAGACAAACTTACAGGACGATGGCTACAGATTGGTGTGTGTGTGACTGGTTCGAGCGGATTCTTGTTGTTGGGATATGATCGTAAGTTCTGCTGCTGCTGCTGCTGGAAGAATATGAATATAGGTACACGGCAGTATATGATTCTTGCAGAGTACTGACGGCTATTTGTAGAAGGTGTTATGGCTGGAATCATCACCGAGCCCAACTTTCTCACATATTTCCCTCAAGTCAGTTTTTTCCCATATCGCTTACTGCAGCAGCAGCAGCCGCATCCATATCATCTTCCTCTCCTCTGACAACGCCCTTCGCAGATGGAACCCACGAACAAATCCGGCGCGATCCAAGCCCTCGTAGTAGCAATCTACGAAATCGGATGTCTCATGGGCGCAATAGGCATCATCATGTATGGTGATACACTAGGAAGGAGAAGAAGTATTTTGACGGGAGCACTCATTATGTGTGTGGGAGCGGTAATTCAAACCACCAGCTTTGGTTTGGCTCAACTTATTGTTGGGAGAATTGTGACGGGCATTGGGTGAGGATGAGCAATATCAAATTCTAGCACGAAGACTACTCTGGGGGACGTTTACTAATTTGTGTATAGGAATGGAATGAGTTAAGTCTCCTGGGGGCAAAACACTCCTGACCTATGTTTATTATGAATATGATTTGTGAGGAGAAAGGGGATCGATGCTAACGAAGGCGTAGATACTTCTACTATCCCCGTCTATCAAAGCGAAATCGCACCTGCGAAAATCAGAGGCTTTCTGGTCCTCTTCGAAGGCGCATTAATCACTCTAGGCGTCATGATTTCCTACTGGCTCAACTACGGTACGTCCGTCGTTCTTTCCTTTCTTTTGCACCAAGTACCTCAGACAGTAAGGTCACCTAGACCCCGATCCTCTCGCTAATCAGACCCATAACTCCTCCTTCCACCACCAAAAAAGGCTTCTGGTTCGTAACTCAACACGGCTCATTCCAATGGCGCTTCCCCATCGCTTTCCAAATTTTCTTCGCAGTCCTCCTAATCATCGGCATACTCCTCTTTCCCGAGAGTCCTCGCTGGCTATTAAAACACGGCAAAACCGAAGAAGCAGCGGAAATTATGGGTCGATTGGAAAATTCTTCTGCTGATTCTAAGCAAGTACGGCACGATATTCGAGAAATTCAAAAAATTAATGAAATGACCGAGGGGAAATTGACGTGGAAAGAGTTTTTTTCGAATGGGAGGGAGATGAATGGGTGGAGGGCTATGGCTGCTTTTCTTAGTCAGGCTTTTCAGCAGATTGGTGGGATTAATTTGGTAGGTTGTTTTTGCACCTTTTCTTCCTCCCTCAAGTGTGTGCTCTTGTATGCATGGCGAGCTAATGTGGAGGTTGATAGGTCACGTACTACGCTACTACCGTCTTTGAGGATTCTTTGAACTTTGATCCTGCACTGTCGCGGTTCATGACTGCTTGGCTGGGGACAGAATACTTTCTGGCTGCAGTGGTGGCACTGTTTGTTGTCGACAAACTCGGGCGACGCAATTTGATGATGTTTGGCGCAGGTGAGTCTTGTTGTTGTTGTTGTTTTGGTGGTACGTTCCAGTAAAGGACTGCACAATGGGCTAACTATCATATTTGGCAGGTGGCATGGCCCTCAGTCTGTTGATTATCGGAGCTACGCTCTCAACAGGAAAAATGAGCGGAGCATATGCAGCGACAGTTTTCATCTTTGTCTATGACAGTTTCTTCGCCCTGGGTTGGCTGGGTATCACTTGGGTAAGTTTCTATACCTACCCTTTGTTCACTCGTCGTTTCCAGAGAGCGCACGATTTCTAATCTACCTCTTACACGTCCCACAGCTCTACCCAGCCGAAGTCACACCCATGCGAATTCGCACACAAGCAGCCGGTTTGGCAACATGCTCCAATTGGATTTTCAACTACGCCGTAGTCCAACTGGCGCCCATCATGATTAACCGCATCGCCTGGAAAACGTACTTTGTCTTCTTTTGCTTCAATATTGCATTTATCCCTTGCATATATTTCTTGTTCCCCGAAACAAATGGACATAAACTGGAGACGTTGGATGCTATTTTCAATGAAGCGTATGAGAAGAATGAGAATCCCGTGTTTACGGAGAAGAGGTGGAGGAAATCTGGCGCGCAAGTGAGCGAGGAGAGTAGTGCTGAAGATGGGCAGAGTGAGAGTAAAGTTACGGCGGGGAGTGGGCAGGATACGTTTAGGATTGATGATGTTGATGATGTTGATGATGAGAGTGAGAAGAGATGAGGTTGTGATACTACCTATCTTTGTTTTGATTATGTACTGAATTGAGGATTTATGAATTCATATCACTTGGGAGTAAGAAGAGATGAGGTTGGAACACTACCTATCTTTCTTTTGATTATGTACTGAATTGAGGATTCATAAACTCATATCACTTGAGAGTTCATTTTGCCCCGTGAATCCTTTGCCTTGAATTCTCGTTTCGCAAGCCCGCCTTGAGTGTCGCGGTTATGAGATTCATAATGAATAGCTCATGTCAACCGGCCCTTGATTCTTTGAGGATGGAGCTTTCAAGGTCTGTGACTGGAGAATGAGGTATATGACATACGGTAACGCATTCAGGACAAGCAGGCATCAGAAGGCTCACTCATTGTGATTAATCAGAAAGTCTGTAGGCGGCGACTCTGAAGGGAAAAAGGTAGAAGTGAAGTGAAGTCGTGTTGTGCGTGGTCAAGAGGAGAAATTTGAGGCACAAAGTCAGGCCGAAATGTTGGATGCCTGCCAAGTCTTATTGTGGAGCCCACAAATCCCACGCCCACTAGCGTCTCCAAATCTTCCTACTCGAACTTCTTCGCTGGTCTTGCGATCTTCTACAAGTCTCCCGTCAACATCTCACTTCGCCAAACGACAACATGGGTAGAGGACCAAAGAAGCACCAGAAGCGTCTGTCAGCGCCATCGCACTGGCTGCTCGACAAGCTCAGCGGTAGCTATGCGCCCAAGGCCTCGCCAGGTCCGCACAAGTTGCGCGACTGCATGCCTCTGATCGTCTTCATTCGCAACCGGTATATCATACTCCAATACTCGCCAGCCCGCAAGAACGCAGAGGTCGTCCAGCAGCAGCAGCATCCATACTGACATGTCTTCTCCGATAGTCTGAAGTACGCCCTCAATGGCCGCGAGACCAAGGCGATTGTCATGCAGCGCCTGATCAAGGTCGATGGCAAGGTCCGCACCGATCCTACCTACCCAGCCGGCTACATGGATGTCATCACCATCGAGAAGACAGGCGAGAACTTCCGTCTCGTCTACGACACCAAGGGCCGTTTCACCGTCCACCGCATCACTGAAGAGGAGGCACAGTACAAGTTGGGCAAGGTCAAGAGAGTACAACTGGGCAAGGGCGGCATCCCATTCTTGGTTACGCACGACGCGCGCACGTAAGTTTCACACCTTACGGCTCGATCGTCATTCAGTCGTTCCAAAGCTTTGGTAGATCCACCCCGGCAATGCTGACGGGGACATAATAGTATCCGATACCCAGACCCTGCGATCAAGGTCAACGACACTGTCAAGGTCAACCTCGAGACTGGTGAGTAGTGCTTCTGCGCTTGGTCTCATGTGTGCGAAATTCTGACGCGGCACTTAGGCAAAATCGACGACTTCATCCGTTTCGACACTGGTGTCATTGCCATGGCCACTGGTGGTCGTAACATGGGTCGTGTCGGTGTCATCACCCACCGTGAACGCCACGACGGAGGTTTCAACATTGTGCACATCAAGGATGCCATTGACAACGAGTTCGCCACGCGTGAAAGCAACGTCTTTGTCATCGGTCGCGAGAAGCCTTGGATCTCTCTGCCAAAGGGCAAGGGTGTCAAGCTCTCCATCGCCGAGGAGCGTGACCGCAGACGCGCTTACGCTCAGGCTAACTAAAATGCCTGTAGTTGACCACACTCGAGCATTGTGGGAAAGCAGCGGAGTTGGGGTTGCTGGGTTTAGTTCAGGTTTGCTACCGCGTCCGATCGAAAGGACCAACCTGCTATGGACGGATATGAAGCATGAAGCGATAGTCTCGCTTTTCGGCGTCCAAGTGCTGGCGTCGCTACACTCTGTAGCATGTACGAATCAAAAAGTCAACGTCCCAGCTTCGAGCCCGTGCTCCTCGAATATCTCCGTGTTGAGTGGAACATCATCGCTACCTACCTGACCTTAGAGAGTGAACAAAAGGACATTGCATCATGCCCCCATTCGCTGCGCCACAGCTTCTTTCCCAAGTGCGCGTTCTATGCTCGATTGACGTCGTAGGTTGAAACAAGCCTCCGTTACCTGTATGCATGAGCATGCGTTGGCCGACACAATGACCCCAGAAAGAGGTCAGATGACATGTAGACACGACGAGAAATACGGGTCAATTTACTGTATCGAGTACTAGAGAGCACACATTTCGCAGTGCTGATTGTGGCTATACAGAGAGGTATGGACTTGTCCACCCAACGGATACATACATGGCAGCAGTAGTCACGCGTCATGCCAAGGCGGAGCTTACATCGCTCGCATAGTGACGGATGCCTAACAGGCGAACAGCACTACTGACGACGCTTCAGTTGCTCTTTCTGAAACCTTTTGATCTCCCGTCTCCGCGACATTGACCCCCCTCTCCCAACCTGGCTTCCGCTCCTTTCACGGTCTACTCGTCCGCCAGACCGCCTCGAACCAAGGACACCTCCAACACCGCCAGCATGTACACATCGGCATCTCGAAATGTCGACTTGACCAAAACCGAAACAGAACTCACCACGCATATTCGCAAGGCCACGTCGATTGAAGAGACCGCGCCCAAGCGGAAACATGTACGCGCCTGTATCGTCTACACGTGGGACCACAAAAACTCCCAGTCCTTCTGGAATGGCATCAAGGTCCAACCCATCCAGGCGGATGAGGTGCAAACCTTTAAAGCCCTATACACCGTTCACAAGGTGATGCAGGAAGGGCACCCTGTTGCCTTGAAAGAGGGGCAGCAACACGTCAGCTGGCTGGAAGGGTTGTCGCGTGGTATGGGTGGAGATGGTATACGGGGCTATGCGCCATTGATCCAGGAATACATTTTCTTCTTGGTCTCCAAGATGAAGTTCCACCGGGAGCATCCCGAGTTCAATGGCCTGTTTGAGTATGAAGAATACATCTCACTCAAGTCGATTAACGATCCGAATGAGGGTGAGTTGGCGCAGCGGGGTGGGTGGAGGGAGGGCACCGTACTGACCTCATTCCAGGCTACGAAACGATCTCCGAACTCATGACGCTACAGGACCAGATTGACAGCTTTCAGAAGCTGATATTTGCCCATTTTCGTGGCGGCAGCAACAATGAATGCAGAATAGCAGCTTTAGTGCCGCTTGTGCAAGAAAGTTATGGAATTTACAAGTTTATCACGAGCATGCTGAGGGCAATGCACACCACCTTGGGAGGTACGTTGTGCGACCTCGCATTGCTCGGCCACGTGCGCTCGTCCATGGTGCCGTGCCAGAAGACTTGACATGGCCGTTCGCGGTGCCTCGAATAGTGCCACAGTAGAAGGCATGGGAGAACTGACTTGATATGCTAGACGACGAAGCCCTGAGCCCCCTGCGGGGCAGATACGACGCACAGCACTACCGTCTGGTCCGCTTTTACTACGAATGCTCGAACCTCCGATACCTGACATCTCTCATCACGATCCCGAAGCTGCCTCAAGACCCCCCGAACACGCTCGCCGAAGACGAAAATGCGCCCGCCTTGCCATCGCGCCCGAAGAACGAGCCCGTCACGAAGCCGCGTGACACGCCTCCGCCCCGCGCTGACACCGACCCGGAGCCGATTAACGAATTCTGGAAGAACGAGCAGGCGCGTCAGCAGGAGGAGTACGAGGCCGAGCAGCGTAGACTACAGGCACAATGGGAAGAAGCCCAGCGACAACAGCAGCTGGCTCAGCAACAAGCCCAGCGTGACTTTGAGGAGCAGCAGCGATTGCAGCAGGAGCAGCAAAGAATGCAATTGGAAGCACTACAGCGAGATCAGTATAGCCAGCAGACTCAAGGGCGCATGGCAGAGCTGGAACGCGAAAATTTGAACGCCCGCGCACAGTATGAACGCGATCAGCTCATGTTAGAGCAGTACGATCGTCGAATGAAGGCCCTGGAGCAAGAGCTGGCACAACTGAACTCGAACTTCCAACAGCAGAATCAGAGCAAGGACGATCAAATTCGAGCTTTGCAGGAGCAAGTGAATACATGGCGAACGAAATATGAAGCATTGGCCAAGCTGTACAGCCAGTTGAGACACGAGCACCTGGAATTACTACAGAAGTTCAAGGGTGTGCAACTCAAGGCATCGTCGGCCCAAGAAGCAATCGATCAGCGCGAGAAGTTGCAGCGTGAGCTCAAGACGAAGAATCTGGAACTGGCAGATATGATTCGCGAGCGTGATCGAGCATTGCACGACAAGGACAGAACGACGGGAGGTCATCGCGACGAGTTGGAGAAGTTAAAGCGCGAGCTGCGCATGGCACTGGACCGCGCCGAGAATGCAGATCGTGCCAAGGGCAGCGAGCTGTCTGCAATGCTGTCACGGCATAACCGCGAGATTGCTGACCTCGAAGAGGCCCTCCGCAACAAGACGAGGACTTTGGATGATATGCACATGAAGCTGGGCGAGGGCAGCTCTGATCTGGAGCGGCAGTTGCGCGAGAAGGAAGAGGAGCTGGAAATTTACAAATCAGGCATGGACCAGACTCTTCTCGAGCTCAACGACCTCCGTAATGGAAATGGCGTGGGGGACAAGGCCATGGACGAGCAGATCGACGTCATGCTGCTCGAGAACATCAAGAAGATTAATGAATTGATCGACTCTGTTCTGCAGTCTGCAGTGCAACGCGTGGACGACGCTCTCTACGAGCTCGACAGCTCGATGATCGCCGGAAACCAGAACGCGAGTGGTCCCTTTGTGCTGTCGACGATTGAGAACGCGCAGACCTATGCCATCGAGTTCAGCACGTCCTTTAACAATTTCATTGCGGATGGCCCATCTAGCAGCGAGCACGCAGAAGTCATCAAGAACGCCAACAAGCTCGCCAACGCGATTGCTGATGTGCTCTCAAACACCAAGGGTCTCACACGCTTCGCCAGCGACGAGAAGAAGAGCGACCAGCTCATGAACGGTGCCAGAAACTCGGCGAACAAGACGATTGCTTTCTTGCGTGGTATCATGTCGTATCGCTTGGACGGCCTGGATGATCTGCAGAAGACTGACGTGGTCATCAACAAGAACAACGACGTTCAGCTCGCGCTCCGACAGCTGAGCAAGGTCGCAGATGCATTTGCGCCGAAGTCGAACATCACTGGCCAGGGCGACATTGGCGAGCTTGTGGACAATGAGATGACGAAGGCCGCCCAAGCCATTGATGCTGCGACGGAACGTCTCAGCAAGCTCATGAACAAGTCTCGCGATGGATACTCGACTTACGAGCTAAAAATTCACGATGCTATCTTGGCCGCTGCAGTAGCAGTCACGAATGCCATCGCACAGCTTATCAAGGCTGCCACGGCGTCTCAGCAGGAGATTGTCAACCAAGGCCGTGGCTCCAGCATGACCAAATCGCAATACTACAAGAAGAACAACCGCTGGACCGAGGGTCTCATCTCCGCTGCGAAAGCTGTCGCCTCTTCTACCAACATGCTCATTGAGACGGCAGATGGTGTCATCACGGGGCGAAACAGCCCTGAGCAACTGATTGTGGCCTCGAACGATGTCGCAGCGTCGACTGCACAGCTTGTGGCCGCTTCGCGTGTGAAGGCTTCTTTCATGAGCAAGACTCAAGAGCGTCTGGAAGAGTGCAGCAAATCTGTCACGAGTGCTTGTCGCAGCCTGGTCAAGCAGGTCCAAGCCATTATTGAAAGTAATAACAGCGGTGAGGATCTGGAGGACTATAGTAAGCTGAGTGGACACGACTTCAAGAAGAGGCATATGGAACAGCAGGTAAGTGAAATCGTGCCAATCTTCCTTTCGCGGAAATGGTCACTGACTATGACATGTAGGTCGAAATTCTCAAGCTGGAGAATGAACTCTCGAGTGCGAGACATCGACTCGGCGAGATGCGGAAGCTGGCATATCAGGAAGACGAGGAGTAGGTTGAATGCGTGTAAAATGTGGTTGACGACCTCTCGCATTTGCATAAAGTAATTGTATAGCGCATATACCCTTCGTGAGCGCTCAGCGCTTCATCCGCCTACTTTTTTTTCTTCTCTTTCGAATGAATTATGACAGGACTGAATCCAGGGCCTTTTTATTTTTCATTAACGTTGACCACATCTAGATAGATACTCTGCCAGAGCAGTACACACTACCTGTTCTAAATAACCATCCTCATGACCAATTTATTCTCGTTTACAATTTCGTCCTTTTTGAGTTCCAATTCATTCACATCCCACGTCGCACTGAGATATCTCCCGCTCAACCATGGTCGTTTTTCCGATGTTAGCCAGGTGAGAAATCCTCCGCAGAGAGTTTCGTCGTCGGTGAGTTCTGCTTTTTGTTTGCTGTTGTTAGAAAGATGGTAAGTTTGAGGGGATGGATGAAGGGAAGGGAGGAAGGGAATAGGGTAGGTGGGAACGTACCGCTGGACCAAATGTCTCCATTTTGCGTTTCGTGGTGCCGTTTTGTTCCTTCTGTGAGGACTCCGCCCTTTCGAAGAAGAAGAAGTTGTTATAAGAAGTCAGAAAAAAAAAATCCAATCCCTCAAAAAAACGAAAACTACAAATGAAACAACTCACAGGATGTACCGCAAAAGCCTGCACTCCATCCCTCTCCCCATGATCCCGATGAATATGTTCCACCAACCGATTCATTCCCATTTTACTCAAATTATACGACACGGGTGTCAAACTCGAATGTGACAAGTGACTCGCTATCGATGTGATGAGTATACACGCTTGCATTCCGTCTTTGGAGCTAAGGAGTAACGGGAGGAAAGTGTAAGCTACGCGCCAGGATCCGAGGAGGTTGGTGTTGAGGATTCGTTCGAATTCGATGTCTTCGATGAGTCCGATGGGGAGGCGCGAGGTTGGGAGGCTGGAGGTTTGTTCGGGGGTGGTGGGGGTTGTGGTTGTGATGTAGGGGGATATTATGCCGGCGTTGGCGATCTGGGATGGGGGGTTAGGGGAGGAAATATATATATATATATATAAAAAGAAATAACAGAAAGAAAAGAAACAAAAAAACTCACAACAACATCCACCCTCCCAAACTTCTCCCCCGTCCCCCTCGCCACCTCCTCCACCTCCTTCATATTCTGTACATCACAAACTTTCTTCCACACCTCCACTCCTCCCTTCTTCCTCCCTACAGCTTTCAACTCCCCCTCCAAAGAATCCAAATCCGCTTGCGTTCTCGAAGAAATTACTATCCCTGATGCTCCCGCTTTGGCGTATGAGAGGGCGATTTGACGTCCGAGACCTTTTCCTGCTCCGATTATGGCTACGATGAAGGGGGTGGGGAGGGAAATGTTGGTCGGGTCGGTGGGACCGGAGGGCTTGCGGTGGATTGTGGGGGTGAAGTTTGTGCCATAAGAGGGGGGGTGTTGGGCCATGGCTTTTTGGTTTTGGTTTTGAAAGGGGGTTTCGAAGGGGGTTTTCGTAAAGGGGTTGTTGTTGTTGATTGATTGATTGATCGAAGATGAGAGTGATTGACTAAGATGATAAGACCTGACGTGCGGTTCATCAAGTATACAAGTACATGTCAAGTCTGTCAGGTAGATATATCATGACATGGATGCGTGAGTGCGGAGTAGAAAGCATATGATCCGAGGCTATATGTACAAGTACTTTGTCATTTGTACATTTTCCAATATATACCCATATAAAAATGGGGGGAGGGGTTCGATGAATCCCTGTGAGTTATTGCTTGCCGCATGGATAGGGCAGCATAATTCACTTTTATATCTAACTACCGATAGGGCTGACCGCTTTTTTGGCCGACGAAATGTATACATAGGTATTATATACATGTAATGTGACTAACTCCACGTCCCATTCGCAGGTCCAAAATAACCTACTTCAGGCATCGCTTTCCACGCCTCACCTCTCCCATCTGCGGTATTCAGATATACGTTGTTACCCCACCAGTCGGGAAAAGAGTAGCCTTCACGAGAGAGACAGAAAGAATCAATGATTAGCACATTTCTTACAATCGAAGTAATCGAAAATGAAACGAAGAGGAAAACATACCGGGATAGCTGACAGCGAAGAAGATGATAATTCCTGCAAATGCCGTGCCAAAATCTAATGCTGCAGCGAGAATGTAGTTGTATTTGGCCCACCAGGCAAAAGCTTTGCTTTTGATGTAGGAGTTGAAAATGACGTTTACCATGGCCCAGGAGCTGTAGTTGATTCCTATAGCATAGCACAGCACATCAGCATTGGTCAGCAGTGATATGATGAATCGATCGACTTTTCCCTCTACAGTAGTCACATGAGAGAAGAAAGAAGAGAGGTACATACCTGTCGCAGGTGGAACATTATACGTCCCGACGAAAATTAGCGGCCAATTGATCTTTCGCAACCACTCCTGTTTCGTATACTTCCACGCGGCCCACGTCGCGAGGGGAATGAGAGCTCCAATCCAGAAGAAATGGAGGAGTTTGCTGTAGATTTTCCCGATAGAGTACAATCGCGCAGGGCCGACGAGGCCCCAAATCACCGACGAGGAGAAGACGGTTCGGCCGTTGGGACAGGTAAAGCTGTCGGGTTGATCGGAAGAACATACATCTTGAATGTTTCCCAGCATCCACAGTGTGACGCCTGTCTGAGTCAGACCTCCGAGGATGGTAGCGAAGCCTTGGGCCCAAAAGACGGTTCGAGGGGCGATCTTGAAGTAGTGGCCGAGTTTTTGATCTTGCGCAAAGAAAATGCCTTGTGAGACGACGTCGGTGGAGAGGATTTTGAAGACCATGTTTGCCAAAGGCTTTCCTTGAAACATGTATCCTCCGATGAACTCGGAGAGGACGTTGAGCTGGTTGGCATCGACGTTGGTGATTCCTTGGATGATGCCGCACGGGACCATGTAGATGGCGGGGATGAGGAGCGCGAGGAAGACGCCGTAGACGGGGAGTTTGGTGTCGTAGACTTCGACGAGTACGATGGAGAGGGCGGTGAAGATGCATAGGAGGACGACGTTCCACCACCACGGGACGTGTCGATAGGCCCGCATCAGTCGGCCGTGGATGTCGAGTTTTTGTCTTCCGCGGAGAGCGGCATAGATGTCGCTGCCGTGCCATAGATACACGTGTACCAACACGGCGGTAATGGAGGCAAAGGATAAGCCGTATACAAAGGCGAATGTAGCGCTCAGATAGGGAGGTGAGTAGGCGGCGTAGGCAACGGGATCGAGAGTACCGGATGCAGTGAGGACTTTGGAAACGTCGTAGTCGGCGCCCGTCCGATCGTAGACATCTGCCGTCATCATGGGCAGGAAAGCAGTATACCAGACGTTGGTGTAGTACAGTCCAGGCACCACGATCCAGTAGAAAAAGGCAAAACCCGCAAAGACATTGATCGCAGCCCAACTGGGTGACAAGAGCGGGTTGGTGTTGTAGGCAATCTGCGACCAGTCGAAGGTGATGGGGCTCAATCCCAAGCCCGTTTGAAAGCCAAAGAGTTGATTCACCACGACGTTGTTGGGTGCAATCCAGCAGACCCAGGTGAAGTAGGAGAGAGCGGTGAACATCAGTCCTGGAAGCCAATACCAGCAGAACGCGCACAACATGACAATCATAAAGAAGCGGATCCGAGAGATTTTCCAGCCATTGGCAACCACATTGGCGCGGCTGTGCAACGAATTGAGGAGAGCACAATTGCCCAATACTCCTGGCCAGATGATGTTGGCGGGCTCCACCAGCCATTGCCGACAGAGTCCTGCGACGCCAAAGCCCAAGACTTGACAACATAGGACGACGAGGATGCTAAATCCGGGGCTGACATCGAAGCTGTAGAATTTCTTCGCTGCTTGAATGATGTTGGTCGCGTCGGCGCCTCCGCCAAAGCCAATCGTGACGTTGGACATGATGACTATGCTGCTTACACATGAGACGAGGCTCCTCTCTTTGGTCATACACATATGGAGAGAGAGAGAGAGAGAGAGAGAGAGAGAGAGAGAGAGAGAGAGAGAGAGAGAAACGAGACTCACACGACGTGTTCCTTGATGTTGAAGTGATGGTCAGGATTGACCCGCCACTCCCCAAAATATGGGAGTTGCACAGTCATGATGGGTAGGATCTTTGCTAGTGCAACTCCCATGGGATATGCCAGTAGCTCTGCCACAATGGACACGATGTGCACGGCGGGATATCGTAACGAGAAGAACTGATTCACTCCCGCACCGATCAGGACCCATATCGTGCCCAGAATCCACATGCGAAGGGTATTGACTGGTATGGTCGTATCGTCGGTTTCGGGCACGACCGCACGCTGATTCAGTCAATGTCGGGCTCCTCTGTGGGGTCGAGAGCAAAAGAAAAAAGACTCAAACACTCACCACTTCGGGGTAGGGAGACGTGTCGGAATCGATATCCTTCAACTCCTGATCGTGCACGACATGATCGAGATCAACTTCAATCTCTTGGAGGTGGCCGTGCTGCATGTCGACAGGCTCTACATTCCCTCCCGCTCCATTCTTCTCCGGTAACTCTACCCCATTTTCTTCGTCTGATCCAGAAGGTTTCTTGCCAAAGTCTTCGGTGGTATTCAGCTGTATACCGTCCGTCTTCTGCCGCTGAAGGGTCCATGGTCTCCGTAGACGATTCATGGTGGGCGGTCGAAGCTTGTCACAAAGCAGAACCGGGAGAGACTCAGCTGCGTACGGTCATGATAGTTATGGTTTCACGTGTGAGAATGAGAATGCCACGGGGGCTAAGCTGTGGCGAAGACGGCTTATCATGTCTTCGTGATGCTTGTGTATCGCCTTATCACAGGACGGCCAGGCCTAGTCATATCGGCCAGGCTATCGGCCAAGCCCAACAGGAGCGTTACACAGACGCCAATCCGATGAGAAAGTAGATTCCATATTCCATATCCCATGAATATAGTAAGTTGGTAGGCATATGTGTCTATGCCCTCTCAAGACTATCATCGCAGGAGAAGGTAGCGTACCGATGGAGAGAATTTTAACCACAACCTCCTCCCTACCTAGGAGCTGCTCCGGAGAGACAGTTCTTGGCATTGCCTCCAGAAAGGGTGATATAATGGTATAGTCCGTGCAGCAGAACAGGAGACAAATGATGCTTTTGTAAAAGGAACTCAAGGTCAACAAGAAGTCTCTCATTGTCCGTGCCACCCTGAGGCAGGACATAGTAGCTCCGTTAATGCTTAGGTAATCAGAGAGAAGAGAGTTTCCATTTTCCCCGTTTACCAATATTCAACCTCACCGCATAGCATGAGTTAGTTTAGGCAAAAGCACTACTTTTGCTCTTCAAGCACACAAGTGTACGCACCTGTTACGGACAAGATCAACACGATCGACCATTTGCGTCATATATGGAGGCACTCACTATGTACCTTAGTCAAATACATGTATATAACCATAGTAATGAAGCATTGCAAAAGTGCACGATTTGCCACTTCTTCATTCATCCAGAGAAATCCCAATTGTCTGAAAGCAAGATGATGTTTCTACTCAGATTGTCCATATTCACATTCTGCTCAATCGCTTCCGCCTTCGACTTCGGATCCATTTCTTACACTAACCACTTTGGAATTCTAGGTCAGAATGCCACATTTGACTGTAAGCTCGACCAGTCCAGAAAGCCTCATTTCCACGGCCAACGCAAAAGAAAGAAAAACTGACTTCTTTCAGACATTGTCATCGGCAGCGGCCCTGGTGGAATGACCGTCGCTACCCGTCTCGCCGAAGCCAACTTCTCCGTCGCACTCGTCGAAGCAGGTGGATTCTACGAGAATGCCGTAGGGAACAGAACCGTCACACCGGGCTACTATGCGGAGAATTTGGGAAATATCGGCAATAATTGGAATTTTCAAACGAAACCGCAACCACAGCTGTATAATCAATCGGTGAGATATGATCGAGGCCGAACTCTGGGAGGTACGAGTGCGTTGAATGCCATGTTGTATCAGCGACCGACTCGGGGTAGTCATGAACGATGGGCGCAGACGGTGAATGATAGTAGTTATGGTTGGGATGCGTTTTTGCCATACTATCAACGCAGTGTGAATTATACGGCTCCGAATGCTGCTGTTCGTGCGGCGAATGCATCGGTTCCGGAGCCGGGCGCGGGTGCGTACAGTCCTCTGGGAGGACCGGTGAAAGTCACTCACTCGAATTGGGCGACGCCATTCGCTTCGTGGGGACAGTCGGCTTTGCGGGAACTGGGTTTACCGGAGATTCGCGATTTCGATACGGGGGAACTGATTGGACATCAGTACTGTCCGTTGACGATCAATCCGGATGATCAGACTCGTGGGAGTAGCGAGGCGACCATATTGAGGCAATATCTGGGTAATGGGAGGTCGAACTTGCAGGTGTACGCCCACACCATGGCGAAGAGGGTGACGTTTGATGGGAACAAGACGGCGACGGGCGTGGAGGTCGAAAGTTATGGCCAGCCATACAGCTTGACTGCCACCAAAGAGGTCATCGTTGCTGCCGGTGCATTTCAGAGTCCTCAACTCTTGATGGTTTCGGGTATTGGTCCCGCTGCTGAGTTGGAAGAACACAACATCAGTACACTATCCGCCCTCGAAGGCGTGGGCAAGAATATGCAGGATCACATTCTCATCGGCGTGTACTATCGCGTGCAAACGCTGACCACAAACGACCTCCAAAACGCGACAATCGCACGCCATTATGAGGAGCTGTATCGCAAAAACGCCACCGGAATTCTCGCCAGCCAAAATGCAGACTATCTAGGATGGGATAAGCTCCCAAGCGAGTACCGCAACAACGTGACTGCGAACGTTCGAGAGGCTCTCGACAAATATCCTACAGACTGGCCGGATTTCGAATATGTCGTTGGCAGCACGAAGAATGGTTTCATTCAAACCGCGCTGATAGCTCCTCAATCCACGGGGAACATCACGATATCTTCCAGCAATACGGCGGATCCTCCCATCATCGATGTGGGTTGGCTGACCAATTCGATTGATGTCGAAATGGCCATTGCAGCGGTTCGACGCGGTCGCGAATTCTTTGCTACGCAAGCTATCCAGCCTGTACTTGCTGGAGAAGAGTTGAAGCCGGGAAATAATGTGACGACTGATGCGGAATTGGAGGAGTATGTTCGGAAGAGCGTTTCGACAGTTTATCATGCTTCTTGCACTTGTGAGTATTCTGATTCATCTGGTCCTGTTCGGCCTCCATTTCTGACATTAGTGCGACAGGTGCAATGGGTCCACGTGAGAATAGCATGGCAGTCATTGACTCCAAAGCTCGTGTCTATGGCGTACAAGGTTTGAGGGTGGTAGATGCATCGTCTTTTCCATTCTTGACTCCTGGACACCCGCAATCGGTCATCTGTAAGTCGTTTGGGTCTTTTGCACTTTTATACTGATATACATGCTAAAATACTTCTTCCAGACGCGTTGGGCGAGAAGATCGCGGATGATTGGCAGCTTGCTGCCATCTATACACGGGCTACCTATAGACAGCAAAAAGAATAATGAGACCCTATATGTCAATATCTTATTGCACTTTTCTCTCTCTCTTAATACTGCGCAATATTGATTCTAGTACTTACAAACAAGTAAATAATAGTATAGATAGAATGCCTGCTCGATTGCGTGAACTTATAGTCAATAATAGGTAAAGGGTGCAGTGTTAGAGTCGAGGTAGTAATAAAATCTTATTATTCTTTTTGCTTTCCGGCGGTAGACGGGGCGATGCTCAAAATTTCGGCTTGTCCGCTAAGACCTAGATGATTGGCTAGGAGCCATCCTTGGCAAAACGCAGAATCAATATTTGATTAGGGTCAATCAAATTTCAATCAAACTTCTTTGAGTGTATATTTTCTTCTAGATTTATATTATAGTACTAAAGTAAGTTTAATAATTTCTAACTAAATCCTAATTAATATGTTTTTAGTATAAGTACTTAAAGAATATTACTAAAAAGTAGTAGTAGCTCGATACTTAGAGTACTACCCTAGATTTAATTAACCCTACCTAAATTCTTATTAATATCTAGGTAGTAGAAGTCCTTAGATAATATCTAGATATATAATAGTTCTATAAGCGTAAGAGTATATATTATAGAGGTCCGAGGTATAAAAGATATAAACAATATACGGCTTACTATAGGCAATTATATATAATATTATTAATATATAGCGGAAGCAAAAGTTCTAAATAGTAGAAGGCTAAATTTGCCTAAGGCAGAATGTACGTACTAACGCAATATTTCTTAATTAGGTATATCCCTTTACTACCTCCTACTATCTCTCTACTTTTAAGAGAACTAAGATAAGACAAGGTCCCTAGGCAATTAACAGATAGAGATAGAGATAGAGATACCTGCTTAGATAATCAAGAAATAGGCTTAGAGATAGAAACATCTAGGGCCCCGTTCGCTTGTTCCTTATAGCTTCTAGCTAGAAGCTAACGCTACTCAAACTCTCGCTCTTAAATATAGGTCGTTATAACTAAAGCTATAAGCCGGGGGTGTTCGCTTGTATCGTTATAACCAACTTGCCTTATATACAAGGTAAGAGACTACTCCCTATATAGTATAGATTATACTATATTAGGACTAGATACCGGAAGACGGGAGATACCCGTACCTACCTGTATCTACCCGTACCTACCTATAATAAAAATAGGTCCTTATACTTAGAAGCGAGAAAATAAGGTTGATCTAGCTATAAGACGATTTAGCGTATTTTTTACGTTAAGAACGCGAGCCTTCTCCCTTTTATATAAGATTAACGTAGTATCTACATTATAGCTAAAAACCTAGCTTCTAGCGAGAAGCTATAAGGTAAACAAGCAAACGCGACCGTCTTATAGCATAAGATAACCTTATAGCTTCTAGCTAGAAGCTATAAGGTATACAAGCGAACGGGCCCTATATGATGGTTCTGTGAGCGTAAGGGTATACGTAACAGAGGTCCAAGGTATGAAAGGTGTAAACAATGTACGGCTTGCTAACTGAGGCATAATAACTCTGCCCTTCCTTCCTAGAGGAGGGCCCTCGCTATATACACAAGCCATTCCATTGTCTACTCCTCGCTACCGGTACCGCCTCCTCTCAGGCAGCAGCCGATGACCGGTTCCCTTAGGAACCCTCTTGATTCAGAACGTCTCCGATCGGTAGGGCATCCCTTCTATACCGGATCGCCGGGGGTCCGCGAGGGCTTCCCGTCCCGCGCGGCACGCCCCGCCCGCCTCGCCGGGGGTTCGCTAGGGCTTCTCTGCCCTAGCGTGTTACACCCTAGGTAATTAAAGAGATAGAGACAGACTCTAATAGAGATAGAGATACTACGAAAGGTACCGTATAATAGATAGTACCTCCTACGTAATAGATAGATACTATACGCTAGGGATATACTATAGGCGACTATAAAAGCTTTAGAGCAATTAGACTAAAACTATATATATATATATATATATATATATATATATATATATATATATATATATATATATATATATATATATATAGTAGTAGTAGTAGTAGTAGTAGTAGTAGTA